GACAAAGTGAATCACCATCGGCGCTCCAGAAACTTATACCTTCCATTTCTTGTCCTCCAAGGACAACGCACTAGTGCACACCTGTCACTGCTAATTGATGATGCATGCTCGTATTATCCACTTTCTCTTGTTTGCCTTCGATTGGAAAAAGCAAACAGAGTTACCAGAAGTCGATAGGTCTGTGGTGTTATATAAATTACATGGAGGTTAGTGCTTAGCCAGTAGACACAGACATTTCCAACAGAAATGATCACTACAGAAAGGTTTTATACCATCTACAATGGTCGATAAAACCTATGTATATACTAATCAATTACATACACCGTACAATTGTCGACGTTTCCACCTTTCATCACATACACAAAACTACTCCGGTAGTACCATTATGCACAGTTTGAATTAATTTAATGCTGTGGATTTCATTTTCCCCTCTTTTTTATGAAGGTATAAGACTGCGTCGCTATTTCAGTCAAAGCTATCGTGCTTCTTTAACAGAATATCATTGTTAAAATCTATAACACCATAATATTAAATTTATATTCTTTGATTGCGACAAGAAAGAAATTAAATACTTACCAGGATTACATTGTTAGAAGATCGAACATCGGTAGAAATATATCTATCATTGCATGCTCCACGATATATACTACGACTGGGTAGTACACATATGTCACGCGTTCACACCGACGATACTTCATTAATATAAGCTAATTAATCAAGTGTGTCGTCACTATAAATAATTCATCAGACACACGCCGTCAGTGGTGGGTAACTGTTAAATAGGTATCCGGGTGTGTACACATGTATTGTATACATTAGTGAGAGTGTGTACAATGTATTGGGGTATTTAATATATATGTACATAACTCATCTAACACTAAAGGGATTACAGTACTAGTTCTCTAATCTATTTGTATCTCCTCTAATGCAAAGAAGATTATGGTCTTACAGTGTGTAACTGTCAGAGAGCTTACAGCACAAAGTCTTTATGTGTGTAAATTGTAGGGGCTAGGAAGCTCAACGTAGTTTTATCACAACAAGCTTTGTCACCTGTGTTTACCAAGTAGATGAAAATTTTACTTCGAGTCTGGAAAGTTTAGCAAGGGATATAATCCTTATACAATATAGTTACATCAAACCACAAATGTATACTTAAGGGGCGTGACAGCTAGGCTTCCTATATGAAATGGAAATACTATTGCTATTATATAACTAAACTTACTTTTATCTTATTTCTGCTAAAGATTTTTAAAATATAATGCTTGTTTTTCTCTCTCCATATTTACTGTTGTGTGACATTTCTGCGATGTATCCTTACCAAAGTCAGTTATGTATTGTCAGCCCATAAACTGCAAAAGACTTAGGAATGTTGCAAATGTTATAAACAGATTAAGATTTACCTCTTATAAAAGGATGAAAATTGAACTTCTTTAAATTGGCATTATATGACATTATGAATGCCATCAAGTCAATATTATTGTAAAGCATGAACGAGTTTAGTTGAAATCACACGTATCCAGTTGACAATTATATTGCCCGTGAATGCTGCACGAATTATGTTCCATGCTTCAATGAAATAAGTTAGCCTACCTTACTGTCATGGATATACGATTTCAGTGTTAGGTATGTCTATGTGGTGCCTGTCAGTTTTCTTCGAATGTAAATTCCTTTTGATCTAAAGCAAATTTTCCTGATAGCTGCCGTTATGATCTAGTGATCTTTTCCTTTTTGAATGTCTGCGTTTTGTGATTTTTACCAATTTGTTGGGCATTAAATCACACTCTAGTCCCTCCAATATACGACACCTCAAATTCTAGTATATTATTTTGTACGCCCTTTTAGCGACGTTGTCTTTATATCTAGATGGGAAGTTTGATAATTGAAAATAAGTAAAAAAAACATAGATTTGTGTTTTAACTGCTTTGTATTAGTTGATATTGGATTGATCTGATAACTTCAATGCATCGATTTGGTTTCAGAAATACTTCATCAGCACGATACCAGCATCTGCATTATTGTACCATAGGAAATGATCCGCCACGATTTCTTTCACATCGTCATCTGCTGCACCATGAATGGTTGTATTGGGCACTCGAGAACGAAAACCAACAACGTAATGGAAATCAATATCAAAACAAGAAAAGGACTTTAATTAAGAGAGAAGAGACTAAAGGAAGGTCCTTACATCAAAATATTCTACCAGAGCACATATTATTTGCTATATAACAGTTTTGTAAGCGAGTCTTACCAGATAAGAGTTAAGAAAGGAGACTTCTACGTAAAGCAGCCTAGTCAAAATATTTCTTTATCTATATTTCATATCTATAACTGTCATTCACTGCAGTGTGTCTTTTGTTAAATGCTTGTTGGTAGCAAGCATGATAAGATCTTCTAATATATGAATTATACAGGAATATTCTGTCGAATGAAAGTGCCAGTTAATAGTGACTTAAGAGAAATGACAACGAGTAGGACGTGTAAAAAACGCACTTTTTGGGAAAATTATCTAAAGTATAAAAACGTACAAAATGTCATAAATTCTGAGTTAAAGAAAAGAAGGTGAAACAGCGAAATAGCAAAAAGAGTTTGGTATGCTAGGTATGCAGATAGGTGTGATACCTTGGTGTGTTAATTTATTTAGAAGAAAAGACCGGAAGATACATCTTCCCATCGCTTAGTTGGCAATATGTAACACGTACAGACAATACCAGTCTGTTTTTGGTAAATAGTTAAAACTTCGATGTCACATATAGAAGTCAAATTCTGCTTCAATTACTAGTTGCATGGATTTCTAGCTGCTGGAACATTCGAAAAGAGGAGGATAATATCCTTTTAATAGGGAATAGCATTACTGACGAATCCCAGAACAGCTGTATGATGCAGTTCGATTCATTGTTTGGCTCTATCAAACTCAATTTTTGTTATTTAAATGCACTGTACAATTTGTGTGTCTTGTGCAGTCTTCCTTTGTTTAAATTTAACCACACAATCACGTGATTTATAAACAGTAACCAATAATGTGAGCTAGATCAACGAGAAATTCAAGTGACAAGTTGTCTAAGCAATGCTTGTTGAATGGCTGGTCGAACCGTTTGACCTGTCTGTTTATATAAAATGTATAACGAAAGAGACCTGATACAGCTAATGGATCATCTTATAAGAATATTTAAACTTACAATACCCATTGTTTAAATGCTATCGAAGAGCTTATCAAATAGGTCACAAAGATCTTGCAACGTCGTTTAATTTCACTTACAGATATATATTCCACCAAAATTGGTAATTAAGTACACGAAGGACACTTCTACAACGGCTACTTAGCTCGCTCGATTTTCCCCTACAAAAATTCAACATGGACAGCTTTCCACCAAACTGTATGATAAACGTGATGACTTTACTTTCCCTATTTTTTTGGGCCCCAGCCAGTGGTATTTACATGTCGCAGTTAATTCGATATTCAAGGGCATGTTCCAATTAAGAAGTTGTCAACTGTCAGATCAAACAGGGTTTCAAAAGATGCAGGTTATGAAAATTATGGACGTTCTTACGGTAATTGAGAAACATAATATGAAGCTGGACGTGTTTGATGCTTGTTAATTTTCAATTTTGTTCCGTTGTTATCTATCTTGTTTTCAATTGAGAGCCTGACGTTGCTTATTTTGGACTGACCACAATGGACATGGTGGGTGTTGACATTACTTACTTTGATTGTCCAAGGTTTACATTCTCCTTGTATTTTTTTCGTGGTCTCCATATACTTATATTTTTTTGTCCATATTTTGCCTTAATTTTATTGCATTTAAGTTTGGATTATGATTTTGTGTTGAGATTTTTTTTCTTATTCTTTTTTTTTATTTAATATCTGTTGTGTGAAAATACATATAGATACTTTTTTCACATCAATAGAGTGTTGAGAGGTGACGTCACTTAAACGACTTGAATATCGTGAAATACAATTTTAAATGATTTTCAATTAAGCAAATGTTTGTATATTATTGGCAACCAAATGGTCTAGTTAAGATGTCTTGTAGGATGATAAACCTTTTTCTTTTTCAAAAACACTGAAATCCAGAGAGTTACTTGCACAAGTTAAATATATATATATATAAATATCGACAAATAAAACTTATTTCAATGTAGGTACATGTATGCGCGAGTTACCGCTCTTTGGACTCGGTAGGTCATACAATTTAAAAGACATATAATTATTTAAAAGGTTAATATTGTCTACAATATTTAATGTAATACCAATAGTGGACCAATTATGGTTTCCAAGAATTAAAATATTATAATAGATAAAAAAATAGAATTAAAAAGTCCCCCCTTTAGCATGTTCGACGCCTTGATACAAGTATGATCCAGCTAGTGATATAAAATATCTAGAGATGATCTAAATACTACATTTAAAAATCATTAATGTGTAAAACCATGACACATTTCTGTAAGGTTAAACTGATGGAGAAAATATTATCGTCAATATGAATATAAATATGAAAATTCCTGTGTACTCAATTGACTTAATGTAAAAGTAGAACATGTTGTATTAGATTCACTTTAGAAGTGGGTCAGATGCAAGTTATTATCTGTAAGTTAGATCATGAGACTGTATTATTCCAACGGAGACGCAAGCTAACGTTAGCTGTATAATGTAATATGCCTTTATCTGCAAAAAGTATAAACTATACTTTTTCCTTTTTTGAAGGCTGTAATGCCAATCTCTCCTTAGCCAATATGCTGCCCTAGTTTCATTATTTATAGGTTTAGAGACAAAAATGTATTATTTATCAACGTTGTTGTGCGGATGTATCGGAGGAGGATTATTAAATGAATAATGGTGAGTGTATAATCTATGCAGATCTACTTTCGAGTCATACTCAGGCTATTCTATATCTGTAATGTAGTGTGATACCTATCGTTATCTAGTCAGTCTGGTCGGACATATGTCTTCGGTCACGTCACCGACGACTCAGAAGACCTAAGGATTGACCAAAACATTGTGAATGAAGATGTAAGTATACCATCACTGTGATTTCTATATCAAGTAAAGCAACTAATTCAAGGCCTTACTTAGTTGTTGTGTTTACAGAAGATATATTTAGTTAGTCATCTTTATTGGTAGATAAGGCGACAAGGAATCTTTACAGGAAGATTGAGAAGGACAAATATAACGACTCGGTTCTGATTTCACTGAGACGGGGCTGTGAAAAGAATGGACTTCTAATTGACCTGATAAAATTTCATTCTTAAAAACAACTAGACTGTTGAGAGCTATCAAATAAAATTTGTCACTAAACACTTATATAACTAGATAGGATTTTGTAGGGGTATTTGTTTACAGCACTCCCAAATCCTTGATACATGTAATGATACTGACATTTGATCCATGTAATATAAGTTTATACCAATGACATGTTAAGTAGGAAGCAAAGTGATATTATCCGAATGAATGTGAATAAATAGACGACAGGAACTGATAAGGTCACAATATTCTTTATCATTAGTCACGTTCTACAAATAACTTGACTTTTTATAAACCTTAATCTATATTCGTCATCTGAAAGTTAAATCCAGTCATGAAAATTGCAAGCAAACTGTTAATCGAGATATATTAAATTCGTCGCTATGACGCTGACCGAATTCACTTGAATACCTTAGAGACACTTTACATTATTAACCTGAACTGATTAAATGCTCATTTCTCCGTCATCTTTCGCTTGTAAGTAATGATATGTGCTTTTGTATTTTTTCTGTCTATTTATAGGTCAGTCCTCCTATACTCTTCCCTCCCTCTGACACTAATGCTGATGTGGTGTGGTCAAATTTCTACCGTTTTCTGTGACCAGTCGTTGGAAGAAGGCATTAAATACTTTGATGTTCGGATTCCCATGCTAGATGTTCCGGCAAAACGAACTCATTATGTCTGTCAGAAGTTTAAAGTAAGTAAGCTAGCTGGTAGGGATTTGGCTTTAGAAATCATTTTAAAATCATGATTTTTTTTTTGTGGGGATTTTTTTATCTTTAATGACGTGGGTACCTTTACTGCGCGAATTTATATGTCCATTAACTGTTAGTATTAGTATAAACGAAGAAGATGTATTGCACTAAATTTATCCTCGGAATCATGTGTCATTCTAAAACGCGAAAGCTGAGCCCCATAAAAATATATGATTCTTCAGCAATCGTTTACTTCACTAATCAGCATTGCAGGTTCTCTTTCTAAATTCTTCTTTTCGAATATGAAACAAAATTATTTGATTACATCAATTGCAGTTGCAACTAATATCTTTATTTAGTCATTTAACTCTCACGGTACCATATTATATTCGTCCTGATGATTATTTTGCCTCACGTAGCTGCAGCTATACCGACTCCATAGCAATAATTAATTAATAAGTAATTGATTTAATTGATTTCAACTAAATGTACCTCTGGCAAGCCAAGGTATCCTAATTTGCTCACAGTCTAACAACACCAATTACATATCTTTTAATATACAAGACTGGATTAAGATTCCGATTGTTTTTCAGTGTGACGTCAATATCTTGACAAGGTCATATATATTGTGACTTCTCCAAAGAAAGGGATAAATAATTAAAATATCGCTTACTAGATTCTGTAACTTTCCAATATAATCAATAAAACACTGTTTTCGCGTATGCTTGCAAAAGCATCAATGTTATATGATAAACAGAATCTTTCATTAGATTCCACTCATATGAGATTGTATTAAATTTTTCATAAATGTTCTTTATTACTTCACCAGAGGTTTCGTACATAAATCTCACGAAATTGAAACGTATGTGAAAATCCTATATAAACATCTATGACACTTACTTTGATAATTCACAAGATTATACTCTATCTATGTAACTTGATATCAACTTGGCTTGCCATGGGTATCATTTAGAATTGTGCAGCATATGTTGAATCACCTGACTATATTTGAGTCTCGTATGGTAACATTTAGCTGGTCCTTTTTAATTAGCTCATCTTTAAATCTTTACAATTTTGAAGTCAGCAATATGAGTGATATTGATACATAGCTCATTTACCTCGGCGATTGCCTTTGCATTATAACCCAACTTGACACTTTATTTCATTTTAAATTTTAAATCATTAATCACATTATTTACTGAACAAGTATATTTATGTTGCCGCCCCAAGGTGCCCGACACCGACACCTTCCATGCAGTAGCGTTCGAGCCCCTCATCTCTAATCGTCACGTCATGCATCATATGCTTTTGTTTGGATGTGACTTTGATGTGGAAGACACAGTAAGTCTAATTTATATATGAGGTAACTTCAGCAAAACTCAAGTTCAATATGATTTAGAAATAACACCATGTTTATACACAGACAGTTTGCTTTTGGCTTACTCTTTTTGCATTATTTCAAAATAAAAAATAAAAACAAAATACCAACAAGCCAATATAATCATAATTCGAACTCAAACTCTGCCAAAATATGAACAAAATGAAGATTTACACGGTGACTTCTGAAAAAGTATAAGGAGAATAAAACCACGTGTTCAAGAAGAGTAAGCGTCTTCTGCTTCATCGACGACATCCGCCATGTAAATCTTGGTCAATCCAATAAGAACAACGGAACCAACAGGCAAACTTACGAGCAACAAAAACGTCCAACAAATTAATTTCTTATCATTACGATGTACAAAATGCAAATAATGGATCCGATTATCGAAAATGAACATAAATACATCATAGGTAAGGAAAGCAGTCGTGTAATAATATACACATGAGTATGGAAAATGAGAAAATATGGAAATATCCCTGAGATGATGATGAAGAAAATGAAAAATACGCATATGTAAACGGAACTTACGATGCGTATCCTACAGCTTAGTGGATAGCTGTCTGTGTTAGTTGCGTTTTAAACGATCCGATGAACATCAGTCAATAGAGTTCTATAGCATTAAGTAGAAGTTAATGACTCGGAAATGTTAATTGTGTGAATTGATTCTAGTTTTTTAAAAGAATCTTTACAACTATGTTTAGGCACCCCATGAATGTTCGGCCGCCGATGGTCAGTGCTCGTCATGGCTGGCCCAGTGGACAATGGGAGTGGAAGGCAAGATATACACGCCAGAAAATGCGGGCGTCCGGTTTGGTAAACACAGTTACAGATATATGTCCTTACAGATCCACTGGAACAACGATCTGTCTGCTGCAAATTTCACAGGTACCTGAGAATGGTTATCACTCAAATAAAAAAATGTCAAAAAACTGAAGTTACCTTTCCGTACACTATACGCTGCTAGATTATAGAGATATATTTCACTTACTACTGTGTTTCATTGAAATATTTGTATTAGTTGTCATCATTTTTAGTAAAATCAGTCAGGTGTGAAATTCAAATATTGTCTCATAGAAATTCCTATACTGTACTCGATATTCGTTTAGTTGTTTTTTTATAAACGTTTATCTCAAACCCTCATGCAAAATCATCATTTGGTTTTAAATTGTATCGATTAAAGCCAAATGTGTCGAAAGAAGAAAAAGGAAATTGTTATTGGCATGTTCCAAGTCAGCACAACGCAATGTGATGTTACAAGACGGTATGGGTGTAGATAAAAGACGGTTTATTATTTATGGCAATGAATGTATCCACTTCAACATCCGAGCATCAAAGGAGCGGCCAACGACGAGTAATTATCACTCGTAAAGACTCTAATACTGCAGCATCACCCTAAGGATCGGGTTCTTTCTGCAATAGCAACAGCAAGGTCTTTACATGGACGACAGGCAGGCAGGCAGGCAGGCAGCCAGCCAGCCAGCCAGACTATCCGTAACAAACAAAGCGTCAACTAATATGTGCGAGGATGTCTTACACAGGCCCCCTTAGGCCTCTTAGGCGACACCATTGCACCAATTCCCTAGACTGAACTTGGCTTTTGCTTGATATACAATGACAGAAGGCAGAGAGTATGGAAACATCGGAAGGTACATTTCGCAGACTGCTGTGTAGCCTAGCGTGATAGATTTTGCGAGGGTAGTATGATGACCTGGGGTGACATATTCGGCGGAAATCGATTAAGAGGAGTCATTGTCATTGGCAATTTACATGCAATCCGTCGCCGTTCCGCTGGGTTCATTTTCAAGCATGATAATGCGACACCCGAAACCAGTCGCGTGACTAGGATGTTTCTAGAGCAGAACAATGTCGATGGTTTTAATGGTCTTTAACATTTCTCGATCTGAACCCAATAGAGCATATATGTGATGTTATTGAAAGACGAGTACGACGTCGGTCAAATCCGCCTTCCAACTTACAGGAACTGGCGCAGGCATTGAACGAGGAGTGGAACTCCATTTCGGCATTTCACACCATTCGATGCAATACATACTCTATGCTAGCCAATGATTGTCACATAAGTTACTAACACCGCCCTTAGGTACATGGTCACCAAATCGCTTGTACATCACATAAGACCAATGTACCATGACGAATTTCGGTCGGCATTTAAACGTCCATTAGCAGACATCTCGCTAAAAATTGTTTATCCTTGATTTACCATATTTCACTTGAATTTGACATAGCTGTCGCTAATACAAACTTTGATAACCTTCTTTTATTTGTGAAATATGCAATTGTTTAAAAAGAGCTGTCGCCACCTTGTAACATTTGGAACTTTAGTCATAGACAAAACAGAATTAGCCATCAATGAAAACAAGATATTTATTGCAAAAAGACAAGATTTCCCTGGCGACATCATAACAAAACATGAAAATTTAAAAATGACTTTATAATAATGCAAACACAATAGATATTCTTTTCAAATTATTAGATATATATTGAAATGTCTTCATCTGCCCTTTATAGATAACAGTGGGATGCGGATATTCTACACGACTAAATTACGTCAGTATGACGTAGGAAATGTTCAAATCGGACAACAATATCTAGAAATTCCGCCACACTCCATTCACAACGAGTCTGGAGGCTGTAGTGGTACATGTACTACAAGCATGCTTCCTCATCCAGTTTATTTGACAAGAACCTATATTCACATGCATTATCTCGGTAAGTGTACCTCACCAGGACTCAAAGCTTTACCCACGACTCTGCACATTGCTTTAACTTTAGTTTGTAATAGTGCCGATATTTGCGATTAAAACACTTTTTAATCTATGAATTTATAACCCCTTGAAAAAAATAAAGAAAATACCGATATTTCAATATTACAATTTGAACTCGAATTCGATGAAAAGAGGGCAAATGTACAAATAGAGTTAACTCCTTCAGCTTCAACTACGACACCTGGTATGTAAATTTTGTAAAGCATATACATCCCTTTAAGGCCTATTTTAAAGGGTTCGCTTAGAGAAAGTGTTGATGTTAAATTTTTTTTTATCTAGGCATTCGTGGTCTTTTGGAAATATATCGGGATGGCAAAGTCTCAAAGAGGGTGGCTTATGATGAGGAGTACGACTACAGAAACTCACCGATCCATGTCCATGATCCGCCAATCGAAGTCAAACCAGGTATATTGATGTATATGAACGGCATAAGAATTATCTTGTTGGTTTAAATCATCGTAGGTTACATGTTTGCCTAACTCTTCACGTCACCTGTTGTAGTACATCGCACGTGAATCTTTACACATACTGATTTTACAATGTTTACAAATTAGCTGTACATTTTTAAAAATGTGTGACCTGTAGCGGTAATCATATGTAAAATTGGTATTGTTTTGCAAGTATTATTTGTATTAGGAACTCGTATTAGAAAACAGGTTCAAACTGAAATATTGTGGTGCTTGTTTAATATGTTTGGCATGACTGATTCAATTTGCATTATTGAACCTGGTTTTAGAGGTATTCCATAGTGATATATATGTTATATATATAAGATTAATATCGCTAATCACGTGTAATATAATCTCAAGAAAATTAGACGAAGGAGCTCAATCTTCGGAATAACGTTTCAGTTGCTATGAAATGAGTTAACTATCCATTCGAATATTGTCACGGTTCCTAATAACCCGTAAAATTGATTTTTTGCATTAAACATATATATAAAACATAGTGTACCTTCCCTATCTATATTTTGACAGTCTTTTTTTATCCATTCCGATTTCCTTCAGTTGCTTCCTGGGTTTCAAAGTCTTTGCTCTAAGCATGATTGACATGACGCAATTTGATTCATTGTCGGGTGTTTTTGTATCTAATTAAACCCTTCTATTTAAAGGTGCTTTTCACTTGCTTGTCTTTGTATTATCCTTGAATTCAGTAGACTGTACACAATATAGTAAATAGAAAGACAGTATTCTCCAGAGATGATGAAGTGAATTACGCAAAATCGAAATCAACGGATGTCAAAATACAAAAATACGACTAGATCCTTTATTTCACCCTAAAGGACGAAAATTACTATAATAAATCATTGATGAGACTTGTACATATACTTTGTCTTTAAACAGGTGACGAGATTCGCCTTACCTGCACGTTTGACTCGCTCACGGGAGCCAGACAGAGAAATCACTCTCTGTACTTCGGAGAAGGATCCGATGTAAGATCGTAGCTGTTGATATTATTTATATCTTTTTGTTTTCACTCGTCAAAGATCAATCAAGTGTGACCCTTGCCAATTTAACTTTATTCAGACGGTTTTTCAAGGATAATAATGCATGTATTTTTTCAATCAATTAAAACAGTCGGATGACCAAAAAAAAAAAAAAAAAAAAACCCTGAAAACCTTATGCAAATGTTAACAAGGACAAAAAAAATTATAGGTCAGAATATGACAAAAGAATGATCCAAGGAAACTACTCAAAAAAAGTACAAGGAGACCATTGCATGTATTCATAAAACCAATCTCATGCTTTAAATAAACTGAAATCGGGAGATAGCAACCTGGTCGATTATTGGAAATAATATCTCGCTTTCTTTCTGAAATTTATCCAAACCATAGTAAAAGCATTAATTCAGATGTCAGATATCACCAAAAAGATTTGATTCTGTATACTAAACGGTGAAGTTGAACATGAGTATATTTTCACAAATACGAGCACATGTGTTCCGAAAGGGTAAGCGTCTTCTGATCGCTGAAATTGTAATAGGTCTGTAATAACAATAGCAAATATTTAAGGAAGTGCGGAGTCCTTATATTGAAAAGAACATTATTTGCAATTAAATATTATTTTAAAACTGATCATCAATATACATTGTCATTGTACATATTGTGGATATTTAACATTTGTTTGAAATGTATATACATGTGCTGATCATTTTTCAGAAATTTGTAAAATATTCAAAATTAGTGATATTAAGATTTGTCTACATTATCTAGAGAAAGTGAATGTGATTTCAGTAGGATATCTCAATGTTCCATCACCTGTATGTTGTATCTTCAGCTGGGATGACTATAGAATCAATATCGTGATGTTTACTAAATAATGGGTATGAATTAAGAATTTTGTTAATAAGTAAACATTTTCTTTATGTTTTTATCAATCTCGCGTTACACTGAACAAATGCGATTCTCAGCTGAGCTTTAAAATCTGAAATTCTTGTTGGGGTCAGAGTTCTTTGTGCTCCTATTACAAACCATTTCTTGGACACTTGGATTTGTTGTAAACAGAACCGACGTAAATGCAAATGCATGACAGTATAACTGGGAATGGATTAGATCGTGATAAACTAAACTAAATGAAAAAACCCGTAAAACTGTCCCTTTTATAAATCCTTAGCAAGTATGTACAAGTAAAGAAATGAAGATGTATTTGTTTAATTATGGTTTACTGCCAACCTTTACATTCGGTTAATGTCATTTTCACTTGTCTTGTAATACTGTTAGTAACGTGAGTATTACTATCTTTTGCGAGGTAAACAGCCACGTCGCGTTCGAACTAGTGAACCAGCGGATCATTCGAATAGAGATTTTGTTTCATTCAATATTCTGTGCTTTAGCCGTCTCCTGCAAGTGTGATTCTGATTTTCTTTCATGCGTCGCCAGGAACGTCAAAAACACGTTCAATCGGTGACAAATCGGGCGATTTCGAATGCCAGTCTAGCACATCATTCTGGTACAGGAAAGCTCTGCTGATACGACGGGTGCCCTGGTAAATCAGACTTTCTCGTTTGAATGATTTTGGCAACCACTTCGTCACGTTGCTATCGTCTTGTATTGCAAAATTGTCATTTTGTTTTCACTGAATTAAAGGTATTCGCCTAGAAAACATGAAAACCTCTCCCCGCCCACCCTCCGGGTTTATATCGTGACGAGATAAACGACTCACTGGCTGTATGGTGATCCTCTAACTCGTTTACTTAAATAGCGGACACACGAATCTGTGGATAAAGAGAAACAGTGAAAGCGCTACGAATATGAATGATTTCCAGAGAGTTTGACGGGGCGATGGTATAAAGGGTTTTAATAGTCTTTTTACATTATACACAGGCGGAGATGTGCTATGCCTTTGTGACATACTTCCCAAACGTTCAGTACTTTGACCAATGCCTGCAGATCGACCAATATGATATCAATTGCATAGATCCAGAACGTAGGTTCACTTCATTCGTTATTTTGTGTTTCGGGCTGATTGAAAGGCTAAACGGTTCTTCATAACCGCTGGGTGTATCTTTTTCTAAAATTTCGTATATATACATTTCCCTTGGTACCTAGTTGCTGACAGACAACCAATATTGATTTGACAGTTAAAGATAATTGCTATTTCTTCAAGAGAAATCTCAACTTTCATATAGTTAAGGATAAAGAGAAAAAAGAAGGCAAAATATTGTAGTTCCTGACAATAATACACACACATATTGATTATTTCTGAGACAATTACTACAATGTTGATAAAAAACAGTTTAATATCATGAAGGGCCTTTCATGGGAGGTTGTAATCTTGGAAAATTCCAACAAGACTTGCAGTCACATATTTTGGAAGACATCCAAACCAACTGTACATCGACCCTGTCACCATGTATACCAGAATGTAGAACATCAGTCACTCAACTTCTGGACCAGCCATGCCTTCAGGTCAGTACTCGCATACTGTTGGTAAATACAGATAAAGGAACAACGTCCACACTGTACATTTACCATGATGAATCCCACTGACAACTCATTTCCTCTCTGCTTTGTCTTGCTTGTTAACACAGTAAAGAAGAATTATGTATACTTTAGTATTCCTGTTTGCATTTATCCTTATTTTGATGTGAAATAAGATGGCGGTTGTGGCGGAGTGGTGAAAGCATCTGTCCGTCTACATCACTAGCCCTCCACCTCTGGGTTGTGAGGTTTAGCCTCTATGGGGAGGTTGCCAGTTACTGGCCGCAGGTCGGTAGATTTCCCAGAGAACACTTGTGGGGTTCAGGTCTCTGTGGGGAGATCGGTAGTTTTCCCAGGGAACACTTGTGGGGTTCAAGTCTCTGTGGGGAGGTCGCCAGGTACATGCCACAGGTCGGTAATTTTCCCAGGGAACACTTGTGGGTTTGAGGCCTCTGTGTTGAGGTCGCTGATTGGTAGTTATCCAAGGGAACACTGTTGGATTTTAGGTCTCTGTGGGGAGGTCTCCAGGTACTGGCCGCAGGTCGGTAGATTTCCCAGGGAACACTTGTGGGATTTTAGGTCTCTGTGGGGAGGTCGCCAGGCACTGGCCGCAGGTTGGTAGTTATCCCAGGGAACACTTGTGGGTTTTAGGTCTCTGTGGGGAGGTCGCCAGACACTGGCCGCAGGTCGGTGGTTTTCTCACTGGAACACCGGCTTTCCTACACCATCCAAACCTGGTACGTCCTTAAATGCCCCTGGCTGTTGATAGGACTAAAGCAACACTAATCAAGTTGATATGGAATAAGATACTTAAGTCATGCTTATCATTATTTTAATGGAAGTTTTAATAATTGAGCCTTTGCAATAATATATATATATATATATTTAAAAGTCCAAGTTTTCGTTCGCTTTTGCAGGGTCGTCTTGGCTCCTACACCAACAGAACAATCTTGTCACAAATGGCAGCATGGAATGACACTACACATATTTTGAACCATTTCATCAAAACCTGTGATTGATATCTAGTAAAATAATCAATATGATATACATTTGTTGTATGTTTGTAAATGTTAGTATTCCGTAAATCTGCATGTCACATTTTAATTAGCATGTCTACTTGGCTGTTAATCAGGGTACACGAGATATGGTTGCCTTCTAGCTTCACACTAAAGAAAAAATCCCTATAGCTTGATGGTAGAGTGGTGTTAACCAGTGGTACCAGATTCAATTCCTGCCCCAGGCAAAATACTCCTTTCTGCCATAGACCACTCTGACTGTAATCCACTGAAAAACGTGAAGAAAACACCAACATGGCAACATGATCATAATTCAAATAGGAGATTGAATGGTTTTGTTAGAGTCAGACACCTTTGATTAATAAGGTTTCGGAGGAGGGGGAGAAACAGGGAGTAGTGTAGGGAGTATCGTAAGAAAAACAAAGTTGTGAATAGCACCTTTCAATAGAAATTTAGAATTAGAAAATAATGAACAAAACCACACCAAAAAACTGTTTTAGGGCCAAAATCAGTGAAACCAAGATGGTAACTGAAGAAAATCCCAGTTGGACTCCATGAATCACTAAATAGATATTGAGGTGCACAAATCTCAAAATTCAAACAAATTTCCTAATTTTCAATTTGAATTTGATTATACAGAACACCATGTATTCTTTACTGTTCCTTTATTCAGATGAATCAAAATGTGGCATGAAGATTACAATGAACTTCAGGGGCTAAAGACAATACAGCACTGTCTACTAGCCTGCAATCTACAAGACTGTACAAAATCTTACACAAAGGTTTCTGAAATACAATGTAATACAGATAAGTATATGTTTTCCAAATGTTGACAAAGCTTCCTCACAATGTTAAAAAAAATACAGACAGGCTTTGGGCCATATACACCTGTAAAATGTTCTAAAAAAAATTAGGCTTGTTGGATAATCAAATAAAACCAAGTTGACACATTATCCATTTTTTCTCTAGAAAAATTTGGACCAATAATGCTTTGATATTACATCACAATCTTCTGGCTAAGGATATGAGTCTATCTGGTTCCTATGTCCAGAGAATCGGTTATCATACTACTACTAGCTTGTAACTTTCTAATTAGGGTAACAATCTTTTTTTAATACTGTATGCATTCTTAAGAAGTAGAATGAAAGAAATGTGGGTTTTGGAAAAATCAAAACTGATCGAAAGAAATGTCTAGAAAATCTGGATAAGAGGGATCAATAGCCCCATAATTCAGTAATTTTTTTTCAGTTCTATATATTTATAATGTATGTATTATATATATAAAAATAATAGTATGTCAAGAACATGTGTATATTTTTTTTAACTATGGCACTACTCTAGATAATTCAAAGGTGGTAAACGTCACAGTCTAAAAATGAGCTAGCAGTGTCTATCACCTGTAATCTGGAAGATGAGGAATTTTTGACCAACATCCACTTCTGTGCATCAGTATCAATGATTTTCCTCCACAGTACACTACAATGTCCCATTCCATTTTAAAGAATATCTTTGATTATCAGAGGTACATGTAGATGATTGTGAACTATAAAATTGTCTGGTTGACAATAAATAAATGTTCATTTTGAAGTTTTTGAGACAAGATCTAATGACATACGTGTAGGGACTTCACTCTTCCCTGTCTTAGCCAACATGTCCTGATTTACACACAAGATTGAACTATTATACAACTGAAAAGTTAAAGACACTGCCAAAACCTTTAATTTAAAGTATGATGAATTTCCAGATAACAACCGTGTTGCAATTAATCTTCTAGTAACTTTCTAAATATAAGCCAAGATTCCCATGATATTTGTCAACAAATGACTAAAAAAATAACGAAAGTTTGAAAAGAGGCAAATTAAAAACACAGAAAACTTCTACGATCTACACATATTCCATTTCCTTGTTCCTTGTTGGTATGTTTGGTGGTTTACTGGAATGTCACTTCTTAAAACTGGCTCTAATTTTGAAAATGTGACAGTATCTCAATTTCTATAATTTTACAATGCAGGTGTTGCAATGAAGCATAAGACATGTATGCTAAACTTTTAAGAATGCTTTGTAAATGTTGCCTGGTCATACTTTTCCTTGTTTCATTCATTTTAAGTGATATGTTGATTTTGTTTGTTGATTTTAATTTGAGGTATGATTTTGCTTCTGACCGTGCCAATGTTACAAGAAATATAGGAAATCTGCCTCTGTTGACAATTAGGTCAAAATGTACGCAGCTGTTCTCTAGCAGGAGTTAAAATTGACAATGGTAGAGCACCATGTAGAAGACCAGACTATCTTGTAAATAGGCAAACTATGAAGAATAATCTCTACTTTCTCTAACTACTTTATTTCTTTAACATAGTCCTCACATATTCATGTTTTGACATGTACGCCAAAAAAAAACAAAAAAAAACACAAGGCCCACAGGGCCTGTATCTCTCTCACCTGATTTAGTTCACTGCTTCATCTAAACTAAATGAAAAGCATCTACAAGATATATCATACCCATTTTCCTCTTGAGTCTATATACTGGTAATTCAAAACTAATATTCCCCTGCATTCATGAAAACTTGGAAACAAATTTGGACCCCTCTGCCAAATGGACTCTGATGTATCATTTATACAAGCTCCCTTCATTCATGGATGCTTCAAACCAAATGACAAAATTAAATCATTCTTAGAGAACAAGAAATGTTTAATGAATCTTCTGTAATTGCCTTATTGTATTCTGCCCGACCTGCCTCAGGGGGCCTAATACCCACAGTTTATCCAAAATAGATGCCTCTTCACCCTTTGATGCTTCAAACTAAATTGGGATAAATGCTTACATACCTACAGTAGAAAGAAACTGGAGAATTTGCTCCATATCCCATACAGAACCCACCGGTCAAGCCCAGAGACCTACCATTTATACAAAACTGATTTCCCTTTATCCATGGAAACTGCCGACCACATTCCAGCAAAATCCAATTACAATAAATAATGGAGGGATAGGATTTAAAATAATTTACGAAAATTTCCTCTCTTAGGCCCCACCTCCATTACCCAATGGGGAGAGACTCAACATGTATATGAGATTAAGTCAGTTATGCCAAGCATGCTTCAGACCAAATTTGGATGAAAGCCAATAATTCCTACATGACTTGCTACAATTCCCCTCTTGGGCCCTGCCCCTCCTGCTCCAGGGGGCTGAAACCTAATGTTTAAACAAGATTGATTCCCCATCATCAAAGAATTCATCAGACTAATCTTGCACAAATTTCAAACAGGAGTAGTAGAATTTTGAAGAATTTGTTTTATAGCCTCTTTCCGGCCCTAGGATGTTGAGACCTACCATTTACACAAAATTCAATCCTCATCATTGAAGGATGCCTCTGATCAAATTTGGGCAAAAACTTATCATTTCTTCAGGAGTAGGATTTTAAAGAATTTATTTACCCTATAAACACATGTCCCTCAGGCCTGTGGGGAGCCTAGACTCACTGTTTATGCAAAACAACTTCCACTTCCTCTAAGGATACTTCAGACCAAATTAGGTCCAAACCAGCTTCAACTTTTATGACTAGTAGTAATCTATAGGAAAAGTGGACAAATCTATGAGGCCCTGCCCCTCTGGCCCCAAGGGGATCAGACCCACAGTTCATACAATACTGATTTCCCTTCAGCCAACCATACTTAAGGTCTAATTAGTGAAAATCCAGTCAGTTCATGACTAATAGTGATTTATAGAAAATAATTAACAAATGAGACGATTGACTGATGACAGGTGCCATGGTATCCCTATACCTCGACTTTGGGCCAAGAGAGCTACAAAAAATATGCCCAATTCTACTTACAATACAACTCAATATAAAATCAAGCAAATACAATTTTAATTTTCTGTATATTTTTTCAACTACACAATGCACCATGGAATCCTTGAAATTCTTATAGAGGGATTTTTAGACTAGTAAAGTCTTAAATTTACATATTGTTTGTTTGGCATTGACCTACCAGCTGAAAAATATACCCCCAACTCAAACACACAAAACCCTGACTCAAATAATCCATTTATATATATAAGCTAGGGTCTTCAAATCTTGTATATTAGTGTTTTCTACTCCAATGTCATATTAACACTTGATACTTACTTTCCCTCACTAAAACAAATGAATGACTTTTTACAGGCGCTTTTTTTCTGCAATCAAATAAAATATTTTCCCTACCTGTTGACACAAGTCTTCAAGAATTAGTCAATGTCAGACAGAGTTTTAAAACATGAAAGTAATTTAACGACTTTCATGCATCCTCCCATCAATGTAGCTAAAAAAAGACTGATTCATAAAAATAGACAAAAGATGTGTTGATTATAAATCTGAGTGAGTTGGGAAAACTGGCATTATAGTACAGCAAATTCCAATACCTTTATCAACAACAAAATATCCAAAGTTTAAAGAACTGATATTTCGTCAAAGTAAACATAGAGTGCATTATCACTCATCAATCAGAGTAGATAGGAAGTCCCTTATTTCATCAAATGTCATCCTTTCCACATTGAATATGGCTAGTTTCATCTTCTGCCACTGTTGCTGTAATTGTTGTGGTGTTCCAGCCTCTGGTATTCTCTCGAGCATGGCTTCCCAGTCAATATCTTTTTCTGTTTCGACATTTAAATTACATAATTCAGCAATAAACTTGACCTTGTCAACTTGCTGCACACGTTTGCCGCCCTGAACCAACAATGGCCGAAGCTGGTACACCCAATGACTACGACACTGCTTTCCATTCCGATTCGGCATCCTCTTGCCAATTTTTGCCCAGGGCATGTTGAAATGGGGAAGACTAAGCAGGTCATCTGTCTCCATCTCTTCTGAGATTATTTGAAGTAAAAGATTAGTCTGTAAATGGAATCAAAATAATAAAAAATTAGTGTGTAAAGGCTCACAGAGATACATCTCCGACTCCTGGATCAGGGAATAAGTGGCCATTGTTGTCATGCAATATTTACTCTAAATCTGTTAAGGGGGTCTGGTTTAAAAGTTTTCTATTTTGAAATTGGTAAAAAATTATTTTGGACCTTTAACGTTGCATTAACCAATGGCCACCAAAATCTAATCTCAGGCAGACTTTGGTGGCAATGCCAGGGTGTGCAAGGATTTGAATGACTAAATATGTTCAGCAGTTATTTTGTATAAAAGCTTTTTATTTCCAATGTAATCAAGGGTGAACTTTGACCTTTAACCTTGATGGCAAAAACATATGAAGACAAGAGGCCCATAGGGCCTGTATCGCTCACCTGGCTTGGCTGAATTGCTTCATTAAAACTGATTGAAAAAGTAATTCTAAATATCCAAGCATCTAACACTAAACTGATCTATTTTGCTATTAGACCCCAATCCCCTCTCCATAGGGGGTCAGACAAATCCTATTTCCAATATTGGGCCTAACCCCTCCCACCCAAGGGGATCAAGAGCCATCCCTTACAACAAATTGATTACTCTTTACCCAAGAATGCTTCAGACCAAATTCAGGCATGATGGATGCTACTGTATGCCAATAGCTCACATGTTCTTTTGGGTCAGGTGAGCTAAAAATGATGACAGTTATAAAGATGAAAGAGCAATTATTGCTTTATTCTGAAATGTCAGGCCTATAAATGGTGGCGGATGAGAACCGCAACGTCACAAGAACAATTATATGCAGGACTGCAAGGGTTCACTTCAGCTCTAATACACATCATGTTGTACACTTAATGCTGAAGCATGGTGCTCCTAAACCTTAAATAATAAATATTGACCATGTGCTAGGAGTGGGTGGCTTAAAGCCAATGAAGTCTATCCAACAACAAGAGGCTCAATGGGCCTGCATCATTAACCTGATATTCAATGTTTGTCAAAATTAAAATTAGTGTTTATCACAAATACATTAACAAGTACACCATTGGCATTTAAAGTGGGCACATCCCATCTATTTCAAACAATTTTTACCACCAACAGCTTCTAATATTCAACTCTTTAACAGTCACAGGTATGACCTGGACTATAGGTAAATGTCGTTTCGTTTTTTCTTGCAAATTTCAATCAAATATCTAGCTTCTTTAACTTTCGGTTTACCAAGGGAAGTCGTTTACTGGTTTTGACAATTTGACCCCTCTGACCTTTCATATGGTTCGAGGTTATTTCTGTTTTGCAAACTTCGACAGGTTCATCTCGGAGACCTATCAGAATGTCATAGCATAAGCTCATTGGGTCTTTGAACTAGATGAGCTAAAAATCAAGGTGAAATTACAGGAGAGTATCTTACTGCAGACAGTTTTCAGTCATCAAAGATACATCTTTTACTCTGCAATAATTATTATAAAGCCTATGGGGGCAAACTATAAATATTCACTCAAAGACACTGAAATGATTCAAAAGATATACTTAGTGTTTGTTGATACAAAATACCCAGGAATGGGAATTTTGTCAAAAAGTTATTTATATAAGGGTGAGATATTATAAAACTGTTGCATAGATATAATAACATTAAAACAATGTCATCAAAATTACCTCCTCTTCTGTCCAAGTTCCCTTCTTCCTTTTACCATCTTTAATGATCTGATAATGGTCCATCACACTGTTTCTTGACCGGTTCATTTCATAACCAATCACCGACCACCGATTTCCATGTAGTTTATGAAGACTGAGCAATGTTTCTTCTTCTTCAGGACTGAAGGGTCCAGTTTTCCAATTTGGTAATATCTTTCTGGCGCGGTCCACTATACTTTCAGGTGACCTAGAAAGAACACAAACACTTTCATATATTTGAGTAAAGAACTAGCATAAAAAACAGCTTAAGTAACAAAGACACACTTCTGGCCCAAAATGTTGGCATGAATGTTTTCAAGATAATTTGAACAGTAAACTCAACATGGCCAAATTAATTAAAACAGTCCAATTAACATCAATTAACTGAAGATAATTATAAAAAATCGGAAATTTTTGTTTGTATGGTAATACGCCTGTATATAAATCATCCTCAACACCCCAAGAGCCATGATAACTCTCTCTGTTCACCCCTGGAACATGTCATGACAAAATTGAAGTTTCCACCTGGGAAACCCTGTTGACAAGACAAAAAGACAAGTTTGATACTTTGATGTACATGAAACAATCTCTGGGTTGCATAAAAGTATATTGTGATGGCTTTGAAGTTGGGTGTCACTCCTCTGTAATCTTCAAAAGGAGGGTATCAATCTGTGTTCAGTTTTTTTCTCCTGGAACCAATCAAACTGGAACACTTATAGGTCAGCAAAGGCCTGTTATGTGGCTGGAAATACCCCACCTTCTCCAACCCACCCTTAGACATACACATCCAGACTAACAGATTACTGGCACGATCTTAAGTACACTCTGTCACAAAAGTTAAAAAGGATGGGGGGGGGGGGGGGGGGGGGGGGGGGGGAAACCCAACAACATACTAAAAAATACATTCAACAATCAGATTTTTTAATCTATAATAACAGTGACCTTGACCTTAGAACTTTGGATATAAAAAAACAATATCCCAAGCAAGCACTTTTGGTAAGGAAGCATTGTATGAACTTTGATTTAGATTGAGCAAAGCAAACCCCCAAGTTATCACAGAAACTGATTTTAACTTATAATTACAGTGACCTTTGAACCTGAATGGCAATCTACCTCAAAGAAGCACTTCTGGTTAAGAAGCATTGCATCAAGTTTGAGTTAAATTGGCTACAGCAAACTTGAGTTATTCCATAAAATGGATTTTCCTTTATAGCGACAATAACCTCAACCTTTGACTTCTGGGTATGAAAAGTAATCCCTACCAGGCCCAAGGGAACCCAAGTTATACCATAGAAACCGAGTTTCTAATTAGACTAAAAGTAATCTGGACCATTGACCCTGGGACCTGAAAAGCAATCCAAAGCAAGCCATATTTGTAAGGAAGCATTCTATGAGGTTTAATTTGATTGGCCAAAACAAACTTGATTTATCGCATGGAAACTTTTTTTTTTCTTTTCATAGCAACAATGACCCTGACCTTTAACTTTCAAAACTGGAAAGCAACCCCAAGCAAACACTTTTAGTTAAGAAGTACTGTATGGAGTTTGGGTTAGACTGGCCAAAGCAAACTCTAGTTTTCACATGGAAACTGGTTTTCTATTTACAGCCAGTGACCTTGACCTTTAACCTTGGGAGATAAAAAGGTACATACCTGAAGCAAGCACTTCCTTCAAGGAGGCTAGGCATAAAGTATGAGCACTGTTGGCGCAACAGAATTAGAGATATTGTACAGAAACAAAAAACTGATAGACAGATTGACAAGCTGATTATTATAGGGCACCAACATCTCAATAGGGGGCCCCAATTACTTTGCATGTGCCTTCAATTTTGTCAAAACATGTACCAGGGGTGCAGAGAGCGAAAGTGATTGTAACCCCTGGAGTATTGAGGATGTATATAAATGTATGTATATTCAAGTTTTCCAGTGACAGCTTAAATACTTTTGAGAGAAATTGAGCTCAATGAAGCATGAAGTGTAGAGCTAGACACAAACTTTGCACAATCAAAAACAAAACCCAATTAATTGTCTTATATGTGTGGAAATCTTAATTAAAGACAAGCACCAAGATGCTGTTGCTTGTTAAGTCTAACAGTTTGGTGATGATAGCACTTATAGGTTAGTTAGATTATACGGAATTTAACACTATCAGCAGAAATGTTACACCTTTGAGACACTCTGTGACTGTCACAGGAGAGGCAATAAAATTACAACATGTACTGCATACTCACCCAGAACTCTGGATAAGCAATGTTGCCATTAGAAAATTAAATACACAAAAAGAGTATGCATATGCCTAAAGGAAATCACTTAGTCTTAAAGGATAAAAATATTTCTGATATTCCTAGTGTACAAACACACCTTCTAAGTCTACCAGCAAGTCGAATATAGAAATCACTGTGTTTACAAAACATCTTCACTCTGTCTCGTTCTTCCTTTGAAGATGCCAAATAGTTTATAAATAGTATCTGTAGAAGAAAGCCATTATCCATGTCCAATGGATACTCATTCTTAATGTTTTCAAAGTTTTCCATTAACATGTCATCTTCCTGTTGTACCCATTTCCCAGTACGAATCTTTATTCCCATCAGTCTAAAATTCTCCATGTCACTTAGTGTACTTGAAATTTTCCCCGTATGCACAATAGCTGCTTCTTCATCAGTCAAAGTTAATGAACTTGTTAAATTTTTCATTGATGGTCTACTTTCTTCCCAATCTCTCACCAACTGTTCTTCGAAACTTTGGGAGTAAGAGCCTCCTTCTATGGAAAGAAAAAACAAAACAAATAACAACAGAGTATATCACATTTATGTAACAAGTGAAATGTAATTTATTCTTGTATACAAAACATAGGTATCTAGACCATATTTAACTTTTTTTCTGCCTTGTCTCTATAATTTTAAAACTATTTTTTCCAGCTATTATCCCATCTCAGGTCCATTTCACTACAGCTGTTATAAGACACAGGAAATCACAAATCTATTCCTTGCATGCCATTATGTATCCAGGTAATAGACAAAGGATAAACTTTTCTCTTACCCAGGACAGGTAAGACTTAAAGAGGAGATTCTCTTGTCTCACCCTGGGGTTGAGACAAGCTACACAAGTTCTTTGCATATTCTGGAAACAATTTAAGTAACATTACTAATGTGAGCTGGACGTGGAACTACTTTTATGAGGTCACATACACTAATTCATCTGCTACTGAAATCTTGTTTCATCATCAAAACTCAAACTCCTGTGTTATCATCCAGATGACTTTAAGATTGAAATCGTGTTAATGTACAACTGATTATTAAAAGTATCAACAGTACAATTTTTTTATGATTTACACATGAGTTTTATTTTGTGTAAGATTAAATCACAATGTGTGAAGTGTCTGAGGTGTGGGCCTTGTCACTATTCATACCCCATCCACATGTTTTTCTTTACATCAACACACTTCGTCTTAATGTCAGACAAGGAAAACAAGATATGAGAAAAATAATGATTCACCCCCTTTAAGGTCAGATAGAGGGAATATTGTTAAATTGTCGTGTTTGACAGCTTTACAATCTTCCCCTGAGGGTTGAAATCCCAGTATCTCACCCTAAAGGGGGTGAATGATTCTATTAACCAATTGTATCAACTATCATTTGGTAGGCTGCCTCTATCGCCTTTGCATATACATAACAACATGCGTACAGTTACTGTATTATAATGTAATAATAAGCCTTAGTATGTCATAAGATTAAGTTTGTTTCCAGTACAAAAAAACTCTTCTACACATGATTTATTCAACCATTGTTCATGGTGGACAAACGTTGAAATATTTATAGAAAAAATAAAGTCTGTAGTAGTGAAGGTTAAATTTAATAAATCATTTGAATATTTTGTGGACACTATCCATGTTCTATTTATAGCATCTATTGTACATCTATTTTTAACCTAATTAACCACCTCATCTACACTTTAAGCTCAATAATTTACATATCTAATGTACAAACATGTATTAGATGTGGACATGATGATCACTTATGGTATAGCTCTATACTGAATATACACATGCATCATATCTTTTAACTGAAACATTTTCCCAACTCCTTATTGATGGTCTACTTACCATTTCTAATTTTACATGAACTTGAAGAATGCTTTAATTCCTTAACTCAAATACTTACTCTGCTTTTGACTAAGACTGTTATCAGCAGGAAAACTCTCATCCTCAACGTCTAAGTCCTTTTTCTTCTTCTTTTTCTCCTTTCTTTTTTTCTTATCTTTTATTTGAGTGAAATCATCACAGTGTTTCACATGACTTTTCTTAGCTTTCTTTGTATAGACTCCTACATTGTAGTTATTTCCACTTGATGAGCTTGCAACTTCATCAACTTGGTCTCCATCCAGGTGGTTTGTTTTTCTTTTTCTTGTGGATGCCATTCTGTTGTCCGTCATTTAAACGATTAAGTGAACAGATTGATGAAAATTGATCTAAAACATTATAAACAAGTAAATATTTGAATTATATCTTCACAGTTCACTTTAAATATCACTATAATCCATTTGTCAGTGCTATAACATATATTTCATCAATTTAATATTTATGACTTCAATAATTGATCAAGTTCAAGAAATCATGACAAATTATTCTCAAAGTATAAATATATATATATATATATAGAGAGAGAGAGAGAGAGAGAGAGATTACAAAACCTTATGCTACGCATATATATTAAAATAACTTAAAACAACATGTCGAATTAAGCAATAGTGCTTTCATTTTTTAATCTTCATGATATTTAATAATTGCCTAGAAATATTTCAACGAACACTGCCAATTTAACCTTTATATGTAGATATATATGTTAATTAACTTCAAACACCATGTCGAACATCTGACACCTTCAGATCAACATACATTACTATATAGAGATGCATTGTGTTTATTGATATTTGAACATGATAACATTCATATTTGACAGGTTCTGAAAGTTCCTGAATTCAAGAAGATGCATATATTTGATTAAAGAAATTCTCTCTCAAAAAAATTGACACATTGGTGTACTGTTAAGTCATAAAGTATTTTCAAGAATAACCAGACAAAAAGGAATCTTCTTATCTACTGCTGATAAGGATTATCAACACGTATTAATTACATATTGAATTACATTAATTTTCATACCATCCATACAATTTATCAGGTGGTTTTGTACTAAAAAGTATAATGCAGTATCACTGTTATCATACATCAATGGTTATTAACCTATGTGGATTATCTAATGATTAATTCATAATTGCTTTTCAACATTGCATACTGTCAACAATAAATAAGTAAACAACAATAAAATTTGAAATTCCAATCAAGAAAGAAAATGGAAATCTTATCTTTATTTACCAGTAAGAAAATTGTCTTCTGGTGTAAAAACAACTTAGTACCAAAATGATTGATGCGAAAATGATTGAGTATGAAAATGCCTTGACTAAATAAAATCATGGCGTCCAAAACACAAACAGGTAAGTAACATTGTCTGAAGGGTTCCGACTATCCATGATTTCATTCTTATCTTTGTTAACCATGTCCAAGGCAAAAAATATCACGAACAGGTAGTAAAAACCCTTCAGTCTATCTGGGTTGGGTCAGTCAGAAATATTTAACCTGTATTGAAGTACATATCAGTACCGGCATTTAGGTAATACAATATGTTTACCAAATTATTATTGAGGGACATGCTTATGATTCTACTGTAGCTACCCATTGACTGTGTAGTTGAGGTCAGGTTAACTTACTTTAGTAGAATGTCCAGCTATAGAGACTGAAGGGTTGCAAGTTCACACCCTTGGGCCTTGGCAGTGTGTTGCAATACTCCTTAACTTCCTATTACAGATTTGGTGTTATTGACGACTCAAAGGGTAGAAGCCATAAGAGAATGAACATTTTCCTTGGTGATAATGAACCTGGGTTGTTTGTATTTGAGTCAAAAACTTTGAAAAGGAGGGAGTGGCCTTACCAGTCTCGGTCAGTGGGAATTTCGCTTTAGTCGAGTGATAGTGTCAGGTTAAACTCAAAGGGATGCGTGTTTTTCATTACCCTTTCCTCCTACTGCTGTAACGTTTTCCCCAAAAAAATATGGTAAATAATTTACACTTATTAACAGTTATCTACGTCCCTGATAACATGTTTAATTCTCGACGATTAAAGGTTTCTCGTGTAACTTAATCTCGAAAACTTTCTGGACAGGTTTACACGTGTAATCTAAAACATCTAAATGTTTAATTCAGGAATTCTCAATAGTAACAACATGTGTCAAATGAATGATATTGAGTATTATGAAACAAAATGAAACGTGTTCTTACCCTGTTAACGTTCTGATTTGCGCGCAAATGTTTTTAAATCGTGGAGTTAATCACATTGGACGAGTCCCGAGTGCGATAGCGTATATCCGAATGAACTCTCGCGAGAACTTGTTGCTACAGGCATGGCGGATTGTATACAAATGGAGTCTTAACGCGTTGTTGGTATTTCAGTAAATGAGAAACTGTCTATCTTTAGTTCAACTGCATGTAAGTTTGCTTCAGCAGTCGAATCCAATTGAAGCGAAATATTGAACCGTCAAATAATTACTTTATTTTTGTTTATCCATCTACGTTAGGCAAGCTACAGAGCCTGACCAGAAATTGAATCGCGGATGTCATTTCTGTTATGATTATATCTAAATGGCAGTTTTAACATTCGTGATATTGTTTTGAATATAAAATGCAGTTCGGCAAGAGTGAAAAAGACTAACGAAGCGAGCCGCTTTTAAATTTCTGTACCGACCCAAAAAAAAAGCTTACACACTATGTATATAAGACATTGACCATGAATTCTATTTATCCTGCAACCTGTGTTGAAACTGACAGATTGTTGTTTATGCTTTGTTTACCTGACATTCATGTTATACTGAATTAAACCTGATGCTGTACGCCAAAACAATTCCTCATCTCATTATGAAAATAAAGAAGAGCTTATTTAAACATTCTACTGCAGTATGATTTTTCCAAACAGATAATCTTCCTTATTTTTCTATAGGTTTATGCAAATCATATTGGATCATCTTTGATATTAATGAATGATTCAGTATACACCACTATATCGATAATTTATCTTATGATTTATTCTGCTTTTTCTTTAGAACTTTTGAGGTATAAAGATGGAAGATCAGAACTATGGTGAGATGTATGGGGGAGAGGAATACATGGGGGTGATGGCAGGTGATGACTTTGACGATAATGGTATAATTGACTGTGATGACGGAGATGATGACGATGGAATGCTGGACCTGGGATCAGAGGAAGAAGAATCAGTAATAGAGTAAGTTTCTCAGATTTTTTTTTGGTTTTATATTAAGTATATCTGTTCACCACATGCAAGTCAAGAGTTCAGAGCATTTTTTAACCTCAGATTAAAGTATTCATTGGAATTCCTACATGCAACAGGCTTCAGTATAGAGATGCCAAACCTTCTCAGTCTTTCTGGACATTTTCAGTTGAATATATATATATATATATATAAAATAAAGAAGAAAGAACCTTTTTATTGGTGAAAATAGTGCTAGCATGATAAAACTCACTTTCCAATGCAGAGAGCCGACTGTGTCTGTGCCCCAGGTAGACACAATATCTAAACAAGAACAGCTTCGCATGATTCATCTGAGGAGTCATCTTAATCAGCTTACAGAAACAGTGAAGCACCATCGATATCTCACAGAGAAAACCAGGTACATGTGTACTAGTATCTTCATCAGGTTTGATATATTTTCTGCCACACCAACAATATCTTTCAGGGAGAATCAGGCAAATATTTTGAGATCATTACTGAACACAGAAAACTAATGTTTTACAAAAAGTCAGCTGCTGAATGAGAGCTCAAAGATTTATTTCCAATATTGTAGTACTGTGCCCATTGACATGTGAGACCATTAATGAAATTTTTAGCTTCTGTTTCTAACCTCTACCCTGACACACACTTGTTTAAAATTCCAGCCTTGGAGAATTAAACATCACACTACGGATGATATATAAAGGAATGTCATATGTTGTCATGTTAGGTGGTCATATATGTAGAAAGTTATTGGGTAAAGAATGAAATAATTTTAGAAGTTGTGGCCATTTTGATCTTTACATGTAAGTTATTCAGGAAATTTTGTTATTGTTATCAGTATGCTGATGGCAGATCAATCCTTCTCTGCTTCCATGTCTTAAATTGTCATTGCTATTTTCTTTCCCCAACAAATTTACGATTTTTTCAACAGAGAGGAGCAGAAGCAATGTCGTAATAAGATTGAGACTTTGGAGTCGGAGAGAAATCAAGTATTCACAGAGATACAGAGTGCTGAGTCTGACAACAATACGTAAGTATACAGTAATTGGAGAGCAGGATGTTTCCTTAATGTGCAGTGATGTTTTAAGTATATCAGTCATGTTGTTTTGGTGATAGTTTGTATAATTTGGTCATTTTTATTTGTGGCAAAACTGCACTCTCCAAGAAGCATAATCATGTAGAGTGAATTGAAATGAAGAAGTACATTGTTTAAAAGGAGATAACTTGGTTATGTTTCAGATCTGCTTTGTATCGCCTGAGGACTCAACATGAGAAAATCTGTACTGAGATTGAAAATGAACAGAAGCTTGAAACCCTGATTGCAGAGCGTCTAGAGAAGGAAGAGTAAGTAATATCTGTACAATAGGAGGTCTTGATGACTATGTAGTGTTGGAGAGAGGCCCTAACATGGCTTATACACATATAGAATAATTTATATCCGATGGGACTCAGACTGTCCAATATTTTACACATTTTTGGTGTGTTTCCTTTACAAATAAGCATGCACAGGACAAACTGTCATAGACAATCTGTCATATGAAATAGAAATGCAAATGATGAAGAAAGCCAGTGAATGATTCAGGTGTTCTGCTCTGTCAACAAACACACAAATTACATCTTTTAAGGAATTCAATCATTCTCTTAGATAAATGTATAAAGATTAAATTGAGAGAGCTGTAAAAAGAAAGAGTGGATAGAATTCTCAGAATATTCTGACTTTGATAATTTTTTTAACTTAATAATCCCTAAGCTTATCATGGAATGCATGACCTTATTCCACCATCAAGATATGTCTATTCACAAGAATGAGGTGAAAAGGGTGGCATATTTTGCTCCTACAGTTTCTGTGTGCCAAGAGAGATGGGATCTTGGTGACTACATACTTTTTTTATCATATGAAGACTAAATTATGAAGTTATAAAAAAATCATGACCAAAATCCTTTAATGAACAATGTTTCTCTAAGTTAGTTATATTTTTTTCAATTTTGAAATATTCCTTTGAAGGTATGAGTTGGCAAAGGTTGACGTGGAAAGAGGCAAGTTTTTGCTCCAAGAGGATGAACTTATTAAACGTGAACAACAGTTGGCCACAGAGAAAACTGATATGGCTTTGGCTCGTCTTCGCAAGGAAGAAATGAAAGCCAGAAAAGGGGAGGAGATTCTTCGTAAACGGGAAAGGTGTGATACATATGTAAACCTATAAATCTACCAAAGAAAAATGAACTTCACAGCTATTTCAAATGTTATGTTTTTTCACTTATATAGTTTTTTTCATTTTATGCTGAATTTATTATTTTATTATTTGTGTTTTTTTCATTTTTTGCTGAAACCGTCCAGCTATGTTCTAAGATAAGAATATCGTAATGTGATGTTGAATTATCTTTTGTTTCAGGAACTATGTGGAAGCAATAAAGGCACAGCAGAAACAGCAACAGGTTTTGATAGAAAATGCCCAGAAAAGTCATGAGAAACACAGTAAATACCTAAATGAAACAGTGGCGAAGTAAGTTGATATATCTGTCCTTTTATGCTTTTTAACATTTTTAGTATCATTGTCACCCTGAAGAACTTTTATACCTTGCTACAAAATTGTCACACATCAAACTTTTACACTTAGCTAAGATATTTAACATTGTGTAACACTTTTATACCTGTCTGGTATTATCATCACCCGGTAACACTTTCATGCCTCGCCTCCTACTTTTGTCTTTACAGTAATACATACCATACATCTATACAGTCACTCACATATGAAGATTTTCATCAGAATCAGTACACAAACAGTACCTTAACTAGGAAGAATGTTACCTTAAGAAATCTCACATAATAAAATTTGCCTCAAACAGGGTTTTCCATAAGAGCTGGTCGGCGGCCAATTTGATCATTTGGCCGCCTACACCAATCCAGTTCTGTAATAATGTTCCGTACACGACTACACGTACACGGCAGGCCAGCTTCCTACTTTCACTACACAGCCTACTACTAACAAAATTATGGAAAACCCTGCTCAAATTTCCTGTTACATTTTCATCGTCTTGTTTTACTCAGATTCTAGAGAGTGGTAAAAATGGTCTATTCAAACTTGTTTCTAAAGAAACAAAATCAGTCTTATGAAAACAGCGATTGGTGAATGATTGATAGATCTAAATATTAAGACAGCCAATTTACATTTCAGACACAAAATGCGTCAAGAGGAAGAAAATATACGCTATAAAGAGAACATGCAGAAAAAAATGGACATGTTGCTGAAACTGAAAGGCGATATTACAGCAAACAGGGTATGTGTTATAACTGACTTGTCCACCATGTTACAGAACTTGTACATAAGGTAAAATCTGTAGAAACATTTGTTCCTTGTTGAGTTTTGTAATTCTAAAAACTGAATGTTTGTAGGAAAACCTGAAGGCCCTCCATGCCAGAGATAAAGCACTGGAAAAAGAAGAGAAACAGAAAGAAGAATTAGAAAGACGTAGAATCCTTTCAGACGGCGGAAACCCAGACGAGGTTATGCTGATTCGTAAACGTATCCAGGACTTTGAGCGTGCTAAAACGTACAGTATACTCACTAAAGACTTTACACATCAGGGAATCTCTTAAATCTAAATTTAACATATTTTTTTATCAGGCAATTAGTCTATTATCCAATACATTTGCCCATGTAATATTTTTGCTGATATGTCACTAGTTTTATTCACCCTGGAATGTTTATCGTTAGCTACAAAATTCAGAAATTGATTGTGATATGATAATATGGACAATGATGTTACATAGATTTAATTGAAAATAAGACAGCAAGGTTGCTGCCACTGTTTGATTTTGTTCTCCACATTTTGTTTTAAAACTTGTCAAAATGGTTTTTTTTCCAGTAATGTGATAAGAATAACCTTAACTTTGTTTACATTTCCTAGATTTTATGAGTTTGTTTATATTTCTCAGTTTACACATTTGGATCATTATGGTATCATAGTAATAAACTACAGTGTGAACATGTTTTAAATTTTACACCACACTGAGTGTTTGATAATTTATACCCTGTATGGTACTACAGGGACTTCCAGATGGATCAGAAATCCAAGCAGGCTGCCATTATGGATAAGGTTCTATTAGAGGAAGATCGCATGAGGAAGAGAAAGAAACAGCTTCCTAATCTATGGGTCGATCCTAAGAAAGAAAAAGCAAAGGTATGCTATTCATAATAATCTTTTTATCATTCACAAAAAATTAATGATAAAACAACAATTCTGTGGCTGTTATAGGTAACCTGCATTAATGCTGTTCTTTCTTCCCATTTTTCTGTACCAAACTTTCTCAAAATTATTAAAAACATAGAAATTTGTATTTGTAATTGATACAACACTCATCATGTTTGCATAATATTCCCTGGCTTTTCATAACTCCAACATAACCCTGAACCCAAGTGTAATGAAAAGCCCATTCAACCCATGTAACTATACAATTTAATTATCCTAATAGTTGACATGAATTATCTGTATAAATATACTTGATCTCTACTTTTAATGTTGATTTGTTAAGTACTTAGATATAAAAGTGGACATGAAATGCCACATAAAGTTTAAATCATGTCCTTCTCAGATTGTGGCACCAATGAAGAAGAAACCTCTGAGGGTTTTTAAGGAGATGGATGGAACGTCATTGTTTGACGAGACCGAGGCTGCAGGTGTGAGATTCGATATGGCTGATATTGAGGTAACCAAATTCTTAACTGTTGAATAATTGACTAGATAATTTTTGTGTCAGGGATAGTAATAAAGATAGATAATAAGATATTTTTGACGAAGATGTTGTTGTGTTCATTTACAAAATCTTTTAATGTCGGTTAACATTTGATTGAGATGTTTTGAGTAAAATATACATGTACAAATTGTTAGAAACAACTCGGTAATTAAACCCCCTACTAACATAAGCAGGGGGAGGGGTATTAGTAATTGCTTTTCTGTGAATGTGTACATCAGTAATAACATTACATACAAAATATCTCATGAATTCTTCAACAGATTTAGTACATATTCACACCATAGCATCATACCACCAAGGTCTACACCAAAAACCTAGAAGAAACATCATGATTGACAACTGCAAACATTTTAACATATTTCACTTTAGTAGCAAATATACTGTTATTTATTTTGAAACTTAAAGAAAATGGCAGAGGATGCTGCTGACAGGGAGGTGGACGCCTTGACCAAAGATTCTGAGGTGGAGAAGCCAACTCCACTGCCAGATTCTAGTGACTCAAGTGATGCAGAGAGCGATGGTTAGTGAAGGAAATAGAAGGACTAAGCTTCTTCAATTCAAGTTTTGCACTCACTACTTTATAAATGAGTGACGATTACTGAAGGAAACTTGAGGTCTGAGCTAATTATCAGCTTCATCAATATCTAGAATTACGCTCATTCTGTAACATGTGATAGGTAACGAAAGATGGAAGATAAGCTAGACTCCCAGATTACTGGACATAGGAAAAGTCACACAGAATGTCTAACTGATAAACTACCAGTTATCTTATGACAGTTGAGTGATAGTTATAATCAAAGACATTTTACAACAAGGCTTGTTAACATTAATAACGGATATACAGTAATAGATATATAGTGAAGGGCTTTAATCAAGGACATCAGAGATCACACACAATATATACTGTAAATTTATGGTCTTCATTTTGAAGAATAACATTGTTAAATTTCTCACTGCCTGATGATGAAACTTTGATAACATACATAGAACAAAATACTAAATATTATATCTGATATCATTCTAAACAGAGGAGATGAAGTTTGATTTGGCTGAACCAGAGTTTGAGGGTCTTTGGGATCAACATAAGCCATACAAGGTTCCTAAGGACTCGGAGTCAACACTGAAGTTACCAGGGGCAACCAAGATGGACAGAGTAAGTTTAGTTTTCTTTTTCATTTGATCACATCTTTTTGAGAAATCAAAGATTTATTTCTGATTAATTATAGAAATTAAAAACTTTCTTGGAATTTTGAAGTATCTTATCATTAGTGTATCAGGAATAATATTTTTTTCCTGTGACACACAACACACCAAACCATCAATTTCTAAAGAGACAAATATGCTTCTTTTGTGCGTTTGTTTTTGAGTTATGAATGTTTGCCTTTTTATAGGAGATAATGACCAAGGTTCTGGATAAACATCGGTCTGGAATCATCCTTAAGCAGGTGGCCGCAGGACGTGAGTTCCAGGGATGTCCATTTTACAGCAAGCCAGATGTCATCCATTTCAAGGTTTGTAATCTTCTTGATTGCTCATCACATGCTGAATATGAAAATTACACAGCTGATGGCTAGAACAATAAATGTGTTAATAGTTCACATCATTTTAGTTCTGATCCTTGGTTTCTGATCCATACTAAATATGACCTGCTCAGCCATGAATTTTATCATAGTGTTACAGCTATCAGATTGTCATTCTGACAGACAGTACATCAAGCATCTTTATGTTTAATTCATTAATTCATTACTGATGAAAATATTTTATTTATCAATGATGAAAAACATAGATAAGTTTTTGAATGTCAACATAAAAACTTTTCACCAAGCAAGGTAAATTTTATTGATTGATGAAATAAAAAACTTATGATTTTTTACTGTGATAGCAGATCCAAGACCACTCACATTTTCTGGAGTTTCTCGAAAACTGTTCAAGAAAACTTAACAAAATTTCCGATATTTGTTAATCTTGTTGTCTTTTACATGACATGTGCAGGAAGTTATTTGGTATTTACAGGAATTTGTTGTGTGATATTTACAGGAATTCGTTTTGTGATATTTACAGGATTTTAATGTGTGATATTTACAGGATTTTAATGTGTGATATTTACAGGAATTTGTTTTGTGATATTTACAGGATTTTAATGTGTGATATTTACAGGAATTTGTTTTGTGATATTTACAGGATTTTAATGTGTGATATTTACAGGAATTTGTTTTGTGATATTTACAGGATTTTAATGTGTGATATTTACAGGACTTTGTTGTTGGACACACATATAAGAAGAGAGTTACCCTGACAAATGTGTCATATACTGTCAACTACTGTAGGTACATCAACATCACAGAGCGCCTCAAGGACTTCATCGAGATTGTGTAAGTATGACCTTGAAAAAATAGATGTATATTGTATTTACATAATTCTGTATTTTAAAAGTATGAAATTGACATCTTTAGACTTTAATTGTTAAAATAATTGACTTATTTAGAAGAAGTAAACCTATGCTTGAATTTGAAAGTAGTAAAAAACAAAAAATACGGAAATAAGTGTCTGTGATTTGTTTCTCTAGTTATTATGATAGATTTATACCTCTGTTTTATTGGTAGGTTTGACCCTCCAGGTCAGATGTCTGCTGGTCTTACATGTGAGATGCTAGTTACCTTCAAACCTATGGTAAGTATATTTAGATTTTAGGAACTAATACAGACGGAGAATTAAAGAGATAGATGTCATGGCCGAGATTATAAACTATAGACTGAGGTGATATTTATTGCAGAGAGAGAACACTGTTAGATAAATTCAGTCAGACAATTTAATACCTAATGTTATTTTGAATGATATTGATGATGTGTTTTTACTGTTTCAGATCAATGAGGATTTAGTGGGTGAAGTGAACTTCCTGTCACAGACTGGCCCATTCTCTATTCCACTACACTGTAGCACAAAGAAATGTGATGTAAGCTTTCTACAGTGGCCTCATTAAACCATACAAAACAATATGCTGTAGCACCAAGAAATTTCACATAATCATAATATTACTAGGAAATGTGATGTAAGCTTTCTATTACAAAGAAATGTGATGTAAGCTTTCTACAGTGGCCTCATTAAACCATACAAAACAATATGCTGTAGCACCAAGAAATTTCACATAATCATAATATTACAAGGAAATGTGATGTAAGCTTTCTACAACAATTCAATAATACAATGTACTATATTACAAGGAAATGTGATGTAAGCTTTCTATTACAAGGAAATGTGATGTAAGCTTTCTACAACAATTCCATAATACAATGTACTATATTACAAGGAAATGTGATGTAAGCTTTCTATTACAAGGAAATATGATGTAAGCTTTCTATTACAAGGAAATGTGATGTAAGCTTTCTATTACAAGGAAATGTGATGTAAGCTTTCTATTACAAGGAAATGTGATGTAAGCTTTCTATTACAAGGAAATGTGATGTAAGCTTTCTATTACAAGGAAATGTGATGTAAGCTTTCTATTACAAGGAAATGTGATGTAAGCTTTCTATTACAAGGAAATGTGATGTAAGCTTCCTATTACAAGGAAATGTGATGTAAGCTTTCTATTACAAGGAAATGTGATGTAAGCTTTCTATTACAAGGAAATGTGATGTAAGCTTTCTACAACAATTCCATAATACAATTATAAAACAATACACACTGTATACAAAAAAACGTTAAGTTAATTTTCAACATCCTTGTTTCTTGACTATTTCATTGATACATATGTAATTATATAATTGTCTGTTTAAGTATGTACTGGTATGCACAGCTGTTTGATATCTGTTGTACCAGAATATGTAGCATGTGACCATTAAGCCCTCACTATTGATGTAATATATTTGTTTCCTTTTTGCAGCTGTCGGTGGACACTAGTGTGATTGAGTTTGGAACCACAGTCATTGGTGAAACTTTGAAACGCACCTTTACATTGACCAACAAGGGTGCCCTGGGAACAAAATTCGAGTTTTTCAAGGTCACAGGGTCAAAGCAGAGGTCAGAGAGTGCAGCAGAAACATCTCTAGGAAGGCTGGTATGTTATGATTGCTAAGTAACACAATTCAAAAGCAAGATCTCAAGTAAATCTCCTTTTTTTTATGTGGCAATGACAGTAGAGGGTGCAAGAGTGTGTGGTGTGTGGTGGGGTGGGGGTGATTTTGGTTGGTTGGTATTTGTAACATTTTTACATTTTAAGTGTATTTTCTTGTCATATGTAATTAATAACTACTCCCATTCATGCCAGAGTGTTGATCATGAATGAAAATGTTAAGATACATCATAGTTACAATTAAGATGTTAGACACATTATATTTATAAATAAGATGTTTACACACATTATAGTAACCAATGAGATGTTTACACACATTATAGTCACCAATGAGATGTTTAAACACATTATAGTAACCAATGAGATGTTTAAACACATTATAGTCACCAATGAGATGTTTACACACATTATAGTAACCAATAAGACGTTTACACACATTATAGTTACCATTAAGATATTTACACATGTTATAGTCACCAATGAGATGTTTAAACACATTATAGTCACCAATGAGATGTTTAAACACATTATAGTCACCAATGAGATGTTTAAACACATTATAGTCACCAATGAGATGTTTAAACACATTATAGTCACCAATGAGATGTTTAAACACATTATAGTCACCAATGAGATGTTTAAACACATTATAGTCACTAATGAGATGTTTACACACATTATAGTAACCAATAAGACGTTTACACACATTATAGTTACCATTAAGATATTTACACATGTTATAGTCACCAATGAGATGTTTAAACACATTATAGTCACCAATGAGATGTTTAAACACATTATAGTCACCAATGAGATGTTTAAACACATTATAGTCACCAATGAGATGTTTACACACATTATAGTAACCAATGAGATGTTTAAACACATTATAGTCACCAATGAGATGTTTACACACATTATAGTAACCAATAAGACGTTTACACACATTATAGTTACCATTAAGATATTTACACATGTTATAGTTACCAATGGGATGTTTACACACATTATAGTAACCAATAAGACGTTTACACACATTATAGTTACCATTAAGATATTTACACATGTTATAGTCACCAATGAGATGTTTACACACATTATAGTAACCAATAAGACGTTTACACACATTATAGTTACCATTAAGATATTTACACATGTTATAGTTACCAATGGGATGTTTACACACATTATAGTAACCATTAAGATGTTTACACACATTATAGTAACCATTAAGATGTTTACACACATTATAGTAACCATTAAGATATTTACACACATTATAGTTGTTACACAGAATACCTGTCACATATAATTACTCTCAATGCTTCCTATACATTGTCTTAATTATCTTCTATATAAGTGAATTTCAAGAATATACACAAAATTTTTATCATAAAAGAATTATGAAACTGTCAGATTGAAAGGTAATATGAAATACACCTACGTTGGTTAACAGTGCAGTTCCTTATCCTGCTCTCTTGATAACAATATCTCTAGTGTTTCCTCCTGGTTTACAGACAACAGCTGACACTACCCAGGCTAATAGTCCCGATTCTGCCTCAGTCATGGTCAAGAAAGATAACAAGGAACAGCCACCTGCCAAGAAAGCCTTAGACGGTATATGTTACATTTTGATGCCACAGAAACAGTTAACAATTCTGCCTGTTGATAGATTTTTGGAAAAAACATTTTAGATTGCCTTAATCATCCTGTAGTACTCTTCTCTTGATTTTCTCGGTTCAGTTGCGATGAGGTATATCATATTTTTCTGTGGTTATATTTACTCACTAGATGCATCAGGAACCTAACAAATATTGTTTGTGTTTACATATTATAATACAGTAGCATTAAGCTTACCACCTGATTAGATCATGTTGATCAGGGACCAATGATAGTATAATCTTGTATACAGCACAGCTGTTGCAACTTACATCATCAAAAGATGGCATTTGGTTTGTAACTGTAATAAACTCTGTGATTGAGAAATCACAAGGGAGACTACTTTAATGAAAGGATGATATTTTTAAGATCTGGACAAAGCAAGCCAAGATGTAGGAGGTGGCTCTGAGGAGGGACACCAGGTGGAGGGAATGAGTGCTGTAGAGGGCGAACAGCCTGCAGAGGGGGAGGAAAATGGTAAGCAAAATACATTAAATTTGGAGTTATACAATCATCTTCTCCTGATCTTGATCAAGATTCTAAGAAAGACACAGCTTGAATGATAAATGTTATGGTAGAAAGATCTAATACTCTACTAGGCTAAATTCATTCAAAATGTAAAACATTAGTGTTTTAGCTTAGCTTACTAAACTTATAAAGGTTTTGAAAATTTGTAAGGATTCTGTAATAATTTCTATCTTTTGAGTCATTGCTGCATTTCTTGAGTTTTTGGTCATTTGACATTAATTTGTAGGTGTCCGGTAATTGCATTGTCCCTTGAGTTGCTGGGCAGTGAACATTAGTCTGTATTTTTCCAGTTATTGTTGTGTCGCCTGAGATGCTGGGCAGTGAACATTAGTCTGTATTTTTCCAGTTATTGCCTTGTCGCCTGAGATGCTGGGCAGTGAACATTAGTCTGTATTTTTCCAGTTATTGCCTTGTCGCCTGAGATGCTGGGCAGTAAACATTAGTCTATTTTTCCAGTTATTGTCATGTCGCCTGAGATGCTGGGCAGTGAACATTAGTCTGTATTTTTCTAGTTATTTCTGTCTTGCCTGAGATGCTGGGCAGTGAACATTAGTCTGTATTTTTCTAGTTATTTCTGTCTCGCCTGAGATGCTGGGCAGTGAACATTAGTCTGTATTTTTCCCGTTATTTCTGTCTTGCCCGAGATGCTGGGCAGTGAACATTAGTCTGTATAGTTATTGTCGTCTTGCCTGAGATGCTGGGCAGTGAACATTAGTCTGTATTTTTCCAGTTATTGTCGTCTCGTCTGAGATGCTGGGCAGTGAACATTAGTCTGTATTTTTCTAGTTATTTCTGTCTCGCCTGAGATGCTGGGCAGTGAACATTAGTCTGTATTTTTCCCGTTATTTCCGTCTCGCCTGAGATGCTGGGCAGTGAACATTAGTCTGTATAGTTATTGTCGTCTTGCCTGAGATGCTGGGCAGTGAACATTAGTCTATTTTTCCAGTTATTGTCATGTCGCCTGAGATGCTGGGCAGTGAACATTAGTCTGTATTTTTCTAGTTATTTCTGTCTTGCCTGAGATGCTGGGCAGTGAACATTAGTCTGTATTTTTCTAGTTATTTCTGTCTCGCCTGAGATGCTGGGCAGTGAACATTAGTCTGTATTTTTCCCGTTATTTCTGTCTTGCCTGAGATGCTGGGCAGTGAACATTAGTCTGTATAGTTATTGTCGTCTTGCCTGAGATGCTGGGCAGTGAACATTAGTCTGTATTTTTCCAGTTATTGTCGTCTCGCCTGAGATGCTGGGCAGTGAACATTAGTCTGTATTTTTCTAGTTATTTCTGTCTCGCCTGAGATGCTGGGCAGTGAACATTAGTCTGTATTTTTCCCGTTATTTCCGTCTCGCCTGAGATGCTGGGCAGTGAACATTAGTCTGTATAGTTATTGTCGTCTTGCCTGAGATGCTGGGCAGTGAACATTAGTCTGTATTTTTCCAGTTATTTCCGTGTCACCTGAGATGCTGGGCAGTGAACATAAGTCTGTATTTTTCCAGTTATTGTTGTCTTGCCTGAATTGCTGGGCAGTGAACATTACTTTGAATCTTTCCAGTTATTGCGGAATCCCCGGAGTTGGTGGTCAGTGACAATGAGGATTACGGGGCCTTGGATGGAATGAAGGTTGGTATGTTGGCTGTAGGAGAACTGGAGCCGTTCTCTTCTGTCAAACTTGAGATCATCTGGCAGCCAACCATACCAGGAAAGGTTGATACTGAGTTCCTCATCAGCTTCTCCGATCCTCTCTCAGAAAGTGTGAGTACATCAAATGTTTAATATGTTGGATTTATCTATCTGCTACTCTAGGAATAGCTTTAAAACTTGAAGCCAGTATGGGTTGATTTATTCTGCAAACAGATCTTCAGGTATCTGTATGATTAAAAGGTTTATGATTTTACAGAGAGATCTTGTTACATGTTATAGGTAGAGTTGTGTGTTTATTCTGTGAACAACAGATCTTGTTACATGTTATAGGTAGAGTTGTGTGTTTATTCTGTGAACAACAGATCTTGTTACATGTTATAGGTAGAGTTGTGTGTTTATTCTGTGAACAACAGATCTTGTTACATGTTATAGGTAGAGTTGTGTGTTTATTCTGTGAACAACAGATCTTGTTACATGTTATAGGTAGAGTTGTGTGTTTATTCTGTGAACAACAGATCTTGTTACATGTTATAGGTAGAGTTGTGTGTTTATTCTGTGAACAACAGTTACATGTTATAGGTAGAGTTGTGTGTTTATTCATCTTGTTACATGTTATAGGTAGAGTTGTGTGTTTATTCTGTGATAGGTAGAGTTGTGTGTTTATTCTGTGAACAACAGATCTTGTTACATGTTATAGGTAGAGTTGTGTGTTTATTCTGTGAACAACAGATCTTGTTACATGTTATAGGTAGAGTTGTGTGTTTATTCTGTGAACAACAGATCTTGTTACATGTTATAGGTAGAGTTGTGTGTTTATTCTGTGAACAACAGATCTTGTTACATGTTATAGGTAGAGTTGTGTGTTTATTCTGTGAACAACAGATCTTGTTACATGTTATAGGTAGAGTTGTGTGTTTATTCTGTGAACAACAGATCTTGTTACATGTTATAGGTAGAGTTGTGTGTTTATTCTGTGAACAACAGATCTTGTTACATGTTATAGGTAGAGTTGTGTGTTTATTCTGTGAACAACAGATCTTGTTACATGTTATAGGTAGAGTTGTGTGTTTATTCTGTGAACAACAGATCTTGTTACATGTTATAGGTAGAGTTGTGTGTTTATTCTGTGAACAACAGATCTTGTTACATGTTATATGTAGAGTTGTGTGTTTATTCTGTGAACAACAGATCTTGTTACATGTTATAGGTAGAGTTGTGTGTTTATTCTGTGAACAACAGATCTTGTTACATGTTATAGGTAGAGTTGTGTGTTTATTCTGTGAACAACAGATCTTGTTACATGTTATAGGTAGAGTTGTGTGTTTATTCTGTGAACAACAGATCTTGTTACATGTTATAGGTAGAGTTGTGTGTTTATTCTGTGAACAACAGATCTTGTTACATGTTATAGGTAGAGTTGTGTGTTTATTCTGTGAACAACAGATCTTGTTACATGTTATAGGTAGAGTTGTGTGTTTATTCTGTGAACAACAGATCTTGTTACATGTTATAGGTAGAGTTGTGTGTTTATTCTGTGAACAACAGATCTTGTTACATGTTATAGGTAGAGTTGTGTGTTTATTCTGTGAACAACATTTGTGTATCTATTCTGTAAACAACATTTGTGTATTTATTCTATGGATAACATTTGTGTATTTATTCTGTAAACAACATTTGTGTATTTATTCTGTAATCAACATTTGTGTATCTATTTTGTAAACAACATTTGTGTATTTATTCTGCGAACAACATTTGTGTATTTATTCTGCGAACAACATTTATGTATTTATTCTGTGAACAGATCTCGGTCCAAGCTCTGGCCAATGCCATTGACGTGCCTGTATGGGTGGAGAGACAGACTATTGACCTACGTATCTGTATGTACGATCGTCTGTACCAGGACACAGTCATTGTCAACAACAGGTCAGTGTCTCTCTACTGAAGATCTTACTGAAACCTAGATTAAGAATAAGAGAAAGAAACCATTTTACAAAAAGTTTACTTATTTCATGATTTGTGTTTTGTCAAGTGTTGAATATTAAATTCAACTTATTTAAAAATCGTTTTAGTTCATTTGAGAATAGTTTATTTTTTGAAGATTTATGATTTATGTTAACTGATTAAAATAAATGCTCCATATTAAGTAATAATGATTAAATGATTATAGTCTATGTTTATCTTTTGATTAATGATTTATGCAGAATAAAGGAATTATGAAGTAAGGTCAGTAGAGAGATGAATTTCTCTGTATTTTACAGGGCAACAACAGCTCTGCGTTTAAAGTTTGAGGTGTGTAAGGAGTTGAGAAATCACCTTGAACTCCTTCCTAAAACTGGCTACATACAGGCCCAGTCCCAGTTCTCTGCTCAGCTCAAGTTCCTTCCCAGGTTTGTTAGCTACTTGTACACATACCTGGATATGCTGAAAATTTATTAAGAAATTGTGTTAACACAGACAATTCTCCACTACGCCATCAATTATAAAATTACCCAAAGCTGATTATTGTAATGTTTTAGCATACATCCTTCTGCAATTATTGATAGAGAAATTCTTGTATTAAAAAAATATTCTTAAGTGTAAAATGCACATATACATGTATTATAATGCCTTTCAGCTTTTTGCATTCAAAATTGTATTTCCAATTGACATGAGAATATTTACCCGGTATATAAAAAATCAATCCTGACGAGAACACTGACTTATTTGATATAGATAGTTTGATAGATATTTTCCATCTTTTTACCAGACAAAGTCTCTTTGAGGAAGCTGGAAAGTATTTTGACAAGGAGACAGGTGTTTTGGAAGCCCCAATGACCATCCGAGTGGCAGATCAGGTCAGATTTCTTGTCGAAATTCTTCTAGGATTGTAGACTGAATCTTGTCCAGAGAAAATGCTTCAATTTTCATCAGTATTTTTGGAAACTTTACTGATAAAGTCAGTGCACAATGAAGTTGTGTAAATGCTGTTATTTAGAGATTTGGCACTTTTTTATGGGAGTTGTTTTCCTTCTACTTCATCTGTGGTGAAATCTTTTCCACACATCTTCTGAAGTTTTTATCCAAACTTTGTGAAATATCACTGAGGAAATTGTGCACCAAGGCTTCACATATTTGTATGGTTGTTATGTCCATTCTACTCTGTAGACTGAACAACTCTTCAATATTTTCTGAATTCAAAGTTTGTTTACTGAGAGATTTTTCTGTACATTCTTTTCAAACTTTATCAAGTCTGTGTCTAAATTTAATTAAAATTAGATGATTGGTGACCTCTGATTGAATTGATTATTCGGATGGTTCCTGTTTGTGGATTTTTGTTTTACTTCACTGACCTCTAGTTGTTGTATTTACTCTACAGACTGCCCCTGTGCCATTCACTGTACAAGCTGTAGTGACCACCTCCGACATGGAGTTTGACACGACTAGTATTGACTTCGGATGCTGTACTATCTATGAGTCTGTAAAGACAACCATCAAACTCACCAACAAGTCTATTCTCCCACAGGAGTACGGCTTTGTAGGACTTCCTGATGTAAGTTTCTAAAAATCAATCTTACAGAAATATTCATTGATTACAAATTCATAATGGTTTGGATATTTTGTGATTTAGTTTGTTTTCCGAGAAAATCCAATGCTTATAAGGCTGTATGTAGGACCATGACAAAACACCAAGAAGCATTCGTAGTAGATAGTCCCAGGAGAAGCCTTGTTCAGGATTCAGTTATTTGGCATTTCTCATTATAGATTGATATATTTTCAAAATTCACAGTATTTGGAAGTACAGCCTGATGATGGATTTGGAACACTGTTGCCATTGGAGACCATTGATCTCGAGGTCATATTTAGTCCAAAGAAAGCACGGGATTATAAATTTGAACTGAACTGCAAGTCCCTGATTAACAGGTAGAAAATGTTTCTTGTTTACATAAAAGTTTTACCTATCATATCTAGAAAGTGTTGTACACCTTCGTTTTAGATGTTTTCAATTGAATATTAACTTAAAGCATAACATGATGATGTCATTATCCTGCAGGGAGTTTAAGATCCAGTGTAAGGGTGTCGGGGTACATCCGCCTTTAGAGCTGAGTCACCAGGTTGTACACTTTGCTGCGACAGCTCTCTACGATGTGTCTACAGCCTCACTCCACGTGGTCAACTCACACACCAGCACTAATGAGTTTACTCATCCTGTGCCCAGGATTGGCAAAGGTAATAAAAAGCTTCATTGTGCACAGTAGTCTGCTTTTGAATCAATTATTTTCAACTGTTTTGACTGACATGCAAGTTAACAATCAAACCCTGAGTCAAACCTTCAACTTCTGAGTCAAACTGCCAACAACTGAGTCAAGCTTTCAATTCTTGAGTCAAACCTTAAGGTTTTGAGTCAAACCTTCAGAAACTGAGTCAAGCCTTCAGATACTGAGTCAAGCCTTCAGTTGTTGATTGAAAATTTCACCTGTTGAATCTAACCTTCATATAACTACAGAGATAACTGACATCTGTAGCTGGATTGGTGTTTGATGAAATATGTTTTTGCCCATTTGATCGAATCTTACAAACAATTTTTGTTACACATGAGGCATCTTACTGAGTGATGTCATTAATTATCGTTAAAACAGCTGGTCTTTCCTCTTATCAGACTGAATCACATTCAGACTGCTTAAGATCTGATGGAAGTATTTTTGATTCATAAATACTTTCTTTCCAGGTGACATTGCTCCTGTTGGCCCTACATCGTTTGAATTTGTTGTCCCTGAGGGAGCCCCGCTCACTATTTCACCATCAGTCGGAACCATAGAACCTGGAAAGGTACCTGCTAAAGTCATTTTTATAAATCTACACCTATGTGATGCTTTTTTCATCTTTTTATTTTTTTTTGTTTTTTGAAATTTTGATTTCAGTGAACAAAAACATGGAAAAAATGACAATTGTGGTTCAGTGTTCTCAAATAGACAGATTTAAAATGGAATGAGAAAAATCATATTCATTGAAATGTTGAGAAATAAATTTTTGATAGGAAGCCTAAAAATGAGCCAATAAACTCACTTAAGAGAACGAGATTTTATGAAATTTGAAAACTTCTGTTATGTTTGAAAAATATAGACATTAGAGGTCTGTAGAGAAATGAATATACATATGGGAGAAGGTTGTTTTAATTTATGCTGATTTATGCAAAATAGGATTCTTATTTATTGTATCGCAGCAAACTCTCTCTTGTTATGTCTATAAGGTAAAGGATATTTTGTGTTGCAAAGTGAAATTGACAACAGAAAATTATGATATATGAGATGTATCAGATTGGTTAGCATTAATCTGAGTTAACGAATACATCAACTTCTCATAGGAGTGAGTAAATATGTTCATTGATTGATGAAATGAAAATTAAATGATCACTTTGCAGTAACATTTTCTTATCTGAAATAATATGTCTTTTTTTTTTGTAGAAATGTCGCGTTCAGATTCGTTTCACTCCAACACTGCCGGAGAACAGTATTAAGAAGGAGGCTGTTCGAATGGGCACCAAAATGTTGGAACTTAAAGCAGAGCGAGATTATCAGGAACAAGTAAGGAAGGAAAAAGAGGAACAAGAACAGGCTCAGGTAGGTCATGGATCTTAGTATAGCCTGACTGGGTAATGGCTGGGGACGTACAGTCATATCACCACAACTCTCTTACAGTATGATTAGACTTGTTTAGGTCTGTTTCTTTATCAATACCTTTTTCCAGTGGTTTTATTTTTACTCAAGTTCTGTTTAGGTCTAACATTGATTTTATAAACTGAAATTATGTGTTTTGGACTTATCCTGGACCAAAATCTACAGTTTAAAGAAGAAGAATATATCGTGAGCTTCATAATTTCATCACATCAGGAGCAGGGGCATATATAATTTATACAACATTCTCTAGTTATTCTGAAAATATTTGACTTTTTTTACACAGGCTAGTTCTAAGAATGCCAAACCTGGTGCCAAGGATAAAGGTGGGGCCAAAGGGGCAGCAAAGGGCAAATCATCACCTGTCGCCCCCAATCTGACCGTAGCAGGGCCTCGCCCAATCACACCGCCCACGATGGAGTCCATCACTCGAGCGTAAGTCATACTTATAGCAAATCATTTATACAGACTGCTGATACTGCAGGGGATAACATTCCATATCATTTATACAGACTGCTGATACTGCAGGGGATAACATTCCATATCATTTATACAGACTGCTGATACTGCAGGGGATAACATTCCATATCATTTATACAGACTGCTGATACTGCAGGGGATAACATTCCATATCATTTATACAGACTGCTGATACTGCAGGGGATAACATTCCATATCATTTATACAGACTGCTGATACTGCGGGGGATAACATTCATATCATTTATACAGACTGCTGATACTGCAGGGGATAACATTCCATATAATTTATACAGACTGCTGATACTGCAGGGGATAACATTCAAATCATTTATACAGACTGCTGATACTGCAGGGGATAACATTCATATCATTTATACAGACTGCTGATACTGCAGGGGATAACATTCATATCATTTATACAGACTGCTGATACTGCAGGGGATAACATTCATATCATTTATACAGACTGCTGATACTGCAGGGGATAACATTCAAATCATTTATACAGACTGCTGATACTGCAGGGGATAACATTCATATCATTTATACAGACTGCTGATACTGCAGGGGATAACATTCCATATCATTTATACAGACTGCTGATACTGCAGGGGATAACATTCATATCATTTATACAGACTGCTGATACTGCAGGGGATAACATTCAAATCATTTATACAGACTGCTGATACTGCAGGGGATAACATTCATATCATTTATACAGACTGCTGATACTGCAGGGGATAACATTCCATATCATTTATACAGACTGCTGATACTGCAGGGGATAACATTCCATATCATTTATACAGACTGCTGATACTGCAGGGGATAACATTCCATATCATTTATACAGACTGCTGATACTGCAGGGGATAACATTCCATATCATTTATACAGACTGCTGATACTGCAGGGGATAACATTCATATCATTTATACAGACTGCTGATACTGCAGGGGATAACATTCCATATCATTTATACAGACTGCTGATACTGCAGGGGATAACATTCATATCGTTTATACAGACTGCTGATACTGCAGGGGATAACATTCATATCATTTATACAGACTGCTGATACTGCAGGGGATAACATTCCATATCATTTATACAGACTGCTGATACTGCAGGGGATAACATCCCATATCATTTATACAGACTGCTGATACTGCAGGGGATAACATTCCATATCATTTATACAGACTGCTGATACTGCAGGGGATAACATTCATATCGTTTATACAGACTGCTGATACTGCGAGGGATAACATTCCATATCATTTATACAGACTGCTGATACTGCAGGGGATAACATTCATATCATTTATACAGACTGCTGATACTGCAGGGGATAACATTCAAATCATTTATACAGACTGCTGATACTGCAGGGGATAACATTCATATCGTTTATACAGACTGCTGATACTGCAGGGGATAACATTCATATCGTTTATACAGACTGCTGATACTGCAGGGGATAACATTCATATCATTTATACAGACTGCTGATACTGCAGGGGATAACATTCATATCGTTTATACAGACTGCTGATACTGCAGGGGATAACATTCATATCATTTATACAGACTGCTGATACTGCAGGGGATAACATTCCATATCATTTATACAGACTGCTGATACTGCAGGGGATAACATTCATATCATTTATACAGACTGCTGATACTGCAGGGGATAACATTCCATATCATTAATACAGACTGCTGATACTGCAGGGGATAACATTCAAATCATTTATACAGACTGCTGATACTGCAGGGGATAACATTCATATCATTTATACAGACTGCTGATACTGCAGGGGATAACATTCATATCGTTTATACAGACTGCTGATACTGCAGGGGATAACATTCCATATCATTTATACAGACTGCTGATACTGCAGGGGATAACATTCATATCGTTTATACAGACTGCTGATACTGCAGGGGATAACATTCCATATCATTTATACAGACTGCTGATACTGCAGGGGATAACATTCAAATCATTTATACAGACTGCTGATACTGCAGGGGATAACATTCATATCGTTTATACAGACTGCTGATACTGCAGGGGATAACATTCATATCATTTATACAGACTGCTGATACTGCAGGGGATAACATTCATATCGTTTATACAGACTGCTGATACTGCAGGGGATAACATTCCATATCATTTATACAGACTGCTGATACTGCAGGGGATAACATTCATATCGTTTATACAGACTGCTGATACTGCAGGGGATAACATTCCATATCATTTATACAGACTGCTGATACTGCAGGGGATAACATTCATATCGTTTATACAGACTGCTGATACTGCAGGGGATAACATTCCATATCATTTATACAGACTGCTGATACTGCAGGGGATAACATTCATATCGTTTATACAGACTGCTGATACTGCAGGGGATAACATTCCATATCATTTATACAGACTGCTGATACTGCAGGGGATAACATTCATATCGTTTATACAGACTGCTGATACTGCAGGGGATAACATTCCATATCATTTATACAGACTGCTGATACTGCAGGGGATAACATTCATATCGTTTATACAGACTGCTGATACTGCAGGGGATAACATTCCATATCATTTATACAGACTGCTGATACTGCAGGGGATAACATTCATATCATTTATACAGACTGCTGATACTGCAGGGGATAACATTCCATATCATTTATACAGACTGCTGATACTGCAGGGGATAACATTCATATCATTTATACAGACTGCTGATACTGCAGGGGATAACATTCCATATCATTTATACAGACTGCTGATACTGCAGGGGATAACATTCATATCATTTATACAGACTGCTGATACTGCAGGGGATAACATTCATATCATTTATACAGACTGCTGATACTGCAGGGGATAACATTCCATATCATTTATACAGACTGCTGATACTGCAGGGGATAACATTCCATATCATTTATACAGACTGCTGATACTGCAGGGGATAACATTCATATCATTTATACAGACTGCTGATACTGCAGGGGATAACATTCATATCATTAAGATAAAACTGGTTTCTTGCAATGGCTTTTTTAGTTTTTGATATTTCTGGTTGAAATGCAATTTGAATGCATATAATTAAAACTGAGTTACAACAATATTTGTATCTTATAACATAAATGTACATACTTTAGTGATTATCTTATTTTAGTGCCTTTTGCACTAGAGATATTGCACTAAAATAAGACTGCACTAATTCCAGTTTCTTTATGATGTTAATATAGTAATTATTGCAAATGCACAAATTTATAATTACTCTTATTTGTAACAGATCGATATTGTTCTGAAATTTTAATCGCACATAAATATGTTCATTTACAGTGCTAATGGCAAAAAAATAACTTGTGTTGAATTTGTTATTGTAACAGGACTCCAGCATACACTGCGGCTCAGGGGTCCTTGTTGAGACAGTTTCGTGGAAGTTTCCGTTCCTATACAATACCCTGCTACGTGGCCTCTGGGGAGTGCTCCAACCCAGGGGAACTCCCTTACAGGTACAGTCATTGGAATTAAAATAAACTGGTATTATAACCTCGACAAGTGCCTTGTATTCAGGATCAGTGTACAGATAATACAGATTTGTTGCCATCTTTCTACATTCTTTCTGATTTGGACAACATTTTCTTTCAACATTCCATGCACAAATACCTTGGATACATCGTTCACATTTCAGTGTCATGGATCTGTTGGATGAAAGCAGTAACTTTAAATAGGACAATTTAATTTGGGAATCACACAAGTACTGACATTTTACCATTCATCTGAAGGTCCATATCATCATAGACAGGAAATTTTGTTATCACTGCCATAATTAACAGGTTGATGATGTAAATGATGCAGGTGTTAAATACTTGTCTTGTAATTATACAGGTACAGTGTGTATATGGTAAATGGACATTAATATTAATGGAAAGTTTCTTGTTTCAGTATTCACAACACTCTGTACCTAGAAGTCCACTGTCCAATCGTGAAACCCACCCTGGTGGTAATATCTGATAATGGCAACACGTGTCTGGATTTTGGGGAAGTTTCTCTTGGCCAAAACATCACCAAAACAATTACTATACAGAATATCTCCAACAAACACGTGGAAGTAAGTCTATAAATAAACCTGGGGGCATCGATATTAAAAAACATTACCATGCTTTATCTAAGATTCAATTTCAATCATTTTATTGAAAATGACCCAATATGGTATACCAAGTAAATGAAATAAGCTTCATAACTGAATGATTGGCTTGTCAGCAGCAGGCTGTTCCAAGACAATATTAAAAACAAATATTTTCTACTGATTTGATAAAATGTATTGCATGTATGATGACAAACACATGTGATTGGTTTTTCAGCTGCGTTCATCCATCCCAGATACGTCGGGGCCATTCCTCATGTTGAATGCTCTGAGATTGTTGCCACCAGAGGGCACCCACACCTTACTGATGTCATTCACTCCGACAGCTGGCCGTGTGGTAAGATTATTATTATCATGTACTCTGGGATTCTATTGGATGTAAAATAAAACACATCTGGAAAATCTTTTATTCCACCTGATAAACATATTTTGGGGCACTGATTACATTAGCATTGATTGTAAATACATGCATGGTTAACTGATTTTGATATCATGGTTCACTGAAAACACTATCATATTCAACCAAATACAATGTCATGGCTCATTGATTGCATTGCCACAGTCCAGTGATCACAATATGACTATCCACTTATTACAATAAAAACAATAGTGATAGAACTATATCATGGTATGGCTGATTGCAGTTTCATGGTTGACTGCTTCAAATATCTTTCATGGTTCGCTCATTATGATATCATGGTCCACCAATTTTGATATCGTGGTTCACCGATTACAAACTAAACCACTATATACTGAAAGTGTATCACAGTTAACTAATGAAAATACCATACCTACATTGATTACTATACCAGTCCATTATGTCAATCCTCATTAAGGTCTCAATTCTGTATACATGTAGATTATAAACATTTCAGTGAAAAGTTTCAATCATGTCTATTTACAAATTTTACATCAATAAAATTAGATAGAAAAAACGAAAGTATCGCCTATATAAAATATTTCATTTACTGATAAAGATGGAGTAGAAAAACATCAAAGCAAAAAGCACAATGTATCAAGGCTGTGTATCAATACCATTTCCATACAGTCTCTATCTACTAGTTTTGTATTGTCATTGTCTTACCTGTCTAATATTCTGTATCTTTGGTGTTTCAGAGTTGGGTAACTTTAAGCATGTCTTTATGGTTTATTTAGAATTATATTTTGATTGAGTTTGTTTATTTGCTAATTAGAACTGTTGGTTTTGATATAGTTAGTTATCAGATGTGCCAGTTTTTTTTCCAGAAGTGAGAAATTACCTGGTTCTCATTTTGCTATTGATTATAATTCTGCATCACAAAATTTTCACTGTTTGAGCATCAATTGAATCTGTTGGTCAGTTATATCACAGTTTTACCAATCTCACATCGTGTTATGATTTTGCATGAAGAACATACACATTGCTGTCACTAAGGAAACAAAGACATTATAAATTTGGAATTTTCACAAAGACATGACTATTGAATGTTGAGTTCCTTTATGCTTACACATGTTTCACATAGAGTAATTTGTTTATTTCGTTTCTATGGCAATACATCTGATGCAAGAGTTTTCAAGCACTGATTTCAACATGTGTGGAACTTCAGTGCACAGTATGTGCTGTTGTCATAAATAGCACCAACTCTGTATGAGGTTTCATTACACTATATTATTGTACCATCAGGACGAGGAATTACCTGAAGATGAGTGTACAAGTACACCTAAGGTAGAAAATGAGAGCTTCACAATCAACTTAATATGATAACATTAACAGAATCTGCTATTCATTAGAATCATTTTCAATACAACAATGAAATCTTAATATCAAGTGAAAAAGCTGAGTATCTCAATATAAAACAACTTACAAGCTTAATAACTTTAACCATTTAAATTATAGAATAATATTTCTCAATACAATAAACTATGTCAGTATGGAGTTCGTGTATCATTTGTATATATGTACATTTCTGTGTGGTGAGATCACAGAGGTCAAATATGTTATAGTCTTCAAAAATCTCTATAACCAAAAGGTCCAGGGTCATGATGTTTGGCCTGTAGAATTCTGGGTTAAGTTTGTTCAAATAGATAACCTTTACCCACTTTTAAGGTCGCAGGAGTCAAATCTGTATATATTTCGAAACAATCACTTCTGAATTACCAAACAGCTCAGAGTCATGATATTTAGCTAGTGGTGCTGGTATGAATGACCTTGACCTAATTTTAAGGTGACACAGGTCAAATGAATTTTAAATCTTCAAACAACTTCTTTTAATGAAACCTGCTGTGCTTAAGGGCTGTCAAATAAATGATCCTGACTTACTTTCAAGGTCATATACATCAAATGTGATAAATCTTGAAACAAATTCTTATGAATAATCAGAACAAGAGACATAGGCCTACTGAGATGAAGGTCTAAAAACTTTGTTGAAATCCATGACTTTGACCCATTTTCAAAGTCAAGGAGATGAAATGTGTTAAAATCTTTTAACTGTTTCTGTGCAATAACCAGAAGACCTGAGGTCTGTTTATTTTGCCAGAAGCCTTCTGGGATGAAGAGCTATTGAATGTGTTCAAATAAATAGACTTGAACAGTATCATTCAACTAAGGTAAAATGAAATATGTCAAAATCTGAAAATGAATTCCCTAAAATAACCAACAGATCAGGAGTTGTTTCACCTTCACACTAAAGAAGGGATCAGTGTAGGATAATCCATGAAAAGTACCAGAATACACTTGTCCAGTTATCTCTTGTATCTTGTAGTAGTTGTAAAGCAGCTGACAGATACAGACCAATGTGTCTTTTGATTCTCTCTCATTTTGTCTTTTTTGGCACTTTTAGCTTCTCCTGTTTCAATGCCTGATATTTTCCATAGTTTAAATGATAACTGAAAAAATGATTTTGAATGTTTGACAGCAAGCTATTTAAAAAAATAAAGGTGTGAAAATGATCCAGTATCATGAATTAATTATCTTACTTCACACTACAACATACTTTTAATCAATAGCATGATAGTTTGAATGAATAATTTTTACATCAATAATATATGATAACAAAATCAATGTATCACTTGTAAGCTTCAGAGTTAATATCAATAATATATAATTACAACTAGATTTTATGTCAATACAGCTGTTGTATACAGCAGTGAGGCATGGTTTCCACAAAAGGTTGAATATATGTACATGTATATTAATGATGTATGTTTATACAATATGTTATGTTAAAAATTATGATTAAATCAAAAGTTTGTATGTCAACAATGTATAGTTCTACCAAAAGTTTATGCTTTGTATAAAGTTATATCAAATTGCATATGAAGCATTCTATGGTAAAGATTTTGGAAATAGTCTTTAAAGAGATATTGGTTGATAACTGTAGTAACAATAAGGTTTGCTACATGGAAACACAACTACACAACAAATCGATAGTATACGTTGTACCCAGTAGTTATAGAATTAAAGTACTGGCGTAATTTCTATGTAGTTATAAACTATATTTGCTAGTGCTAATGCTGTGTGGGTATATATATTGTATATAGTGTTAGATATAATTAAACACATTTGATACTTTATATGAAACTACATATTCAGTGGAATACTGTAATTTACATTGTACATATTTCAAAGAGACATACATCACGGTTAAATATTATCAAGTACAGATATGATAAACTAACCATTATAATGACCTATTAACAGTTCTTACCACTGATGTTACACTGTTTCAGGAAGTTATCGACTACATTTATGTTATTTTAACAAATTCAAGATCCATTTTTAGCATCATCACCCAAAAAAAAGAATTATATTATATGCTACATTACTGGCATTTCATACTTCATCCAGAATTATATACTTAGTGTTTTGCTTATAATCACACTTGGCATTTTATTTCTCGCAGTTATCTACAATCTATTTTTTTGACTGGCTGATAATAATGTCTTTTGTTAGGTCAGATTTATTGAATTTTTCCCGTTATCTTTTGACATAATGTATCCAACATCAAACATAAATTGTGATTATCTCCCTTGATTGTTGAATTATCTCCCTTTATAGTTCCAAGAAGTGTTTAAAATCTACACTGGGATATCGGTACTGCATGTGACTCTGGCTGGTAAGGGAGTTAACCCTGTTGTGGACCTAAGTATGCCAATGGAAAATGGTGTTTTCAATATGGGATCCGTTCTTGTTTCGGAGTATGTGGAAAAAACATTCAAGGTAAGCATATCTCATATATACTTAACTGAGATGAAATTTTATTGTAATATTTATAAATATTTTTAAATAACATGTTATTAATTTTCAGAAATGCAATGTTTACCATAATTAAATAAATCAACTAGTATTATCCATGTGATGAAATCATTTGCAAAACTTTTGTTATAAAACTGAATTATAGTTGTTTTTTTTTAATTTTTAATTTATTACTTTATCTCTTACAAAAAAAATTAATTGTGTTGGAGAATCTTATAAGTATCAGCTGATAAATTTTCAACAATTTGTCCAACAGATGCAGAACTCCTCATCGTTATCCATAGACTACTGTATGAAGCTGGAGAGTCTTTCCCTGTTACGTCATACAAAAGGCCAGGAACTGCCAGAATTTGTTAAACGGGATAAAAAAGCAAAATCACAAGTTGGTAAGTGAATGTGTTTCTTTTTACATTACAAATTTTTACCCAACTGTCTATTTGAGTGCCAGATTCTCTCCATTTTTTAATGATGCATATAGTTGAAATTCATGTCTGTAACTACAGTTGTATGTTATCTTTATGCAGTCTTGTTATGATGATGTATACATGAACTATCTCCTTTTGTAGGAACTCAGAACAACAGTGGTCAAAATGTGTTTGACCTGGTGCCTTCTGAGGGAACAATACCACCTGGGGGTACAACAGAGGTCACTGTGACCTTTGCCCCAGACCATGCAAGTGACCACTTTTCTGATGGCATCAAAATTGAACTCTTTGGAAAAGTATGTATACAAAATTACTTTTGCTAAATCCTTTTTAACAACAGTTTTGAAATGAAATCAGATAATCCTTCAGTTCTGACAAGACACTTAAAGAAATTGCAAGCATTACAGAAATTTTTTTTCCGTGGCAACAAGCATGAAATAATCCTAAATCTGATACAATTTCTGTCTTTCTGTTTTGTGATTTGAGACTGTAATATTAAGACTAAACTTACTTGCTTCATTAGGAGGAGTCGCACAGCTTTAAAATTGTTGGAATGGCCAAACCAAGGATTATGTTTGTCCAGAGTCCAGACAATAGGTTTCCTAACGTTGAATCTTTGGCTGATGTGATTTCAGATGGAACAGATGAAGAAGGTAATGTATTGTTGTGATATTATGATTGAAAGAGTATTTCTCATTGTTTCGTAATAATAGTCTGGTACTTTAAATAGTAATGTTCTGAAATATAATGATACATTAGTACTAGGAGACATTGTGTTGATGTCCATTAAATTACACTCTGAAATTGCCTCACAAATGGCTTTAAACTTTAGTTATTACTAAATCTTTAGTGAAACAAAACCATAATATTGATAGCAGGGATGGCTATTGAATTTGGCATCTACATAAAAATTGATTTGAAAGATAATTATTGTGTGAGAATACTGATTAAATCTTGACATTATCTGATTGCAATGATACTTTGTTATTGCCTTTATATGATTTTGAAATAATAAGCACTCTTCTTATGATTTTATCAGTATTAATAGTGTAGAATCAGTGGACTCAACAGTGATTCCTTAGGGAAAAAAAAGTATGAATCAGATAGCTATTACACAGGGCATTAGCTTGAACACGGAGACATATTTGAAAGACATTTTCAACTGTAACTGCCAGGGCCTTCTTTATTTATTATGTCTCTAACAATTGCAAGATTTCATATAGGAGGACCACATAGGATTATAATTGTTGCATATTGATATTTGGTCTTAATTCTATCTTAAATAGAGTTATTGCCCTTAGTTCTTTCATTAACTACTTCCTTTTACAAGGACATATCTTGTATAAAGATCACTTGCAATGATCAAATTTTGCATGCAACTTTGTATGATTTGAAATTCTTGCATATTTCAGTTATTTCATTAAGCTTCACCACAGAACTATAGAATAGTGGTAATTTTTTTGCAAGTTTGATATGAAATTTTGGCTAATAGTGGAAACATATTTGTGCTGCAGATTTAAGAAGCATTTTGTTCTGGAGGTCCTTATTTAAATGGAAAGTGACAGTCTCTCAGTTTAACCATTGCATGATGAAATCTTATTTTTTTTCAGAGGGTCGACAAAGTATAGAACCAGTGCTGCTAACACTACAGAGTATTGCCAAAGAAAACGAGTATGTACCAGCATCCCGTGATCTTCAGATTGGCTGTGTTCGAACTATGGCAGTTAGTCAGAAAAAGGTTGGTGGAAATCGTCATCACTCTTATTTCACCAATTTTTTGATGTTGTAATGTATATATAAAAGCACAGACCCTATCCTTCCCAAAGGAGATAATACCTTACCCTCGTCAGCTAAAGTGCTCCCATCCTATTTTCATACAGCGCACATAAGCAGGGGTGTCATGGAGTTTGTGTTTGAGTTTTACACAGAGAAAGTAGAAGCTACTTTTACATCAAATCTCTTATTGGTTATACTTTTCTTATTTCTTATTTTCCACTGTGAAAATATTTCTCTTGGTAACGAACTTTTAAGTTTATTCAATCTACAGTGTAAAGTACACAGTGGGTTTTAAGATATGCTAAAACAAATAGTGATGTAAACACAAAATAATTTGTAATATAAGAATAGGACAAAAAGGTACATATACTGCGCATGTTTGAGTAATTTTCTGTGTACCTGTTAATATGTCTCACACAACTAACAACTGCATGAGGTGTATAAATTGATGTAACACACAACAGAGTATTAATCTGTATGCTGTCTCTGTCAGCCAGAACTATTTGTTCATTTTGGTGTAATTTGAATTGTTTGATAAGTTTTTGCATAAAATATCATTTATTCAATAATACATGATATATAAAATTGATAAAGGTCTGTTTTTAATACTGTTATGTACTCAGCAAGGAGAAGCTATGAATACAGTTTTACAACAAGCTCTAACAAACATGGCCGTGTATTATCATTCCTTCAGATGCAACTTTGAATTCCTGCCTGTAATCAGGACAACTTTCCACTTATCACTACTTACCTTAAGGCTCCTTAAGTTTTAGCAGGCTATTGACTTTCTCTGGTTAAGCTTTCCACAATTAAAATCAAGTCAATTGAAAGAATAAGATTTTTATCACTTGTAAATATTGTGAGCAAAGTTTGGATGTAAAATTAAAGAATAACTTTGTAAGTAATGTTATGATAGATCTGGCTTTACCTCACATGTTTATTTTTCTTCAGTGTATTTATTTTTCAATATGTGGTTGATATTTATTTGCTGTGGTGTGTTTCTCTAACACAGGAAGGCAGAAAGGTACGGTTACTGTCAAATAGATCAGTGCTTTAATGTAGAATGTACTTTATCATCAACAAATTAAATACAGCAAGTCATGATTGTCACAGAACTCCAGATTTTTATGAAATATCAAAATATTCAGTTAATAATTATAAGACAGCGATAAAAGTACTGTATAGAAAAAATATTCCTAAGGAGAAAAGTTTTTTAAATTCCTATGTATGTTTGTACAGATAGGGAAAAATACAATACCTTGTAGATTGGCTAGAGAACAACTTCAATGTTTCAATGTTTTAAACATTTATGAAAGCTATATAGAATATTTAGACTGCCAGGACTAAAAGTGTTTAAAATTTGGTTAGATATATTACATAATTTTGTTATTAAAATCAAAAAATTGTCAAAATATTTCTTATAATGCTTTTAAAATTGACAATCAAATTTTGTTTTAAATCATGTGATAAAAAAGGGAATTTCATTTACTTTGTGTTTATTTTTTAATGTTGAATATTTTTGGTATTTTAATTCTTCTTGTTACTGTCATTGTTGTTAAATATCCATAGTTTGTTTGCTGGGTTTTTCACCCCATCAACAGCCAAGAGGGTCATTTTTGGGCAAGGTCTCCTTGTTATCGCTGGTGATACCCCACAGAAAAGCCAATTGGCTCATCATATGTGCCTTCTTTCCAAGGACACAACCTTGATAGCATAGACATAACCATTTCTGAGCTTCCTAAGAAACACAGTGTTGTGGGTAGGGAGTGTGAAAAAACAAACCTCACATCTTCAGCTGAAGTTGCATGTTGGTCAATGCTGTACTGACTGAGCTATGGTCACAATGGTGTCCCCATTGAAACATAACTGCATTATCTACAGATAATATGCAGAAATGGCATTTGGTCATTATAACCTTCACCTCGAGGTCAAAAGTCAAATAATTTCTTGCTATATATGATTAAAAAATAATAGATATTTAAAACAAGGACTAAAATTTTATCTCCATCGTTATGGTTTAGAAATCAAAGTTTTAAGTTTATTTTAAAGAAGTTTTTACTTTGTAAATATTTTGCAATTAATAGAAAACGTTTTCATGACAAATAAGGGGAGACAATCAAGTATCAATTTTTTGCTTTCTTCTAGTTATATGACTAATTATGTAGGAGTTACTTGAGTATACAGTCTGTATCGTTATTAATCAATTTGAATCCAGCGGTCATTTAGATACAATCTGTCATGTTTTGTTCCATAAGTTTTTTTTGTTTTCTGCCGCACTAAAATACTAATATATATCACTGTAATTCCTCCCTCACCTTCCACTGCTGCGTATACCATGCTACCTAACCAATCACTCACCATCCTGTGATCATGTGACATCTAACAACCAATAGGATGCACGAGGCTCCAAGGTAGGCCATTCACTACAGAAATCAAACTAAACCTTATATTGTGTCTATGTTACATATAAATGTTTGCATGTATGTTTGTGTTTATGAAATGATCATTCTAACTGCTGTTTACAGGTAATATTATTGTACAATGCAACTGTGTTTGTTATTGTTTCTGCATATTTTAAATAAAATGCATTTCACCAATTTGCCAACTGTCAAGGTAGGATATTATGAAGGATGTTTTAGAGCACACTAAAGTATACTTATGCTTACAGTGTCCAATGTAGAATTAAATTGAAATGCTTGTATCAAGGCCTAAAATATAGTGATCTTTTATGTAATATTTCAAAATACTCAGACTACATAAAATTATATCAGCGATGATAATTAATCCAATCTTAACATTGATTTTGGTGTCAGTATGTCATGATAAAGGTATTGGAAACAAGGATATATGGAAACTATATTCTTGAAGGTATCACACAAATCTGTCCTGGATTAAACTTGGAAGGTTAACTCAAAGTTTGGGGTGGGCTTATTACAAGAACATTGAAATTAAATATCTTATTAATATTTCTAAACAGCAATTGATCTTATTTCCTGGTTTTGTTAATTCTGAAGTGATACTGTGAAATTGTTCTTTTTTTGTGGGGTATTTATTTTCATTTATTTTTAGATTTATTGAGCTTTGTTATCTGTGAAATCATGTGCCCACAGTATATTTTTGCTTGTGATTTACCACTACTTACCACAACATGTAAATATAAACATTACTACTGATAAAAAATTATCTATGACTCCACGTCTGACCATAAAACCTTCTTAATGACTTGATTTCTTGTTGCCTTTTCAGAACGGTGAATTCCAGTTTGATAATGTACAGCCCATTATTGCTAAAGGCTTTGGCATAGAGCCACAGAAGGTAGGATAATTTCAGTTTTGAAAGGTGTTGTTCTCGTATATCATCAGTCTAGTAGCTGATCACAATGTTAGAAGTTTTATCTAATTATATATTTAATAACTTTTTCATCTGCTATTTCAGCTTTTTACCTTTCAGCAGACAAGAATAAACTCAAAGAATATTTAGAGCCTTTTAAATTGACAGGGTCAAGTTCTCTAACAACTTAATGGTGAAAAATTTTGAGCAGAAAGTTGTCCTCAGGTTACATTACATTGTGACACTAATGATATCAGCTTTCCGATTTCCTTTGAATTTTGACCAAATAACCTCAAGACGTTGTTTCATAGAAATCTGGGTAAACCAGTTTAATAAGCACATTTTAGTCACTTAACACTTGCTTGGTGTCACTATTGCCTCCTGTTGTCAAGTTTGCACATCATGTTTTAATTGTAACCTGTTTTTTGTAGGGTATGGTGGAAGCTGGTATTTTAAAACCTGTCACATTCACTTGGACACCTCCTCCTGGTCATGATGTATGTATTTCTTGTTGAAAATCTTCTTTATGAAAAAGTTATATAGGTTTAAGTCATCTTAATGGAGTTATAATAGAATCAAAATTTCTTATCTTTTCATGTATCAATATTCAGCATCATCATGGCTTTTCAAAAAAGTTACTATTTCATGGACAATTGCTTTCGAAGATAAAATATAGCTCAGGAAATCTAATGATACTTATATTTTAACAGTTTGAGAATATGAATTTGTGGATTGAGAGCAACCATGAAATTGACGAAAATAAATCCTCAATAAAAATGATTGGTTTTACAGTAAACAGAAGTTTAGGGAAAAAGAGATATAAAGAATTAATACTATTTGTCTGGATTTGTCCAATAAAAAATATATCCCAACACTTTTTCAACTATTTTGGGCAGTTAAAACAGAATTGATCGTTTATAAATAGATACAATAACAATCAGAGTGTTTACAAATTGTCAGTATGACATGAAGAATGTTAATTACGCCCAAGTATCATACAATGAACATCAAATATTGTTTCAATCATCATGGTCTTTGATGTATCTTTATATATAGTCAATCTAAATGTCTTGTATACTTTATTTCAGCCCAACCAGATTGTAGATGGGACTGTCACTCTGACACTGAAAGGAGATGTCACAGAACAACTCAAAGTGATGCTCCGAGCAATGGTTGTGTCAGAATAGTCATAAACTTTATACCTCCTACCTATCTGTGATAATTTATATTATTTCAATACTGTTAAACAGGTTAGCACATTAAATCTATACCATCCATGGTGTAATGATGACAAGTATGCTTGAAAATTTGTTTTTGAAATATTGAAGATTGGCACCAAGTGAACAATTCTTTGGCTCACCAGTAACAGTGAAATTTGATGATATTTCCATTTGTAAGTCAAAGTAAATGTCAATTTTTGAAGTGTGTAACCATTGACACAACAATCAGTTTTGTTCTGTGATACATTTGGGAAGACTTCCAGGCTGAATATCTGACATTTGGTCTATATTTATCTATCTTTTACCATTGTGATAACAGGTAATAAATTATAAACAAATCATGGTATGTGTTTGTTTCATTACAAGTCCTAATTACACTATCCTGCATAACCTTATAATACAAAATATGATTGCTTGTTTTTCATTTGGTTTATCTCCCTGTCGGAAATCAAGGATGCTCTGATGCAGGATCTCCTTGTAGTCATACAGTTGGTGACTACCTCAATGAAAAACATACAGAAGGCCCATTGCAAACCATCCCGAGCAATTGGGGCAAAACGTGTTGCCCATGTATACAACTGCTACAGCTTATGCAGGATGGTCTGTTTTTTTCTGACAAACACAAACTATCTGTAGTTGAAGCACACATCAGATCTTCAGTTACAAACTGAGCTTTCTCAACCCGCATCTCCCTTTCAAAATAGGACATTGCTTATGTTTGATTATCAATATGACTGCAATATGTAAGGTATATATGCTTAGGAGAATTTCTGTACAAAATTGTGGGTATCTGGGGTAACATTTTCAGGCAGTGACACCAGTCACATTATTTCATACAAATGTACATGTATTGTCATTCAGTATACTTGTGGAAGAACAGGGAAAATACACATTCATGTCAAGTGCCCTGACCATGAATTGAGCACAGGTCTCTGACATAATAATCTAGACGCTCTACCAACTGAAGAAGCATGCTCTTTCAGCTGAGTGGCATAGACCAGATTTAGCACATATACAAGCCACACCAACCAGCTCCTTTTACATACTGTTAACACTAGTAGAAAATCCTGATAGGACTGATATACTTCCAATCCAAGTACTAAGATCTCCTGCAAAGAAACAAACAGGGACTTTGTAGCATTCATGATGATTTTGAATTCCCTTTTATTAATTTTCCATTTCTAGATAGTAACATACCTGCTAACAAAACCTTTGTTTACATCACATTCGCTCCCATATTAATGAACTTTCTCTCAATATCATGATTTCTGTGCAACATTTTCACAGCCACTTGATAATCTCACAATACAGGGTATGATGAGCATTGGGGATGATGAATGAAGATGTCGGGGAAGTTTTATCATGACACATTAATTTATTGGGATATTGTCTTTTTTTCTCCTGCAAAATATCAAGTTAGATTCATTGTGCAATTCCATACTCATTAGCATTACTGATTTCCTTAATCCTCTTTGTGCCCTGTCACACATACGGCTATCACCAGAGACTTCCAGTACTGTCTTTCATGTGATCATTGTACCTGTTCCCATATCCATCATGCTTCCTTCATCTCCTTCTTGACCGACTGCCTCCAGGTTTCCTTGGGTCTTCCATCTCATTGCAGACATCCCCAATGCATCACCATCTTCTGTGCTTTATTTCTTTTGACATTGATCCCATTGTTAATCTCAATTTCATTTTACATTTGAGAATGTGACATTACTTACATAGACCCAGATTTACATGGTGGGTGTTGAGGAAGCAGAAGATTCTTCCTCTTCACACCTGGTTGTCTCTACCATGGTTGTTAAGGTTTCAGTGTAATTCATTCTTTCATTCATGTTTTGCCTTTTGTTTCACCAATTCTGAGTTCAAATGAAGTTTTTTTCTTGACCGTGATGTATGGTGGCAATCTTGGATTTCAGACCGACCTGAAAAATAACAACACTTGGTTAGGACCATCTCAGGATCATTTCAGACAAGTTGGAGCTTAATCCCAATGGCTTTCCTGGCTGCTGTGTTGAGGTTTTGACAAGGTTGAAAAATAACAGGCACCAGTGAAACTGGAGAAGAAGTTTAAAATATGTTTTTAAGATGGAGGCCATCTTGGCTTTCAGACATACCCAAAAAAATTAACAACACTTGGTCAGGAACATCTCAGAATCATATCATGACTTCAGGTCAGATGACCAAAAAAGTAATCATTCACCACCTTGTGGGTAAGAAATGGGAATATCGACCCTCTGAGAAAAATTAAGTTGCAGAAACTAAGCAACTCTCACATATAATCTGATCTTCCCCTTCAGGCAAAATTCCTCTACCTTGCCCCTAAATGGGTAAATTACTTCATCAATCCTTTATTAAGCCTTTTCAGGATAAGGAACTATTACTAGAGAGTGACAACACGGATAAGACAACAATTTTGACTCAACTGAATTTTATTCAGTGTACCTTATAACATGATGAAGCTAAAGACCAGTAGATGGACATGGCAGAAATTGCACAAGAAACTTTTGTCAGCTTCATTTACAATTTTTTCATAATTAAGATCATGTTAACAAGCTCAGCAATTTTAGCACACATTATTATACAGCATTTAAGCCGTATATAACAGTAATATGATAATTGTACAGGATACAACAATTTAATGCTTTTGAAAAATATATGATTACTGTTAAATGATGTTGGTCATCGTCATTCATATAAGTACAAAAGTATTTTTGTTAAAAAAGCAAATTTCACATTAACCAAAAATGAACACTTATGCAATATTCAGATCTAGGCTAGAACAAGGATCATTTCATAAGTATATATATGGATATAAGCAATGACATCTTAAATCAGTTACTGATCATGATCATTGGTCAGGTTTTTAACAGTATATGAAGACAATGCATTTTTAAAAATTTCACAATAGTAATAAAATGAAAAACTGAAACTTCAGTTATTTGAATTTGAATCATTATCTGCACACCGGAGATTGAAAAACAATACAAAAAAAAGGTGCTTTGAAAATTTGCATTGATATACTGTTGAAGATTTACATTTAAAGTCAATAAGCTCATTGGCATTCCTCCAAGCACTACTTATTTATACAGGACACTCGGGTACATGTTACCGCATATCGCTTTACCAACAAGTTTTCTCGCCATCCTTTACAACCAATCAATATGTAGAGTCTGCCACAAAAAATTGTCTATTCATAGTTTCTTAAATAAACAACTCCGAACCTGGAGTTAGGACTGTTTTTAGGAAGAAGCACTTTAAAAAGTTGTGACTTGTGATACACAAAAAGGAATAAGTTTTTTTCTAGATAACAATTAATTCTTCAGGCAGCACAATGTACCGGCCTTTCACACCCATAATTACATGCAAACTGTTCCTATATTTTTCTCTCCAACAGCAGTGTCCCTTGTTTTTGGTTGGAATTAATATGTTTGGCCTTTTCAACATTATGGCTGGGATGTAGCTCTTATCAAACAACATTGCTGTGTTAATTAATTGGTAGGAATGACATATTCAAAGATTTCTGGGACATATATTTCAGTCCTTAATTCATGCTTTTCCTGTGAATCTCTTTATAACTGGACGCATCAAAACTACGGAAATGGTGCTCTGTCAGAAAAAAAACCAAAAAATTACTGCTTATATCTGACCCATGAATTCTGTTTCCTCATCATTCACAAAATAGTTACCAGATATTCCAGTAAAACATCCTACACTTCCATTCTGGGTTTTGTTAGGAGTAGTTTGATATATTCCATTGAACCATCAGCTCACTCCTGTGACTCCAAAACCAATCATTGCTATCCATGATTCAGTTTCATGTTCCCATCACCTGGTATTATCTATTAAATTCTATGGGTCAGATACCCCTAAACAAAACCAGAAGTCCAGTGGAGAGATATGTTTTACTAAGAAGTTGACTGGTTGCATCTCCTCCAACTATTGAAAAGTCAAGTTTCAAGTTCTCCTTAATAAAATGTTTGTTCAGTTAATTTATCCATATGGTTTTCATTGAATGTAGATTTATTTGAGAATTCAAGGTTGAAACAAATGCTACAATACATAGTCATTAGTTTGAAGCAGATAATTTCCAGTGAAAAATGTCCAAATTAGTCTTCATCAGTATGTATTTTTTAATTAGTTTAATGGTTCAGGACATCATGGTAGTATGGTTGTTTTCTTGTATAATGACTAGACAGAAAATATCAACAGCTTTCATCTAGGAGTTGTTTAGTATGTAAATGCATGTAAGAATTATGTGTTATTATTTATCTCGCCTGTCCTGCTTTATTCAATAATAGTATGGTAATTTGTAAACAAAATGACAAATACAAAAAAATGTCACCCTCCCAATACCAAACTTCCAAGTTTATTTTAACTAATAATATGTAAACACTTTTGACATGCAGGTAACCATATCGAAATTTTGGAACTTTTTTAAAATTTTGAAACATAAGGAAAATTTTTACTCCAGATATCACTCTTTCATAGGAGGGAGAGGAAAACTTGTCCGATATACCACAGTACTTGTTTTAATGTGACAGTAAAATTAAAGTCCTGAAGACATTATAGTAACCATTTCTCAAAATTTTCATCCCAAAAATACACTAAAATATAAAATTCATAGAATCTATTTGGTTGCTTTAGATGTCTCTACTACAATGAAAGTGTATTCAAAATTCCATTGGAATAAACATTGTATTTAATAGAGAAACTTATCTAAATACAACACTCAAGTACAGTTTCTAAGCAAACTTAATTTTCTGAGTTCACCTGAAATCATCTGGAAAATATTTTGTAAATCTACCTATTTGGTTAAAATTGAACAAGTTTACATACAAAACTTGACAGAGAAATGTAGATGTTGCTATGGTTGCCACTGCAGGAAAAATAACACCAGTCTTTGACTTTGCGTTCTAGGCGAGACAAAAACCATTTAACCATGTATTAAGAATATATTTCAGAAATTGCACTAGTTAATGTGTTAGAAAAGAATATTAATATTGCAGCTGAAATGATTAAACATTGTGGTACTGATAATAATGCAACACTTCTGCCTGTTACTCCTCCCTAAGATCTGGTTCTTATCAATGTGATCATTAACGTAAGCCATTTTATATAGCATTAAAGATGGCAGTTAGATTCCAACAAACACAATTTATATCAGTGTATTGTATTTACATCTTGATAATGTTACAATTCAAAATAACCAAAAGTTTCTTCAGTTCTAAAACCCATTCATTCTACTGTCTGCACTCTTCTGCCTCTGTCGTATTTAGTGTAACAAATGTTTCCATGGCTTCAGAAGGTTGATCTGGATTTGATTCTGTTGAAGCCTTCACTGCTGTATCGATTGCAGAGTTATCCTGTTTTGGGCTGCAAGTTGTTGTCTCATTATTAGTTGCCGAGTTATCCTGTTTTGGGCTGCAAGTGGTTGTCCCATCAGTTTTTGAGTCCTGTTTCTGGCTGCTAATAGTTTCATTATTAGTTGCAGGTTCATCTTGTTTTGGGCTGTTAGCTGCAGTTTCTGCTTTTGTGAAGAGCTGGATAGTCCTGCGGAAACCTGGAAAAGAGATTAATAAATTACAATTCTTTTCTCCTCTGCAGAACAAGAACTTCTGATCTAAAGGTGCCAAGCAGTGCCATAACATGATCAAAAATTTGTTTTACAGAACTTTTACTGTGTATGTACCTTTGCCCAAAAAATATTATCACATACACACCCTTATCACACACCTCCAAATTGTTAAAATCCAACATCACTAGCATCAGTTTTAAAGAACTCTCCTATACAATATACACATTGAAGGTGGAGTAGAAGACACCTCTAGTTTCAAAATACCAAGGAAAAACTGCTACCATATTCCTTGGAAACTTGACTGAATATTTTGAAAATTACAACATTAATGTATCCTGATACTGTATTTGAGCACAAGTTCATATACTTGTATAACACCTAAAGAATTTTACAACTGTCAAATTTTTGAAAATTTCTACAAAGAAAGGAGAAGAAAAAAGAAAATTTGTATTACCCTTATGGTATGTGGTAAACTTTGCATCAAATGTAATATCAACAAGACATTTCAATGTTTTCAATCATCAACATACTTGTGGAATTTCCATTGTAATTTTGTCCAGTACCCAGGGAATATCTACAGGTATCCCCATACCTTCTCACACCCTATCAGGGAATTTCGATGAAACAAACATGTACATAATATATTATAAAACTATACATACCTTTGGACTTGTTGAAGGGAGTGTCTACAACCTCACAAGTGGAGAATCCAACCTCTTTAGACAACAGGTAGTCTGAGAACTGCTCTGGCTTTAGAGAAATTCTTTTGAAGTTCTCAAAAATCTCCGGCTGAAAATACATAAAATTGTTTTCATTATTCTATAGAGCAAAGAACAAAGCAATTGAAACATTTACTCCTATTTGATCTTTTTCAACGACATGATCAAAATTGTTTCAGTTATTAAAGTGAGCAGTTTTGGAAATCTTGTGTTCCAAACTTTCATATATTCAATTTCCCTGATTCAAATAATTGGCAATACACATTGAAATTTATTTCCAAGGTTTGACTTGATAAATCACACATTATGTTATTAGTTCTGAATGGTGGCCATTGTAATAGAAAATATTTACTGTGAGCTTCTTCTTCTTCTTGTAGGAAGACCATGGCTGAGGCTCTAAGATCAGCCGTCCCCCTGGCCGCAGCTGCCGATAAATTCTCTTAAACATTCGCTTTAGTCCATCATCACCAAAATTAAGGTGAACCCATTTGGTAAGACTTAGAGCTAAGATGACATCATAATCTTCTTTCTGCAGTTCCAGTAATTCTTCTCTCTCCAGTACATAGTTACCCTGTAAACATGCGGACATTGATTTTGTGCTATATATGAACTGACAATATATTGAGCACATGTCTGTTTCAAACTAACGGTATGATACTACTTTTCCAATTATGTGAGCATGCAAGTTACATTTTCAATTTCTTGATCTAGTCTGAAAACTATCAGAGTTACAGTTCCTGCTTTGCTGTTTCATAAGAGTAAAGATTGGATCTATTTCTCCTAGAAGAAAATCAATCTCTAGCTCTTCAACAGCTATTTCTTAAAACATTGTACATTCTTTGGTTTTAATATTTCTGAAAATACCAATATATAAAAAGAATTGTAACATGTACAAGTTTAATTAGTGCTTTTTTAACGTTTATATTTAACATTGATATTTACCTGTACAAAGACAACATTGTGTGGAAATTTTGGAAAGCTGTAGACTTCATTCACAGGTGGAGCAGCAATTGGACCATAATTCAGAGTATTGGAGATTGGAAAACTTCCACAACCCATATTCTCTTTTGAGATGTAATGCCTCACATTTTTCCTAGCAGCAGCAATCAGACTAGAATCAATGTCAATCCCTATAATCTTTCGAGGATGCATTTCTTTTGCTATAGCCAATGTCACATGACCAACATTGCATCCAATGTCAATTGCATCCTTTCCCTCAAACCACTCTTTCCTGAAAGACATTAGCCTGTAATCATCTGCAGTGTCAGGATTTCTGTACCCATAATATCTATTGTAGTTGCCATAGACGAATTTTCCTTTTTTAGAAAACTGCTTGTTTAAACTTGAACAAGAAGCTGTCTTTTCTACAGGTTTTTGACTAAATTGTCTTTTTAACTTTTTTGGTGGTGTGATCTTGTCTAGATCTAGCGATGATCTTGGAGGACTTAATGATGTTCTCAAAATTGATCGCACCACTGATGATGATGGTTCAGGTTTTGCATCACTCATGCTAAGTGTCCGCCGTCGGCGTCGGTAAAATGAATTACTAGGTGAAATCTGTGGGACAACAGGTGAAACTATCTTATCTGCATTAGGAACATTAACTGTCACAGTCTTTGAATTTTCTGTCTCTGTTGATAATGCAGATACATTTCGTGTATCTGAAGCCATTTGGACGGCAGTGTCATCATCATCAATTTCTATTCTTAATGCTTCCAGAAGACCTTTTCGTTTCTCAGAGCAAGGCTCTTTCAAAACTGATGCTGACATAACTGATGATGCCGACGTGTTTTGACTGCAGTCTCCTTTTTTCTTATTTTTGTGTTGGCGCTTTTTCTTGTTGCGATTAGCACCTTTCGTTAAATTCCAGTCCTCATCTAAATTAAGGTTCAAAGGGTCAGTGATGTTTGTTGGAATATGAACCTCAACCTTTTGCCTATGAAGTGGAGTTGGCAAGGGTGAGGACACTGGAGTTTTCTCATTTAACACCTTGTCAATTTCCTTATCATTCATACTATTCAAGTTCAAAGGATCATTGATATTTCCTCCAAGAAGAAATTTTGTTGGAAGCACTATTGTTTCTGATGGCATGGACTTGAGCCTTTTCCGCTTGAAGCCAAATGTCTGGTGTTGTTGATTCGTCTCTGCACGAAACTGGCTAACGCGACGTTTCCGGACCTGTTTCCCTTCATTCTGGCTCTTATTGTCGGCGAATGAAAATTTTCTCAACGGTGGAGATTGGCTTGTTAACTGCTTCTCGCCACAATGGAACTCAGTGTGCTCGAACTGAGTCCGTGTCGGAGTCTTCACTTCGACACTCATTTTAAACGTTGATACAACGAATATGTGTTTTTATGTTGACATCAGCACGTGTACGACATAAATACGATTCAGTTCCGCCACCTAGCGGGAAATTACTTCACTAACAAAGTCGGACATCAAAACAGTGAATTGACCTACATATATGCCACTTTATATAGCATACCAGCATAAAGCATTCTTGAAATATGTAGTTTATGATGTTTACTTAACGTGAAATGTCCCATAAATGAATCAAGAAATGTCTTAAACACCGCTTTCCAGAAGGAATACCGCTTCAGCTCTCCTGCCTGCTCCGTGCTCCTGCCGTAGCAAGTGCTCTATGTGCGCATGAACACCGCAATGAGGTATGGGAAATAACATTCGGAACATAATCAAACGTAACACTTATTTGGATATAAAACCACGAGTCATTAGTTCACAGTCGAACGGCGTTGGCTGTCGTCTGTTGAATGTAAACATCGTTACTTTGCGGTTCAAAACTTCATACTTTACTGAAAACTTAAAGTATTTATACAGTAGAGTAAATGGTAAGTAAAAAATATTGTTTTTGTAACGAATTGGTTCAACACGTAGGGATACTTGAATTGATATTGATGTCGACTAGTTTTAATCTTACTCAGTAACGAGGGCGGGAAATTCGGTTTTTATTCTTATTCACATGAACCATATACACTGACAATGCGGTGATGACGCTGACCAACACTATTTCAGAAAAAATAAGGTTATCAGTGATATTTGGGACTGAGAATAAAATATTTGAGTCCTAGACTCATGATTTTTCCTGTATGACTGATTAAATTTCAGGAGTGTTCAATTCTGAAAACTTTACACTAGCCCAAGGGCTAGTGAACCAATTTTTCTCACTATCCCTGATCAAAACTACTAACGCCAATTTGGAATTTTTCAATTAATGCTGAATGCTGTTTTTTCCATGATTTTCTGTTTCATCAATAGAATTAATCACATCTGTGTTATGCAATAAAGCATTAAACATGTATAAATGAACAGTTTTTCTAGTTTCTGTACCATAAATTGACAATTAACATGAAAGAAATTAATTGTATACCACAGTTTAGCGATTCACCCAGAACTGCTACTTTCTAGACGCATGTAATCTATTCTCCCATCTCATTTCCACTGGGAAATCTATAAGGTAACTAAGCATACATTGGATCTGAACTATTGGTGCTAATATAAATGAAATTGTTATTCCTTTATTTCTCATAAGGAAATGTGTGACAGTAAAAGTTTTTATTTGTAAATTTGCAATTTTTTAAGTTTAAAGCCAACAAAGTTACTGAGTATGTATATTGTATATATATATTGTATATAATGTATATTTCAGAAGATGATGTTGTAAACATCTGTCAAGTATACATGTCTTCATTTAACTTAACTATTTTCTTATATTATCTGGAAAGCCAACATTGTCTTATTTTGATGTGAACATGTCTTGTGTGATGTAACACCTATCAAAGCAGTAGCACTAAGCACAAATGATCTTGTTTCAATTTCAACAGCATCAGGAATTCCTTAATTTGTAATTTAGAACCATATATCCAACGATCAGTGACATGTAAAGATACTGTCTCTTCATATTACAATCCTTATCTAAATTACCCCTGCAATTCTCAAGCTAGTTTACCAACAATTTGATACACTTAGATGAATGCATTTTTCACATTTGAGAATCTTGATGGACTGATGGAAACCACCTGTGGTTGTAAATTTTACTATCCTGACTAATGTGTACAGAAACAATTTGGCTTTTAATGCAGATTAAGAACAGAAAAAATTCACTAGCCCATGGGTTAGTCAGTGTCTCGGAACAGCAAGCCCCAACCTGAAATTTACTAGCCCCAAGCGTCGAGCTAGCAGAATTGAACACCCCTGAATTTGAGAGCCCACTACAAGATCTCTTAGTAGGAGGAATCATCAAAAGTTTAGAAATTATGTTCTGGGCTCATCTGAAAAAAGAATATACATAAAATATCGATAATATGAATGTAATTATGGTATATAAATACATTTTTTTGTAAAGGAAGAAGAATGGAGACTCCAGAGAACTCTAGTATTTCCAAACTAAATAATTCACAGGATTGCCAAGAATCGACAGAACTCGCAGTATGCAATCAGCAAAGTCTTGATAATGAAGTTGGTATTCCTATCTATTTTAATGTTATTAAATCACTTTTTTGTTAATAACAATAAAACTGGGGAATGGTTTGGGTAATGCTATCTTATTTCATGTACAGCGTTTGTTAAATAAATGAGAAAGTATTCCAAAATGTGTATCAATAGGAATTTTGATATGTACATTGTGAATTTTCTGTAATGCATGATGATATTAAATAAATAAATTGTACCAGGTACTTAAGATGTGAAATGTTCAATACTGATTTTCCTGTTATGACTTATGTAGGAGTCCATTCATCACCTTGAGGAAAAAGAAGGTTCACCATCAATGAATAACTATGAAAAAGCAAAGAGTCTAAATATCAACTTAAAACAGAAGAAAATGAAAGTTGGATTTCAAGCTCCTAAAAAGACATCAGCAGAAATGGTATACATTATACAGTTTTATCATTTACTAAATTGTTGTCCCAGCCCCTATAGGTATTGAAAGATAATCAGCGCCAACTACATTTCTCCATCATTGCTGAAGATTTCATTGCATTTACACATACTCTTTGTTTTGTATATACATCTCAAGTTCATTTCTACATTTATTTTGTCCATATGCACTGAACATTGAGAGTAGAACCACTCCCCTCAAACCTGATTTTGTGATGTGATCTAATTTTGTCTTTCAGTCATAATGATTTTTTATCTTCACTTTTGCATATTACAATATTAAAGGTGAAATTGAAAAGGCAAAATTGCAGGAAGTCATATCTAAATAATCTGAAAAGAACAAAGATCCACTAGAAGATTAATGTATTAGCTTTGCAATGTACATGTATATATTCAGTGTTTAAGTTTCTTAAGTAATCCAATTCCATTTATCATTCATAGTCATTTACCTTATGTATATATTACATATATCAACGGAAGGACATGTCACATTTTTAGCCTGCTGTCATCAGATGGTGAGCTGTTCAGTCAGTGGTCATGACATAAATGAAAGTTGATTGATAATGTTTTTTGTACATTCTCAAGGAATCAGATGAAAGTTTGAAGAATGACAAGGATGTAAAATCAGAAAAGAAGAAGCCCAAGAAATCTGGAGAAACACAGGTTAGAAAGTCATTTTAATTCCATGCTTTTACAAGGGTAAACACATTTTTCAGGTTCATTATAACCTTGTTGTACTGCCACCCATTGTACTCCCAGCCTTGCCTACCACTATCAGTTTTTTTTCAAAATGAATTTCTCTTGACATATGACCATGGTGGCTGATTGCTTAACATATCTCACCATCTTTGTTACTAGCTCTCAGTATCGCAGTCACAGCCTTTTCCCCTCTCGCCAGATCTGGTACGTCCTTTAACTAATCTTGCTGTTAATAGGAAGTGAAACAACAATGAAATAAACCTTCCTGACACTTCAATGCGCCATTGTAATTCCCTTTGTGTGCTCCCGATAACACTGCCATAGCACCACCAATGTTACCTGTGACATGGTCATCACAGCACAGCTGACCAAGTTCATGGATCAGTTATATACACTATGTATACAAATATACTTTTGAATGTGTGTTTTAGTGTGTTGATGTAACAGAATGTCTTATACATATGTCTCATTATTTCACAGATTTAATTTTCATTGCCTTGTGAATGTACTGCAAAATAGTGAAAATATCATTCATGTTAAAATATTTGGCTATACAGTATTTTCCCAAAACTGAGGAAAATGCAGGAATAACTTCCAAATTTCTAAATATCACTATATTTGCTCAATTTGCTCAATTTATAAAGGCCACAGCGGACTATAAAATTCATACACAATATAATAACACTGATGGTCTGAAACAAACATTGTATGATCTTGACTATGTAAGAAGTAATTTTGCTGGAGAATTTTGTTGTATGATAATATCTGACTTCACAGGAAGGTGATGAATCAAAAGAAGTGAAGCCGAAAAAATCAAAGAAATCAGTTACAAAACAGAAAAATTGTGCTGATAAACAGAAAGATCCTGTAAAACTTAAAAAGTCCAAGATACCAAATGTGGCTCACAGTGTTCAAGCTCCTTTTTCTGTAAGTCAAAGAAATAAAGATGAAAAAAATTAACTCAGAAATGGAATAATGTTTGAAGATGACAAGCATAGAAACTTAAAACTGAATTTTCTCTATTTTATCAGTAAATAATCACGAAGATTTGAAATGTTGACTTACATATAAAACTGAATTCTTGTTTCCATTTAAAGCCCTTCTGAAGGTGTATATTTGAATGTACTTTTGAGTTGTTCCAAAACAGATTTGCCTGTGTAAATTTTTATTTCCCGTCAAATAATTCAATTCAGACTCCTGCTTCAACTGACTGTAGTAAAGATAGCATTGCTACAGAAGTCAAAGGAAAAGGACAGAAAAAAACTGAGGTAAGGATTATTATATTTTGCATTATTCGATTTTCAATTTACAAATACATTAGAGCTGAAACGATTGTTCAAGTATTTGTTAATGAGGTCAGTTTCCGGAATTTTTATTCTTCAAATTGGGATTGTTACAATGTTCAGTTATTTCACCAAAAGATAAAGTGACTACATGTTGTTTTTTTTTATTGGTTCTGAAATTTTGCACAATTTCAGAAAAAAAGATAAAGAGCGTTACTTCCTTTTTGCGAGCATTACTTCCTTTTTGCAAGTTATACAGATGGATTTAACCCTAATAAAGTTTTGTTGAAGTCATTGGTATAGCTAATATAAAGCTCCTGAAGTATTTCTGAAATCTGGCAGACCTTATTACATTGTCATTGGTTAATACATTTTAACAATATCTTTGCTCTCTGTATAATTACATGTGTAACATGTATGCATGTGTAGTGCTCTTGTTTAATCTAGCAACCTTAAATGCAGACCATGTTTTCAGAATTTTAAACCTACTTTATAAATCTTCCTATTCAAAAGATTCACATTATGGAAATTCTTTTCCTTTCAGAAGAAAGATGACTGTACACCAGCCAAATCTTTGTCTGATGAAGAGTGGGAGCAACTCTTTCAGTCTGCAATTAATAGAGTCAGGAGCACACCATCAGAACAATGTAAATATTAACCTGTCATTTACCAGCATGCCTGTCAACTTATCAATCATTTTAAACTTTTATTTGTCTGGAGATCTTTCACTTTTTAGGAGTTTAATTTTACTGTAATTTTTATTAAAAAATTGCATTTTTGAGAATAACTTTGTAAGGAGTATTAGCATAGGATGATAGGATGACAGTTTTGATGGTATGCAAGTATTGACACTGGCTTATTATCATCAATGTCTCAATTTCTTTTTCATGACACTTGAAAGCTACTTAACCTTTAACTTTATAATAAATATTGGTTTTCTCTGTCAAGGCCTCTTGTTTTTAAAAACTATTTTAATCTTGTCCAGATCTCTTCACTCCCTCAATTTTCAACGATTCTCCATCAAACTTGGTTGGCTTCATCACCATGAGTTGACATGGAGTTGTGTTTTCCTGAACAACATTTTTATTTCGAAGAGCTATTAATCTTTGTTTTGGTTTTTCCTAGTATTTTAATCTCGACCAGAAATCTTCCTAATTGTTGATTAGCTTTTCACAAAAAAATGAGTTGTATTTTTCTTTACAATGACTTGTTTAAGTAGTGTTTACAAGAGTTATTACTCTTTATTTTCCATTATATCAACTTGAGATTCTTTCCCACAGTTTTGAATTGACCTCTTTGATATTTTGAACAATATATCATGAAAACACGAGACACTGTTTGATCAGTTGCAATTTTATTTTAGTAATTCTGAGGGAGTGATCTGATTGCCTTGTATATTTTCCAGTTTTTTTTTTTCTTGTCCAATGATTCTGTCCTTAGTTTTAGACTGATTTCTTTTGAAATTTCTTGTCATTTTTGAAAATGATTTACAATTAAATAAACAATATTACATAGGTACTGGAATTTAGAAAACAAAAGTTATAGCTTAAATAAATCCTTCTTCATGTCATTAAAATTTCATTTGTTGGCTTTCTAATAATGACATTTCATTTTTAATAAAGAAAAGATTCTTATCTTTGAAAAAAGCTCTGAATGATTTAAGATACAGCCATCAACAAATTGATGAAATACATTTAAGCTGTCAAAATCAAAAGTGATCTTCAATGGTCTGCAAGTCTTAAATGTTATGTTTTCTCTTGCAGTATTCAAACAAGATGAAGAGCCAGAACAAAATGTGGTCTCATTGAATGAGAATGAGGTGCAAAATAATCATGAACAGAATGAAGTTGAGGATAGCAAATGTAGGGATGCTGATTTAGAAGATGACAGTGGTGTAAAAGTCAGTATATCCAAGCCTGAAGTTGTGGGCCCAGAACAGATTCAGGAGAACTCCGGGAACCATGATTTACCTGTTGTAAATGAACACATACAGTAAGAAAATTTGATTGAGAAGCAATCACTATTCTTTGTGGAAAGCAAGAAAATAGTCATTAAATGGGGAAAAAAATCTTCAGTTGACTGTTCATTGTTTTACATATCCCTAATTACTTTGTAAATAGCCGATATTGTCTGTCAATGCTCCCATTAAAGAAAAATCAATAATTGGGCTTAGTCATATAGACATGATCACTAAGTCAAACAACCTCTTCTCCAGGAAGTTATCATAGCTGTCCATGACAGTTTGATAATTTACTTGTCTATATATTGCCATGAATGTTTTGGACTGCTATCTGTAGGATTACTGTCATAGATCTCCAGTGAATATAGATTTAAGCTTTAAATATATTCCATCCCATCTAGTGGTAGAAAAATTCTGTCGTTAGAAAGAGAATTCAATGACAATTTTTGGTCATGTACTATGTAAGAGAATTTCATAAATTTGAAAATGTAGGATGGGATTTTTTCTATATATAATACAGTAGATTCTGATATTATTTCAGTGAAATTTTCAGCAAAAGCTCTCAAATCCTATCTCGTCATGGAATTTATAATATTATATATAATTCTGGGTTTAGAAGGCATATAATGTGGCATTCAATAGCATTCACAACATTGTAGGATGATAGAGTGTGAACAAGTGCAAGAATTGAATGAGAATACACCTGAAGGTAGTGAATTGGAATTCAATGGTGAAGAAGATAAGAAACATCAACACACACCGGTGGTCCAATTGAAAAAAGCTATAAAAAAGGCTGACAGGAGCAGTGCTGCAAAAATTCTAGCACCAAGACAACTACAGTTTCCAAAACCAACAGGTAAGAAATTCATGTACATGTATTAAAAGATTAATGTAGATAATCCTATAGAGATCCCATTAATTGGACAGTTGCATATACCGGTATTTCTTGCTATATTGATTTTTCAGCCCACCTGGCCCATTTTTTAACTCGCTTGGCGGAACCTACTTGTATCTGTACCTCTGTTTGTTATCTGTCCAGTGTCAACTTTTCCATTTAAACAACTTCATGGTCTTTGGTTGGTGGATTCTTGACAAAGTTTATTGAAAGAAATGACCTTGACCCATATTTCAGGTCACAAGGGTGAAATTTGTTAAAACATAACCAAAAGTTCTAGCATATTGATATTTAGCTGGTAAGTTCTTGGGATGAAGCTGTGACCCATGACAGGGCAATGATCTGTCCTGTTGAACTTCATTTGAGATATTCAGTATGCCTGATTGCATTCTGAACATTCTGTTATCACCACAGAATTGTTATAACTTACAGCATACAGCAGATAGTTATAAGGTGAATGAATGCAGCTGGTCATTGTGGCTGCACTAGATTGATTTAATACAAAATTTCTTGAATGTGATTTAATACAAAATTTCTTGAATGAAATATGTTCATGTATATATTTTTATTTCTTTAGAAGATTGTGAAAAGCCAAGAAAAAAGAAAGACTGCAAAGAAATTGAAAATGAAGAGAAGAAAACTTCAGATGAGATCAGGAAGAAAGAAAAAGGGGAAAAAATCCTAAAGAATGAAAACGACAAAGATTATACTCCTAAAAGTAAAAAACAAATGTTGATGGAGAGAGAAATTGAAGAAACAGGTAAATTCTGTTGATGCTTTGTTGAACTCAGTATTTTGACCAAATAAATACCAGTTCAGTTCTCAAATGTAAAAGCCTTATAGTGTTGACTGGAATACATTTACCTGAACTGAAATGGTTAATAACTTTCAAATTATTATATTCGCATCACAAGTAGATAGCTTTTCAGTGACTGCAAATGTAATAGTTCTCCTTCATAATGCAGAGAGTTTTATGTGACTTCAATAATAATAAGGAAAAATTCCACTTTTCAAATTTTGTATGGAAATGTAAGTATTAGGGGTTGTCAAATATAATGTTACTTTTATTTTCGCCAGGGACATGGGTACAATGCTCCAAAACCACTTGCCACAAGTGGAGATTACTTCAGGATATCAATGACCCTACTGAAATTGATGAAAGGTGGACCTGTGATATGAACAAAGGTCAGCATCCACACCAAAAGTTTGAATATTCTGTTTTCTATTCTCATGATGGTGGGCTGTCAAATTGAAGTATGATCGTCTGTCATTGGTCCTTAAACAATTCCTGTTATCACTTTTTCTTGAGAAGTGTTTTATGGTTCATTTTTAAATTTCTAATGTAGGTATGCTTTTTGTCCATAGTTGTTCCCTTTAGATTTAGGGTATGATCAGAAAAACAAAATGAGTGACCGGCAAGGAACTTTGATTTTAACTACAGAAATTTGCTATCTCCATATCTCGATGGATAAATCATGCATGTTTACTTTTGTCCCTAGTTGTTCCTTTTGATTTTGGGACTGAAACAAGTGGCTGATAGGCAGCCATCTTGAATTTTGACAACAGGGTTTGTTATCACTGTTTCTTGAGAAATACTGGATAGATATTTCCCAAATTTCCTAGGTATTTTTCCCCTTGGTCCCTAGTAGTGTTATTTTTAGACTGATCAGCTTTGGATTTTACATTGAATGTTTGTTATCTTGAGAAATGCTTAATTTTATCGGTAGGTTACCTTCACTCCTTAGTTGTTCCTTTTTATTGGGGACTGATCCAAAAAAACTTCTTTTTAAAAGGCCGAAAGATGATAATGTTTGATTTGACGATTAAAGATTATTATCATTATTTCTTCAGATGAACTATCAAATTTCATATTAATTAAGAGAAAAATTAGATAAAAGAAGAAAAAAGACGGGGAAAAAATCTGACTTTTAAGAACAAATTAAGATGCATCAAACAATGGTGGGCACCAAGATCCCTCTACCTGGAATTTCTAATTTGTTGTCATTTATGAAGTTTTATCCAATCAACAGAAATAACTCCTGTTACACTCACAGTACCTTTACCAGCTTCTTGGAAGTATGTAAATAGAGGTATTAGTGAATACTTAAACTAATTTACAGCTGTTTTTGACTTTTTCATGGAGTTTCCATCAAATTTGGTATATAGAAGTCTTTGCATCTGCGGGAGGTAGTAGTTGTCTTCAGGATGACAGCTCTACATGAAATTATTGTCTTCATTGATACCAAACATCCTAGGAAAGACCCATAAGGTTTCATAAGGAATGGACCACTGAATTGGAAAGTGCATTTGTCCTAATTCTAAAATCCTTTCTTTATAATTTGTTATAAGATTTATCAACTTTTTCCTGTACACTCAAACTTTTAATTTTAAATTTTAATATATGCATGTAGTTGTACTTGATTGCAAGTGTTTTGTGACTGGAAATATGTCCTGATTTAGATGTAAATTATCATGGTTCTCATTTTTAGACTCAACCTACAACAGCTGTGAAAAGGCAGAGCAGGATTATGATGAATCTGAACACTTCTACACTAAATATTCTGAGGGGAGCATTGTGTGGGCCAGGATGGTTGGTTATCCATGGTAAATGTTTTTCATTCTTTGATTTCATTAAAATTGTTACTAATTTTGTATTGCTCCCTAACATTTTCAAGGAAGGAGATATTTGCTGCATTGTCTGTCATTTTCATCCATCATTTTCGTTTCCAGACCACAACTGTGTGTACATCAGTTACATGCACTGTACTTAATTCAACGCCCACAATCTCTATCTCCAAAACAATTTACAATAGGAAAAAAAAAATCACTGCTTTTTAGCATACATGTAAATTCAGCATATGAGTGTTAAAACATAAATGTAACATGTTAAAACATCATCTTTTCCTCATCCAAGCTCTCCATATTAACATATTTTATATATATAATACATAGCAATCCTCTAGTTAAGCTGTATTGGGGGAGCATTCACCAGCTCCAGAAACTCTTTCATGATTTTGTCCAATATGTGGAAAATTGACCACTGTTGCATATCAGAGGTATACAAAATGTTCCTTTTACTTAAAAGAAAATACATATGTAAATAATGAAATGTTAACACAGATTTGATCTCACAATTTCTTTCATGATACTTGATAGCTATCCTTTAACATTTATAATAAATATTGCTTATCTCAGGTGACCATCAAGGCTGCTAGGCCTCTTGTTTTATTGGTATGGGTATTCACTGTGTCTAAATGACTTTTCAGGTGGCCAGCTATGGTGGAGATTGATCCAGACACAGAAACATTCTTCGAACTTGTATCAGAAAACAGCATGTTTCCAGTAAGATCTTAAGCAAATACCGTGGACTATCATGGTATAGTCCAATATGTTTGAAATCTTTTCCGTTTTATATTATATGCTTGAAAATCTCCTCTAAGCAACATACAAGAGACATAGTTCTTGCTTTCCAAACCAATTTGGGGTAAAGTCTTTAGAAACAAAAGCTGTCTGGTGTAGAGATCATTGAACTACACTTCTCCGAGAATTGAAAGCTGTCTCATGAAGGGAACATCACACCATGAAGTACATTGTCCCGTGTTGGAACATTGAGCCATACATCTCAAGACTTCACCTTAGGTTTTAAAGTTGGATGCTCTACCAGGTTTTTATTTCCTCCTTATCAGTTTTGTAAACATTATATACCTATGGATATAGCAAATGTTTTGTAGAAAAACATAAAATTCTGTTTAATATTTAATCCATAAAGGGGTGAGAGCATTAGCCTTTGTAACCTCAGGTGAAGATTCAAGTGGCTTGGTTTAACACTTCCTTCTTGTGGCAGTGTGTGATTCTTGGGTATGAAAAAACTCTTTGTTCTTGTGGTGTGTCCAGTATGTTGTTCAGTAAGGTAGCCACCAGTTGCTTCAAGGAAAACCCATGCCTGCCTGTTCACGAGGCCATGAACCTAGCAAAAAAGAAAAGATAAGATAAATAAAAATGAAACCTATTCCATTAACTTTCATTTATTATATCAAGGAAAGTTATGAAGAGAAAATTGATATTTGTTAAATTGGTTAAGTTTCTTTGTTAATGTTTACCCAGCATAAAATTTTCATATTATGATTATGAAAATGATAATAAAAAGAAACCTTCCTATATAGAAATTGTAACATCTATACACTTTGTCTCCAGAGTCACTACCATGTAGTATACCTAGACAACAAAGTTTCCCGTGCATGGGTGAAAGCTTCAGCAATTCTACCTTTCCACCACAGAGGTGAAGACTTAAACAAGAGCCTCTATTTGACTAAGGTAGGTGTACCAAAAACAAAGTATTATGCTTGCTATAGCTCCATTGTTAAGCTACCCTGACTGTTATAAAAGATATTGGAATATTTTGATTTTGAATGCTTTTCTTCTGTCTTGAGCCCACCTCATCTGATAATTGGCTGATAACAAATCATTTTGTGTCCATGGGCTGTCACCCTGACCATTCATGAATAGTTCTTTTGATAACTGTTCCCAGATACTGTCACAGGATCTTTCAGAAACGTAAGGAATATGTCTTACATTTGCATATTACATTTTGAAATTGAACACTAGCGACCATCTTGATTTTTGTAATTTGAAATTTGTGATCAATCTTGCTCAAAATTAACAGGTTTCTTTATAAAACCTATGGGAGATGACCATTATAATTCTTTGATTTAATTGCTTAAGTATTGCTTGATTAGATTGATTCAATATATATAGATGTCAATGGTTTTATGGTTGATGTTCCTCAAAAACTGAAACTTCAGGGAAATGATCAATATGCAACTTAGTTTTCGTTATGGAGACCTTTTTAGTTATTTCAGCCATCTTGTAACAAAACTGTCATCAAAACTAACAAGGTATGAATATTGAATATATGCCTCATGTTTTTACGCTCCCTGACGGAAGAGCATGTAGTTGCCATTTTGTCCGTCTGTTTGTTCATGCATTGGTCCGTCAGTCATAGTTTTGTTCAGATCATATCACAAAAACAATATGAGGTATCAACATGAAACTTCATAGGTTGATAAATCTTGATAAAGAGAAGTGCAGTGTACAAAAATAACAACTCTCTTTTGTATGATTTAGGAATTATTGATACTTTTTTGTCTGGACATACTAAAAGAATATGTACAATGCCAAATAAAAGGCCAGGCAACTTCTTAATTACAGAACTTTTTCCCTTTGATTAATTTTTGTGTCAAATAAAGTCATTTTCAGGCAGCATTAATTTCATTAGTTTCACTAATACTCTTGTGTCTAACATATATTAATGTGACCAACATGAAAATTCATATAATTTTTTGGCACCATATTTATTGCCACCCAATATTACACAGTAGTATCATCTGATTCTTTGAGATCCATGTGTCAAAAATCAGCAGTGAATTTTTGTATTGTTCCAGTTTACTGGATAAAGTATGGTGAATATGTGCTTGATTCTATGAAAAAAATAACTTGTCATTTTTGAAAAGAAACACATTTGATAAATGTTCTGTTTTAACACCTTCAGATGATTTAGCTCTGTATGCTGGTATTTTTATTGTTTCTTAATTTAGAGATCAAAAGGACCAAACTTCAAGAAAGAAATTGATGCAGCAACACAGAATGCATTATCTGCTCTTGAACTCCCTACAAAGGTTAGACAATGTTTCAAAATTCTCCAACTAACATCTTTTAGCATACTGGAAATGTATAGAGTATGTGGTACCACTGATCTTCAGAAGTAAAACATTTGATATCAATACTTCATATAGACATTTGTATTTACATTAATGCTGTTCTGACAAGCATTGTTTCTGATAAGGAAGGGTGGGAGATGCTAGTTAAGATATACCAAACCAGTGATAGTTGGCACTTCTTGCATAAGACTAAATCCCACCACCAAGTATTCATGAGTGCTTCCCACTTTTTTTAACTTCACTATACACTGTTTTTACAAAACTCATTATTAGGAAAATTTGAATGAGTTTGTTATTCAGGGTATCAAGGTTATCATTAGAAAATGAAATATTGTCAACCAACTCAGAACTGGATTTCTACTGAGGGATTCTGATACAATATTGCTTCTTTACTAAGTACTTAATACCATGAATGCATTAGAAGGGTCACAACATTCTCCATAACAATTCATAAATGGCTGCTGCCCAGTTGGATGCAAAGCAGGAGACAGCCATAGAACTTGTGCATAGACAATATTCTTCCATGTAGCTGCCCAGAGAATTTTTATAATTTCTTAATATATTAACAAAATCAATTGTTACAATTTAATTATATTATTTTATTTTTAGATGTCAGACGATATCAGACTTGCACGAGTTCTAGAAATAGTTGACCTAGATTTGTTTAAAATATTGACAACAAACCATCTTAATTGAATTATGGAATCTTCTCCAGAGAAACTCAATTCATCACCCGATGAGATCAACCAAAGCAAGATTCATTGCTTAAATGGATCAAACTTGCAAGATAATACCTCAAATGAGCTTGTAATTCATGTTTCTAAGGTCAAAGTCGCTGTTATTATTTACAGAAATTTGTGAAATACTAATGAAACTTAATTTGCTTGAGAACAGGTATGCTCAGGCCTTTTTATGCACCCCAAAAGTTTTTTGGGGAACATAAAGCTGCCGCTTTGTCTGTGTCCAACCATCTATCCTTTCCTGTCCTTAGAATAAATTTGGATCATGAAACTTGGTGTATACGGTGCAAATACTAATGGAAGTGCAGTATATAAAATTCAGGGCTCACATCTCCTAAATTACAGAGTTATTGCCTGTTGAAAAATTTCATGTCTTGCAAGGATAATGGAACTTGGTGTATACCAGCACATTTATCACACTAAGACAATGTGCATAGTACCAAATTTTCAGGGATCCGGAACTCTTGATTACAGACTTATTGCCCTTGGTTAAAATGTCTTGTCCAGAGCATAACCACTTCCATTTAAGCTAGGTTAATGAAACTCAGTGTATACGTTTATCATACAAAGGCAATGTGCAGTGCACCAATGTTTGGGACTGCAAACCCTTAATTACAGAGTTATTGTATTAATAAGAAGAAATAAGTAAACTTCTTTGTAAATAAGAGACTTAGAGTCAAGATATTAGGTCAGTAGCCTGCTAAGATGATGGTTTTTTATGTGTGTGAAAATGAATTAACTAGCCTGCTTTCAAGGTCACATAGGTTAAATGTGTTCAAGACTTCAAATATATAATAAACAAAAACTGATTGTGCTCTTCAAAGTCCTCTCTTCCTGAGCCTTCAATCAATATACAATAAATGGACCTCCTGCTTTATTTTCACCATTTCATGTTGTAAATGTGTTTTTCCTTTCTTTCAGGAGAGACTGAAACAGTTTGGTTTCAGTGTTCGTTATAAAGGCAAGTGGGGTGAGGATGAGGTGAAAAGCAAAAAAAGTAAGATTGCAATTCTTTTTCTTGAGTTTAGCTTAAATAAACAATTACTCATTGATTAAGTTGCATGAATACATAACTAAACTGGCTCCATTTATGTGCAGATAAAAAGATTAAATTATTACAGTTGAAAAAAAATGCTGTTGTTGCTTGATAGAGATAATGAAAGTTGTAGACAATGTCCAATGGTAATTTCATTTTTCACATTGGGAAGCACTGATCACTTAAGATGCATTTTGAATGTATTGCAAAATTAAGGAACAAAAGCATGCATGAGCTAGGACATGTTAAATCAAATTTTACTTGTACATATCCATATCATAAAAAAACTATGTATCATTGTTGAAATTTGAATTTTGTACATAAATGTATATGTTAATCTTTGAGTCATAATAACACATGCACAAAGAATACCACATCAGTAAACAAGAATGGCTTAACATGCATGGCAGATGGCAGAGATTGGGACTTGTATTGTATTCTGATGGATTCACTGACAAATTGACCAAGTGGAAAAGCGTTGCATGTTGATTACAATGTGTATCGCTGGAGTGAGACTTTTACAGAAACGATGGCTGCTTCGTGATTCAGAATTAAATTAGAGTTATCAAACAACGTCTACTTATCCATTTATAATTTGGGTGCCAAAAAATGGGTGTTAACATACTGTTTCACTACATTCTTCTTCACCATTACATGTGTTTATGTATATAGATGAACTGCCTCATTTTCAAAACTGTCAGATGATGTTACCAGATCTAAATTTAAGAGAGGTTTCCTGAACGACTGAACATCTTGATATCATAGAAGCATAACAACATAAAGAGTAACGTTTTTACAGTGATATCCCACTATTTTCAACAAAAATGGGGTTTACATGTATGGCTGTGTACACAGTGGATAAGTAATATGGGATCAAAACCTTAAAAGTAAGCTGTTAGTAACCATAAACAAGGCCTCCGAACTGGTCAGTAGGGAAAGATTTAGAACATGTAGCCTACAAGAAAATTTGCTCAAGGTAAATATTCTTGCCCTTCCAACAAAATATTAGTCTTCTCCCAGAGTAACATTTGTCCTATAATCATAGCAACATAAGTTTTTTTTCTCTAACTTGAAACTGCGATTTATTAAATCAGCTAATCTCATGACGACCAATTGTGATCACCTTTTGGTCCAACTTTTCGCTTCGTAAACTGTCTTCAATTTTACTAGAAACCTTTCATGGCCAATAGCGACCAAAATTATAGATAAATGGTCTCCGCCCCCTGAAGGGTGGGCCAAAAGTAGTCAATATGACTCAAATTTCAAAAATCTTTTTCTCAACACCTAGATATTGTAGAATGAAAAACTCTTCATGGATTAAAGGTTCTTTAGGTGCTTTACAAAAATTTTGAATTTCAAAAATACAGGATCTCACATTACCCCCTGGGGAGAGGTAAAGCTTATTATAGTTTATGTGGGAACATCTCATTTTGGGCATAGTTTAATTATTTGTATTCAAAAATTCTTAACGATGTGGTTCAAGTTTTCCTACTTTGTTAACGAAATTATTTCTATGACATGTTACATGAACAACAACAGAATTGTATCTCAAGTGACATTTAAGGCCCTTGGGTCTTTTGTTTTCATCCTATTGACAAAAGGACGAAATGGGCAAAAGTTATACTGCAACAAAAAATATTCTGTATACAATAAACAAAATTGATATATAAATGATTCTGTTCATTTAGAAAAACTCAAGTCAACATGCATTATAAACAAGTTAGATCTAGATGATCATCTCCCTTTGACTTAAGTTTATCAGCTGAAATAAATACAGGTGGCAAATCAAATGTATACTCTAGAGTTGTATAATTTAGGGGTTCTCAGTAATTACTGATGAAAAATCAAGAAAACATAACATTTAGTTTGATAGAATCTCGATATGAATTTTTCATATTAGGTATGAAACACATTTTAATTCAATCATTATAACAGGTCCAATTAACTTAACTGAAGTGCTGTCCCTCAAATTGAAACAGTTTCTTTTCAGTGTTAATTTTGAGTTAACTCCCTTTACACACCTTTATAAGTGAATTTTCCTTGCTTATTTCCTCTAGGGTAAAATTCTTTCGATGAATTGTGCAGAGAAGAAATAGTCAACTGTTGAAAAAAGTTCACTTACCATAAATGGTCGTTTGTACCTGTTTAAATCTTGTTATAAATATTTCCAGAATAGTCAAGTGAGAAAAAATTAATCTAAAAGTTTTGTTACCCTGGCAGTTATATATACATCCAGTGTATTTTAATTGCTTCAGATTTAGTAACCACAATGTAGGAGATCTTATTTTTTTACTTCTGAATATCATCTGAAAATGTGCAATTTGGAAAAATATCTGCATGAAATATTCTGTCTCGCAAACCAAAGACAAGAGATTTGTTAAAAGTTGAAATTGAACTTTAATAACATTTTGCTTCAACAGTAAGGAAGCATTGCAGAGTTAAGTTGACCCCAAAGAACAGCAAAAAGAAGCTCAAGAAACCTAAGGAACACACCACAGGCAAACAGCAAGAGCTAGTCATGTACATGTTGGACTCCTCCACTGTGGATGAGATGCTATCTGAGGAACCAGAATCTGTCCTGAAGGGAATAGAAGAGGTGTTAGATTCCCTTGGAAGTGAGATACTGAGTGATGTTAATGGTAAGTCTTCAGTTATAGGTGTCTTACAGAGTATTGAGAGAATGTATTACCTCACCTGGGTTCAAGGGTGTAGTTTGTCATACACCTTGCTTCAACTTATTGGGTCACCTGAGATAAAGTCTCAGGGTGACCTATTGCGATCCTCTTTTGTCCAGCGTCCTGCATTGTAAACGTTTAATATTTTCGACTTCTGAGAAACTCCTGAACCAATTTCAATGAAATTTTACAAAAACCTTACATGGCTAAAAGTGCATTTAAGAGTAAATGATGTGGTCCTCAACCTTCAGGGGCCCGAGGGACAGAGCCAAAAATGGGTCAAATAGACTGAAATTTCAAAATTCTTCTTCTCAGATCCCAAGTATGGTAAAATCAAGTACCCTTCATGGATTAAAAGGCCTTCAGATGCTTTACCGAAATTGTAAATTTCATGACCCCAGGAGAGAAGGGGAGAGGGGGTTAAGTTTACTATAGTTTATACAGAAAAAAATCCTATTTTTGAACATGAAATGCACATATTGAACTCTTGAACTCAGCTGACCCCTGGTGGAAAAAATGGGTCAAGTTTAAATTTCAGATGTTCTACTGTTTCTGGATGGAAGATTTTATATAAGAAAATTCAAATTCCTTAAAACCACTTCTCCTGACTAACCAAAAGGTGCAGAGGTATGGTATATAGTTGATAGATTCCTAGAATAAAGCTCAATAAAAATGGCAAAAATGACCTTGCCCCTTACAGAGGTCACAGGGGTCAAATTTGTTGAACTATTGAAACTCCGGATGAAGTAAATGATGCAGAAGCATGGTTTTTGGTTGATAGGTTTCAAGGATGAAGTGCAGCAAAGTTTGCTGAAAGAATTGACCTTGACCCACCTTCAAAGTCACAGGAGTTGAATTTGTTAAAACATTGACACAACTTCTGTTAAACCAAAAGTCTGAAAAGCAGGTGGATTTGGTGGAAAGGTGTTTCTAGGTCAAAGTCCAACAAATTTTGAGAAAATAAAAGAAATAGCAATTAAGTTTAATCCAAGTCACAACTGTCATTTTATAGAGTTGAGTACTATAAGCTGTTTGTTGTGGAAATTGGTTAAGACTGATTGGATGTACCAACTTTGAATGTCAGTGGTGTACATGTAAATATATTTGTGAATATCAGGTGAGTCATGCAAGCCCATTGGGCCTCTTGTTCAGTTTTGAGGCCTTGACCTAATCATGATTTCTCTTTGAACATTCTGATGTTACTTAATGTTTCCATGTTATTTTATACCTTATTACTTTGGCTATCTTTAGATGAAGACTTTGTTCCAACAATATCTGAAGACAAGATGTTCACAGAGTCTACTGAGACCAGAAAGGATGTTTCTCCTTTAAAGAAACCTAAAGGTAGGTCAATAAATCTGTTAAATAGTGGGTAACTGAAGAAGGCAAAGGATATGAAAAGTGGAATACTGGAAGGATTCTTGCAAACTGATTTTTGTCAAGTGTTTACTTCCTTTTTCTTGTTTTGTGTTATTGTTGATGTACCTAGTAGTTTAAATTTCATCTTATTGTTGATGTACTGCATATTTGGAATTTTACAACAGCTGTTAAGTTGATTTACTGCTTTAAATGTAGACTGAGTTTTGATAAGAAATCAGCAAATTCTTTTATGTATATGGAACAGCGGAAAGCTCTGAGAGGGTTTAGAATACATTATATAAATTCCATATATTTTTAAACAATTGTGAAACAAGTTATAGGCCTGAACATAAGTTGGGGTTGGGTGATACATCCACTCAGGGAATCGAACCATGGACAGCTGGGTCAAAGTTGTGTGCTTTACCACTGTTCCACCCTACCACTTGTTGTTAGATGCTGAACTGGGCCTTTCAGATTGTTGTTTACTATCTCTTTTTCTCCAGAACTAATTGTGAAGGGATCTTCTTTCATAATAAATAAATTATATTGGTTTTTCTGTATGGGACCTATAGAAGCATTCCATATTTGAACTTTTCGAGTGTTGACTTGTCAATCAATCTTTTCAGGTCAGTTTCATGCCAATTAGAAGTCTAAATTACTCATTTCACAAATTTGAGCATATCTCAAGCACTGTTTAAAGTAGCTTCCAGCTACAACAAAATTGTCTCAAAAAACTTTCAAGATACTGGTAACTTCTTAAAAACATCTTTTGTACATGAAAAATGTAGCCCAGTAGTGCATTTTTCCATATCTTTCCTGTTTTTGTGAAAAAATACAGTTAAGTCACTCACCAGTTCTATATTTAACATGTAGTCTAGTTACACAATCTTCTATGTTTTTGCTGTTGTATTGGAAATGTTTGTTATTGTTTCCAACAATGACAAAAATCAAATGCATGATTGTTAGGTCATCTGACCCAGGGTCATGATGATCCATAGCCATAGTGCTTCGTAAGATTTCATTCAAAGTAGACAAAAATAATCCTTCTCCTTGTTTTAAGTTTTTGTAGTCAGATGATCATTATGGCCTGTGGTCATCTTGTTTTTTGAGTTTTTTTTTCACTCAGTGTTCACTGTCCATATTTTTTCTTGATAAATTCATCTTTATTTTCAACATTTCTGTGGGTTGCAGATCTGGATGACTCATCCTTTGTTGTACATCATTCAAAGTAATTATTGTATATTTCCTTATCTATTGACAGGAATAAAAAGGAAATCCACATGCAATGAAGGAGGGACAAAAGTCTCTAAGAAATCTGGAAAACAGAAAGATGAAGATGTGTACGGAAAGACATTAGAAGAAAGGAAAGGAAAGGTGAAAACGATCAAAAGACGGAAAGTCAAAAATGCTGAAAATAATGGCAATTTCCCAGTTGAAAATGCAGAAATGAAAACTAATGATTGTAGTCTTTCAAAAAGTGATGCTTGTGATACCATAAATACAGTTTCAGCAAGGGAAAATCATCTCGCAATGAAGTTTGATAGTGATATATTTACTATGGAATTAAATGATGAAGAAGTAGAAAATCCTCCTAACGGCAGACAGAAGAGTAATTATGTAGCAAGCAATCCCCCTTTCACACCCGAGAGAAAGTATAAATCTGAAGCAGTAGCAAAGCCAAAGAAAAAGAAAACAAAGAAAAATCTTTTTGCAGTTCCAGAGACAATTTCTAATGGGAAAGCACTGGGTGAATGTACCAAAAACAGTCCTGATGAAACAGTATTTCAAAACAAATCATTTACAAAGAATGCTTCTTCATCTAATAAGGAGGATTTGTTAGAAAACAAAACACTTGAGGCAACAGAAATAACCTCAGAAGAAATTCCATCACAGAATAATGAAAAGTGTACGAAGAAAGATGATGGTAAAGTTGTACAAAAAAAAATGCCTCAAAAAAAGAAAGCATGTTCAAAAAAAGTCTCATTTTCAGCACCTGCTACAGTGACAGTGGAACTTAAGACAGAAATTTCACCTGTGAACAATGACAATAATCTTTTGCCCTGTAATGATGAACAAACAGTACCAGATATTCACTCACAAGAATCAGATGAAGAAAATGGATTATTACTAGACCTACCTGTATGTGAGAACAATTCTGAAATACAAGAAATCAAAATAACATCTGTATCTACATTGCCTGCAGCAGTTGACACTGAAGATATGTATGACTCTGACCCCTTTGATTTAATGGAGGAGTAATTGACGAGCAATGCCTTGAAAAAAAATTTGTTTAAATTTAGAAACTATCAATTAAGGTATTAGAAAATGGAAGAATCGAAGTTGTTGAACTGTTCCACTTCTCTAACACGATATTAAATCCTCAAAAAAAGTCTTAATTAAAAGCATTTTTTTCAATACTTTATATGATCATATTACAAATTGCATTAAATACCCATAATTCAATCTAGTTAAGGATGTATTTGCTTCAGATTTCAATGTCATATTAGAGATAAGAAAATTTCTTGACGTTATGAATTAATTTTAACTATTTTATTTTAGTATGAAATAAGTAATATTTATTAAATATTATGTTGAAAATAGTTTGTTGATAATATTATTTTTTATGTTTGTTAAGATATCGAACCTATTGAAAAATATTTATTCAAAATAACTTGATCTTTACAACTGCTTGTTTTGAAATGACTTCATGAATGGCTTTTTTTTTGCCTTGTATTTGCACCTTCATGACATGTTTAAAAAGTTGGCATTGCAATAGGACATGTTTAAAGTAATAAATAGACTTACAAACAATTATGGTAATATTACAAATTTTTCAAAAATATATTGAAGTCATGTGATTAACATGCAAGATATCATTTGTAAAAACAAGAAATGAAAAACACACTTATTAATATGTATACATGTATATGTGTACCAGTTATTACAGCAAAAATCAACAAAGTTGATACAGAATTCAAAATCATAGCCAAGTTATGAATATTGCAGTATTTGAAAAGAAAATGTTGACAAAGATACAATTTATTTTCAGTAGATGGTTCGTTTTGTTGTTTTACTTATTATGTTATTTATCGTCTATCTGTTTTGTTACCCAGTTCCTAGTTGAACATTACTGGATATGTAATGAAACAGCCTTTTATCAAAATGTTAATGTTGACCATAATTTATAAACTGTTATAGTGTTAACATTCTTAATCTTGGAGTTATTAAATTTAACTTAGCACAGTTGTGAATTTATACACTCACAGTACATGTTATATAACTTAATCCTATCAGTACAAAACGCACACAAAACGACAGTAATGCTTAAATATGTATAAGTACAGTATGCAAAGGTATATATCTGTCCATATTTAACCACCAGGTATTCACATTTAATGTATTCATTTGTTAGTTTCATACATACTTTTTATGCTCCCCGAATGTAAGCATATAGTTGCCACTTGGTCAGTCCGTCCATTTGTTCATCCATTTATCCATCTGTCCGTCATAATTTTGTCCGAAGCATTTCACAGAACTCTAAGAGGTATTAGGATGAAACTTTATAGGTAGATAGATCTCGATGGGAGAGTGCAGTGTACATGAATCATAAGTCTCTTTTGCATAATTTAGGAGTTATTGAAACTCGGAGTATTCATTGGTCATACTAAGAGAATGTGCAGTTTACCAAATTCAGGGCCTACAACTTATGATTACATAATTATTGATTGAATTTTGTGTCCAATAAAGTTGTTTTCTGGGAGCATTCATAAGTTTCTCTGATACTCTTGTGTGTATATGTGATAATTTTGATCTGTTAATTGGTGAAAGAGAAAGCTTAACAAACAAGTTTCTGAATTTCTTTTTAAAAAAGTCATATTTTCTTATATAACACTGATTTATTGTCATTTGCAAATGAGTAAATATCATGATTTGTGGTGTCACATATTGAAAGACATTGACTTGAAACATTGTAACATTTGATTTATTGTAGTCATAAAACTTATATATAAAATATATAACCATACAAGGGTGTTGGATTCTGGTCATGTTTGGTGTATGATATAATTTCTGATGCTACTCATATAATTATTTCTTTGGTTTTTCTTTAAAGTAATTAATAGTTACAGCCAAAATACATTCCAAATACCACTTTTTTGGTCTAGGTGGTAAATTTCCATATACATCAGTATGCTGAGACTGGAGCCATTAAGAAATTAAGTTAAAAAAAATAAAATAAAAAAATTGTCATTTCCTTTGGCAGATAAGCACCATAAAGTTATCATTACACATTTACACTTTGTTCTTGAATGGATACATTATATCAAATGTTAGACATATCACTGATTTTAATTTTTGTCTGAGAGGAAGATGTTATCTATTCTTTTCATATTACAATTATTGTTGTTAAAATCCTTTATTTATTGCATTTAACATTGTTCTTGTTAAATTATATTTACAGAATCCTATAAAGATGTTTCGTTGTTTATTTTTAATTAAGTTTTTGTTTAAATGACTGCATATACTTTTGTTTTTGTTACCAGTTGTTAATCCTAATTTATTGTTTTACTGATGTTTTAACTTGTTTCGTGTAAATATGGTGTATAAATAGGAACATTGATATATGTTTGTCTAATGTTATAAAACCATTGTTTTACTCTCATCTTGTATGTAAATATGAACATTGATATATGTTTGTCTAATGTTGCAAAACCATTGTTTTACTCTCATTTTGTATTTCACTTCTAAATTAAAAGGAAAAATTTCCAAAATTATGCTTAATAGATATAAAGTTGTAACTTGATTACTCAAAGTAAGAATGGTATCTGAGAAATTTTCATAAGGATCAATTTGAAAGTGGATATTGTAGAATTTCTGAAAGCAAATTTTAACATGTCACACCTGTTTTGTTTACACTATATGTACTTGAACATTTATATAAAGAACCAACATCTCCCTAAAATGGCTTTAGCATTAGAAAAATCAGCTAACTGAAAAAGATATTGGTAAACACTGGAAAAGAAATTCATTTGCAAAAGAGGATTAAGTAAATGATAATAACAAATTCCATTGTATGAATATTATTCAATGTTAAAGCAATATGTTCTGCTGAGTTTGGTAAAAGAATGAACTCTTGTGATAGAAGAAGTTATACCAATAGTCCTTCTCTAGTTTATATTTACATATAAACTCCCAGTTTAGAGACATGCAATCATCACATGAGTTTGTTTTATGGCAAAAGAATTATACATGTATAATGCTATTTGTAAATGTTTCAGTAAAAATGTTTCATCCATTGTTGTTTGTTGAAATGTTTTAAGAAAGTTAAACAATAAATTGTTTCTTTTGTTTGTTTTTTCTTCATGCAATTTTTCTAAGATCACTCCAATATAATTAGAATCTTAGTGTGTATATTTTTACCCCCACCCCGACCCATTTCTGTATTATAAGGTCACCCGAGACAAAGCCTCATGGTGACCTGTTGCAATGACCTTCATCAGGTGTCATGCATAAGTTAACAATTTAACATTTTTCAACTTCTCAAAAACTCCTTCTCTGCTTTCAATTAAATTTTGCAGAAACCTTCCCTGACCTAAGATGAACCAAAATTGTGAATTACACAGTCAGAAATCTTCTTCTCAACACCCAGATATGGTAGAATCAAATGTTCTTCATGGATGGACATGTTAAGGTGCTTTACCAAAATTGTTAAATCCATGGCTGCAAACATGCCTTCACCGAAGCATAATGAATTTTTTATTTTTTGAGAAGTTAGAATGTTATCCTGTATTTACCATTCATTGGATGTGACTCCTAGCATGTATTGGTATACCTTATGTATCTTACAACAATGTTATTAAATTAGAAGTATATTAAAGACTTACAGTAAAGGTAACCAAAAGTGGAAAGGATTTTGTTTATAATCACTATGTTAGTACAATGATGTTGTCTTGGACTGCAGTATAGTTGTGAATGAAAATTATTTTAACATTGACATATTGCAAGTCTGAAGAGGTTTTTTCATGTGATTTTTTGGAGATGCAACAAAAAAGCAATCAAATTTTTTACAATGGTGGATGTTGATCAAAATTAAAATTATCAAATTGATATTTTGAAGATAAACATACACAGCAAACTTGGTCGAGATCTCTCTGTGTGTGTATGGTTATGGATTACATTGAAAGAGTTCTGCATCTTTCAGTTGATATCTTGTCCAGTAAAAACTTACACGGATCTCGATGCTTCCATGTTAGTTCAACTTTGTATGAACTTATTGTATAGGTAGAGGCTATGGTTGTAACTTTGGCTTTGATGGACCTGCTTTATAAACTAATTGCCCCCCTTCTACACCCACTGCTGACCCCAGAACTTCCTCAGATATTTAAGCACCCCATACATTGACAAATCAAGTGTATCTAGATAGACTGCACCCTACCTGTAGTAGCTGCTGCCCGGAGATACACTTGTGGGTCCCACCATGATATTGATTCAATTACAGGATGAGTATTTTTGGTTTCCTGTCTGTTGATTGTTCATTTGGCCAAGCAGACTGGCCAGAGTAGTCGTCTGTTGGCCTATGATCTGTTGATGGTAGGCTTGAGTCGCTCTTCCTTCCTGATGATTGCTGGTGTTGTATGGAATCTGTGAACCCAATCCTTGGGGTTGGCTTGTTCTGGTGGAAGGACCTATATGTCCCTCTTTTGATGATTGTTGACTTTTGGTTGACCCCCACTGAAGCCTAACAAGTGGTTTCTTTGTATTTTTGGCAAATAAGTTGTGCATACCGCACATTGGAAATGTCTGAGCCAATGCCTTCAGCAGAAGTTTTTGCTGACCAACAGGTATATCCGATTCATTCAGATCTTTATGCTCCAACAATGTCAAAACTTCCATACCCAAGGTTCAGTGAAGTTTATGATGTTTTGGCAGAGAGGTGCTGCCCATTTTAGGACCCTGCCTTCTTCCAGGTCTTCTCTGCTGACAGCCTCCTAAATAACTACATTAGATTCTAAATCTGTCATTGTGTGTGGTTCTTTTTTAATTTTTCCATTCAGGATCTTAAAACCAGGTCAGTGCTGGATGCCTGGACCTGGTCACTCCACAGTGCTCTTGGGAATGTGACTGAGCAGGTCGGTGCACGTGTAACCTACAAACCTGCTAGGTTATTAATGGCCAGAACCTGTCAAGGTGAGGAGGTGATTGGCTGACCATACAAATCCCCTTCTCAGACAAGAGAGGTCCCCAACGTCCTACTGCCCCAAACTTGATTACATTGGAGCACTGGCCCCAGGATGACTGACCTGATAAAAGTTAGGGGCACCTGACAAAATGACACTCCATCCAACCTCATTAATACTGAATTAATTACTTAATACCTACTTTGTGTGTCTTTTTTTAATCCTTCCAGACTGCTGATGGACTTTTAGTCCCAGAGGTTTGCCGTAACCTGCATGTTACGGTTTAATTTACTTGAATAGCCTGCATGTTACGGTTTAATTTACTTGAATAGCGGCCAGTAATTGACGTCCTGATATTATCATATATATGAAATTTACGAAAACTATTTAATTATAGGGCTATTACATCTCTGTGTATTTCTTTCGATCGCTTTCGGTGTGTCTGGAGTCTCACTTGCAATCTAGGTTTCAAAATTTAGGCCTTCAGCATTTCCTAGAAGAATGAAACAGCTGTGTGATGCAGTTTAATTTAGTGTATGGCTCTAGTGTACCCAGTTCTAAATTTGATAAAAAAACTGTTATTCACTTGTGTGTGTCTGTACAATCTTATGATAATGGGACAAAGTATAGAGTAACATGACTTTTTCCGTCCGAACATCTATTTTTTTTATACATTTCAGCAGTAAAACTAGCAAACTGATCAAAGGAGGCAGGTCTGGACACCCAGCTTGATTCTGATACCCATATGGTTTAGAATGGGATTAATTATCTGTCCATAACATTGTTCGGCTAGTTAGTAGGTACCTACTATATACCATCATCCCACCCTACTGATAATTCAAAGTGGGTGTATCGGTTTTCTATGCTGTCCTCTAAAGAGGAATGGGGTTTTTGATATATCGTTTTGCATATTTGATAGTTGATGTTGATTGTTCCAGACTAATTTTTGTTGCATCTCTTGTACCAACTTCTGATCGAAGGAGAAAGATTTCAGATATTAAGTTTGATTTCTCATGTTTCCTGTACCTTGACCACTATTTTCGACACAATTTCGTTGAATTCAAGATTTAGTCCATTTTGATCAATCAACGATCACATTCTAACTTAAATTTAATTAAAATTCTTCATCCTTATTGGAGGCGTACACCCTGTGTTTACCGACTCCCCAAGGTGCAAGGCCAACTTTCCTTCAGCCGTACTAAATGGGTATCCCCCTCCGTTACCGTGAGAAAGGTCACACATTTTGAATTCAATTTTACGGCAATAATTTCACTTTTCTCAAAGATGTATTGTGTATTGGAAGCCCATTTATATAGAAATAAAAAATGAGTTGGAATTAAGAAGGTGTGTAACCTTTAGATATTATCTCGATTCGTGAATACTACATAAACAATAGCGGTTATCAATATTTACACCTGGAAGTACATGTTCTACCAGTTAGAGTCAGAGGGTACAATATCGAACGATACAGCCTGTCGCTTGTTGATAACATAATGGTGACTTTAAAGGAAAATTAGTGACTATTTATAAAAGAAAATGTATATCTAAACCAGCACTGCATATCATGGCGTAGTCTAAAAGAAAGGTGTCTCGTTCGCTTAGCGTTTATTGTAAATCAGATATGCCCTGTGCCACTGTATCTTTCATTAATCTGTTAGCCAAGATATATCAACACGTATTTAAATCCTCATGTACTATATGTACCCAGAATTTACTGTGATAAATTACCTTGATATCAAAATATCACTAAAACAGTAATATCTAACACTCTGACTATTGCAAATTAAAATCACTTGTTTATATCTGGAAAGTTTCATTATTTCCCAACTTTTCTATGGGATGATCGTTCCTGTCCACAACCTCTTCAATTAATTATCTACATGTGTACGTCGTTTATTTTTCCTGTTTTCTCCACTTAATACGAGCGTTTGTAAGTTAGTAACATTCATTAATTGTCTCAGACGTCTATATTTACCTATTGATGAATCAGATAGGATGTCAACTACCCTTTGACTTAAATATTATATAAACAATGGTTATCTGTACAGTACATTCACCTATAAGTGTTACTAATAAAGGTCAGAGGTCAATAATCATGTGTTGTTGTCACACCACTTTGGGTAGATGGGAGTATCCGTCACTGATCTTCTATACCTCTGTGGATGAACTTGAGCAAGCATGCTGAGAATGGTAGCCTTGCATGCTTTGATAGCGACTGTTGGATATTTAGTTGGTAAGTAGTATAAATTAATCTACATATTGATTGATAAATCAAAACATTTTTTTTTATACTTTTAAAAGGTACGCATGCAATGTTTTAATTCAATCAAATAGTGTCACGGTTCAGAACATCAAATTAATAGATCATAGAAATCATGACATTTTTACATTAATTGGAGTTAGTACACAACTGACCTTATCTAGAGCAAGTACCACAGTAGCCTACTAAGTATAAATTTAAGCCCTCAACATCACTGACAAGCCTTAGGACAAACAACAACATGAATATGACGCGCTTTAATTCTTTATTTGGCTCAACCATGTACAATAACGACTTTTTTTAAAAAAAATCACTTGTGTTTTGTACGATTATGAAGATATGAAAAGAAATATCATTGTGAGTGATATTCAATATTGAAAATTTGAAATAAAAAGATTTTTCAAACTTTTTGTTATTATGAACGATGCCCCCGATTTCATTTTACGTAGAATATGATTATCTTCTCCACTCTTAATTGGATGGAGTGTGATATTTAATAGTTTGTGTTGTTTCAGAAGCGTGTATTCATATGTAAGATTGACGTAAAATTATTGTTGCTTGAACCAGGAGACTTCGTAGTAAAGAATATGAAGAATTCTCGTCTATCGACTGTAATTAATGTTTATGGTACATAAATTATGAATCAAACATGTTCATTTTCGGTTGTGATGTCTTGGATTTAACCTTTAAAAGGAATAATGCACCTTACCGTTTTTAATATGATTGGTAGTACTGTTTTGTTTGGATAGTAAGATGAAGGTTGTGATTGTCTTCGGGATTGATAAGTGATTACCAGTAATTACGTATGCATTTATCTTTAATTTCCTGAAAGATGAATAAAATTGTAAGGCGTATTTTTATTCATTAGTCAGCATTTAATGTATCCGTAATTCTCTCTATCACAAACCTTGTTCTCATATTTGATTTAGTACACGTAAACGGCAACCTAGCGGATGACCTCGGAGACTGTCTACCATTTTTACCTCGGACACAGTATGTGAAATCCTACGGCGACGTTTGTCTGTATCTTATTACTGGAAAACGCTCCTGGAATGGTGCCAATTCCAATTGTCATGGTCATGGAGGTCGTTTAGTGCAGATTCAGGACCAAGACAAACAGGATTTTATCTACAACACATTAAAGGCCATGAACTGGGGAGACCGGGGGGTATGGATAGGAGCCACGGACCACGATAGTGAGGGGAGGTGGAAGTGGACAGACGGTAAGTTTTATAAGGTCATAGGTCATGGTGACCTAATCCGATCGTTCTTCGTCCGTCGTCGTCTGTCTTGTACTAACATTTTTGCTAGTGAACTCGGTTATTTGTGTAGATATGAATGGATATTGATGAATCAAATATCTCAAATGTGTCCGACAATGGGACCGATTTGATAATAATGTAAAGAGTTATGGCCCTTTGTAATTTTATTACTATGCCCTTTATGAGTATGATAGCTTGAGTAAATATGAACAGATTTTGATGAAACTTGATATGCTGCCTTGTATTATTAAGATCTCGGAAATGTTTGACAATGGGACCAATTAGATGTTTGCAGAGTTATGGCCCTTTGCTTATAAGTTCGGTTGAGATAAGTCAGGTGACCGTTTAGCTCCATTGGCCTCTGTTTTTATCGTAGCATCAGATCAGCATGTTCTGCTTCTGAATAGTGGGTGGTCATTGATCAAGGTCAAAGGTCACCCTTGACAACTTTGATTTAGGTGTGGGGTATATTTGAGCCCCTGGTCACTCTTTTAATCTACAACCTGAAATACCGGTTGTTCATTTCCCTAAATTAATATTGCCTTTGTTTCTCAAATTCAAATTGTTAAGCATGTCCATTGTGTAAATTAAAAACCGACCAACATTTCTTGTTCTTGTGCGCTTAACTGATATTCTTGATATGTTTATGTTACAGGTACGAAGCTGTCTTATGGAAACTGGCATCCAGGTGAGGGACCGGCTCACGGATTCCTATTCTCTAAGGCAGGATACGAGGACTGTGCCCTGATGCGACTCGACGATAGTGGACGATGGCACGACTACGACTGTGGGACAATTTTGTATCATCACACATCTATATGTGAATACCGTAAGTATCCTTATCATCACACATCTATGTGTGAATACCGTAATTACCTGTATCATCACACATCTACGTGTAAATACCGTAATTACCTGTATCATCACACATCTACATGTGAATACCGTAAATATCCTTATCATCACACATCTATATGTGAATAAGTATCAAGCCTTTTGAAAGGACGATACCATGAAATGATATTTTTGTGTGTATTGAATAACTCACAAGAAAGCGTTTATCTTTTCCAATCTTAACGATCCGTTTTATTATTCTTCACTAGGGATTAGTGTAAATAACTTAAATAAACCTCACTTACCTATATTTGGATATCTAAGTACCGTGTGGTTATAAAAGTAGGCTAATGTATTTGATGTCGATTGGATGATTTTGCGTCGAGTTTTACCGTACTTTTGGTAATATTTTCACTAATGAGTCCTTTTGATTCTTCGTGAGACACGTCTCTGTGGTGCACCCTTGTATATTCTGCACTGTTGATATCAATTATTAACCTATATATCTCAATCTTTTACTGGAATTCGAGTTAATATATTAACAGCACTATCACACACAATTCATGGGACTTTACTTCCTTTCTAGGGATTTATGTAACAGTATAATCCAGGGAGATGTTCAGTATACTCATTATATCTAATAATTTTACAGAAAAAGTTGTTCGAGCTACAACAATGTCACCGACAACAACAACAACTATGCCGACGACAACAACAACAACTATGCCGACTACAACAACTATGCCGACTACAACAACTATGCCGACTACAACAACGACAACTATGCCGACGACGACAACAACTATGCCGACAACAACAACAACAACTATGCCGACAACAACAACAACTATGCCGACGACGACAACAACTATGCCGACAACAACAACTATGCCGACGACGACAACAACTATGCCGACAACAACAACTATGCCGACGACGACAACAACTATGCCGACAACAACAACTACGCCAACAACAACAACTACGCCAACAACAACAACTATGCCGACAACAACAACTATGCCGACGACGACAACAACTATGCCGACAACAACAACAACTATGCCGACGACAACAACTATGCCGACAACAACAACAACTATGCCGACGACAACAACTATGCCGACTACAACAACAACTAAGCCGACAACAACAACTATGCCGACGACAACAACAAATCAAATGAAGACAACAGGAATGCCTGCTATTACGACAACATTCGGAGGCATCAAAATAGAATTTGGTACACCACCTCGTGGTAAGCCCTGTTGCTTAGTGCCAATATGTTATGATCTATTTAGCGACGGATGTAAAATTTTATTAACTTCCCTTCTGAGATATTTCACTTGATCAGATGTGTGGTTCATCATTTGTGAATATTTCATTTTGAGTTCTTAACGCAAGTCAAGCATATAACTGTTTCCGGTTTTGCTGAAAAGTCAAATATATATATTGACTATTCTGTGTTCGTATGTCAGGGTTCCAAGATGAAGGTAATTTTACTATTTATAGAGAAAAAACAATTTAATGGCAATATTCTAGTGACTTATTTGATCTTAGAATTTGAATATGATTTAATGATATCATGAGAATATAGCATTACTATTATATAGTTAAAATTAAAAATGTTCTTAAATCTGAAGTGAAGATATATTCACAGACTACTTGTTCATTTTGTTTACAATGATTTACAAGAGATGTTTATCTATTGCTACTTTCCTCTACAGCTCAGAGAAGGAAACTGGTGGAATCTGACAGTATAAAGGACGCAGTGGTGACGAGACATGATGACAGTGCTAACGATAACACAGGTAACGATCAAACAATTATGTACTTAACAAAACAGGAGAACTTCATCAAATGTCCCATAACAGACATTTGATCATTTGTTAAAACACGGCTGCATTATTAATGGAGTTTTCGAATATCTGTAACAAAAATGCAGTTTACTTACGCTGCTAAAAAAACAAATTAATAATAATAATGAGAATGATAATCGTCAGTCATTGGACACTTACACACTGTCGGAACAGCCCGACAACTGATGGAATAGCAAAACAATTTCGCGGGATCGTTTGTCAACTACAGAAAATAATTTTACAATAAAGTCATTTTTTTACTAAATTTTTGTGACATATTTTCAATATTTACATTCCCATCCACATATTGCTTTAAATGGTCTTGTTTATGCGAAATGAATTGACAGAATTAAGACAGTAGAACAAACAGAACAGCGGACTCGCACTATATTTTTACAGTAAGCGTACAGCCGTGCGGCTTCCTACTGTTACTGTTAAAATTTCAATTTCACTATTGTGAATTTTCCATTTCGGGATAACAACATTCCTGCATCCCAAACCAATGGTGTTTACATGTCGCAGTTGAATCGATATTCATGGACCAGTTCCTATTACCACGTTTTTCGTGCAAGATGTCTTCCAACTGACGAACAAACACGATGACAGATTTTCAATGGTACAGGTTGATAAAGATAATGGGAAAGCTTACGGTCGTCGTATTGATCTCTTTGAGAAATGTTCTATTTCTTTGTGCAATATGAAGCTGGACGAGTTTAATGCTCGTTAGTTGGCTGTTGGTTCCTTTGTTTTATACCCTGTTCTAATTTCATTTGAGAGCTTTTTTATTGTTGTTTATCCAATTGTAGGAACATACATTGCTATCGGTGCTAGCAGCTGTGGAGTTGTAATCCTGGTGGCGGCAATCCTAACAGTGTTATTGAGGTAAACATTTCTCTGATTCCTCTTGTAGTTAGAAATGGTAACTTACATAAGAGAAGGATAGAACTGGGAAGAATTTAAATAATTTTTGGATATTTTTTATGCATGTAATGCATTTCCACAGTACTGAAATTTTTACCTTATAATATTGTATCTCTATCTCTTACTTTGTATTATCATTTATTTGATGAGAAATTGCTTTTTATGTTATATGACTTTTAGCCACCTTGTTTTGTCCATCGTCGTGTGTCGTTTGCCGGGAACATTTCAAACTTCTTCAATAAATGCGATTGATCCGATACTTGCTATGAATAATTCTGAGATTGTTCTGAGATGTGTTCTGCTCTATTCACCAAGATGGCCGCAATATTGAAAAAAAAACCACGTTTTAACTTCTCAAGTTTCACTGATGTCAATGAACAGAATTTGGCATGAATGTAAAGAAAAGGAAGTCGACAATGTGGTGTTACACATTTACGTCCTCGAAACTTTGACATGGCTGTCACGGCAGCAATTTTTGAAAGTAACAACTAAACAACTATTTTAAACTTCCCAAGCTTCATATGTGTGACTCAGCTCAAATTTGCCTGTAAGGATCCTTAGAAGGTCCTCACTAAACGTTCTTATTTTTCTGGGTCAGTCCTGAATTCTAAATGACTGCCATTAAAGAAACCCACGCATGTTGAACCTCTTCTTAAGTTCCACTGGTGCCATTGAACTGAAATTTTGTGGGAAGGAGGATAAACTGAATTGAACAATATTGTGATTTTTATCACCTTATCTTCTATAATATCGTTATTGATTTAATCATTTAATAATTGATTACACTACCACAACTGCTAGGTCTTTATAGATGACCGTTAAGATCAATGAGACTCTTTTTCAATGAAAAATTGAATGGTGTCGAAATAGCCCGGAAGTCCTGAGAACAATAGAATGTATATGTTTTGTATTTCACATTGATGTTATTACGCGTATTTTATCAGAATGTCTTACGAACCTGACTAATCTTAAATATTTTATTTAATAGAAGACGCACTCGCCAGACAGAAGAAGAAACAAAAGACAAAACGACCAACACAGAGGGAAATCCTTTATATGATATCATGCATGGAAATGGAGCTATCCCAGAAAATAGCTTCCCGTAAATGATTTAAATTGCTTGATGTCCAAACAGGACTTACGAAATGTGTAATTCGGAACTCTAAAAAACTTGGAGCTCATTGATTTGTCATTATTGCTGGTAAAGATTAACGTTAATTGTCACACTTTGTTTCTTATATAAATTTATGTCAGTTGTTATAACAGGAAAATGTTAATATCTGACCGTCTTTAACAGGAACACTATCATTACGCTTTATCAATATACCAGTGACTGTGTAACATAATTGCTATAAGTAAGGTCAGTAACATATAATCATTTCATCGTCGTATCGTTATTAATGATATAAAAAAATATGCATTTACGAAATAATCGGCAGAGGATGAGCTCAACTGAGAATGAGATTAAGGTTGAAAGTAAGCACAGGAAAGATGGACGAAGGTAAAAATAAAGTATGGGAATGAAAAGGAGATCAGAGGAAAGAAAGACGCGAGACAGAAAGGTCAAAATGAGGGTGAGGGAGGAAGATCGAGATGAAGCAAAGGCATGAGAGAACGAAGTCGAGAGAAAGCAAAGAAGTGAGGGTAAGAATCAGTAAGGGGCAGAAGAAAGAAAGAGGAAATCAGAAAGGAAGCACGGAATATTGTACAAAAGACCCGCAAGTGAATAGCGCCTTTTAAAACAAATTCAGAATCGGATACAGTAGAGCCAAGCAATGAAATAAACTACGCCATACATCTGTTTCGGTCTTCAACTTGTCCCGTGTCAGTGATTTAAGGGCCTTGAAGCTAATGAGGCGACTGAGGAAAATGGAAAGTGATCAAGAAAAGGTCAAAATCTAGAGGGGGAGGTGAGAGAAAGAAGACGAAAGGAATCAAATAAGTGAAGGAGGGGTCAAGAGCACGTAAGAGAGTGGGAGAGGAAATCGAAATGAAGCATAGGAATTAGAGAAAGAGATCAAAAGGGAGCAAATTAGTCAGAGGAAAAAGAAAAAAAAAGTGAACAAATTAATGAGGGAATGGATCTAGAGGAACTTATAGAGCGAGAGAGGAAATTCGAAATAAAGCATCGGCACGAGGAGATCCAAATTATATACAATAGAGAGGGAGATAAGAGAAGATACTGAGAGAGGGAGATCCAGAGGAAACAAAGGCGCGAGATGGGGAAATCCTGAGGGGTCAAATGAGTGAGAGGATGAAATCGAAAGGAAACAATGGAATGAAAAAGGGAGATCGGGAGGAAACTTGGAGTTGAGAGGGGTCGGTTGGAATAGAATATGCAAATAAAAGAGGGAAACGGGAGTGAGAAAGGTCGACAGAGAGCGCGGGATTTGAAGATAAAGCTATGGCTTTGTAAAATTAAAGACAGGAGATTGAGAGGAAACATGAAAGGTCGAGAGGAAAAATGTGAATGACAGAGGAAACGGCTGAAACGGGCAGATATAGAGGAAGAGTCAGTTTGTCAGACAGCGCATGACAAAGAGAGATGGAGCCTAAGGGAAAAACGAACGTCGAGAGGAAGTGTGGAAATCGGAAGAGTTACAGAATTTGACAAGACTGAGAGAATAGGCGCCTGTGTAAGAGAATAGTCAACAGGAAACCCGAAAAAGAGATAATTATGACATGGAAAATGAGGGGGGAAATGAGATATTAAGTTCACGAGAAAGCACAGAAATGAGTGGTTGAAATAAGCAAAGGTGTTATCTACATGCAATGGGCATGCCAATATATAAAATAAGTATCTGCTGTAAATTAAAGGTATCAGTAAAGAAAGGAAGAGATGAACGTCAACAAGAATTGATGTAGTAGAGAGGGTGTGGAAAAGAAAGAAGGTCTTAGGAAGATGTTTGATCATGACTTTTGTGTCATCGTTTAAACGACGGAACCTTTCATCAGCGATTGTATTAAATAAAAGAAATTCTGTTTCATATTTGTGTTATGGAGTGATTTTCTGGAGAAGGATATACTGTTGATACTGTTAGAATATATGTGAAGGTATTCACCTACCAGGAGTATTATCCTTGAAGCATTCTTCATTGATGAAAGGAAATTGACATCTTGAATTCTAGAAACTGACGAACATGAAAGTTTGGAATACCTGAAGAGCTATACCAAATCGTTAATTTAATCAATGAAAATACATGCTCTGAACCGACACCCCGATTCATAATATATTAAATATATGACGTAAGTGACCTACATATGAATAGCTGGACAATGGACACGTTGCTACTATTAGCACGTTAACGTAGAATTTTTAGTCCATTATCATCAGATGGTCGTCCATTCAAATCGCCCCGTGTCTGTGGTCTGTCTGTCCAACCTCCATGTACAATTGTGAGTTGCATTTACGGTTTACTCCGTACTGATGTTTACTCGTGGAGTCCATTCATTTTCAGAAATTTTTCCGTTTCATGCAGGAAATGAAAACTGGGATTTTCATCCACTTCTCTCCATTAGACCCCAGTGCTTTTGACTGGAAATTTGACGAATTTTCAAAATTATTTTATTGATTGATAGGTGCAACCCACAACTTGAACGGACGAAAAATTGCAACCCCTATTGATTTTGGGACTGATAAGTAAACACTCTAGCCTGGAGAAATCATATATTAGTAGCAATGTAAATCAGGTGGGTTAATGTACGTAGTGATATAATCCTACTAGGTACGACGAGATATATACCTAATACAACGGGAAGGCGAAATATAAACATGATGGTGGCTTTCTAACATTTGTATTTTCGATAGATTGAGTGTAGAAAGCTGGTATTGTAATAAATAATTTTGTCTTTTCAGTGAAGACGAAGTTTTCCTTTTATATATATTAACGGGACATCCACTAGGTTGTGGGCTTTTCTGACACAAATATTGCCAAGACCTATGGAAAATAATCTGTATAAACATACGCTGTGTATTTTTTCAGTATTTATATAACAATGATAATCAAGAAAGAAATGTTCCTTACCATAGTCAAGCATACATTTCTTTTCATAATAGCAAAACAAAATAAGAAGAACTGCGACGGAAATCACATTTGTAAAATATCTCCTAATTCGCATTAGTTAGCTACCTGAACTAAACGGAAACAGACAGCAGCATCACACAAAAATGTTTTCATCAAGGGGGACCATGGTTGATGTGTTTAGTGTAAAGAGATCAAAGCAGTCTAAAGAAGACCAAAGGGTTTCTCTAGCATGTTTCATAGGGTAAACACTACACGATGTGTTGTAGGACATCTCTCACTGATAGCGAAGACGACGGACGGGGATGGCCCATTAGGTCTTCAGTATTTTCAACTTTTTTGTATTTTTCAAATCTAACATTATCTTTTAAATATCAAATAATGTTGGTTGCTCTAGGTACCTTCCGTTACAATGTTTATGTCGATTCTTAGCTAAAAAGCTATACAAAAATGAATCTGAATGGTTATTCGTTAAATCTACATAACATATTCGCTTATGTACCGTCGTAAGATACTTCGAGAATGTCACCATACCATACATGTAACAATGTTTCTGTAACATAATTGTGCACACAGGGACCTGTAATAATGTTTCTGTAACATAATTGTGCACACAGGGACCTGTAAAATGTTTCTGTAATATAATCGTGCACACAGAGACCTGTAAAATGTTTCTGTAACATAATCGTGCACACAGGGACCTGTAATAATGTTTCTGTAACATAATCGTGCACACAGGGACCTGTAAAATGTTTCTGTAATATAATCGTGCACACAGAGACCTGTAATAATGTTTCTGTAATATAATTGTGCACACAGGGACCTGTAAAATGTTTCTGTAACATAATCGTGCACACACGGAGTTTGTATACGTATATCTGTCATCGAAATATGTCAATTGAAAGTGAATTAACTACATGCCAGCGTTGTTTTCACTTGAATCAGTCTGGATTTTAGCAAACTAACAGCGAAGAATTTCATCTAATGTAATTAAAAATATCAAGCTGCAAGATTGTCATAGTCTCTCAATTTTACGGAAATAAGAAGGGATTAGACAGTAGGAAATTAATGGTTATAAAAAAATTAAAAAGAAATAAACAGAATTAGATAAAACAATTGTAATTGATTGTTTTAAAATCTAAAACAAAGAAATAAATAAAATTAGATAAAACAGTAGTAATCATTTAACAGTTTAAAGCTACCGTTGACTTAAAATAAGAAAATAAATCAATATCCTTTACATAGATGCTTTATATGTAGTTAATCAGTAATTAGTCTACAATAGTATAAGTTTATAGTATTCAGTGTTTATATCTGTGTAAACGTGAACGTTCACGCATCTGATATAATCTCGATTTGTGAATAATATATAAACAATATATATCTATACATCACAATGACCTATAGATCAGAGGTACATCGATCGTATTCACCAGCCTTTGTCATCCTATCTGATGTGAAGGATGGGTGTTTATCTACAAGAAATTTAGGTATCAGGTTGATGACCATTGGATAATATTGTCACGCCACTTCTGATTTGGGTAGATAGGTATATATACTTCTCACCCATGCTCACCTCACAGAAAAGACAAAGCCAGCATAAACAACAGCAATGGGAAGAACAGTAGACCTGATACTTTTGTTTGTTATCGTAGCAATATTATCAGGTATGGTTTTCAATCCCAATGCAGAAATAGGAGAATAGTCAATCTTTAACTTTCTTGGAATAACTAGAGAGAAAGTTTTGTAAATTTGGGAATACATGTTTAAATCTTCTTTGCTAAAGATTTACCCACAGAAAGTCTTAGCAGTATATCTCTTGTTCAGAAAGGATCGCGAAATTTAAAAGAGATTAGCAAAGATTTTTTTTATTCGACGATAGAGCATATTTATCACAAACAACATTCTCTTTTCTTACTTACAGTAAATGGAAGCCTTCTTGAGGACCTTGCGCAGTGTCCGGCTTTCCTGCCAAGGACTCAATACGTGAAGTCGTATAGCGACAAGTGTCTCTACCTCATTACTGGAAAACAATCTTGGAATGGTGCCAATTCCAATTGTCATCATCATGGAGGTCGTCTAGTGCAGATTCAGGACCGAGACAAACAAGACTTTATCTACAACACATTAAAGGCCATGAACTGGAGAGACCAGGGGGTATGGATAGGAGCCACGGACCACGAGAGTGAGGGTACATGGAAGTGGACAGACGGTAAGTTTACACGTTATCTATAACAGGTTCAGAAGCTGAAGTACATGTTTCCCGTTAACATTCTTTGAACTGTTTGGATACATATGTCATTTCAAGTCAGGAATTGTCGAAGTTTCGACATGCTGATGGCATTGCCTTTTTTCTATGCACCATAAGGCCACCTCAAGCCGCTTGTACGTTTCACGATATTCCACGTATATTTACAGGTACGGTATTATCCTACGGGTACTGGCGTCCAGGTGAGGGACCGTCTCACGGATTCTTATTCTCTAAGGCAGGATACGAGGACTGTGCCCTGATGCGACTCGACGACAACGGAAGGTGGCGAGACTATGACTGTGGAACGGCTCTGTATCATCACACATCTATATGTGAATACCGTAAGTATCCTTATCATCACACATCTATATGTGAATACAGTAAATATCCTTATCATCACACATCTATATGTGAATACCGTAAGTACCTGTATCATCACACATCTATATGTGAATACCGTAAGTACCTGTATCATCACACATCTATATGTGAATACCGCAAGTACCTGTATCATCACACATCTATATGTGAATACCGTAAGTACCTGTATAATCACACATCTATATGTGAATACCGTAAGTACCTGTATCATCACACATCTATATGTGAATACCGCAAGTACCTGTATCATCACACATCTATATGTGAATACCGTAAGTACCTGTATCATCACACATCTATATGTGAATACCGTAAGTACCTGTATAATCACACATCTATATGTGAATACCGTAAGTAACCTTATCATCACACATCTATATGTGAATACCGTAAGTATCCTGTATCATCACACATCTATATGTGAATACCGCAAGTACCTGTATCATCACACATCTATATGTGAATACCGCAAGTACCTGTATAATCACACATCTATATGTGAATACCGTAAGTAACCTTATCATCACACATCTATATGTGAATACCGTAAGTATCCTGTATTATCACACATCTATATGTGAATACCTTAAGTACCTGTATCATCACACATCTATATGTGAATACCGTAAGTACCTGTATAATCACACATCTATATGTGAATACCGTAATTACCTGTATAATCACACATCTATATGTGAATACCGTAAGTATCCTGTATCATCACACATCTATAGCTGAATATCGTAAATATCCTTATCATATCATATCTGTCATTTCACATATATTGTTTTCCTTGGTTTCAAAACATTGATATCACTACACGTAAAAGTCTTAACATGTTTGAAATGATACAAAATCATCTGATTCATCTGTATGTTTTAGGCAGAAATATTTCTTTATCTTAGGTAAAATTTCGTCCTATATAATTATCTTTTCATGAGAAATAATCTGTGCGTGCGTTGAATTTAATTGTTTGTATTACAGAAAAAGTACCGATCACAACAAAAACGCTGCCAACTACCACAACAACAGTTGCTACTACAACAAAACCTATAACTCTACCAATAACAACAACAACTTTGCCAACAACAACAACAGATATGCCAACGACGACAACAACTATGCCGACGACGACAACAACAACTATGCCGACGACAACAACAAATATACCGACGACAACAACAACTATGCCGACGACAACAACTACTATACCGACGACAACAACAACTTTGACGACGACAACAAATATGCCGACGGCAACAACGATGCCGACGACAACAACTATTCCTACGACGACAACACCTATTCCTACGACAACAACTATGCCGACGACAACAACAACGATGCCGACAACAACAATTATTTTGACGACAACAACAACTATGCCGACGACAACAACAACTATGCCGACGACAACATATATTCCTACGACAACAACACCTATGCTTAAGACAACAACTATGCCAACAACAACAATAGTCAAGAAGACAACAACAAGACAGTTCCCTACCACATCTCTTGGTAATTTTCACACGAATCACAATACATATTTACCGTATCTTGATTTTACGTGTCATTTTCGAAATAGGAAAGAGTTCAACACTCTTATGTATATTTTTTGATACTCTAAAAATTATTACAATACTTTTAAAAGATATTTTTTGGCCTCAAAAAGAAATTAATAATATTGGATATACGAAGCAGCTGTTTGATTCAGTTTCTACCTGATCATAGATCAACATGATAGGGAACTTACAGTATAGATATGTCTATTACTTGAATCTCTAAATAAATGTATTCACTATATTTGTCATAAGCATAACATACATACTTCAACAGGTACAAAAAGAAGCTCTAAAGTTGACAACATCGCCGATGAACTGGTCAGCAGACAAAATGGCGACAGTGGCGGTCGATCAGGTATCCTTCTACTTTAATCAGAACTCCTTGTAAGATGATAGCTGTCTCTTCTCTTTCTATATGTAGTTAAATAGGAAAGATTGCAAATGCACAATACACATAACTTTCATGGGAGTCATATCTAAAATAAGATTTCACAAATATGCGAAACACAGTATATCAATTGTATTTGCTGCCTAAAGGAGAAGTGTTGATCTTAAGACAAAATAAGCGGGTGCAAACAATGGTATATTAAGCGTGAAACACGGATTTTGTCGTCAAAAATTTAATGTGAATCTATCATAATAAGAATTGAAATTAGAACTCTTTAACTAATTAACAATAATGTTTAAATCTTAATGTGAATGCTCGTCTCACTAATCTGCCTTAAAAACTTGAAAACAGGCCGACCTGAAAGATAAACCAATCCTGAAAGTAAGCCTATTGTTCTCACATAAATAAACTCGCATCACTTACTATAAACTGTCTTCGTGTTTGTAGGGTACTTGTTGCAATAACGGTTGTCGAGATCATGTAAATATTATAAGTCTGTCGCTAATATCTCTAGAAATGTCGCATTCTGGTAACTTACACAATATCCTTTTTCAATGCCCCTTTTGTTGGTTCTCCTGTAGTGATATACATTGCCATTGGGGCTGGTAGCTGTGGAGTATTGGTCCTTGTAGCCGCCATCCTAGCACTTGTACTAAGGTAAATATGTAATCTAATATTTCGTTAAGAATACAAGTTTAGATCATAGACATATCACTTTCTACTTTTCATTTGATATTGAAATACCTTCAATTGTAAATATAAACTCGCATCCGGGGAAAATGTTGTTTGATAAGTTAATCTATATAATTATTACATGTTTCATATGTTGTCTTCGGAATCGTCTATGAACCAATTTATTATTCAGGCGACGTCAACGCCAGTTAGTTGCTGAAACAGATGCAAAAACTACCAACAGCCGGGAGAATCCGATATACGATATAATGCACGGAGAAGGAACGATATCTGAAAACAGCTTTGTATAAAAGACATAGAAACGGTACGAGAACATAAGAGTTTGTGGATTTTCAAAAGAGTGCAAAAAGAATTCTCTTAAAAAGCAGTTATCAACAGATCACAATTCTTCTATAGGGCATTCAGTTATGAAGCCTATACAAGCCCTCTCCTTAAAGACTCGAACATTAATACATTCATTAAGTATTTCCCTGGAATGGTAGATTAGGCTGCTTCAGATATTCAATTATTAAACAAAACACTATATTTGATATTAGAATCAATAACACCATGGAATCTCCTGTTATTTTCACATGCCTTAACATTACACTTATCAACTGTAAACCATTAACCCATTTTTTCTCCAGCATCACTTATAACTAGAGTCTATTCACACCAATAAAATCCATTTGTGTAAATCTATTATTATACCATCAGAAAGTTCAAATTATCAATGACTGACAATGTCGAGTGTATAGATTAACAACCCTTATGTTACACTAATCTTAACATTTTAATAGCTGTACTGATACGTGATTTATTTACTAGAAGAAAAATATAAGGCATATTTTTGATAAAGGATATTTTCTCGCAATGTAGTCTTCTTTTAGCGAATTGTTTTGTATTAACAACGAAACTTATTGTTATGAACATCATCGCAATCTTTTATTGTAATATAAAAATAGGTATATCCACAGAAAGGCTTTCATAGTTAGGACACTTTCCTCAAATTCTGTAATGCGTCCCATGACAAATTTCAAGGACGGGTAGTTCATAAACTGGGGTCAGGTACGACACGGGGTATTTTATACATAATATTACTTATAATTACTTTATATGTAATCTGAATTTTGTATATGTGATACTGTGTAGTGAGTTTTAGATAACACTGTGATATATTTTGTGTATTTTATTACAAGTTTTTAATAAAACTATTTTTTGATACATTGACGACTTGGATTATTGTTATGTCAAGTCTTATGTCCATTTTTTCAACTTTGTCAGACAAATAATATTATTTATGTTGTATTCTAAAAATGAAGTTTGGATGGCGTCATTACAAAAAAAAAAAAAAAACTCTAAATTCACAATAGAATGCGGTGGCAACTAAATCGCCAAAGTTTTGCAATTTTCAGGGGTTATTATTATTCATGTTATTTGGTTCAATAGCATAGAAATTATCAGTAGCACCTTTATTATGATAACTGGCACAATTATTAATCTTTTAAATGTGGCCCCAACAAAGAAGGACCACTTTTATTGTTTCTAGTATCTATGTCCGGGGTTATATGACATGTAAGGATTGTATTCCAGGAAAGAAAGCAGCATGATGATCCGCACATGTCTCTTGATGGAAACCCAAAATTAATAGTTCAACTTGCAAAATTTCTTGGTTCAGTTTTCGACCTAGAACTTACCATCCTCTCAAAAATTAGATAGCCTAAAGATAAGTCTTTGAAGCTGTTCAACATATTTTAAGTTCCTTCCCTTCCTGATTTGGGTGCAGACCATGAGATGCCTTGTGTCTATACCGAACACTTGTCCGATCAAAGTTTGACTGACTGTAAAGTATATGGATCGGCTTACCTTACTTAAATCTATGTCCAGACCAATGAACAATTCCTCAATGACCGCAGAATAGAAATCTCACACCAATCGCTGCTCAGCTGAAGTCAAATAAAAATGCCCTGCACTTCTCTTTGTATTGAACCCAAATTATGACAATATATTCTATTAAAACGAAAAACGTATACCAACAATTGATTTGCATGTAAAAAATGTAATACCGGATGTCCCCCGGGGACCATTAAATCAATCAAAGAGTTGGAAAGTCGACCACACTCCCAGATGCTTAAAAGGCAAACTTCCCCGAACTCCTCTCAAAATGTCCCAAACAGCCTGTACTTCATACCGACGATTTAAGGGTTGAAATAGAGTTGCACCAGCACGCTACTCCAAAAACTTTGTCTCTTCCATTCGTCTTCCTGACAATGCTTCACTACTCTCAGCTGAAGCATGCGCCATCTATTTAGCGCTTGATTATATTCACCATAACCGGGTTTAAAATGCAGTCGTGTGCTCAGACTCTTTATCTTGTAAAGTTTGAAGTCACGTGGCATTAAAAAAATTAAATTACAAACTTGTTGTTTATAATGCATTATTTCCATGTCAAAGCAAAATACAACATTTATCTGAATCTCAGAACATGTGGGCACACGGGAATGAAAACGTTAATAAAGCCGCTCAAAACACTATGCTGCAACCAAAGATGACTGGCTGCAACAGTGGTCACTAGAGGCCAATAACATACTGTTTAAAGTTCAGTCAAATATAGGAACATGTCTCCCTAAACGAACTAACCGAGAGGAGGTTATTCCTTCTCGACTCCGAACTGGACACGCGTATCTTTCTCAATCCTTTCTCCTGTTTGTAATCCATGCTAACAGTCCTTTTAACAAATTCGTACGAAGTTCTTCCATTTCCCTGATCTGAAAAGCCTTTTCACCTTCGTGGACTTGGATGAAAACTGGATAACGTTAGAGAGATTTGCCTTTTTTAACAAAATATGAAACATATAAGTGAGTTATAATAGGACTTGCTCTTGTTTCTTTTATCCAGCATTTTTAATTTCCAAATACTATCATAGAACAGCGGACCCATTTCCTTGCAAACACGAAGAATAGTTTGGGCTGGCAAAATCTTGTTTCGTGAATAAAATATACTACTGGTGATTTTTGTCAAGACCATTCTAGCTACCCATTGTATCGTTTAGGTGGGGCAGATGCGTAGGGTTCACTGTTCGTCTGAATGAAGAAGTCCAATGAATACCATAAAGCATTACACTAAAAGGGGAAGTGGTGTGAGATAACATCTATCTTTGACTGAGCTACAACCAATTTTGTGATGATTTCGATTGCGTTTGGGTATCGCACCTGTAGAGCACTTTGTGTGAGTAGTATTTGCACTTGATGAATTAGGCCACACCCTCGTCATAATAACGCCGCCATCGTCATGGCGACATCCCTGCTGAGGAACAGTCGGGACAACACGTGGTGAATTGGAACTACTACACGAAAATGGCGTTGGTAATATGATGAGCTTTATGCAGTCCCAAATCAGCAGCAACACTTCTCATTTCTGGCAAATAGATTTCTTTCATGAAAAATAAAACAACAAAATCCGCGATATGAATATCTCAATAGCCAGTAGTGGAGGAATTGGCAAAATAAGGCGATTTGAGCAATGGCTCTGCGTCTTTTACAGTTTATGTGTACATGTTCCTCCCGAACGGGGGGATTTCAAGATACCAGTTATCATATCTCATGCTTAATAAACTCCTGTTCTTCTTCCAAATATATCTGTTGATATGGACGTTACATGTTTATCGTCAAAGATAGAGGGGTCATTAAAATGAGGTTAAATGATATCAGTACCTACCTTATGGCTCCTGATATTCAGAGGACCTTATAGTCCGAAGGTCCGATTGTCCGAAGTGTCTTGAGTTGTATCTGATTTTTTCTTGGCATATTACAGTATCAAATCCATTAACGTTCGTGTGACAATTTAAACCTAAATCTAACTTGTTTCGATGATTGATTTTCGACTAGTATGTCAAAAGCGGTACCACGGGGATATGTCGCATGCTATTTAAACATATTTAGCAACAGTATCTTTATGTATATCGTGACGTAACCCTGGACCACCAATCAAGCTGTTGTTACACAACCTATGTAAATGCAATTAAATAAAAAACAAATATATTCCCACCGGAATGTATCGCTATGACGTAATCGGTATTTGAATAATCTCGTTTATCATCTGTTAAACTACAGATGAACGTTTAACTTACAAGTCAAGGGAGACAATCCCTTTAAAAGACAAAAAGACATAGCCTACATTATATACAAATAATGAATTATTAACAAACTCAACTCTTTTAAATGTAGTGTATTTACCTGTCGAAGATGAAACCACAGTTTGAGAAACATGCGTCATGGTCATTCTGTTATATTCATTTATCAAATGCAGTACTCTGCTGTTATAATGATTTATAAATACCGTCAACCCGAAACATTACACAATAAACTCCTACTCATTCACCTAACTTTGGCAGGCCGTAGACTGAAAATTGATCCAAATCCTGGGCATTCTAAACACAGATGTAAGTCTGCTGAATAGTATACATAATCGAATTGTGTGATTTTTACATGAGCAAAATGGAATTAATTTTCAACATGGGTTACGAAAGTATCAACGACAGAAGAACCAAGAGGAACCCCAGTACAGTAGCATACTGTGTTTTCATTACAGAAAGGAAAAGATACTTGTAAACACGCCTCATCAGAAAAATATGCACAGTCGTCTACACAAATATATTGATATAGTGATAGCTGACCTAGATATCGAGTTGAACATTATCAATTTAGGTCAAAATAGCGATAACTTATTAATTTACATCCTGATATATTTATACAAAATGTTTATAGTCTGCGATGTTAATTATCATAATGTAGAAATCTATGAGATCGGTTGATATCTTGTTGAAAATTAAATCATACATCGAAATGAATATGAAGTTTGACCAAGATTTACTTTACGGCATGTGCCGTCTAGGAAGCAGAAGACGCCTACTCCACCGGAACACTTGGTTTTATTATCTTTTTCAGGAGTTACCATGTTATTATTTCTTCGTATGTTCATATTTTGCCTTAGTGTTATTGAATTTGGAGTATGATTTTGTTCACATTTTGGTATTGTTGGTTGTTTTTATGAAAAGTAAACAATTTTCTATCAGTGAAACCACTAGTAACGAACATGGAACACATTTAAAGTTTTACTTCACAAGTGTTGGGCATATACTACGTTTGAGTAAGGGGAATAATATAAATCAATTATATTTACTGTTGTCATAGAGAATGACGATTCACAGTTATCACCATAATCCTACTATCTAGTACCATGTGTTGTATGAAGTGAGATGAACTTGCTGCAGTATCTGCAATAAATGAAACCAAATATGTTTTGTCTATTTAATTCTCAAGAATGCTCAGATACAAATGTTATGATATCTTAAATCTTCTATCTAGGTTTGATCAGTTCACGACCCCTGGCAATTATTATCGATTTAACCCCAATCGTTTATTTACATATACAACATTAGATAAGAGATTGCAAGTACACTGACTCAGGGACACATAAATATCAAAATATCTTGTTTCAATGAAAGATTATCTGCTATCTTTTACAGATACATAACAATCAAACTGTATTGTGAGAGTTTGAATCAGAAAACTTTCAGATATCATGAAACTGAGAGAGAAAAAGGCCAGAAAAAGATAATCCATTAACGATTACATACTGTGAATGAATAATTTGGTCAATGATTGACCTCTTTTATAATAGTTTTGAAAATAGTTTTTAATATCCTCAGCTAACACAAGGTTAATTGAAATAGTGTTAGCGCATTCTATTAAAATAGATACTCGTTTATTGCTTAATGAAAATTGAATCAATGCCACAATACATTACTAAGTGTATGACAGGACAATAAATTAATAAAGCACATTTTCATACGATTGGGCAAAAGACGAAAAGGAGAGGTGCATTTTTAAAGACAAATTTAGAAGTACATACCATAAAGCCAAATAATGAAATAGACTGCATCATACAGCTGTATCGTCTATCTAGGACTCGTCAGTAATGCAACATCATACAGCTGTTTCGTCCTTCTAGGACTCGTCAGTGATAATTTGGGTCTAAATCATAAACCTCGGAGGCTAAGGAGGAAATTCCGAAGAGATCGAACAAATATAGATTGGTAGTTACTCGTCAATAACTTTATTTCTCGATCATAAGTAAAGATGTATAGAGACACCAACGTGGGTATAAAGACACCAACTTGACCCTGTAGATCTACGAGAGGTAAAGAGGTATATAGACACCATCGTGACCCTGTAGATCTAAGAGGGGTAAAGAGGTATATAGACACCAACGTGACCCTGTAGATATAAGAGGTGTAAAGAAGTATATAGACACCATCGTGACCCTGTAGATCTAAGAGGGGTAAAGAGGTATATAGACACCAACGTGACCCTGTAGATATAAGAGGTGTAAAGAAGTATATAGACACCAACGTGACCCTGTAGATCTAAGAGGGGTAAAGAGGTATATAGACACAAACGTGACCCTGTAGATCTACGAGAGGTAGAGAGATATATAGACACCAACGTGACCCTGTAGATCTACGAGAGGTAAAGAGGTATATAGACACCAACGTGGCCCTGTAGATCTAAGAGGGGTAAAGAAGTATATAGACACCATCGTGACCCTGTATATCTACGAGGTGTAAAGAAGTATATAGACACCAACGTGACCATGTAGATCTAAGAGGGGTAAAGAGGTATATAGACACCAACGTGACCCTGTAGATCTACGAGAGGTAGAGAGATATATAGACACCATCGTGACCCTGCAAATCTACGAGGGATAAAGAGGTATATAGACACAATTTATGCTATATTCGTGGTATATGTAAACTACTTGATAGTGTTAAGAGTGTTCCCCACTAAATTTGTTAATATTAATGATAATAATAATTATATTAAAACAAACAAGACAAAAATAAGTAAAATAAAACGAAAACATCACCAGTACTGTTACTTTACATGTTTGAAAATAAGTATTACAGATAAACAGCATCCATAACCTACATCTCTCTTTGTGTATGTGTAATAGATATTATATATGTTCCATGGTCATGGTAAAAAATAAAAATCAGTAAAAACATTGGTAGTATAATCTACCGTAACTGTATCTACAATGATTAAAAGTTGCCGAAGACTTGTCTATCAATTCTTAGTAAGACTGATATCGTGTTAATTTATGTGTATATTTTTATCTTATCTTGTCTTTATGTACCTATCCTTACTTTATCACTTATGTATCTGATAATGTATGTGTTACCAGTCACTGGGGAGATACAATATCAAAAAACCGATAGCAGGACTTTGTCAAGTGTAATTCAAGTTCATCAGTATAAGGATTTAAATGGTTAAATAAATATTACCACTACACCAATCCTATCTATATTAATGATAAACGGCTTACTGATATATTGTTTTCTTGCAATGATTGCAATGTTAGTAGCTCAATCGTACGATGAAACAGGGCAAAGATCGTACAGTACACATGCGCAGATCCATATCACTTATCCATCCTGCTACGAAACATAACAGAAGGTATACATCGTAATAACAACCATGCTTCTGCTAATCATACTCGGTTTAATTGGCGTCGTAATCTGTAAGTATCTTATTTGTGTTAATAATATATTGTGATTATTTTTGTTTTGTGTTTTTTGTTTTTGTTGCTGCTTATGTTTTTCCACGTCTATTTGTAGGAAAAAAACTTCTTCGCAAGCCTTTGTCAAAAAATAATTAAAATACTAGTAGGGTTGACTATTCCAATTTCATGTGCAAAACCTTGCAATGTAAAACATTTTTGATTTCACTTTTGATGCACACGAATTTTTGAGATCCAACTTTGAAATTGCACACTGTGAATAACCAGGCTACAAATAGATAGATACAGAAAGGAATTGCACAAGAAAGCTACGGAAAAGGAAAAAAAATACGGTTTTATCGAATTCATAGTTGCATAGCTCGCTGGACTTTCTGGTGCCTGATTTGCGCAAACCAAGACTACCAAAATATTTCATGTAAAGATAAGACTTCAAAATACTTTATGTCTACTTTAACAATGAAATACTTTTAACAGCTCAAACCAACACCGACGTAACACATTGCCCAGGGTCAGTACCTCGAAACAATTACCTGAAGGTTTATGGTGGCAAATGTCTCCAGTTTGTCGTCACCGAGAGAACATGGACCAAAGCCAGGACCGATTGCAAAAGCAGGGGAGGTGACTTAGTGACAATAAAGGATGCTGGAAAACAAGCATTTGTTTATAATACTCTGAGGAATCTCCATTGGCGCTACAAAGGACTTTGGATTGGAGGGTCCGACAGAGACAGGGAAGGAACTTGGGTGTGGGTTGATGGTAAATATTTGGACTGGTAACAAATTTTAGACATCATGAATAGTGTTTCGAACCATGGAATTGAGTAGCTAGTGTCTAAAAGCGGAAAGAATTTTTATATGACAAAACTCAAACCAAGCACGAACCTATTCGAGACAATTTTTCATTAAATACAATTATGTAAATTGTTTGCTTGTTAAACTCGTTTACGAGAAGAGAAATGACGCTTTGTATGATCTTGTTATACTTTTATCTAAATCATTGTAAATTTTTATAGGTACTCTGATGAAGTATGGAAACTGGCATCAAGGACAAGGGCCTACAACACATCATGGATTCTTCTTCTCTACTTCAACCTTTGAAGATTGCGCCGAAATGAGATTGGACGACGGAGGGAAGTGGCATGATTATCCATGTGGAGGACTCCATTACTCCTACTCTTACATATGTGAATACGGTATGTGCAGATAATGAGAACAATATCACTAACAGTCTCCCATTTCTTTGAAAAATATCAAGTTATCTTCGATGCTCTCTAATTTATCTGGTGGTTTTCTTGTTGTTAATTTTGTTTTCATTTGGGAATATGATATTGCTTACATGGCGGGTGTCGTCGGTTATACAGAAGACAATTATCTTCCAAAAGGTTTTTATCTCCTTATACTTTTCAATGTGGATAAAGACTTTGTTTACAAGTCGCTCCTTTCTTGTTGTAATAGTGCAAGTCATCTAGCAAACAACTGTCCATCATTATTGTGTCACGGGAGTGTTATGTCTACGGTTGTAGAATGGAAAGTCTAACTTTTTTCAAGCTTTCTTACTTAGTTATTATCGATGACCAAATGATGTAGCTACAATATATTGGCTATATTTCGTCATTTTTAGTTGACAATATCTCGCAAGTTAGCTGTTAAGATAAAAGGAAGACATTGTGTTCCCTTTCCAGATTTAAACAAAGCAAAGTCATTGTTGCGAGTTTCGCTTACAATGATGGTTTGAATGGTAAGATCCATGTCATAATTCTATTTATAGCATAACTATACTGTTATCAGTGTTATAATACCAATAACATAAATATCTATGAATACTGCTGCTCCCAATAGGAATTTCGACGTCAACAAAGGAAGACATAGGCGAGAACATCGCCAATCTAATGATTTAAAGATATGATGTTTTTTCGAGAATATTTGCAAAATATCTAGATTGTGTGATAAATATGACACTACTTTCGTTTACATATTACATAAAATTTATAAAAATCGTCATGAATTTCATTTCATATCGGCAAAAGCCCGGTAAAATGAAAATCCTTTGACTCGCACAGAATCGAGAACGATCCTCGTCTGAATGTGAATTCTATGAATAAGGTTTCTAAGTATGTCTTTCCTTTAAACGGCTTCATACAGCATAAGACCTTCGTTTTGAGGTTCAGTAGAATATTTCCCCTTCGCCAAGAAGGTGAGCTAATATGCGCCATTTGAAGTTTTGGCTCACGGTCTTCAAACACCAAAGTAGTATCATTCTTAGCGCTTAACTGGGTTGGATTATTTTTTTTGGATATTTCTATTTGTCAGCTCGTAGCTCACAAGTAACTTGATTTTTTTTCTACATTGTTCATTCTTTTTCAATACAAAATTAATGGGTTTTTTTCTTTTCCTTTTGATGAACAGCTTTATCAGCTATTGTCGTGTCAACGGCTGTCCCTCCTCACTCAACTCCGAGACCAACGTCAAAAACAACACCTCGTCATCAGACAACTCTGAGACCAAGCCCGGCCCCTCAGACAACTCCGAGACCAAATACAACTCCGGCCCCTCAGACAACTCCACGGCCAAATTCAAGTGTCAATACGAAGCCAGTGAATAAACAGACATTAGCACCAGGTACCACAGCGAGGCCGTCTACCGCTAAACCACCTGTTATGCAAAGGAGCACCTTAAGACCAAATAGGACACCAAGACCCGCTATGACATCAAATGCCAGACCTCAGACTAAAAGAACAACATACACTCCAAACATATATGTACCACCGAAAGGTGTAAAACGTATGTACAAACACAATATCTACTGACTGAAAATCATTTCTAAAATACTTGTTATTTCTTTCTTTTATTTCTTTAAATGAACACGAGTGTCACTTTTAAGGAATGGCTCTCCTCCTCGTTTACATTTAGAAGAGCGAGTCTACGTAAATAGTTCTAAGTAATTTCAGAAAACTCGACGGTTATAAAAATTTTATTTTAATTTTGTTATCACAGGGACACCCATTAGTGCTTCACAACAAGGAAATCCGAATCCGAAAAAATCAACGAATGACACCGGTAGGTTGCTTCTGAACTGTAAGACCTGTCACACTGCGTTACTGTAAACGGTGTGTAATATTTCTGAAGGAAATTTACTTGTTTTAACATAATGGACGTTCCCCTGCTTCGATTATTGAGAGTATAGAATTAAATCTGTTGTCCTGAAGTCAGGAAATGATGCGTCTGTTCATGATATTTTATATTAGAATTTGACTGGCTGTTATAACTTTGATGACGTATAATACAGTACGGTTCCTTTTGTTTTACTGACAAGATGTCATAGTGGGCATGGCAGTTGGCGGGTGTGTGGCAGTTGGTCTACTGGCTGTTGTATTTGGTATTCTTCTTCGCAGGTAATTTTTGTAAAACTTTGTCACAATACTGTTTGAAGTCGCTACACAAAACACATTGCTATACAATAAGATTTCAACTTAAAATAATTAATCATATATGTCTCATAGAATTTAAAAAGTACAATTGTAATTGGAATTGAAGTTGAAATTAATCTTAACTCACTGAAAATAAATACACACCTGACCTACATTTTATATTTAAATACCATAAAGTCGCTTATTTTCGCGGGAATGATGTTTTCAATATTTAGCAGTACATGAAAGTAACTATAGCGGAAATTTAATTCGTGAAATAATGAGTTTGCATTAGTGTTCTATTACATTCAGATCGCAAAATCTGTGAAGATGAAATTCAATCGTTTAAAAAGAAAATCGCGAAAGTTTATGACTCATGAAAATTATAACCCCTATACTATGATGTGACACTAAGATCTGGTATGAAGTAATACATTAACAGGAATGCCCTATTTATAACTTGACCCTCATCATGAAAAGTATTTTTAATGCTGTTGAATCATCAATATTTATCGCAACAATTTCTGTTAAAGGAGAATAATTTACGTACAAATAAGGACATGTTTCAGAATCTTACACAGACAATTACTTTCTTTTGTAATAATAAAATCAATACTCACTTAAAAGTGCGAAATTTGTATTAAAGTAGATAAGAGCACTTTCAACATCAATACTTTGACATGTATTTTGCTCATTTTAGACTGTACTAACTTCTTAGTCACCTTCTAGACACTTAATTCCCTCGACAATGACGAATTTTAGAAGGACAAACCTTATTGTTGAGCTTAATTCCCTAATTGGCGCTACTCTATCTAATTCTAATTAAAAGGAGCGATACTTTTTTGTCTTTTGTACAATACTTTGTACAATCCAGATAATCTTATATACGTCTATAGAAGCATCTCCGTCTCCTACAAATGATAACTAAATGAATGTTTAAAACTCAAAATGTTGTTCTTTTTTAACAGGAAACGATTGGCTGATGTAAATGGCACGATGTCCGTTGATAACAAAGTGTATGGGATGGCCACAGACCAGAAAGAGACAGCGACATACTGATCCTTTATCGGTGTATCAAATTATGAAGGCATAAAGTAGTGATAATCTGATAACTAACATGTGTATTAGTCAAATGTAAATTTATCTAAATGACTGTGGTTATTATCCATGTAGTCAGGGTAGTCAGAACGTATTCATTTCATAAGATTCAATACAATTGCCTTAAATGTAAACAGCAATATTCAAAATATTATTATATATTGGTTCACTGCGATATTGTATATATTTCACCCATTATACAAATTCTATAATGTACCAGCGAGCACTTTACAAGCATTTCAACACCCGAAATGAATGAAAACAGATGGATTAATTTATCTTGCTTTTTTGAGAGAAAGCGGAAAATATCCATGTCCGGAAAAAAAACAAAAAAACAAAAAACAAAAAACAAAAAAATAAACAAAAACTAGTGAGATGCTTTTGAAACTAGGTCATGGCCACCTCGGTGTTGTGTCGTGTGCCTGTAATATAAACATACATGTATTAAAAAAGATAGGTACACTGTATACTGAAATATTGTTTCCTGACATGATCAGGGAAACTAAAACTGTTACTGATATTACTCATATCATCATTGACTTCAATTCAATTAAAACTTTACAAGTTGCTTAGAATGTCACTATTTCAAATCTAATGAATTATCCAAAACAGACGTAGGAAAAAGATGTGGTGACGAATTGTGAACTACAATTATCTTTATCTTATTTGATAATGGTTTTATCTGTGACTAGTACCTCTTTGCCTGGCTAGATCACTGGTTGACACGGCCTCGGGATCACCAAGTAACATTTAAGGTAGAACACCTGAGAGGTCTTTAACGCATTCCAAGCGAAGTCATCCAATTAATTGTTTTTCCTAGGAACAAAATACGATATAGCATTCAGAGAGGCTGCGGTTCACCTGGTCAGCCCGAATTAGTGGTAAAAACAGTGAAATATTCACTAGAAATACATGGCGTATAAATATATCTGCAAGATATCAGAATAAATACATTTGGCATCAAATTAATTTTATCTTTGTTAAAATGAATATCTTAAATAACATTCGACGCAATATATCTTTTTAAAATTTCTTTCTTGTGTTAATTAACATTTCTAAAATTACTAAAATCATAGAAGTTTTGATTATAAAGATACGTTATTGTGAAAACTATGTAAATCTTGTTTCCAGAATAAGTCATAATTCTGTTTTCCATGCTGCTAGCAAGTGTATGAAGAAACACGGCGGTAGCACACAACATCTTGTCTTTCTATTAGTAATATAGCATAATATTTATATTTAAGGGTTCAGTCTTAATGACGTCAATTTCATGTGATGAATACATTTGGTCTTAGGATAAATCAAAGTGATGAGACATCCCGCTGAATTGATCAATTGAGTGTAGTCATTTTAATTAAACCCATTTAAAAATGATACACTTAGGGCAGTATTAACCATATATCTGTCATTCGTTATAAGTCAGAGTTTGTATAGAGAATGAAAGGTGTCAAAATTATGGTGAAAATAGGACCCACACTCTCACACAGGTGAAATGTGAGTTAGGTTACACTGTTAGGAATGAGTAACAGATTCATATTCAATGGTCACTTGCTTACGTAAATCACGTGTAACTAATGAAAGCCAAAGTGACGCAAGGTTTAATATGTTATTCTGTCACACAAATCAGAATTAAATAGAAAACCAAACAGTTGCGAGGTCAACTAACATTGAAATATTCGATGTACATCTTTGAACCTTCCAAACTCAATGTTATTCATCGTTATAAATGATGTGTTTATGCAGAGCGGTTTAAATCATCATTAATTGCATTTTGTACATTAAATAACTATCTCATTGATTCTTGTTTTTAACTTTTGCCTTCCTGTTATAACGGACGTTTAATTCCATATTACCATCAGTGTCTTGTTAAGAACTCTTGTCATTTATCCTCTATAAGACCACCTTGCCTGTGATTGACCGAGGAAAATGTTTATAGGTGTAAATGAATGAGTGTTTTTGTAAATACCTTGTAATAATAAGATGTAGCTATTACAATTAAATATAAATATCTCGCATTTTCAAAATATGATAAGTATTGAATTAAGCTTTATGTACATGTATATTGACTTCAGTGACACATACTTGTTATGACAGGTAGATTACATCTGCTGATAAAACAATTATTATCTTAATCAAACAAATTGAAATGTAAACATACGTATGATTAAATGGATCAAGTGGAAAAGAATAAAATCAATTTTAAAAAATACCAAAAAAAAAAAAAAAAAAACAACAACAAAAATCCATATACATTAGCTCGGTTTGATTCTGCCTTATTTTCTATCATCTAACTCTCTCGTGTAAAATATTTCGCGAAAAGGAATAAAGTTCAATTGTAGTAGAATTGATATCAGTCTTAACGTGATTTCTTGTTTTACAATCTTTTAAATAGCATTATTATGTTGTGTGAACGTAGTGAGTGTCATTTTCTTCTGTTTGTTAATAAAATAGAGATGAAAATTGGATGTATTTGCTTTGCCTTTTTTTATCGTGGAAAGAATGTTGTGCTGCGACATAAGTAACCATGTATCCAACGTTTCCTTGTGTTATATAAAGGTTGGCATTGTAATGGTTGTAAAGCATTATCAGTACACTGGCTTTTCTTTAGATTTGACATAGCGTTTTAGTGATTTCATATTTTTTTGTCACATAATTTCTTTCGATAAAACATATTCGCTATTTTCATGGTTATAGACAAACAGGTTTGAATTCGGTCTTTAATTTCAAATAAAATCTAGATTTTGCAGCTTGGTGATGAAGGTAGATATGTATTGATAAAAAGATATAGTTGTTTGCAGTTCCAAAATGGATGACATCGATGTCCAAAATAATCTATAACATACCTTTGCTGTTTTCAGTGTCAGATGACCAAATAAATGAATTTGTTATAAACGTATTTACACGCTGACTCCTAAAAGGTACAAGGACAATAAAACCATGTTATCCGGGAGGATAAGTGTCGGTAGTTTCGTCGAAGACACCATCCATGCAATTTTTGGTTATTTAAAGTTGGTTTTGCAGATATGTTCCTCTGAAGAAATGGCATATTCACAAAAGGAGACAAATGTATCTGAAAGCCTGACATGAAAACAAAAATAAGTAAGATGGGAAAAGTTTCTTCTCAAAGGTAGTTTATTAGAAGATCTTACCCCCAAACTTAACGAAGATATTGTAAAGCAAAAATTCGAAATTCGATTATCTGTAGGAATTCATTTTCCGTATATTTCTTTTTTTACGAAAAGAATTCTTCAGTGTAGCTCACAACCATATATTAGTACCGCCGTTCACCTTTCTTGGAACAAAAAACTCATAACAAGGGGAAGCGTTCCTTCAGTTTAAAATGGGGAGTTCGAAAAGACATGTTCTTATTGAAGTAATGGTTTTAGATAAGGGGATATTCAAGATTCGTCCAGAACTCCCCGGTTTCATTCAAAATCCAGATATATTAATCCATTTATCAAGTAAGCAGTATCACTATAAGACTGTCACCTTCATATGATAGAACTAAGAGTGGTAGTAAGAAACTTTGGCAAAAGTTTAATTGAACAACTAGAGTATCACTGTATGACACTCTGTATATATGGATTCTTATGGAATTCAGGAATCCCATGTAAAGCTGAGAGAAAATCTAAATACCGTAATACTGAAACATGATTAGTCAGTGTTTCTGGGGTTTCCTTCGTTATCAAGAAAGATTAATTCTTTTTGTGTGCAGGCAATGTAGTAATGTCTGCAGAAAAGGATTAAGTTATCATGTGTTTTGTCTTCATGTCTTGTCGATGTAAATCATGAAATGTGGATTTAACATCAGAATAAAAAATTACACTAATTTAAATATCATCGATTTTGATTTTATGCCATTCTAACGAAATACGTTGTAAATATCTGTAGTGTTCCATTAGTTTGTTGATTTCTGTTATAGTACTTATATATACTTATAGTAACCGCCTGAAGAATGATCTATTCCGATGAATTTGGACATGTAATTTCAATTAGATATACCCAAATACCAATTAACAGAAAAATATGGACATGTCATGTGTTATTTTTCACAGATCGTCAAAGTTGATATCTGAAGCATTATGTAACACGGGAGTTTCCCCGGTTTCAAATGCAATTTCGACACGGCGTATACATGTACCAATTTTTAGGCAACTGTCACTAATACAGCGTGATCAGAGGTAATTTAAATCCTATCTTCGAAAATTGACGTGCGCTGCTACCGAAAAAAAAAAGTACAAAAAAAGTGCTTATGTTTTCAGTATTGAATTTACGAATACAATTTCGATGAGTTGGAAGGACATTATACACATCAGTCGAATTTTCCTGGGGTCGTACGTCGATCTCAGTTACCGACATCAAGACATTATTATTTTTTTCAATACACACTTGAAAAACTAATTCTAGTGGAGAGTTTCTTTTGATTTAATTATTCATATCCATATGCATGTGCCCTTATTTTATAGTATTTATTAATGAATTTCCGTTATTTTATGTGTTATATGTGGGATTCCATCAGGGCCTATCTTTTAACTAACTGCTGTAAATTGTACACTGTCTGTATGCGCTAGGGCCTCTTAGTATGAATTTCAGAATTATGTCATTCAGGATGGTTTGTATAGACATATTGAATATTATCTCGAGAAATTGACGATCATGACAGGTAATGTTTTCTGCGAACACACGATGATTTCTCGGACAGAAGAAGAAAGTATAGATCCAGTTTCGAACGTCTGAACGGTTTTAAAACATTCGTTTAATTTTAACATATTTGATTGCAAATAAATGTTTACAAAATAATTGGTCACTAGTTTTCAAAACTTATCACAAGCAATAAATAGATTAGACAATTCACGACATTTATAGTAAATGATACCTTATGTGGGAATGGATATACATAAATATGCGTTATTCTGTTTAAATTATTGTCTCGTGAACTTGTGGGGAATGATTCTGTACTGTGTAGGAAATCAAATATTATTTTTCCTTTTCTATCCTATTGTTACTTATGTGCAATAAAATTTGTTTAAGTCGAAATCCTTTACTATTTTGGTTTATGACTCATTAGATGAGATTCTCAGAGTGTGTTTTTTTTTTAGAATTTTCTCTGGCGTTATTGTATAGGACAGTCAAAACCCTTTCCATTGTCGTTCCCTGAATATCGCATTGTTCTGAAAAGCCAAACACTTTACCATCAGAATTGTCTTTATCCTCTGAACAAGGCGTTGTTAAAGTCAATATCGCGATGATGAAAAATTCAATTTCACTTATCTCATTAGATGAGATTCAAGAGTGTGTTTTTTTTTATGTTATACGAGGAATATTGACAAACAAACTTATTTGGGAATGATTCAGTGAAGGGAAGATTTCTCCGAAATTTGCAGGAAATATATTTCACTACATATTTCTGTTAGGAACAAGCTTGTTTTCTGTTTCGTTTTTGCGAAAATGTATTTTATATATAAATTAGTTAAATTGTTTCAGGTTTCTCTGGTAATTATCTTAGTTTGCGTTAAAGAGACAGCTGTCACGAAATCATGTCGAATAAATGTGACATTGGGAAAAGTTGATTTACAAACGCACGAAGCATTGCAGCATTTCATTTCGGTAAATTGTCGCAAAGTTTTGGGAAAAAACATATTGTTGTATTTCCCAACTGCCTGATGGAAAAATGTCACTTGCACTTTGGGGGAAATAGTTTCCAACATGTATAAATTACAGCCGGTCGTTAGTTTGTTGTATATCTATATAACCCCGTGTTTATTTCACTCTCCTTCCCATATATCCCATCATCCCTTTCGCACGTCTCGTGTTATATACCTATTCCAACCGGCTGTTTTGATTATAGATAATTTTATAAATATTGTTGCACAGCACTGTCACATGATTGTCATGATTAAAAATGGATTCTGACACAATAACGAAGAAAGGGTATGGAATTAACAGGAACTGTAGTTAATTACAAATGTATGGTGGTAAAGATGTCCAGGAGTCCATATTGATACTATATTTATATCGTTTTCGGCTAATTTAGCTCCGTGTAATGGTTTTGGGGTTTATATATATATATTTACACTGTCATTTTAATCCAACTTATCAGCGCTCTCATCACAGCTAAATGTTCACAAGCATATCCAACCCTGCCCTAGGTATTTTTACATGGTGTATATTGTATTGCCTCGACTTGAACAAATTTCCGTTTACTTTGTTCTCATTTAAGAACGTGACATTACTTACTTGGATTCACCAAGATTTTCATAGCGGGTTTCGTCGATGTAGCAGAAGGCTATTCTTTTTCTTGTACTTTTTCATGTGTCTCCATGTAAATCTCTTCTTTGTTTATATTTTTTCCAAGTTTCTAAATATCTTAATACGATTTAGAATATACACATGTACCTTTGTATGAAAAAGGTTGAATTTCTCTGGTTTGTCGTCCATCTAATTTATGTCATTCATTTCAACCAATACTGATTTTCCTTGGCCACTTTCAACGTTATAAACACTTTAAGCCCATATCAATAAAGCAAGAGGTCCATAAGTCCTGTACCGCTCATATGGATCTTAAAAGCCAAGTAATGGTATACATGCCTATAGGTTAGGTATTTCAAATATTTCCAGATTAAAGCTCAATCACTTCAGCTCTTTGATAGGGTAAGACCAATGGGTGAATTCTTATACCATGATGTGGCAAGACCCACCATTTATACAAACTGATTTTCCACCGAAACAAGATACAGATCAAATTTGGGCAAGTTCAAGTCATTCGTACAGAAGTAGGATTTTAATTATTTGTCCTATTTTCCAATATTATTCCCCATCCCTCCCGCCTAAGGGGAAAGACTGACCGTGCAAACAAAATTAATTCCCCTTCGCCTAAACAGGTTTCAGACTAAATTTGGACAAAAACCAATTATTCCTACAGGAGGAGTAGGATTTTAAAGAATTTGCTCTATTTTCCTATTGGGCCCCACCCCTCCCGCCTCAGGGACTGAGATCCAGTGTTAATACAAAACTAAGCCACCATCACCCAAAGATGTTTCTGGCGAAATTTTGGCAAAATCCAATCATTCCAACAGGAGGAGTGAAATTTTTAAAAATTGCTCTTCTTCCCATATTGGGTCCTGCCTCTCCTGTCCTATGTGTTCAACATCCATCGTTTATACAAAATTGATTCCCCTACTCCAAACCATACTTCAGACCAAATTTGGGCAAAATCCAATCATTCATAAAGAAGGAGTAGGATTTTAAAGGCTTGAAAAATTTCCTTTTTTGAGCCCTGCTCCTCCGGCCCTTTCTTTGGGGACCAGTTATATAAAAAAAAATCCCTTCCCCTAAAGATGCTTCTGACCGAACGTAGTCATAATCCCCTCAGTCGTTCATGACAAGTAGCATTTTGTAGAAAATGTTGACAGACGACGGACGGATGACGGACACCGCGGTATCCCTATAGTTCACTCGGCTCTTCGGTCCAAGTCAGCTAAAAAAATCCTTAAATGACAAAACTGCTGTACGAGTCTTTCTTATTAATTGGCTACCTTGCATTTAATTCTTAACTTGTGATGAAATGTTACATCTTTACATTATGTGTACACAACAGAATCTCGGCATCGTAATCACTAGGAATCTGTTTCTGACCTCTCACTTGACCTACGATGAAGTCACAAGATCACGTCAAAACTGTTAGCACAAAACACATTTATTTAAAAGGGTATTAAAACAAATATTTAGAGTTACACGATTACAGACATATTTCTGAAATAATATCAGTGATTTTAGATAACAAATAAGCGATTTTACAAATACACATCACGTCTTAGATGTGAAATATAATTAAATTGTTCTCGATATAAATTTGCTCCCACTAATAAATCATGAATAATTTGATCAAATATGCATCGGTGTATATAATAGCAATGGAGACAAAGTTTCATAGTAAAAATCGAGAAAACATTCACACGATACAATATATGTGACTTGTTTCCATGGTCTTTGTCCTTCCTTGTACTGTAAATATCATTCCAGACAGTTTTAATTTTTCGCTGTTTTTGAGAACGGAATACAATCGCGATAAATAATTATGTTAACAATAAAAAGCAGGAAACTAGAGTCTGCTTCATAAAATTTGTTTAAAATACACCATTTTGCTTTATTTTTTGGTAAAACTTCGAATTTGGACCATGAACAAAACCAACCTTTACTGTGTCACGATTTTCTAAAGGTGTAACTATTCTTACTGTACAAATATATAGATTTACAAATCGTGAACGATTTAGACGTATATGTCGTGTTAACAAAATAAACAGGGCTAACAAACATCATTCTTAGTTCTCTTTCGATATTTCAATATTCATTTCACTCATCAAGCGTCTAGTCATGATATATAATTAATAATTTAGAAAAAAAAACAAAAACAAATTATACAATTTAAAAGCACATATAAATATGTTTTGCTGTATAGTGAGAAGGGTAGTTTTCCGATCCGATTTATCTTTTGATCAGTTGACTTAAAGTTTGTATGGATGTATATATATGTAAGAATTTAAATGCACATTCTACATATGTATATGCCCAAAGTGCTGGTTTTACTTTGTTATAATCACAGATATACTGAATTTGTAACGAATAATTAATATTTTGACGAAACTGCAGAATGTATCAATGACATAAAACAGAGTGTCCAGGAAAATGTCGCGTTTTAAGAAATTTCTTTGAAATAATGTGGTGTATACATTGACGATATTGAAGGAATTGAGACGTAATATCACAATTTTTGTTCAACATGTTTCGTACAAAACTCCTGATGTCTTCAGCACTGTTTTATATAATATCTCTGTACATTTGTAGGACATGGCAGACAAAACATAATTAACATAAGACATGAATGTATGTGGAACTGGCGTTACATCAGAACGGTTGCTTCAAAGTTCTTATCTCAGTTATGTTACGTCGTATAAAACTTGGTGACGAAGCAATCGGGCATTGTCGGCACTGTTCGGATAAATTCGTTACGAAACGTACACACTTTCTCACTCGGTAGACTACTTCCGAAGACCTCCGATCAACATTTAAACGAGACATAGATGATATGGTTGTGATGCTTCGGGCTGAATCATTCCTCCTTTCTCAACATCCAGTCAAGCATCTAACTGTAAAATATTAATTCAGTTAACTGTATGAAGCACTGACAATTTATCATTTTTTCCGGTTTGGTTTTCTAGTTTCTACTGCTAAAGTCAAGGAGAATAGTAATGTGACAAAAGAAGACAACATTCCTTCATTTTCAAGTTTTATAAAAACGCAATATCATTCTTATATTGATACAATAAAACATTATATAACCATAATGCTTATCTATACATTAATCAAACTTTTTCCGAAATGAACACAATTTTATTATGACGTCAATGTAGTATGTAAATTGACAAAATCGACGTATTTCTTCACGATAAGTCATGATTACTGTACAAAACGTATCGAAACGTAAATTTACAGAACTTGACCTTTATTACCTGTTTTGATCAGCTCATCGATAACGGACTAATCAGCCGATAGAATGAGAGTTGTCTGTACACAGCCTTAATGATAGTGATCAAATAAGGGTGTTAGATTTGTCCACAATAATAAATAATTATACCTACACATTTGTTTATCTTTTCCCTATATATACATATATTTCACTTGAGGCGAAGAAACTCCAACAGTACACCATCCTCTAACGCGTCGTCAAACTGTTCGAAATTCTGAAAAAAAGACCAACTCATTCCTTTTATATTTACTTCTTTCCTTTTCACTGTTGAAATGTAATTATCTTCTTCTTGTTTTGTAACTGTCTTAATTTCTCAAACTTATTTAGTTCAAACAATATATTATTCAATAATCAACAATATAACACATATCTATAATACGTATGGGATGGGAAAATAAGCTTAAAGCTTATATAAAATAATTTCCTTAAACATATTTAACATGTCTAGTGTCAGGATACCCCAGGTTGGATGTGGTTGAGTTATCAAAAATCAATAAATAGAAATGTCAGGCACATCCTATAAATAAGTTTAGAACGTAAGACAAAACAATAAGCATGAGGTATATTTATCAATATCTTGCCCGTTGGCAGCTTATTTCCAAAGTAAAATCAGTACATGTCGTAGTATTTTCCGGAGATTCACAATGAAACATCCTTTTTTAATTAGATATTCCCGCTGTCATTATAAAACAATACTTACACCGCAATAGGTGTCTCCATTGAAGAGTTGAGGGGGTAATATTTCAGGATTTCCGCTTTTCTCCACCATGTCGTTTCTACTCTCTGGGTTTTTGTACAGGTCGATTTCCTCAAATGGGATTTTCTTACTCCCAAGGACTTGCTTGATTCGGTTTGTATTCTGGGAGATCTGGATAGGGAAATCAGAGGCTGTTTTAGTACTGTAAACAAGACATTTGTACAGAGAGATTCTCCTTGCTTGGCCTTCGTTTTGCAAATAGGACAATACCTAATTGTTTCAATGAAAACATGGTAAATAATATTTATTTCTGGAAAAATGATAATTTGGTGAGCAGATATAAATTCCTATTGTTGAGTTGGTCAAGTATTCCAACAGTTCATCAGAAATTGTATACGTAACACATCATCTGTTTAGTGTTAAAGAAAGGAAAAAAACAGAGTGATCATTTCTTCTTCAAATTACCACCACGACACGTCATCATATGAATAATCTTTGCGAGCAAGTGTTCAATGAAATGCCCTTCGTCGTAATCAATTAAAGTCCGTAGATACTAGACCCTATCTGTTGAGGGGACGTTAAATTTCTTTTAGCTGACTCAGTCAGGACTGCGTTGCTTAACTTTCAAAAATTGCAAATTACACTAGTGTCATCCTACAATTGATTAGAAACGAGAAGTGGAACAGAGAGCATCTGACAGTGATATTATTGGATGGTCAAGATAATGCGCTGACCAACCGCAACATTCTTGTCAATTCCGTCAAAAATCCGGAATGAAGTTTCAACCGGGACTTCCACAAAATGTATGGCCGAGCCTCAGAAATTACTTCCAACAGGAGTTCACTGTAAATGTTGATGTTATGACAAATTGAAACACTTAATTAATAGGGAGAGTGAGTAGTAAGTGGTAAGATTTTGCGTATGTACTAGAAAGAATATTTTTTATATAGTTAACTCTATGTCCCGTCTTTACCAGCCAAGGGAGTTAATCCTTGGTCAGCAAAAATGACGTATACAAGTAGATGAAGCCATATAAAAACGTGGTTTTTTTCAATTCACGCGTATATCTTTATGTAAGTTGATATGGCTTTGTTCGAACTTGTATCACATCTACCGTAATAAACAATACCATACATAACAATAGTATTTATATCATCCTAACGTTAATTCTTAAATCTCAAAAATATACATTTATCAGTAGAAATACCACTCTTCACTATAAACAAAACTGTTTATGGATGTCAGAATAATGAGATGTAGCATTCTGGACAAAGCTAACCATGCTTTCAATGACGAGTGCAGCCATGAGTTGTATGTATGCATCATATACTGGTGAGGCAGTTTATGATGCATCAACAATCACGCAGCGAATTTTTTTCCCTTTGTAACTGGTTTGCATTTTTTGAATATTTGATTCAAACTTTTATATTGACACTTCGAAGGTAATTTTTTAGGGTACTTTTTACGAATAAATTTAAGCAATATAAAAATTTGATGCAATTTGAGTACAATGTGTTCTGCATCCGGTGTCAAAACGTTTAGTATGTATGTTACATGTAAAACATTACATTCGTATACTTAAATATAATATTACCGGCGTAGACATTACACCAAGCCTCTAAACCTACATAATATAATAGTTGTCATCATACCACAGGAGATTTCACTCTTTCTCACAGTTGTATTTTTGTCCTGGTCGCGGTTGACAATAAAATCGAGGATAGATAGTTAGAGTTTATTGGAGTAGATATGAACAGTTGCCTTGATCACATACGAGTTTAGTAGATATGGCCATAGGCAAAAAATGCTTATACATATAAAATTAGCATCCACGTTTCATTAGACCCCTCCCCTTGAACAGACCCCGACTTCTATCGGGTTCACCATCCAAACATCACTTCGGCCAGTGTCGAATTTCAGAAACAGATGACCAATTTCTTCGACATCATCCATAACTAAGAGATATCAACTGGTAACCCGACTCAGGATGCCGGAAGTGGGTTCAGACCAAAACTTATGAAAGAAAGTTCCATTTTTCTTATCGCCTTTATCAGTGCATAGACAACGGCATACCTCAACACCTGATCACATATACAACATATATTTACTTACCTTTCTGTTTGGAGACACTGACGTCATATAAAGTTTGACAGACATCGTCAAGGCTTACAATTGTCAGAATGTTAAAAAAAATGTCTGCACCCTCCTCCGATCGCCGTGCTAGTCAGCAACAGTAGCAGCTCTGTAATCAGATACCCCTGTGTTTTGGTGGAGCCCTCCGCATACCCCTCAGAAAGCTTAATGGAATCGTCCGTCTGTCGAGAATCCTTCCGGGAAGGTTTCATATTTCCAAACAGCAGGTTAGGTGTGTGCTTTACTTATGTGTAAAGTTTACTTGGTGAATCACTTTTTAACAAAAGGAGATGCACAATGTTCAACAAGAAAGGGAAACAATTAAGAACTGGATTTCCGCTCACGTACTTTAAGGATTTTAGTTTCCAGATTCAGGAATTTTCTTATTCAGTAGGTTGAAAGCAATATTAGTTTATGAAAATTCAAATTCAAATAGTTTTTGCAAGTTTCGCTTAATCAGAGGTATGAACTATTGTAAATCTTTTCCGTTTTTTTTTCAATTTCCTTTAGTCATTTTACGAAATGAACTTTTTTTTTTAATATGTAAAATAAAGCATCGAAAAAGCGTGTAGCCATTTTTTCTGGGTTACGTAATGTTTTGTACGATGGAAATAAATATTATTTGTTAGTTAGTTCGTTCTGCAATCCGTCAATTCATTCATCTATCCATTCATTCATTCATTACTACATGCAACCAGCTTTGGCTATTTAATCGCCGGACAGAACGCATATCCGACGGAAAGAAAATGACCTTTTTTTCATCGAAAAAAGCCAATCGGGAACCCTCGGCACTTTTCGCTTGCTTGCTTTCCCGATTGCGAAAAAAGCTACCGTGTAGCCATTTTTTCTAGATCAACAGCAAAATTGATCGGGAACCAATCGGGACGAGAAAATCCGTAAACATTTCTAAAGAGTAATAACAAACATAGCAGTCGTGTGTCAGCCATTTAAAGTTTTGAATACAATCTGAGATGTCCATATTATTTCCACTTTCAGTCTCAAAACTAAACAATCACAACATAAGATCAAGAGAAACGTGTATATGATATCTGAAGGAGGTCTATCCAGTTTCACAAAGAAAGCGATAACAAACTTTATCATTCAAAATCTAAAAACGGCTGCCACACGAAGGTAATTTTATTCCTCAAAAATGAATCTTTACTAATCTGATCGGTCTCAGAATTGTGTGTACACCTCTATGGACCAAAGGGAACATGTACGTGTGAAATTAGATGACTTATCAAAGTAGTAAACTTACATGTATAATTAAGTCGTTAAATTGCGAGATAACCGCCTATCTAAACGGCTGTCAGAGTGAAGTCCTTAAAGGATGTCGTCATCATTCAATGTTCACCCAAGTTGCATCCATTAACATTGAAAATGGTCAGTAGTTACACATACAGTTTAAGTATTTCTCAATATACAATCGGAACTATTTTCAAATTTTTCAGTGTATCAAGTTCTTTTTATCATTGAGATGTTTTCAATACGTAATATATACACAAAAGACATGCAAACATCCTCACATCCACGTCATTAATACCATGAAAATCATCGGTCACATGCAAGACGGTTGTGACATCATCTTGAAAAGATTCGCCATTGCAGTCCTTAATGCATCATCATCATGATCATCATAATCATCATCATCATCCATATCTCTCAATTATACATCGTCGTTGTTGTCATCATCATCATGATACGTGCAAATTGATACTGAAGAACTATAATAAGAAAAAATGAAAATAGATGAAGATCGCATCAACAACACTTTAATTTCTTTCCTATCTTAGCGTCGAACCTACGTACTGATTCGTATTCCTCACTACCGAATCACGTGAACATCGACCTTCCGAGGTGACGGTCACTAATCCAAGATGTCGGCCTCCAGTAAGAAGTCACCTCCACAGCAGATCCCCAAAGTCTACAAATTTCTATTTGGGGGTGGAGCTGGGTAAGACAGTTAACTTTTTATTCGCATCTCATGTATATGCACATTTTTATGTGATATATCTGGACTCTGAAGCATTTTTTACTATTTTCAGTTAATTTTCATTGCCAACGATGCATTGTGTCTGCCGATGTTTTCACCCACAGCAAAAAGTTCCGGTCATCTTAAAGCATAAAATAAAACAAATTAGTACGTTTCAGGTGCATTTAGAACATAATGAAAGCAATCAACATAGTATTCTTAATGTGCTTTATCACGATATATCCCAAGGATAATAAGTAAAATGTTGAAATATGAGTGTCCTTGGAAATCGGCTTTTGTCTAGCCGATACTGGGGGGTAGACATCGTTCGGCAGCAGGCCATGGTTTGGCTTACTCCTGTCAAAAGTTTCTGTTGAACCTCTAACATTGTTGGAGTACATTAGGTTGGCTTACTGTTAAAAGCAGTAATGCTCACTGCTCAACATACAAGATCAACCACCCACACTATTCTAGTGCCAACAAAATAATTTAGAAATCATTTATTAAAAAAAATGATAATAAAAAAGTAACGAAAGGAATAACTACAAACAGTTTCATAATGCTTTTGTTCAGGTTTGTCATGATATGACTTACCTCTACATTAACTATTTCTGACTTTTGAATATTTGTATCCTTTGTAACAAGAGAATGTGCATGCATTCCAGTTCATGCACGTAAATGTAAGGTCTTCCCAGCCTATTAAATTTATCATGTATTCATGCATGCAATTAGAGGATCAGATTTCTTTAGAAAGCTGCTATGATTATGTCTCATTCCTGTCAACGAAATTCTCAAACATAAATTTGTATGAGCCACTGGTCAACTGCCAGGTGATAATAAATCCTTTACATAATAAGTGCCCTGTTGAAAATGGGAAAATATTGATACATCATTGTTGGAAATTTTAAAGTTAACCAATATTAACCACTATAAATTCTATATCCTTATTTTAGTTATATACAAACATCACTAGAGAGTTGTATATTTTATTGTCTTGGTGGTATTGACAATAGGAATTGGGCAACAGGCAGAGCCTATGAAAGCCCTCTCCATCAGCACCTTGGCATTGTTGTATAATGTTAGTAGTCTAAAAAAATACTCTGTAGGCTTGTAGAATCTTATTTTTGTCTACATTACCCTTGTAAGTAAAGTAAATAAAAGGTTTTATTAAGAAAATTGTAAAGATTAAATTGTTTTTATGCTCTCTAAATGGAGAGCATATAACTGCCATTTTGTCCACCCATCTATATGTCAGTCTGATTGTCCGTCCATCATAATTTTGTCCAGAGCACAGCAAAAAAACTATAAGAGGTATCAACATAAAACTTCATGGGTAGATAGACCTTGATGAGGAAAAGTGTAGCGTATAAGAACCATTACTCTCTTTTGCGTAATATAGGAGTTATTGCCCTTTGTTACTGTTCATACTTAAATTTTGCCCCATTTGGGAAGCAGAATCTGTCTCTGATGGCCCGTAATGTTCAATCTTACAACAACTTAAATATACATACCAACGTTAACACTTTGTTAACACATTGTGTACTATGATGACATTGTTATTTCCAGGATGGCTGCTACCCTTTTCGTGCAGCCTTTGGATTTGGTCAAGAATCGCATGCAGTTGAGTGGTAAGTGTAAACTTGTAATTCAGTACTTCTTACTAAAAGAGGATGATGTAAGTAAATGTATACATATTTAAACAATACTTTCATGGGTGGCAAAAATCCTGATATCAAGCAGAAATGTGAGGAAAAATTTGGATTGAACTTTTTCTGAAAAGGTATATATATATTGTCATTGTAATTCAATTAATGGTGAATGATAAAGAAAATGATGAAGTATGTTATAAAAATCTTATAGACATTTATATGTCAGTAGATAAAAAAGGTAACAATTGAATAATTGGTTTAAGGTAAACTTTTTTTTGTCTTTCCATCCTTACTAGCCAGATGAAGGATGGTATTTCTGGTCTAGTGAAGGTGCTCCTAAATACTTATGGTTGAAAGTATACATTCATACATGTAATCCTTTTGTAGGTGAGGGAGGTAAGGCAAAAGAACACAAGAACAGTTTACAAGCCCTGCGATCTATCTTTAGGAATGAGGGACTTACAGGCATATACACAGGGTGAGAATCTAACACACTGTAGTACTCCACAGAAACTTCCATGCAGTGTCAGAACTGGTAAATCCAGCCAGTTTTGATTACGTATTTATGCTTTAACCTTAGTTTACAGTAATCCTCCCTCAAATTAAACACAAGGCTTTGAGGCTTGCTGGATGTTTCACTATTTAATTAGTTGATCAGACCTGAAGGTTATGTTCCCAGCAGTAATTATTTCATGTCACAACAAACAATAGCCAGATATACATGTGAAAGATTTCTCTTTATAGAAATATGTCCTTTTAAGTCTCTTTTATTTTAAACACTGACATGTACAATACCTATAACAATTAAAAATTCACTTTAAATGTTCAAAATTGAAAGTTGCTTGCAAATGCTTCTCTCTCACTTTTCCATATAAAATGTAACCGACTGGAACTCCATACATATTTATGCCTTGACTGATGCATGCGATTTCTGTTGTCAGGTTATCAGCTGGACTTTTACGACAAGCTACATATACAACAACACGACTGGGGATATATATGACGCTGTTTGAACACTTCTCAAAGTATGTGTGTGATTAATCCCAAAAATGATACTTTTATGCTCTGAAAACAGTTTTCTTATTTCAGAAGCATGCACTGTAAACATACATAATTTGGCACATCCGTAAATATTGCCATATTATCAACATAAAGCAACTGCAATATCAGCAATCATATTTTAGGGCATTACTTTCATTGCAAGAAACGTAAATGAAATTACTGTTTTAATATCAATTTACTGTATCCTTAACTCTAAACTGAAAAATCAGCTGGTATTTTAATTGCAGGGGGTGAAATAGTGCAAATGCAGGACTTGGTATACATTGATAACTAGCTAAACTAAAGTGGAAACAGCATTTGTGAAATTCTCAAAAAATTACAAAGTGCAAATATTTCCTGATTGATGATGTTCTTTTTCATTCCTATTTTGAAATTATAAAAACCAATAGTTTCTGTCAATAAATTTGAATGTCAAGTAATTAAATTATCACATTATCACATTATGACTAACAGTATCAGGTATTAATCATCACAAACACCACCAGTTTCAGAATTTAGTGAAAGTCCCATTCCAGTGGAATGTCTTCAGGTTCTAGCTGCAGGTTAATGCTTTTTTCTCTGGGTACTTCTGCTGTCCTCAACCAAGCAAACGCTGTTCTTGAGACAAAAAGCAGTAATAAACTAACAAAATCTACCTCTGGTCTTAAGTTCTAGGAGCATTCTTTTAGATATATTTTAGTTGTACTGGCATCTCATTAAGAAGGCCTTACATTAATGATATGGAATTATAAATATTCAAGATTTACTTTCTGAGTTAAATTTGTTCCATGTTTTACAGAGATGGTAAAAATCCAACATTTTTGATGAAGGCTGGGATTGGTATCACAGCAGGAGGTATTGGTGCTTTTGTGGGAACACCTGCAGAAATTTCTCTCATCAGAATGACAGCTGACGGGAGGTATGTGTTGTAACAGTTCTTCTGTATTTGTAAATGATGACCTTTCAGAGTTAACATTATTTTTAAATAGATACTAAAATCCTACACAGGGAAAAATTGCTAGGTTTTAGCTGTAACATATAAATTAGGAAGTTGTCACTATTCTGAAAATTAAGTTTGGTTAGAGACATTTTCACTTCCTGCAAGAAAATAGAAACAAAAACTGCCCATTGATTTTCAGATGAACTAATCCTAAAGAGTAAATTTCCAGAATATTTTTTTTAACCAGAAAGAATATAAGAAGGAAATACAAACATTCTATTACAGAATGGAAGAGAAAAACTAGAAATAAATGAAAATAGAGGATCCAAGTATTTTCATATAAATATATTGCTACTTTGTCAATTTTACAATGCATTATTTTCAATACAGCATTAGGATTCTGACAAATCCTAATAACAATGCATTATTAGTATATTGCTCTGATTTTCAGATGGAATCTTACACAGCAAAATTTAGAAGATTTTGAATATTCTATTTTTACTAGGATGTGAAGATTCCTTAAATGTTTTTTTACAGTACTGCACAAAATTTTGACTATGTTCAAATGTGAGGTTTACTTTTTTTTTCTTTAATCAGATTACCTGCTGACCAAAAGAGAGGTTACACAAGTGTGTTTAATGCTTTGTATCGTATTGCTACTGAGGAAGGTGTTCTTACTATGTGGAGGGTAAGTAACAATATATAATACAAATATACGATATATAATTGTTACTGAGGAGGGTGTTCTTACTATATGGGGAATTAGTAACAATATACCACATGTAATACTGAGTATATTTGAGTAGTTTGCAGTGATACAGAGCAATGTATGTAGCATTTAGCTTCAGCTGTGTTAGCTAATATTTCACTTTCAGATTTATTATCTTGATCATAATGCAAGAATTCTTCACCTATATCGTTGTATATTTAAAAATACAAAATGTGTTAAGTTTTACCAGATGTCCGATGTTCTTCCTTTCATTGACATGATCTTAGATTCACTTACATTGACAAACTGGGGCTGACTAATGTGGAAGAAACAAACCTGAAACCATTATGGTATCAAGTTTGGTTAATGGTTAAAGGACTTGCAGTTAAATTTCCTCACGTGATATCAGCATAAAGAAGATGATGAAGATTGAATTTTGATGAATTTCCCATATTCTTTGATATTTTTATGTGACCTCAGATAGTGAGCACCAAGATATCTTGTGGATGTATTTTGTAGGGAAAGAATAGATATGAATGTTCCTTGTGCACATGTAACCATATGGATATTTTTTCCAGGGATGTATGCCAACTGTGGGTCGTGCCATGGTAGTCAATGCTGTACAATTGGCCACTTACTCACAGGCCAAGGAAAATCTCATGCGTACAGGTCTGTATTGACATAAAAACATATGTGATTTTCATAACCAATGAAGTCTCTGTATCATGTTTGTTGTGGTGTCTGTACTAAATTTGATGTGCTAGCTTTTATGTGCCTGCCATTTAATGTTGGGGGAGGTAGAAAGAGGGGTGGGGGTTGTTGTTGATGGAGGAGCATACAGTGTTACTTATGTCGGTCTGTTAGGTTTGTTTGTGTCCCCTGTTTAATCAGATATTTTGGTTTGCGTAGGAGTGGAGGCATTCTTGTCACTAGGACGCTTTATAGTTTAGATATCAACATGGAAGTAAGAGTGATTTTATAACTGGAATTTGATTTTTTTTACAGGTTACTTCAAAGATAACTTGTTCCTTCATTTTGTGGCCAGTATGATCAGTGGACTTGCTACTACTACTGCCTCCATGCCTGTTGACATTGCTAAGACCAGGTAATCAGCCATTATATAGTTACATTAATTTATCGGGTATCTAAAGGTTTTCAATCTTGGATATACAAAATCACTTCATAGCAGTTGAATTATTTTGGGCTATCAAATTGAATTTTATTTATTTACTGTGTAATTCATGCTGGTATATTTTGTGCTTGATTGATTCTCATGTGATTTACAGATATTTTATAAGTGACGTCGAAAATAATTTTAACTGACTGTTCATATACTTCATCTGATTATTTCCAACAGAATCCAAAACATGAAGATCATTGATGGGAAGCCAGAATATAAGGGCGCTATTGTAAGTAGGATTTGTGTATTATATTTCCCATTATCAACACAAGATCAGATACTTAAATAAATGAAAATATGAAAACTGTATATTGTTTCTTGAGACTTCCAAAATATTCTGTCCTCCTTTTTTCTTGCTGTTTTTATTCAGCCCTCAGTTTTTCAAGCCACCTTTCCTTGCATTGTATGTCCATTATCAGCTTTTGCCACACTTGCATGCCATGTTTTAATCCATTCAATAAATGGCACTGTTCAGAATATACACATGTAATTGATGTTCTTCTAAAAGGATCAGATATAAGAAAATTATGAAATTAACTGAATTATTGGGCAAGTGCAACTCCCCATCTTGATTCTGAAGTTTCTTTCAATCACTTTGGATTTTCCTCAGTTGCCTTCTATGGTTAACATTTAGGCTCTTATAACTGACGAGTCCTAGAAGGACGAAACAGCTGTATGATGCAGTTCAATTTATTGTTTGGCTTTACTCAAACTCTAAATTTGTATTAAATGGTGTTATTCACTTTTCTGTCTTTTATACAATCTGAAACTGTTTTTGTTAAAATGTTTCAAAAGAAGACGTTGTGGGAACTTTCTCAAATTGCATGTGTGATCCTTATATTGGATAATGGTGTATGATGGGATGACAAGAAGGCATTATAGGTTTACAAGATGGCAGTAGCTTTGGTTTCTAGGTTTATCACCCCTGAGCTATCTTAGATATTAATCAAGTTAAGTTTTATGGTACCACTTTCTCAAATTACATACATGTGAATCTGATACCTGAATATAAGCAGGTTAAATAGTTGTACATTGTACACAATTTTTTATGAAGTTTGTTTATTCACAATTTTATCCTACCCTTAGTTATAAAAAAATGACCCCTAAAAGCTTAATCCTTTCCAGTATTTATATTTGAAGGAAGACAATCATGCATATACCATGACAAATGTTATTCTGTTGCAGTGAGATTCAGAGAAACAAGTCATTTAACTTTACTATCGTATAATTTGCAAACGTGTTTTCATTTGTAGGATGTTTGGATAAAGACCATTGGACAGGAGGGTTTCTTCAGTCTTTGGAAAGGGTTCACACCATACTACTTCCGTCTAGGTCCACATACAGTACTTACCTTTATCTTCCTTGAAAGAATGAACAAATTGTATGCTACCTATGTGATGGGAAATTCCTCAGCTGGTGGAGGACTATAGTGTGTTAAGGACATCAAAGACTTTCTCAGCCGGTGGAGGACTATAGTGTGTTAAGGACATCAAAGACTTTCTCAGCCGGTGGAGGACTATAGTGTGTTAAGGACATCAAAGACTCTCTCGGCCGGTGGAGGACAATAGTGTTTTTAATACATCGAAGACATTCAGTGATTTGATTGTCTTTTAAGATCTGTAAATTTCTACTTTAAAACTATCTCTAGGATTTCTGTGTCATTTGAATTTCGTTTTGGTTCACATACTTCTTTACTTCACAAAGTGCTGAACATTACATTCACTTGGGTTACTAGCGATACCCTTCTATTTGTTGGAAGGTGACTGTGTAGAGCGTTTGTTAGGTGTTAGTATTGGTAAACAGATGGCTGAAATTAAATCCTGTGCCACTGTTGATTACAGTAGAATTTGCCGTGATCTTGCAAGGTATTGATTTATTGTGAAAACAAGCTTTCCGTATCCAGTCTGATAAAAAAAAAATCTGACAATAGATTACTCACATGTAATACTTAACAGGTCATATTAGTTCTATAATATGTCTGTCTATTTGTCCAATGCATTTTATTACTAAAACTAGGATTAGCAAATTTTCTTTGTGATTTTCCTTTTTTGGAAACCAAAGTGCTACAATTGAATTAAGCATTGCACGTTCCAGTTTATACAAATTTAAAGTTGTGATGCAGAAGTTGGTCTGATTGTGGGAAACTATTGATTACCTGAACCATGCTGCTTGTTATAATCGTAAGAGTCAGTTATTGATGATATTAGATCTTTTTAATTAATGAACTATTAATATTTATGTGCCAGTATCCCACCAATAAAAAATAATGAACTTGATGGTGGAATATCTTTTAATTTGATATTTAATGGAGGTGATTATTTTCCCTGTAACTTGACAGGTATTTTTTCCTATCAACAAGTATGTAATGCAGCAGAGTTGCGGTGGAAATGTGATATCATACATGCATGTAGCTACCCAATAATTTGGTACCAGCTATGACTGTTCTAGTTTAACGTCTATCCAGTGACCTCCAAAGTTTGGCTGGGATCACTTATGGATAGGAGTTATTTATACTGAAGTTTTCATTAAACTAGACATACAACTACAATAGGTGTTTGTATACTGACATGTACTCAGTTATCAGAGATTATGAGATTAAAGTGCTTGTAAGAACTGTTTTAGAGTTCCAAGTTGGGAAATTATTATATCAAAGAAAATTATATGCAGAGTGTACCCATGGCTTACATGTTTTAGTTATAAATCAAAATATGTGATTTTGCCATTACTAAATTCTAACTTATGTTATAAGTGTGCATTTGTCTAACTGGAGATATTATTTGAAAAGTGATTTTTGTTTAAATTAGTACTTCTTGTTTAAGTTTTTCATTTAGTTGTTTTAGTTATATTGAAAATTATGATGTAAACCATGCACAGGTGACATTGATGTGATAATTTTCTTTAGGAAGATGATAATGAACGATCATCTACATTACAGTAATTAACAGTTGTCCTGTCATAAGCCCATGGCTCCAATAAATAAACTATTAACTTAAAGTGAGGAATGGGTTTATTCAGGACAAATAATTAGTATTGTTAAAAAAAGTTTTAAGATGTTTATAAGAGATGTAATATAATAATAGACATGGATGGGCTTATTTTTGGGCGTCAGCTTATTGGCAGATAAATATAGTGTATGTCACTAAATTGCTCAAATTTCCGTTCATTGACAAGGTTCCACTTGTGTCATTACAACATATCAGTTTAATCAATGATTATTTGTTTAATTGCGGTGATTAATCAATCCAAGATTTTCTGAAACATAATATAGTAACTTTCAAGGTTGGAGTTACTGCGTATTGAGTTTGAAATGGAAAAAAAATATTAAATCAGATGCTTTACCAAAAATTCCTGTTTATTAATTGATTTATGTCAATATTTTTTTATTGTTTTACTTTTGTAAATACTTACCACATTTTGCAGATGCCCATTATGTTTCCTTATAAAGCTGACTTATCAATACTTGATATGAATCATTTAAGAAATGATCAATATTACATTCTACTGCCATTTAGTTAATACATTTATAGTGCTATAAATGTCAAATCATGTTAAGCTTGTGAATAAAATATGAGGACCATGTAGTACATAAAGACTGACCAATGATTTAAGATGTTTTGTCAAATGATTCTGAATCTTTTAAATCATTGTCATATTTCCTGACTACAGGGAATCATTTGGAGTACAAGGTGTCAAATCTTGATTAATGGACTGGATTTTACAATAAAATGTATGGAGTGGCTGAATTCAAAGCCTTGGCATGTAGCCAGAACAACTCAAGAACATGTCTTCATAGTAGAGAGATTTTACATGTTAATATTATGAATGAGAATTGAATCTTGACAACTTGTGATCATTTTGTTGTGGAGATTTTTTCTGACAATGCATTATCCTGACAATATATTTTGTCAAAGAAAAAAATCTTTAAGTGAACAAATTAAAATGTGCATATTCCTAACAAATTTATTTTCCCCTTAATTTACTAACCAACCGAAGGCAGCTGTAACATTTTGTTCTCAGTTGACCACCCTGAACATTGCTAATGTGATAGTATTTACAACACATCACATTTTATGCTTTTGTGTATGTTAGGAGTGTTATAAATATGAGATTTTTTTAATCCAGTCTCAAGAGTGTGTTCTAGGTACCTGTTTATATATAGAGCTGGCAAGTGTACATTTGTAAATGGATGTCATAATAAAAGTACTATTGGAAGAACAGATTTTATTTTTGATTTGTATTAATCCCCTGTCCTAGGGGGCATAGAAGCTCCCATATCAAGTTCTTGTTATTGCCCTGATTTCTTCATTGTTAAAGATAGCTGAATGAAACTTGTATACCATACTGAAGTTCATTATCCTCTATAAGCGATGTGCAACTTTCACATACCTTAAAATACATCCTGGATCAGTTTTCAAAATGCAATATCATAGCTGGTTAAATAACACCTTGTGTTAGGTTCCTATCCCAGGTAGATCTACATATGACTTTACAAAGTGTGTATTGATCCTAGGCAGTTTATCATGTGCAAACAAATATGGGGAGATACTGTAAGTGTTCAATTGTATTGTGAAAGTTTGGGTCAAGGTCAATATTTAATGTCAACTGGATTTGAGTCAACATGTGGGCTTTAGCGATACCCAGTGTTTTGTTGGAAAATAAACATGTTTAACATTAAGGGTTTCTGAAATGTGAATTACACATTGTTGTGTTATACAACTTTATCTCAAATTTTGAAAAAAAATTGCAAAGATGTTCCAAGTCATAAAAAATACAAATTAATTGATAAAATGTCAGGCATGATCAAGTTTCACCAGAATGAACTGTGTTATTCACTTTTCATTACTTGATTCATTTAAATTGAACCAGTATTCATTTGGCAAGGATAGATTGACCAAATCATCTCCTAGTATGTACATTTGTCTCCACAGGTTACAGCACCAACAGTGTACATGTACATACAATCTTTGATATCTATATATGAAGAAATGTCCCTGAAACCTGTAATTCACTGAATTTCAGCTCATCCAAGTATGGTTTAAATTTAAGCTATACACTGTATGAGTATGGATATGAATTACTATCTCTGATTCATTGGTAGAGATCATCGGTAGAGATATCTGAAGGAGTATATTCCTTAACATTAAAGGGCACTCTCTACTTCATTGGTAAAGATATCTGAAGGAGTATACTCCTTAGCATTATTGGGCACTCTCTACTTCATTGGTAAAGATATCTGAAGGAGTATACTCCTTAGCATTATTGGGCACTCTCTACTTCATTGGTAAAGATATCTGAAGGAGTATAGCATTGCATTATTGGGCACTCTCTACTTCATTAGTAAAGATATCAGAAGGAGTATACTCCTTAGCATTATTGGGCACTCTCTACTTCATTAGTAAAGATATCTGAAGGAGTGTACTCCTTAGCATATAGGGGCCATTCAAACAATCAGGTGAATTACTTTGAAATCTGCAGAAACAGAATGGCCTCTTAACAAACAAGAGCTTTGGGATTTCATAACAACTTTATTTAGCAAGTATAATTATCAATAAATGCATCACAAACATTTTACAAGTTCAAACATTCACCCAAAATGATGTTGTTAAACATCCATAATAATTATGCATGAGGAAAATACAGGGCTCTTTAAACAGTGTGATCTTTTAGATTTCCTAACAACTTTATTTAGCAAGTATTATATATAATTATCATGAATCTGAAAAGAAAATGTCTTTTTCATTTATCAGTACATGCACACAGCATGCAGACTGCCATTCAGTCATTCTAGCTTAAATACAACACTATTAAGCTAATATATGTCAATCTTAAATAATTAATTAGTTTTCCTTAAAGCAGAGTATGAGGATTTTTTGTATTAGCACAAACTAAGAAATCTTCCAGAAACAAAACCTTATTTTAGCCAGGACAAATTCAAGCACAACCTGTCTATATCATGCCCAGCTAGTCTTGCACCAATTTAAGCCCCCCAAATAGGTTTATTGCACAACCAACTCACTTTCAGCTTTTTTCTTTGATTAGACTCACGTCCAGTGTATGCCATTTGTCAGTGAATAACTGGTTCTATTTGATAGAAACTTCTATGTATCACCCCACTGAAATGTCACAGCCTGGACACTAGAGCATAACATTCCATAGATCACCTCTTAGCTTAATCCATTTCATGTTGAGTTTCAAAGTAAGTACCAATCTGAAAGTCTCTGGTTTCATCAAGTCAAGGTGCTATCTGGTACGTTGGTGTTTTTTTCCCAAATGAATCAGGACAAAAATGAGAGAATATAGGTCTCACAATGTAGCAATGGGTACAGGTCTACACTGAACATATTATTTTAACTCTTATAAGGGCATAAAATAAATCTCTAATGCCACATAAGTGGCTGGCAGCATGCAGGGATTTTGTTTAGAGTTACCTCCCTTCATTAATTCGAAAACATACTATATTGGCACACATACTTTATATATACCATCACAATTCTCAGTCTGACAAATTCTGTAAAATATTGTTTTTAATGTTGCAGTAGATGTCCATTCAAATTCACACCTTTACTAACATAGGGTTAATCAAAGAATCTGCCTTTTCCTTTCCTTTCAAATTCTCCACGATCTTGAGAGCAAATTCAAAAGAGGTTCCTGGACCCCTACTAGTGATGAGTTTGCCATCTTGAACCACACGTTCATCTAAATACTTGTAGTTACCTTGCATAAAATCAAAACAGAAACATATTACTGATAATAATGATTTTGATCACTTGATCGTTTTCAAATTAAACAAACAGATAATTCCTTGTTCCTAAATTTTTCATCTCTTTGGATGAACACTCTTTCTGAAACAGTAAGTTTAAATGTCAAAAACACAAGGTAAATGGATTAGTAAACCAGTAAATAAAAACTTTCTTATAAGCTTTATTTAAGCATATTACCTTTTCCAGATAAGTTGGGGTGAACTGATAATGACAGCTACAGTTGAATATTCAATAGACAGCTCTTTTAAGAGAACATGTATATATCATATTTTAAAAAGACTTTAATGATAACTAACCTTGATACTGTAGGTGGTTGTCATAAACAGGTGCTCAATATAGACATGTACTATTTCAGGCAGAACAGAATGTATCCCTTCTTTAGATGTGATAGAGAATATATAACAAAATCTATGGAGGAGAAAGGACGACCCATCAGAACTGGAGATAAATAAGACATACCTGATGCTACCATCTTTTCCTTACAGCCAGGATGGGAAGTGATGCTTTTACCTTTGCAAATACCATGATTCAGAAGTACTGTTGGACCTAAACCAAATATGACAATTTATATATGTAAGCTTTGAAATAATACATGAATATTGGACTTAGTCTGTGCATCTGTAAATGTCAAAAAGCAACTATACAAAACAACTCTATGATCTTCATTTGTTCTTAAACTTGGATCTATTCCCTTCTTTTCTTTATTATGTGTAACTTTAGTCTTTAGAATACCTCCCTAAAGAAAATGTTCAGGGATAAATTGCAAATTTTGGGACTTTTTCTTAAATATGAAATAATTTGAATTGGAATGTGGCCTTTCATCAGCCCCAAAAAGCCTTAAAAAGCCCTATTACTAAACAGCAAAAATAATCAAAATCCAAGATGATTGCCTGCTGGCCATTTTCTTTCCCCGAACAGTTCCAAAATGCACAAATAGATTTCACAATGATGTCATTAATTTGAAGTAACACATGGGTAACATGACTGGGCATCAAGAGAAATCAATTCGTGAAGAGTTTCATAAATCTCCTTTAAAATGGAACTGTAGCTCATAACAATCTTCAATATGACATCATAATGTTTTGCAAGGTTAAATTGTATTTTAAAGTATACAATTTCCAGATTGTCTTTAATACCTGCACAGACTGCAGCAATATATTTGTCATCCTTTTCCTGATCCTCCAGAATCTTCTTAACTTCAGCAGACTAAAACAAAAATGCCTGAGAAATTGCCATCTTTTTTGGGAATTTCAATGTTTTCAAGTACAATTCAGAAAATAGAAGCAGTATAATAGTAGTAACATTACTTAATTAGTACAATAAGTATACTACGCTGTTACCAAGCATTTGTTCCAAACTCCCCTCACCTCCTCCAAAAAACAAAAAAATAACAAAACAACCATCATCCTGATGAAAATGTATTGAATTAAGCCAAACCAAAAGTGTGTTTCCTGTTTTGATAAACAAAAGTAGGGTAGGTAATCATAAATATAACAACTTGCTTCCATAATGATACAATAGCAACTGAAAGTCTAGGATAGGCACAATAATAGAGTCAGTATAGGGTAACAGGAAAACATCCTTTGTTAAGTCAAGAAGATATAGTGCAATCATGAACTTTGAAATGCATTAGGTAATGGTTTAAAATTTTACAACTTCTTCCAACTCCGATTTTGAATATCATTTGAACTGTGATTGATACATGAATTACACTTAGATACATACATGTAATTCTATGCCAGAGGGAAGTCTTTAACCTACACTGACAATTCTGATATATTTGTTCAAATACAGTAAAATTTGCTATAGTCAATGAAATGTAAACTAAGTGACGATTTAAGATAAATAACAAGCTAAATCTACCTGAGCCATGGCCTGTGCCCCTCCTGCTCCTCCAGGACAGACTACGATATCAAAGGGAGCCGACTTCATGGCTTCTTCCAAGCTCATGTCTGGAACAAGTTTAACATTTCTAGAACACAGTACAGCTTCACTTCCAGCCAGACCTGCTAGGGTCACTGCTACCTATAACAGTAAATAATAGATATAGAAGCTGTTAAGCAATTACCGCAATTGAAATACATGTATGTGACTTATGTGATACAGGACCATGACATCATTGGTTAAAACAATAATGACATTTTATCAAAGAAGTCGTGTTCTATTATTCATTCTATTTTTTCTTGATCTGTAAATATCAATTTGAGAAAAACAGCATTGTCCCCCTCAGGATAAATGACAGCATGTTTTGCACTTTGATGGTCCACAATGTAACATCAGGATTTAAAATAACAGACCACATTGTAATGTGTACATGTCTACCTGTTTTATAATACAGACATTTGTCCAGAGTTATTTTCAAATTTATATTTTTCTGATCTATGAATTATTGGTTCAGTGACCAGGAATTGATAGCAATCTTTAAACTATTTAACCTTACACTAATATCAAAGTTTTTTTTACAGACATGTTGTAATAAATGTATTAATCAGAAAAAAATAGACATGCAGCATAAAAAGGTTCAAATCTACGTTGTTGTTGGCTTTTTTTTATTATTTTATTCCTGGTCACGGCACCAATGGTAAAGTGCTACTAAAGTGAATGTTTGTGCTAAGAAGTATTTTGTTGGTAAAAATGTGCAGGGTTTGAAATTAAAACTATCATTTTCCCCTTATTAAATTTAAAGGGAAATCTTTGTATTTATTTGTGAGTAATTACAATGTGGTATGTCAAAGTTCGAGTCCTTATGTGGTCGTTGCATACTTCTATTGAAATATAGTTGGATACTTCTCTACTTATTACAATACTTGGAACCTATATAAATGCTGCTGTACGCTGTAAACCGGGTTCGTAATGTCGAGGAAAAAAGTGAAAATACCAGAAAATGCAAAGATGTCATTACTGATATGTTACAGAAATTTAAACTTATGCTTACTTCTCCTCTTCTTAAAACATCTACAGTTATGACAGTTTCCATTTCCTCTGCGCCTGCAGCTAAAATTACTAGTGCCTTCGACATTTTTCAAGAAGCAAGGTGCCCCAATGACTGATTGATCTTGGTCTCTTCGAGGTTTATTATTTGCAAAGCATTTCATTGACCGAGAATAAAACAATCTCTAAATGACGATTACATCATTTTGAATTAAGGGGTAAAAGTTGTCAATTATCAAACCAATGAAGTTGATAATTTATATTTGATAGGAAAACGATATTGCATTTTATTCACTCATTTTCTTCATAATGTTTACTAACTATCACTAGGTTAGAGAGTATGGTTGTTTGGTTGTCATGTTTGTTTGGGCATGCGTGACTCCTCGCGCCGACAGTAAACTAACGAAACTTGTTGATGCAAATGAGGGATAAACAATTGATGCATTGACGAGTATTGTATTCACAATAACAAGATGATGTGTGGTTCTTACTTCAGCAACATATAACGGAACACAAACTGATAAATGGAATAGTTGTTGGTAACGCGCACCTGCTAATCACCGTGTTTAGAAAGTCCATATTTTTGTGAAGTTACCGTGTCAACGATATGAAAGCATTTTTGAAAGGAAGTGACAATACAGTGTTTTCACTGTCACCAAAAGTGACAACACTCGGCCGTGAAGGATGTGACGTTCCACTGCAGGTATATTTTCTTGAACGTTGATTACTGATGTTTCAGCACAAACACCAAATGACATATTCGGGTTGTGTTGAAAGTACATCATGCATCATCTCATCGTCAATATGACAACACCATCACAGTATTTTCTATCTTCTTAGCATTCTTTACATGTTCCTTATACGTTACTGGTTTCCACATTATATATACATGATATTTCATATAATAAATATAGTATGTACACAAAATAATATGTTACAATACATTATATTCGTTACCCCAGCCAGTGGTAGCGTGTTTTCCATTACTCCCTCCTATTACACATATTTGTACAAGTGAATTTTCATAGGAGAGGTGTGTACTGTACAATATTTTCATGGGGTGGAGTCTCCCAAACCTCAACAGTATCTTGGACTATTTACCACATTCTATCAAGTCAGAGTTTCTGGGAGATGTTAGGCACACTTTGATGTATAGATGTCAGAGATGGGGTCATAGACTCAAAATCTCAAAGGAGTCGAAGGGTCCTACTAAGTTTCTTTAAATTTTGGTAGAGAGAGAGAGAGTACATATACCCATCAACTTAGAATCTTCCAACTACATTTGTTGTTACAAAGTTTTGAATTGTTATTGTTGACAAATTAAAGCTTCAGTAATATAACCCATATAAAGTACATTACACATATTCATCATGGAGATAGCTATTTATCCAAAACCAATCATTTTGTCCCATGTACAGTGTAGTTCATATTTGTTGTTATAGGCCATGACTTTATTCAGTTCAAACTTTCTCTGATGAGTCTATCCCATTGAGAATATTACCATACATACAGTAGAGATGTGTTCTCACCTTGCACCAGACATCTGTCTTTAAAATGTTTATTAGATACTTTTGTAGAAGTCACAGGAAACTTATAAGCCTAATCCAGTCAGTACATATATACCAGTTTTTCATAATGAGCTGTCTTTGAAAACTGTCCTGGACCTTATTTAGTCTCAAATAAGATCCAGAAAAATGGAAAAGAACGATAGCCAAATACCTTGGCGATGGCACACAAAGTTGAACAGCTATCTCTCAATCTCTGGGTGTTTCGCTGTCGCACCTTTGTCAGCCCTTCTGGTCAGTGGTTGGGACTTTTGACAGTCTTTTTTTTCTTCCGTGCCTTGATATTTCACTCTGGAATGTCAAAGTGGCGACTGGCAGCACGAAACTCAAGTCTCTCAGTGTAGTCAATGGCGTCCAGTTTTTCTTTCGCTGTAAACGATGTTCGCTGTTTCCCCATGTCAAAGTCGGTGTAAACAATCTATAATTAAGTACCTTCGGATACCGCGGTAGTTACAGATATGGGGGCAAGGTAGGATTGAAACTTTTCAGACAGTTAAAACATCATCGTTTTCTGAGCAATAGCACGCGTTTAGTCCAAGCCAGGTGTCAATCTCCTCATACTCAACGTGTTTGTTACCTGTTAAGAACCGTTAATTATCCAATTAGCCAAGCCTTTCATGCTTGTTAAGTCAGGCACCTGTGTGAATTTGTTTACATAAGGTAATTAAATATGTTAGGGTCACGATGATTGTGGTTTCCTAATTATCAACCACATCAACTGTTTCATCGAGGTTACCAGTAATAAATTAATCTTTCTGTAGCAAACCTTTTTTTTTTTTTATCTGACCCCAAAAAAGTACCTGCGCACTATACCCACAAATTTAGGGTAAGGTATTTTGGGAGGGCTGGGCACAACATTGTCTCTCTATAACTGGTTAACCCATTTGAGATTTTCTTAACTGAGAGTTTGGAGGATTCAAATTCTAATTCTAGTCTGGACCATTGCATATTAATTACTCTGCAATGCAGTAGTATCGGTGTAGGGCCTTGTAAATATCTTTATAACTCATCATTTGTTTAGAAATGTACAAACCCTGAAACAAGATGTGGTTTCAAATTTCTATGAGTAACATCACAGAATCTGAAAGTAGCAAATATACAGCAGTAATTTTTGTAGGATTTTTTAGGTGAGTCCAGGGAACCATTTCCAAAAATTTGATGAGTCCTTTTACTAAGATACAGAGTTAGTCCTCAAGACTTGAGTAAGTCCCACAGAAAAGCTTTGAGTCGACTCAAGAATCTGAGTCCCAAAAATCACTGATATAGTATATACACTGTAGTGTTATTAAACCTGAACAGAATAACCTTGATGCACATGATTACTGTTTGTCATAAATGCATTATATGTACTAAAAGGATGGTTTATTCTATGTTCTAACTGAACTATATATATATGCCATATACCTATCAATAGAGCTCTTTCAAATGCCTTAGGAGTATAATACAGTTCAGTAATTCCGTGCTGTTTCCCTTGAATATCTGAATGGATTTAAAATTATTTCCCTATTACCTTTCTCTGTATGTGTTTAGAAATAGTCATCTATTAAAGTTAATTTCAATGTATAATGCCTCTGTGTAATGGTAATTTTTTATAATAGAATGTAGTATATGACTGTTAATATAGCAGTCCACCCTATAGCTGTTAAGATCAACTCTTTTTAATAGTCAGTATTCTATAAAGGTCATATCAATATTGCTGTTCAGCAAAATAACAAGCCCTTGCTATTTCACTCATTTGCAATAAGCCCATCCTCTGTTTGTGCCTTGTGTTTATTGCAGAATATACTATGCTGTAATATACTGATCCAATATGTCTTTTGGTGTGCAATTGTTACAACAGTATAAAATGATATGTAGGTCACTGCTACCATATTTTCATTTTACACAAGCTTCTGTGAAAATCTGAAGATTCTGAACATAATAATGTTTTATCATTCTGCGAAAACTGACATACGGTAATAGAATGAAAAAATGTTTTTACTTAACCACATTTTTTTGGTAGATAATAATTAAATTTTGTAGTTTCTTCAACTCTGTTAGCTAGGCCAACCTAATATTGACCCTATCATGACCTGCTTTAATCATGAAAAATGCTATATATCTTTAATTTTTATCAGTATTCAAAAGTTTCCAACTTCATTTTTTGGACTTATGTTAGTCAAAACAATGCTCAAATGTGATACAGAACATCGTCTTAATATAAACACTGATGTGATAACCCTATAACAGCATTTATTTTAAGGTCCTTTTACCTAATGACCCTGAAAACTTCCTATCACTCGTGATTTTGTCGGCCATTACCAGATATTATCTGACAGGAGGTTTGTGACATTGATTTTGGTGTTGAGTTTTGGGAGAGTCATCAGATTGGTTTGAATTGATTCAAATATTATTTCCAACAGTATTAGCTTTCTTCTTCATGTGTTTTTCATTTTGTCTGCTCTGTAGTCAGCTTCAAAAATATCATTGGTCTGATTTATAATACCTGAATGTTCTGCTAGTTAATAAAAAAGGATAATCAGTCTGTGGTGTGACTGACCGGTGTGACTGACCGGTGTGACTGACCGTTTACTGAGGAAGGTTAAATGACCAGTACATTACCAAGCTGTTTGTGGATGTGATTCTCTGCTTTTGAAGCTGGATATAATTACTGCCCTGCAGAGTGGACATACTTTTCTATGTTGTAGACAAAGAATATGAACAATGTTTGATTGGAAATCCAATAGTAGGAAATCCATACCCAACTGCATTTTGGCTAGTAGCGTCACTTTCACCACCATTCTCAGTCAATAATTCTTGAGCTAGTTATGTAATTTTCGGGGTAATAATGTGCAGGTAAAATACAGCTAATGTAGTTTTGGAGATATATCTATAATTGATGTGGGACATGTTTGATCCTACAGATCACATCCAACATCATGCTTATTTTCGTCTGATTTTGAATGGCTTACACAACAACAGTGTTTTATGTGGCATTCCATAGCCAGGTGGTTTGTTTCACATGCCAGTTTTCTCGATGGATTTAGATATCATATATATTTTACCATAGCTAAGAATGGGTAAAATCATATGATTTGCCCCTTCTGCCTATTAGGAGGAGAAGAAGTGTGCACAGTGAAACAGCTCTACCTTATTATCTTACTTTAAGCTTCTAAATAGTGTTCTTACTTACACTGGAACTTGACAGAATGGTCTACCTAGAACTGCTCTTAGGAGTCGTTTTTTCATTGCACATGTTTGGTGATATTACTGATCAGATACATATAAGATGACAAGCTAGAAACAGACTTTGATACTTGTGACAACAACTGAGTTATGTGTAGCAGAAAGGCAGTGATTTTAAGTGATCAAAGTAGGAATTATTATAATTGATAAGTTAGTTGAATGATTAATAAAATTGTAACTAAAATGTAACACTACATTATGAGGTGTGGCATTTTACTGAAGGATGGAAATGAATCAAAGAAAACAGGAAAACATCAAAAGCAAGTGTCATTCTATGATAATAACTTAAAGGTAAAATAAATTATGTTAAAATCTTATGTAAAGTTTCCTAGCACTTAGCTGTATTGTGTTTCTAGTACCTTTGAAGATTATGACAAAATCTTTGCCATGCAGATTTTATCTTCTAAACATAAATTTGATAATGAAGCATGGAAGGTCTACTGCATATAAAGCAGGGAGGATATAAATATGCTGTACATTATATAACCACTGCCTGTGTCATAAAATATAATACCTGGTTTTTTTTTAAAAAAAATCTTACTGTTAATAAGTTTTAATTACTCTAGCCACATGATATTGTATTAAATTATTATTCATAATGACAGAAGCATAGGTATTTAACAGAGGAGGGGATGCTTTGAAATATCATAGTGTCTATAAAATATGGTAAGATGCTCTACCTGAACACTTTTAAAGATTTGAATTAAGGATGTATGCTACCAAAACTGTTCAATGCATCAGATTAATGATTGGTTATTTGATCTTTTTTTAAAATTTTTTTAATTGTTCCTGTTTTAATCATTTCAGACATCCGGAGTTGACCAGCAGCATGCTGTGATAGAGTATCATGAACAGGAAGATTGTTATGTCCTTCAGGACCTCAACACTGCCCAGGGAACCTACGTCAACGACTGTCGGGTACAGAATGCCATAGTGAGGCTAGCACCAGGTGACATCATCAAATTTGGATATGGTGGCATACCGTATGAACTGAACATAGAAAATCCACCACCTGTAAGTGTATTGTGACTTTACTAAATAATTGTTTGATCTTTTAGCCCTCTTTGATTTAGCTCCTCAGTTTTTGAAATGATTATGAAATATCCATGTTACTATTAATTTTTTATTTCTGTGTACTGCTGTCCTAGAACAGGAGTTCTTATAACACAAGTAGAAGTATCTTCTGCTGGTTGTGTTAAAAGATCTCCTATTGACATTACCAACCCAAAGAAAATGTTCCAAAACATGCCGAATAGTCCTGCTTGCAAAAGTGTGAATGAGAAGAATTTCAAATGGAAACTCAGCAGCAGTAACAAAAAGAAAAAAAAACAACTTTGCAAAATATTAATGAAAATTAGGTTCATATACCAGTAACTTACATCATCAATATAAGTAATATTTCTTTGATATATACCTATTTTTTGACATTTTGAAAATGTTATTGTTTTACATATTCATTCCAAACATTTGGATATTTTGTTAACACATTTCCAAACTGAGATGCAAAATTCAATGGGTTTAGATAGTGGATTTGAGTTTGTGGTGTTAGACTTGGTGTGCTAATGTAACTGGTGTGTATACAGGTTTGTAACAATGAGATCACGTTTTGTTTATGATAACTATAGTACAGTTTTACTGGTATCTGACTCATCAAAAATCGTTGAACAATGTTCACTTTTAAATCATCACGAATGATTTGATTATTTAGCACGGTAAAAATCACAATATTTTGGCACAAATTATCTCCATGTTTCACTTTTAGATGAATATCTTAAATAATTGATTTTTTGAAAATTTTACCTCCAGTTATTGGATAGAGTCTGATAATTCACTTGTTCAACTCCATTCTAATCATTGATAGTGTTGATTGATGTTTTTTCCATTCATTCCAAACTTCCATCATTCCTTTATCATCTCTTCATTGTTTTGTCCCAGGCCCGGCAGGAGAGGCCCCCAGGATTCCAACAGGTATTAATAACATTAACCTTTGACCTTTACATTCTTCTGGCCATGGACCTTTCACTTGTCATCTGTACTCTTTATGCTTCTTTCACTTTGGCCGAAATTTAGATTTAGTTGAAAAAACTGCTGTTTTTGCTTCAATAGTTGTCTCCCTTTGATTATAATACAGTTTTGATACCTAGCTTCATTTGTCATTACAGTACAAGTCAGGAATATGTATATTGAAAATTAATAAAGAAAAAGAAAAAAATTGATTTTGAATGTTAAACTTTCTTTTTCTTTAGAAATGATGATCAGGATCATGCTATGTCAAAAATATCCCATTCCATATAAAAAATATCCCATTCCATATAAAAAATATCCCATTCCAAACAGCAGACTTTCAATGCATGTTAGATAAAAACTAGGTGTCTGCTACAACATTAAAACTATGATTTTTTTTAATAATTAAAAAGAAGTTAATCATTTTGTTCTGATAAGTATACATACATGTAATATGATTTCACATACTGGAAGAAATAAAATTCTTTTGAAGGTGAATATAAATGTAATAGACACTCTCTTGTATACACTATCAAATCCCTTTTCTTTCTTTTCTGTCACTTTTTTTCACACAATTTACATTATTTACCTCTAGTTTCAGATGCTTATTGTAAGACTTGCATGTTAGAAAATTGATTATTACTTTATAGAAATAATGTTACAGTTTACTCTTACAAACATCTCCTCCTTAGGACGTTATGTATGCAATTACCCATACTTTTTTTTGTAGCAAAATGAGAAATTTCACTTTTTTTCTGATGGGTACTTCATGTTATTTTTCTTTCTTTTCTGAGGTCATCGTTTTACAATATTTTTTTGTTTCTACAGGATTCACATTTGCCATCTTTTTTTCTTTCACATGTAATTTGATGGAATGAAAATAGATGTATTTAAGAGAAAAAAAATGTTGATTTGATCTTGGACGAATAGATATTGACTCAAACTGAGGGAAAAATACAACACGCTTAAAATTGTTGTACTACTATATACCACAATGTATATTTGTTGCAAAATGATAAAATATGAATGTGTTGAAGCAATGGACATCTATGAAACTAATAGGAATTTATTGACCTACATTTAACATTTCAGTATTTTTCTTGTTATATTTACCTACAATACAAAACCATGTCAGACATTTATAATGAGTTCTACATGTACTTCTCACAGATTTGAATGTTGTTTTGTTTCTTATCTAGTTCCATTGTACCAGAATTACTCTAAAACTTCAAAAAAAAATGTTAAAGATTTTACTTTTATGCTGATGAATGTGTAGTTATTCTTTGTGATAATAGCATTGACTGTTTGTATTATTTAGTTTTTTGTTTGTTTTTGTTTTTGTTTTCAAATTAGAAACAAAAGATTTCTGTAAGTCTGTTATCTTTCATGATCATTATGACTAGCCTTTTAACAAATACTTCAATGTCATCTTCACCCTGTACTAGTATATAACATGATTTGTATACTGCTACACAGGACACCATGACACTAATACAGACATGTAATAACAGCATGTACAATGTAATCTACAGGACAGTAACAAAACGTTTAAATCTCTGTTTTTAGATCATTCAAACATGTAAAATACATTTTGTTTTGAGTCTTCAAAAGCTATCTACATTTTTTTAAAGTGATTGATTTTCACAATGGCTCATTATTAAAAACTAGGTGATATATGATTTCCTATGGCGCCTATGTTGTAAGGTTGGTTAGTGTAATCTGCCTACCAACAGATCTATTTGTAAAATATATATTTTATCATGCACCCACTCTCGGTACCTAAGATTACAAAAAAAACCTACTCAAAAATGCTCTTGATTTCAATTGATGTGGTAAAATACTTTCGTTTCTGATCATAAGATTTACAGTAAGTTCTTCAGTGGATACACATTTATCTGATAATGTATGTGTATCTACAAATCTACCGCTTTAGTAACAAATGTTAAATATGTTTTTTGTTCTTAGGAAAAATTTCCATTACGGGCATTTAAATTACAAAGAAAACAATTCATGAGAAAATATTGACTGATTGTTCTTGGCTACAATGGATATTTCCCTGGCCTGAAACTAATATTTTAATGATTGATAAATGGGAATGCCCTGTGTTTGAATTAAGTTTACGATGTAATTACCGATATCTACCGTAGGTACACAAAGATAGTTTCCAACACAAACTGCAGAACAATCCACTTTGTCCACAAGTGTTTGCTCAAAGATCTATACTCAGAATAGCTAATCGAGTTTTCCTGGTCACATAGATATGCTCAAGTCCAAAGCGCCTGATCTTTGGTGCAGGAGGAGCTGTGAAAGTCTACGCGATTTGTTTGTCGTTCATGTCACATAGAAAGACTGCTAGGGTATCCTATGTCAAACACTTGCTTTAAAAACTTCTCTGTTATGCAGGCCTAGTAACGATGATCAACACTAGACAAAATCAGAGTCATTTATGAGTTATATTTTGCAAGCTGACTTTATATGTAGAGGAGATGTGTTATTGCGTTCCCAGGAAAATGGGGATTTTGATTAAAAGTAAATGTGAAACTTTCAGGAGAATTAAATTCAGGGGAGTATAATACTTCTTTATGAGGTATATACAGAGCTTATACATGTACAGCTAATTAATTGTGCAGTTAAGTTAAAGTTAGCTGTCATTTCAATACAAGTGTGATCCACTGCACACCAGTACCTTCCATTTGGATTGACATATTGGACAGAATTGAAATCTTCTGTGCCATACAATCGTACAAGAGGATAAAGATTTATAACCTTTGGATAAGGTGTTTTTTCACAGAGGATTAAACCCAGTGCATATGTTTATATAAAGTCGGTCAATCTGTGATTACTACTGGCTCATTAATATATTTTTCATTGGATGTTTATAAATATCAATCACACATTCTGTCATGGAGTTGTCGAAAAGTGATTATTACAGTGAAAAATATGGGGTAAGAAACATTATCTTCTACTGTTATCTGTTTTATATCTAGTTCAGTTCTTAGCTGGTAGCTTCTTTTAAAGAAGTTTTCTACAAAATGTAAGTATATTTTGTGTTTAAAAGTCATTCAAAATGATTACAGATTGAAGGAAAATTTTACGGTTACTTAAATTTCAATGTAGAAACAGGAAGTCTTTGATGAGAGCTGTCATTGAACACAAAATCAAATTTGATATTTCAATGAATTGCCTGTTACGATATATTTCGCATGTAGTTACGCCCATGGAAAGTGTTTTTTATTTATGACAGGCTGTTGGCTGATTATATACAGTGTTATATTGGTAAATAGCATTGGTGTACACAACAGTGTGTGTTTCCCAGCTCCCTGACTACCCACTGTTTTACCTGTCAACAAGTCTGTACCTGTCAAACCCCACGACACATTCACTATCATTGACAGAGAAATCTAAATTAAGATTTGATGATCCTCTCTATAGCTTTCCAAAACCTGTTTTAAAATTGGCCGTCATACATTTTCTGTAATAATGGTATAAGGATTTGAAATTACATGTCGTACTGAGTTAAATATTGGCCAGTTTTGACCTCAATACACCTATTGTTCCTAATGTAACAAAGTCTTAATCCACTGTGTGTATTGGACATTGTAAACATTGTCAGTTCTATACCAAGGCCATTGTCTATTTTGTGTAAAATTTAAGAATGAAGGGTAGTATTATTTAACCTTAACGTTACAAGGGCTTGTTTTAAAACTCCGTTTATATCAGTTTGTATTGTAGTAGTTGTAGATCTTTTAAAAAATTAAAAGGAATTGGATTTTAAATTTAAATTGCGTATTTATATCATGTAGGTCCCATTTCTAATCAGTTGATATGTATACCATATTATGTATGTTATTACTACATGATCTGGACTAGCACTGTACTTACATACACTTCATTAGTTTTACCATTAACTTCAGGTATTACTGGTAAAGTAAGAACAGAATCAAAGAAGTAACAACATATTACACTTCTATATATATTCTGTAAAATATCTCTAACATCAAATTTCACGATTTTATTGTAAAACACGAAATATCACATTTAAAACTTGTTCCCCATAATGACACTATTATTAGACATCTACCAAAGGATGTATATCATGCTGTCTCCATGTGGACTCTTGGTTCAGTTTTATGAAAAAATTAGCTTATGTTTTATAAGGCAAATGGTGATCAAATTTTTCTTTTGATAATAATTTTTAAAGTTTATAGATACAAATGATTCTGTGAACACTATCCAAAGCTAATAATCTGAATCCAGGATATTTAATGTTTAATGGTTGTCAGTTTCAGCAATGGTGTTGAAAATCTGTCACTTAGATATAAAGCACACATGTATTAACCAAAGGAAGCACCAGGATATATTACAGATCCCTTACCTTGATAAGTTTTAATGATTTGAAAGAGCATATCGGTATATGTGTGGGTTGTAAAAGACTTATCGAAAGATAATTTGTAAGTGTAGTTTGAAATTACATAATGCTGTTTATGATAAAACTATATCTGTTAGCCTTAAAGTTGATACATTGTAGTATGACTCGGTGATCTAGATAACTGGATCTGCCAACATTTTTCCACGACTGTCGGATACTTAATATCTCTGTGTGAAGATTACAGTCGCATGCCTATTTTCAATAGGTAGTATTAATAATTTGGTTGATTTATCAACAATTGAACCTTGGTGATCGAGCAGAGTAGGTCTATTGTCAGAAACCTACAGACTAGGGCAGGTCTGTCATAGAGATATCCGTGGACTGAACGAGTGTCGGTACTGTTCCACAGTCCGATATTGTTCACTAATCTAGTCTGTTTAGAGTTAATTGTATCAGGAGTTATATAATTATCATGATTTATGAGTTAGCATATTAGTATATAAATAATTCCCAGCCTGTTTTTTATGTCTCCCTACCACAACTTGAGTCCCTAGTGATCTGGCAGCTATAGTATACACACTAGTAGACTGGGACGTCAGAATTGTGTGTTGACAGTCTGTTGTCTTACTTTTTAGCTGTTATTGATTTCTATGTGGATAATGACAGACACTAATTTAACACAGCAGGGAGATAATCATTCAGATATATAATTATAGTATGAAATGACAGCGACCGTTGTTTGTTCAACAAGTCTGTCTCTGGATGTGAGAATTTATCAGATCAACTGATTTGATGTTTGCGATATACACAGGTGGTGGAATAGTGTTCAGATCTGTTCTACAGTTGTGTAGAAGACACATAGTATCTTGTAGTCTTTTTTGAGACCTACTGGAGCATTCTGACACAGACTGAGGAAAAACATTGATATTACTGTTGTATAGAAGATGAATTATAGTATCTTAATTTTGGACAACTTAGTGTTTTGAGACAAGTTGGAAGCATTATCAGACAGGTGAAGGAATAGCGTTCATATAGACACTTTAATCAGAAAACACATTTCAGAATCTTTTGCCAACTGTGTCTCTGGACACCTGTGGTTATGTTGTGGTACTTGGTGTAGATTTCTGATACCAGACTTGTGTATAACGTTGATAGATATGACATTAGTTACATCCACCAATTACTACTGTTATACAGAAACAAAAGAATTGTGTTCCAAAGAAAGCCTCCCCACATTTGTCTGAGATAAAAACACAAGGATTACTGAAAAATTCCTGGATATCAAGACTTAAACCACAAGAAATATTTTATACCTGTGTGTCTCCGACTAATTATTAAACACATTGACTGGATTTAAGATGTGAACAACTTGTCTGAAAGGATTTCAAAGAACAAAACATTTTAATTGATACACAAAACTGTAAAGGATCATAGTAGTTGTGAAATTAAGGACCTTCTGCTGTTAAGTGGTGTGTAAGATTATATATTGGTGTAGAAATCCGGATTGCTATTAAAAACTAGCTCAGACAGATGCCACTTAAGGCTTTGACAAAAAAGTGTGCTGTTTGATAGCTCTGTAAAAGAGATGACAAGACACCCAAAGCCTCCCAGCAGTCGACCTCAGCTATCTCAGAGTGCTGGCGAGGTGTGTATTGACATAGGGTATTATATCATGTTACCTGGATATAGTGAGAAGGTCAAAAAGATAACGCTAAATCTATGCAGGATTACGTCTTTATAGAAGGAACTTAAGGAAATGTCCAATCTTCAGTGATAGATATCAAATCAATTTTTAATATGGCTTTGTATTAAGTCCCAAGTTTGTGTTGGCAAGCTATCCACACATTTATAAAAGATACGTGATAAAATGAAGAGGGAGTTCAATACTTAGTTATTTAAACTTGAAAAAAAATACTTAATCATGTTTGATTAATGAAATAAACACTTCTTGTCTAAAGATATTTGTTGTACATTTTCCTGGTGATTCGATTAAGACAGATTTACTTGACAATTTTGAGGATTATATAAGTTGTAAGTGTTGGTAATTCACAGTAACATGCAGAAATTGAGGTTTTTTTTAACGAAAAATACAAAAAAAACTTTACTTGTATACAATAATATTATCTGGAGAGCATGCGAGTAGATTTTATTGTTTAAAAACTGTCTGTATTATATTGAAATGCATAGTTGTGACTTGAAAAAAAAATTACATAAAGAATCCATGTGGTAATGTTTAAATATGTTTTAAACCAGAGACATACAAAAACTAGCAAAGACATTTTTGAAGTGTTACTGTACATCCATCACCTTGGTGGCTGATCCAGTCAAGATTCAGTTTAAATCTTTGTGACATGCTTTCACCACATGCAAATTGTTTTAAGATGACTACCATGTTATGCGAAGATTGGAAGTGGCTAGGGGTAACAAAATTTCTTTAAGACAATAATAATCATGAAACTGACTCCATTAATGGCTAACCCAAAAGATAGCTATTAATGGGAATGCTACTCATTCTAAAAGTAATTTTTGTCATCATACAAGACGTTTTAGGTATAAAACAAAGTGTACTGGTTTGATTCGTCATGATATCTCTTAGTTTTTATTTTAAGGTGTATTTTTATCACAGAAATAATTTTTGCCATTCAAGACCGGAAAATTTGTACTGTTTGTATCTCAACATAAAATTCTATGTTATTCTAAAATCTAAACACAGAAAAATTTGCTGGTTTCAGATTTTTCCACTACTCATTAATTTTATGCATTAAATTAATAAGGATTGGTAACAGGGTCTTGATGTAGTGATTTACATAATAAAACAGATTGTATACTGAGCTATGTATGAAATTGTATAACATTGTATTCACAGATTGCATATCCTCCTGTACAACAACGTCCAGCATGGAGTCAACCCCTCACCCTCCTCTCTGACACGACAAATTTCGTCCAGGCGGACATGCAGCCAACTATGACCCAAGCCCAGGGATCAATGAATCTGCCTTACTTATCTACTGGTACAGCTACCATTACAATTCCATCAGCTGTGTGGACACCTTCAAATCAGCCTGTACCTCGTCCTCCTGTTTCGCTTCGTGCACGACCCCTCAGTGCAGGATCAGCTAGGCCTCTATCTGCGGGATCAGCTGCAGGATCAGCTGCGGGATCAGCTCGCAGGGTTGGTGGAACGTTTGACAGGGTGCAGACTTTCACTTCTCCAGTCCAGTCGCCAGTAACTTCACAGAGATCTGTTGGTATGTTATAGTAGTTGATTGGTCAGATCTGTAACATGTGACATTTCATTAAACTTGATATCCTACCGACTTCTAACAATGACATTGACCAAAATGAATGCCGTCACTTTAGCAACATTATTTTGTTAAAAATTTTGATAAGAAAAAAAAAAATAAAATGGACTAGTATAACAATTACTTGGATAAGTTTGTTTCAGGATTCCAAGGTCAAGGTAACAAATAGGGGATGTTTATGTGTCAAGGTAGAAACAAGGGATGTTTATGTGTCAAGGTAGAAATAAGGGATGTTTATGTGTCAAGGTAGAAATAAGGGATGTTTATGTGTCAAGGTAGAAATAAGGGATGTTTATCTGTCAAGGTAGAAATAAGGGATGTTTATGTGTCAAGGTAGAAATATGGGATGTTTATGTGTCAAGGTAGAAATAAGGGATGTTTATGTGTCATGGTAGAAATAAGGGATGTTTATGTGTCAAGGTAGAAATAAGGGATGTTTATGTGTCATGGTAAAATAAGGGATGTTTATATGTCATGGTTGTATTGAAGGTGTTTTAATTGCCATTAGCAACAGTGTACAGATATTTTACAATATAGAATGTAGAAATGCATTGTTGATTTAATAGATGTTTAATTTGATCATTGTTAAGGTGTATCAGGAGGATGGACCAACGGACTAGACAGAAGACCAACACCTCCTGTATCAGTTCCCATGGGAGGTGTCCCAGAAGCTATGAGGCTACAAGAAAAGGTATGTTGCTATTTTTTTTTAAAGTTTATGTCAAAAAGCATTCATTCCTTTTCCCTTACTACATATTGATATATGGTATCACTAACTTTAACCTTTGCCCCAAAATATGTTCAGAACACAGTTGAATCCTATAACAATTACTTTCATTGCCAAAAAAATTTTTTTTTCACTTTTTAATCCAATATATTTTCAAATGATTATTGTACACAAGTTTGATTTTTGTGTTGCATTAATGTTTTTGTTTTGAGATTTTTGAGTAGGTAGATTCAATGTATTTCATTATTGTATTGTTAATTTAAGTGATTTTACTCAGAAAAGCACTGAAAGTTTAGATAGTAGAAATTAATTGCATGAATTTGAAATGAAAAAATAATTTGGTAGGAATTTTGCTGATTTGTCACTTCCATCAGTCTGTAATGTTTGATTAGAAATATCAGGCATTCAAGATGACGAAACAATTCTGTTTTCATTTTCTAGGAACAGAAAATAATTGCACTGACAGAGGAAGTATCAAGACTTCGTTCCATGGAGGTGGAGGCATTTCGTAAGGAACAATTGGTACAGCATCTGCAACAACAGATCGCAGAGCTCCAGCATCGTGTTACCACACAGGGGCCGCTCATCATGGGTGGTGATACAGACCTGTCCCAGCGCGTTATTGCACTAGAGAATGAACTTACCAACAAAAACATGGAGATGATTTCCATGAAGGAACAGGTGAGCTTCTGTCTCAGATTTGATGATTTTTCCAGCAATTATCGCCAGAAATGTAATTTGTTACTTGTTGTTAGCTAGTGACAATTCTTGTTAAAAGGTCTTGTTTTATGACTTTACTTCAGATCACAGAAAAGTCTCAGTTAAAGTCTGTGTTGTGTGTGTCATAATAGGAAGATTCCAGTGGCAGATTTAGAGACAGAATCAAACTAATAGAAAATACAAACTGATATTGATCATTTCTACCAAGAGCAGAACCCATTTCCCTATAGAGTCATGTTAGCTGAATTAGCCTCGAGAATCCACCCAAAATTGGTTTATATTACAGTAAATAAATCACTCAAATTTTCTGTGATTTTTTTTTTTTCTATCAATCTACACCAGTTTCATTTTGCATCTTTTCAAAAATCTCCAGTAAATTTCTTTGTCCTTGAATCTGACCTACATTAAATCATTGTCCCTGAAATCTGTCCTGACCTATATTGAATTATGGTCCATGAATCTGTCCTAACCTACATTCAGTTATGGTCCATGAATCTGTCCTGACCAACAATGAATTATGGTCCATGAATCTGTCCTGACCTACATTCAGTTATGGTCCATGAATCTGTCCTGACCTACATTCAGTTATGGTCCATGAATCTGTCCTGACCTACATTCAGTTCTGGTCCATGAATCTGTCCTGACCTACATTCAGTTATGGTCCATGAATCTGTCCTGACCTACATTCAGTTCTGGTCCATGAATCTGTCCTGACCTACATTCAGTTATGGTCCATGAATCTGTCCTGACCTACATTCAGTTATGGTCCATGAATCTGTCCTGACCTACATTCAGTTATGGTCCATGAATCTTTCCTGACCTACATTCAGTTATGGTCCATGAATCTGTCCTGACCTACATTCAATTATGGTCCATGAATCTGTCCTGACCTACATTAAATCATTGTCCCTGAAATCTGTCCTGACCTATATTGAATTATGGTCCATGAATCTGTCCTGACCTACATTCAGTTATGGTCCATGAATCTGTCCTGACCTACATTCAATTATGGTCTGTGAATTTCCCCCAACCTGTCAGTATTATTGTTGTCTTTCAATCTGTCCTGAATGCTGCCAGTGGAACTTAGGAGGGACTGGTTCATGTGTTTGTAGAAGTTAGAATGGTTTATAAACAGTAATCATCATTAACATGTTTTGTGAGTAGTGCTGCTGTGTAAACATGGGTATAAAGGTTACATAATGTAATTATACAGTTGTATGTTATTTTGTTGACATGTCATTTTTTCACATATTGCGAGCAAATTTCAGATTTTGGATAAAATGGAGTACATTTCCAATCTTTTTTGAGAGGGGGTTGGGGTTGGGGGGTTAGGGTGGGGTTACGGTTGGGATAAGGTAGGGTGGGATGGGATGGGTGGGGGAATGGAGGGGATGTTGAATTACAGTTGAAATCCCCCAAACTATTTTTTCCTTCAAGGAATTGAAAAAATAGTGTCATTTGTCATTTGCCAATTGATCGATTGCTTAGTTGCTACAGTATAGATGTTTTAGTGCCTTACCTAAAAGTCTGTTAATATACTATAAACTCTTAGACATGAGCTATAGCCTTAATAAGTGTCTTTATTTATTGACATTTGTTTCTAGAGAACTAGACACTAGCATACCGTACACCTGAGTTAATTAATTGACATTTGTTTCTAGAAAACTAGACAGTAGCATGCTGTACACCTGAGTTAATTAATTGACATATGTTTCTAGAGAACTAGACACTAGCATGCCGTACACCTGAGTTAATTAATTGACATTTGTTTCTTGAGAACTAGACTCTAGCATGCCATACACCTGAGTTATGGTGTTATGTCTGTGGGTCCAAACTAGCCTTTTCAGACTATAGACAGTAGCATCTACAATGTACACCAGAGCTGTAGTGTTATTTGTGGGTTAGCAAAAACCTCTACAAACTATTGACAACAGCATGTACACCTGAGCTGTAGTTTTATCCATGAATTAGAAATAGCCTTAGGTTCTACTGTCTCTTTGAGTTGAAAATCCTTTCTAGATTTTAGACTCATTAATATGTCCATTTAACCAAGTCTCATCTGTTCTGTGTACAAAAGATAAATCTGTTCTTTTTTGTATGTGACACTATTGTTAACCTGTTTCAAAGTTTAGGTAGTTGTAATGTGATTTTTTTATATTCTTCGATAGAGTTTAATTAAATGACACAGTGTCCCTTTTCCAGTTCCCCATTTTCTACATCTAACTGGAAAGTATGGCTGTATGACCGGTCCAAAATTGGTATTAATACTTGTAGAAGATACAAAAATAGATCAGTTACTATCAGGTTTGTCATCTTTGTTATTACAATACCAACCGTATGTTTTTTATCCTTCCCAGTTTCGGACAATCCAGGTAACTAGTTGTTAAAGTGTTACACGATTCAGTATGTTTATATTGTGTCAGTGATTGTCAGTATGTGAAGATCACACATTTTCCCCTTGTCACATTGAATATTTAATATTCTCTTAGATATTTTGCAACTTTTTCTACCTCGCTAATTTTCTATATATGTCTGTAAATCATCTATGAATGCAGATTTAGCCTCACAGTCATTTGACCTGAAACCACTTGTCTTGTGTGGATGTTAGTCTATTCACAAAGTTATTTTGGAGCATATATGATGTTCTTTCCATGAAGTTTTCACATCAGTTCAGACTGTACTACTAAATACATTTGTTCTCTGCCATAAATATCCTATTTGAATGCATTCAAAGTTTTATTTGAACATTTTCTCTAATTTTATGAAAAAAGTTGAAAAAACCTGAAAAACAAAACCAGATGTTCAACACTAATCCATTTGTTACATATGTTTATCATGTATGTTGCTCTCACATTTTCGGATCCAAGTCTACTATGGTATTTTTTTCTTATTAAAAGAAATTAAGTTGTACTGATAAAAGTTGGATGAGTCCCTTACTTTATTTTATAAGTGATGTATGTGATGTCTTCATTTTTTTTTTTATCTTATTTTCCTTTTTTATAACCATTATGTTTATTTTAATTCAATTTCTATTCTGATTTTTTTTCATCCACAAAAAAAACCTCATTAGTCTCCCATTTCTTTTTACTTTGATTTTCATTTATTTGTACATGACAATGTAATGCTATACTTTTGGTTCACAGACCTCAATCCACATTTTAATTACAAGCATGGTCTTATTTCACTTCCTTATCACAGTTGACCAGTGCCCAGTTAGAGCGACCCTCTAGTCCACCAGTTATGACAGATGAACTCTCTCTCAAGCTTAAAGAATTAAATAATGTGAAAAATGAGTTGGAGAGAGTTAAGAAGGACAAGGGTATTACCTCTGGGCTGGTTACACAAATGCAGAGAGATTTGTCAAGTAAAGTAAGTTCGCGCCGGTGTAGACCGCCCTGCCTTGGTTTGGACTCTAACTCACTCTAACCTTACCTGCATGATCTCAAGATTCATTCCCTATACTGTCTGTCTCACCTTCTACAATTCAATTTTTTGAAACTTTTCCAAAAAGGATCTCACAAACTTTTATATAAACTGTGTATGTTATCTTAAAAATAACATTAATTTATTGGTTTACAATTTCAAATATATTTCTTTAAATATCGGAATGCCTTCTTTGGAATTGTGTTGTGTAATTTACCTTTTAGAAAATGTGAATTTTATAAAATCAAACTGCCTTTTGACATAATATATTTAATTTGAAGTAAAAATGATTTAAAATAGTTTATATTGAATGTTTAAGGGAGGTAACCCTGCTATTGATGAATGATGGTAGATAATAATATTTCTGAAAAAAATTAATTGATTATCGATTAAACTAACCAGATTCAAATATGAAAAATGTCCTGTATATGATGATGTATTTTACAATTACACATAGAAATAAAAAGGATAGATTATACAGAGTATAAATTGTAAAGGATTGGTACAGACAGTATATCTTCACTAGACCTGTAGTTATGTATGATAGCATGTCCCTGTAGTTCCTGCACTACCTGTCTCCCTGATAGATTTGCACCCTTTTATAAATTACTATATTCTCTTTGTTGTACCCGGGCACCTCACTTTGTACTTACACTTTTTAAATTTTCAGATTTATTTCCAGATGTTGTTTTTAAGTGCTGTTCTGCTGTTTATCTTCAGAATCAAGTTAACATACAGAAAAATATATGTTGTAATAAAGATTTAGCTGTTGTTGATATTTGACGGATTCCATCTAGCACCTTGCTGATTTAGTAATTGGAGAAGACAGGAACTGGGGAAACAAAAATTGGGATGTAGGATGTATGGTATTTCCCACTTAATGCAGAAGTTTACAAAGCTTTACGGATAAATCTTGAAGACAGAACAACAAATATTAAGATAGACTCTATGTACATTATACCTGGAGATTTAAAAAAATTTATTGTCGCATATATTACTGAGCTTTTCAAGACAAAGTGCACCTGTCAAACTTTTCACTTACTTTATAGAGATTTGTTATTGAAGAGCCCATTTTTCCATCGTCCACGATGACAGAGTGATCTGAATGATAATCTCGAACTTTACCTGATGATCTGATTGGTTGATTTTTGTGCTGGATTGCCGTTACGATTCCATAAATAATATTGCCATTGGTTCATATGTCATGAATTGTATTTTTTTATTTGCATTTTGACTGACACAGCTGTTTTCAATTTTTATGAGCTGCATTGTTATTTTATTTCTTCATTTTCATTCTAACGTTTGCATGTAATTGCATTTTTCTGACATTGATCACTCTTTGATTTCAAGCTCCTGACTGACTCTGATGATGCACGTTCATCACTCACTGATTTGATGCATTCACCAGCTCTGCCAGTTTTTTTTTCCTTTTTTTTAACATTATTGAAAATATCTCTGTATTTTCTTTTATTTACAAATTAATTTGTTTATTAAATGTGTATCTTTTAATAGTCAATATTAATATATGTATATAATAAACAAATTAGAATGATATTATAGCAATTTTATTTTATTTTCTTTTTCAAATCGGAGATGTTGGCATGTGATAGTTTGAAGTGAAGGTCATGTTTTGAGATTTGGAAAATTGAAGATATAATGTGTCATTTATTTAGTGGTTTACATTGATTTTTTGTGTGATTTCACGATTTTTATTTGTTTGATGTTATCTAAATCAATAAAGTTCCTTTGATAAACACTGTGAAGTTCACATTTATCACAACACTATATAGCATATTTTTGTGCCTCTTATCTCTGTTTCATTTTTTATACATTGGATTTTATTCCATTTATGACAATATTACATTACATTATTGACTGAACATTACAGGATTCTACCATCAGCAAACTGACTCGGGAAATTGAGATGCTGAAAAAGGAACTACGTGAAAAAGAGGGTTATGTGTCTACAATGACTGCCAAGGTCAACAAGCTCAAGGACACAAGCAAGTCAACTGAGGAAAGGGATGCTCGTGAGAAAGAACTCATCAGTCTTAGACAGGTATTGGTCTTCTATGTGATATCATAAATAGGACAGTCATGGGGTTGCACCGCGAGTAGCAAATTGTAATGAAACTATCATTATCACCTTACATTGAGAATCTGATTCCTTTTAAAATCAGGTTGCCTGTCTGTCTGTCTGTGAGTTTTCCTAAAATTTTCTCAAAAGCCTGAAGGTAAAACTTGATGTGATATTTTACATGGTGTTGCAGTATGAAACTGATAAGGTAGTCCAACGCTTTAAAGATTATTGTATCACAGGTCATCAAAATAGCAATCAAACCAAGCTAAGTGTTCACATCAGGTATATAGGGTGGCCATTTCTCAGCAATCAGTTTTATAATTGAACTGTTCAAATCATATCTAAAACTTATTATTAGCAAACATTCACATCAGGGCTAAATGCACATCTATGGATATATATCCACATGTACACAGTTCTCCTTTAATCTGCATAGAAATGGCTGAAGTGGCTGATTATTGATAAAATACAGTATTTACTAAAGTTTACATGAGATGTCGATATTAGAGAAGTCTACACATAAGCGCAGTTGTAAGTTTACAGCAGAGCTCACTTTGTAGAGAAATTCTTACCAGTGATTACTTAACTACACAAGCTCACAAATAAGCTCAGTTGTTGAAGAGTTTGCTTGTTAGATAAGATGAAGCTCAGTGTTATTGAAGTTGCTCATCAAGAGCTCACTTGTTAGACTAGTTTACACTGAAGTTAATCATTACAGCAGTTCATATCAGAGCTCACTATGACGGAAGTTCAGGCAAGAACTTATCATTGTTGACTGGCACCTACACATCTGTGTTACAGAAATTCAAGTCAACTGAGAACAAGATCCAGGAGCACCAAGATCTCATTAGTAAACTCAAGGAAGAACTGGAGAAAACCAAGCTGTCTGTATTTGAGGAGAAACAGATTCAGAAGAAAACACAGATCCAGATGGATCAGACCAAAGCCGAACTTGTTGATGTCCAACGGACAGAACGAGTGGTCAGAGTGGACCTGGAACAGGCCACAAAACGGGTAGGTAGCTGTAACATGTACTGGTATTATCAGTAGGTAACAGATGGTTGTAATATGTACTGACATTGTGGGTAGGAATAGTTAGTACCGCTTTGCTTTCTCATCTCTTTTGGTTCATGGATCAAGAATTTGTGACAGGATTTCCTAGAATAAAGTCAATTGGATCCATCATTTTACTTCAATGTATTTGATTTTATCTGTTTATTAGAGAGTTTAATGTTAGCACCAATGGTTTTGATGTCAGCAGAGCTGATGGAAGGATGATTTTGTTGTAGCTGGAACGTTTCCGTAACAGAGTGATTCAGGTGACATACTCCACACCAGGAATTAAGGCTCCAGAGACAGAAATTGGTGACGATGAACTCATTGAAACCCTCAAAAAGATTGTTGATGAAAGGACATCATTCTTCCAGAAGGTTAAAGACCTAGAGATTCAGCTGAAGTCAACAGATTCTGCCCAGGACAGCTTCAAAAAGACCTCTGCAGATCTACGCAACAAACTCAACAGCATTATTGTAAGTTTGACAAAAAAGGCACTATATGATAGATATATCACTGAAGTTTTTTGATAATTTTGGGTTTATCATTATGTTTCAAAATATAGAGTAACATTGTCTAGCAGTACAAGCCACACCTACATTCATATGAACTCCACAATATTTATTAGATATATATATTTTTGTTAATTACCAGACATGGGCTTATTGCTAGATAAATATGGTAACAAGGATGTTTACTAAACCTTCAACTAAACCCTATCTTTTTTATTTTAATGATGTAAACTGATTTATTCTTCCTGCCTAGATTGTTTTGTAACAATGATTATTTCCCTTTGCAGACACATCTGAAGACAAATGGATTCAATGTTACCTCACTGAAACAGGAACTAGACTTGCTCAATTCAGTTGTGACGTCAGACACTCTAGTCTGGGTCCGAGACTCATTGGTTGACCTTATTAAGAGCACGTTGTCATGGGAACAATCGATTGAAGCTTCACTAGAGCAGTGTGGTGTCAATGTTAAATTATCTAATGATGGTAATTAATTACATACTTTTGAGTTAGACTTATATGCTGCAAGAAGGGTTTTCTTATGGACTTCATTTTGCAAAACAACCAGGGGCAGACAACCATTGTTTAATTTTGTGCAAATAGATTTTTAAAAATTTGCTGAATATATAGTAGAAAAAATACGACAAAGGTTCTTGTATATGTTACAAATTTTAAACAATGAACATTGTACACTCTACTGTAATACATGTTTAACTGTTGTACAATTTGATGTTTTATAAATAATCATCAGTAAAATAAAACAAATTTTCTTGTTGCTTTCTTATAGTTTTCCATTATTTCAGTTTTCCTTTTCTTGTCTTTCAGAACCTGGAAAACACATCCTTTTGTTGTTTGCCAAGTGGGAGTCATCTATTAGTGAGAAAGAGAGACTGATGGCCCAGATCAGTCAAGTGGAAAAGCAATATAAGGAAGAACTTGCTAGCAACCGTACCATGGCAGAAGAGGATTCAGAGAACCGTGTCCGGGATGCCATTGAACGAACCAGGCTTGAAGGTAAATTATATAAACAAATGTAATAACTCAAACAAGTTTGTAGTCAAGAAGATAGAAAAAGTATTGTGGGATTCAGTATTAGTGCTGAAGACATCACAGCGGCCCTGAAAGAATTGTTCGGCTGAATATATGTAATAGTAATTAATTTTTCAATGTATACTCCTGGTTTTATCTCATATTGAGCAAAGCTGGCATCTGTTATTTGAGATATTATTTAAGAGTGTGATGATAAATTTCCTTTGTAACATCCAGAAAATAATTTATGATGTTTTCAGCTGAAGAGAAGTTGAATCGGGCATTAGAGGAAGTTCGCGCTGTGGAGGAAGAGAAACTGGACAATGCTGTAAGGGAGGAGAGACAAAGGGTGGAACAGCTAGAGCAGAGCCTGGAACAGCTACAGGAGACATTCACCAATCAGCAGGGTGATGTGCGATCCCAGGCAGAGGAGACGAGTCAGATGATAGTGAAACTGGAGGAGTATGCCTCACTGGAGACATCACTAAGGGAACAGGTCGCTGCACTAGAAGCAAGGTGTGCAGAGTTTGAGGAAAAGCTGGCCCAAGAAGGGCTGAATCGGGACAAGAAATATGAACAGGACATTCAGTCCTACAAAGAGCAGAATAAACAACATGGAGTCACCATCTGTGCCATGGAGGAGAGACTGGTGAAAATGACCAAGAGAGCCAAAGAATATCAAGATGAGGTCTCGACCTACAAGAAAACAATACATGGTAGGTCTCAAAGTGGAAAGGTCAAAGGACAAAAACTTCATTTGCCATAGGTTACAATAAAATCACAGGTTTGAAAATAATGGAAAATAGTGCCACATGAAGGAAGAGTGGGTTTAAATATCAGTTGTGTTTAAATCATATTTATCAGGGAAAAAGGTTCACAAAATCTTTTTTAGCAACATGATAAACAGAATCTTAGATTCCCTCCCACTATGAAATACCTAGACAATTTTAGAAACTTTTCATTCTATTTCACTTCTTATTCATTAAATCCCATATGAAATGGAAATTAAAGATAAGAACATACTGTAAACCACTTTGATTTTGAAAATACTTTATTTCGCAAACTCACCTTGATTTAGAAATAACTTCAGGAATGATGAGCAGTATAATAGCATGTCATCAAGAAATTTGTACACATAATCACGAGAGATTTGAATTAGCAACTGGCTCTCCTCGCGTAAATACCACATGAATTATAAGGAGTTACAGTAATAGTAAATGAATGCCCAGCTTTCAGTTGTGTACAGAAATGTGAGTTTGTGAAATGAAGTGGATGTGAGTTACCAAAATCCTACCGTAGTGTTGGTGACTAAACCTTATCATTGCTATTTTCTAAAGTTGTTATTTGTTTACAGAATTACGAGGCGAGCTAACAGCATTGAAGAGTAAACCCATGCCAAAGCCAACACCACCTCCCAAACCAAAGGTCATTGTACAGAAACCATCAGAAGACTTTGTGGCAATGGAGAACCTTATTGTTATTCTAAGGTCAGTATAGTGATATTTTTATAGGATTTTGATATATCTTGTAATTAAGTTAACTAGAGTGAAAAATTCTGACCCTGACCTCCATGTTTGGTAATTAAGTGTAACATTCTCTGACCCTGATCACCATGCTTAGCTAAGGTGACAATCTCTGACCATGACCTAAATGCTTAGCTAGTGTAAAAACCCCATGCATGGCTTACATGACAACCTCAGACCTCCACGCATGGCTTACATGACAATCTCTGATCTCCACGCATGGCTTACATGACAACCTCTGACCCATACCTCCATATTTGATTGTGGTGACCTCTGACCCTGATCCATCTCTGTGTTACAGGAAAGAGTCTACAGAGCTGAAGAGTAAGATACAGGACCAGGAAGATGTAATACTTGGTTTGAGGCGAGACTTAGCTGGAGCTCATGCCAGATTGTCAGATATTACAGGTAGCCATACCATAAATAATTAAATAACATAAAGATTTTAGACTCAATACTTGTATCTGTGATTTTAATTGGATTTTGGGAAATTGAATTGTTGAAAATCATGACACATTTCATGTTTAGTCTTTTATATCTTAAATAAATTACTCTAAACCCTTGAAATACATGTATATAACTGTCCCTTTATGTATGAGTATTCTCGTTTCTTAAACTCTCGTTTATATTTTTAGAAAAATTATCCAGAAATTTTCCTGAGTACTTAGCACTTTATGCTTAAATCTTTGCGCTCTAATCTGATAGCACTCATTTTAATTTCTGGATGTTTTATATATAACATTCCTATGGGTTGTGCTAATTCATCATTGTGCTAATTTATCAACAAGAGATAATTTGCTAAAATTTGATTGCACCGAATTAAATATGTTTATTATACGTAATTATTGCCACATTCATTATGCTAGGAAGAATTGATGGTACAATTCAGGACCTAAAATGTTGGTTTTGTCATTTTAATGTTTATTATATATAATCAATGAATAGAAATATTAGGATGTCTTGCACACCTAGGTATAATGTATGTTATACAGCACATGTCCTTTATTTCAAGGTGAACTAAGTGAGACTCAAAAACGTGAAAATGAGAAAAATAAGGAGCTTCTTATACAGCGTGAGAGAGAACTAACCGACGTCCGACAGCAGCTAGCCAAACTGTCAAAGATCATAGACAAACAAAAGGAGGAGCTGAAGTCGCTGGAGTGCAGTCTAAGGTATGTCTCACTGTATAAGTTGTTAATTCACCAAGTGTAAAACCTTATACATTGGGGTCTGTGTAACTGACAAGCTTCTAAATGACTCTGATTCAACACTTTGATAACTAGGGTATGTTCCTTTATGCAGACAAACCCTGTTCATCAATGAAGTAAATGGGTAACATTTCAGGCCTAAATTGTGATGGATATGTACTGTTAATACAGGTTTGGCTAGTCTGTGTCAAGGCTGGTAAACAAAAGCCAAATAAGATCAGCTCAGGTCTAGTAGATAAAGAAAAATGACCACGGTTTGCTTATTAAACCTGAAGCAAAATACATAATACTTAAAAAGAAAAAATGTTTAGCATAATTTTCTTAAAATTACTCATAACCAAGAAATATCTGGCTCATTTTTTCTAATGTCTGTGTTTTGTAGTAAAGAGAAATCATTCTCCCAGAAATATAAGTCCAACATGACAGAAAACATGGACAAGATCAGAGCCCTAGAAACAGCTCTGGAGTTGGAGAAAGAGGAACAGAAAAACCAACTCTCACTGCTGGATCAGGAGGTAATTTAAGTTCACAAAGACGGTGGTACACAATCTTCAGGTCTATCTTTTTAGATGTAGAATCTAGTAGGGGAGATAATCAACATGTGCTCTGTATAATAAGCATATATAAAGGAAAAGGCAAAAAAAATGATAATGCATTAAAATTTGATTGAGCTAAATTCAGTTCAGTATATTTACAATATAAGCCTGGTTATAACCTCAAGTGTCAGGGTTGTGATACCTGAGTACTTTCAGCATACCTATGTTACCTACAGATGGTCAGAGATATGTGACTCATGTTCTTGGGATTAAAACTGCATCTACAAATTATTTTAAAATTCAAAACTACTTTAAAATTTAAAATTTTTGAGAGCCTCTGTTTTTGGCTGTTTTTCGAGAATGGATTGAAATCTTGAAAAATTGATACCTCATTAAGACTGATAGAAAAAAAGACAATTACTTCTGTGAAAAGTATGTTCTTTTTGCTTTAAAGTGTAAGTAAAAGCATTTTGTCATTAAAAGTTTCACATGTGTTGAATTTACATGAACAGTCCTATTTTACAGGTAGTACACATTATTCTTGTCATGAAAACATTTGCTTTTCCAGAGTACATTAACTCTACCATGTTCTACTTATTACATTTTTATACCTGGTTTTCAGGGTCGAATCACATCAGAGATGACTGCCCTTGGTGCTCAGTGTCGTGGAGAGCGACACGAACAGGTCATCATGAGACAACGGGAAGCCTTGTCTGAACTAAGATCTCGAATCAAATCTCTGGAGGTATCAAAACCACCGTGTAAGTATGAAGTAAACATTGCTGTCTGACCCCGGGACTTTTTGTAGGTGATTTCGGTAATTTAAAAGACTATAGTTTGATGTGTTTTTTAGCTGCTGTATGGTATGTATAAAGCTACATAGCTATACCATGAATCCATGTTTATCTGAGGCAGATTTGGATTACAAACAGATTTACCTTTTTTATATGGTACAAGATTCTTGGCCATATATTATTTATCAGTGATATCAAAAAACTCCCCCAAATGTCATAATGAATAGTCAAAAAATCTTGTAATGTAATGAAAGATCTGGTGATGTGTGTGTTTTCAGCATATTTCTGTTATTGAAAGCCAAACAACAAGAAAAGTCTGTTTGATCATGTTATGTTTTATATGCACACAGTACCGACCCAGGACCATGCACTTCAGCAAGTGATTATGCTCAAGAAAGAGCTTGCTGAAATGAGGGCCAATCAGGCTCTGTCTGAGGACAAGGTGGCATTAGGATCACTGGACCGTGAAGTTAGTCGAGCCCGTGGTCTGTTGGGTAACTCTAACCCTGAGGCAGACATGGAGAGAAGTGCACACAGAGAGACCATGGATGCCTTAGACAGCAGTGAAAACACTGTAAGTGGTGGTCTTCTTCCTTAATTGTACACTTTTAGTTACATCCATGTGTATTTCATAGGTAGACTTATCTCCCTTTACAGAATAATATCTCTAATGGGCTCTCAGGGAGGAATGCAGAATTTTGTTTTCCTTTCAGGAAGTAATATCAACAATAAAAAAAAAATGTCATCTTTTGATAAAAAAACATATTCAAGGTAAAAATTCAGTTTCACATCACTATATACACTACTTGTTCTGTTCTTAACCCTAAAATGTCTTTTTTTTTTCATTATACATATATCTACAACAAGATTTACAAAATTTATTTTTATATAATGCTCATTAAAATTAAAATGATAGAAGTTATATTTTAAGTTTTATTGTATATATTTGATACCAGATCAGGGACTTCATTTTGTGCTTTCCTTCTTACAGTACCTCACATTACTGCGAGCAGTGGCCAGCTGTCTTGAGCTGGAGAGTGTTGACGGACTGCGTCCGATTGGCCACATTCCCCGTGATGAGAGAGAGCGACTCATGATGGAACGTGAAAATTCCTGTCAACTTGTAGCAAATCGTATCAGAGTGTTGAAGGAACGAGTGTCGAGAAAGGATGAACTACTGCAGGGATATGAGAGGGATCTGGTCAAGATGAGGTAAGATTGCTTGGTGGTGACAATCTTGACCTGTAGGGCTTTTTTTTTTAAATGAAACAAACGATGTAGTATTCTAGCCCAAACTTTTCAGAGTGAATAGTGAACAAGCAGTTTTCTTAAAGTTGCCTTTTCATGATCAAATTAAAAATTTCAACTTCTGTTGAATTTTCACATCCTGCAGAAACAAATGTGCTTACAAGTGAAGTTTTTGTTTTTCATTGCGGTATGTTACCAACTTCCTCTTAAAGTGTTCAGCTTCCTGTCTGCCCCTGAGAATTTCTCGATTACATTGGGACTTTTATGTTTCAAAACTTGCCTTTAAATCCCTTTGCATGTTCAGGTACTCATTTTCATTATGTTGACTTTGGACTTTGACAATCAGAAACTTTACTTCAGAAATTTCTCTATGATATATAGAACTAAGAAAATTTATATAATTGCAAACTAGTTATGGCAACCAAATATCTACTGGCTTATGGACAGAAGGGCCAAAACTTATAATTATGAGCCCTTTTTATTGGAAAATTTGAAGTTTGCATGAAGGAGAAATTTTTAAAAGATTTAAAATTTTCATACCTGTATCATAGTTGTTTAAGACTTTATATGCCCCCAGATTGATAGATAGGGTGCATAATGTTTTTGTGCTATCTGTCTTTTTCTGTCTGTCTGTCTGTCTGATTGTTTGTCTGCCTGTTGCCAACTTTAACTTTACCCATAACTACTGCATCTTTAGAGGCAGGGCTTTCATATTTGGTATGTGTGTTCCTTGTGATAAGACCTTTCAGGTGGTATCCAAATTTTTGACCATTCGATTTTGTTGCAACCAGGGCCTAGTGTTTCATTAAAACATCTTGTTTATATTGGATTAAGAAATATTCGAGATAGAAATATACTATAAATTACAATCAACAATTACAATATTATCACTGTGTTTATGTATAGATCAGGTAATTCTAACACCAAATCTTCATGATGTTTTGAAAAGTTATCTCTTAGGGCATAAACATTATGCTTTAAAATTTCTGTGAAGATAATAATTCTTATCAAAAAACCTTCACAGGCAATCTCAAGAACTGGCAGAAAGAAAAGCAACACAAGTGGAAAATCTGGTTGTAAGTATTGTATATGGATGTACATATCATTATCTAAGTGCTTCATACTCTCATTGTTTTACAACATGGAATGAACTGATGCCTTATAGTTATCAGGTTGTCTGTTCATTTTGTTCGTTTTGGCAAAATATCTCAGTTGGAACAATTACTCTCATTACTATTCCTTCATAAATATTTATTGATGGAAATATCTCAAAATTTTTATTTCTTGTTCCTGCGACAATAATCTAATGTGCTAACAAGTGCTTGATTTTTCGTCATTAAATCTATGCAATATTTAGAGCCAGGTAATGTCATAATGACATGACCTGTTGATTTATAAGTGCAAAGGGAGGTAATCTAATTGAATTGAAGAATTTAGAGATGAAACTAGTGGAGTAATTTTATCCAATTTTGACATTATTATCTATAAGAAAGTGAAGCTATTGCTGATAAATGTTGAAGATTGATTATTCTCCACTGTTGCCTGACATTTTAAAACAAACTCTCATTCAAGGCAAAAATTCTCTATAGATATAAAGGAAGACTTCCTCTCTGATCAGTTGTTATAGTTTGTTTCAAAATGTTTATTTTACATTGCAGTCTGATGTTAAGACGAAGGCAGAAGAGACCCAATATTTACGAGAATCTCTTAATCGTACCCGAGATCGACTAGATCAGGAGAAACGCCTCAACACAGCAATAAAACAAAGAAAGGTACAATAAAAGGGGCGTGTGTTAGGAGGGTGTGTTAGGAGTGTGCATAAGGAGGATGTGTTAGGAGGGTGTGTTAGGAGTGTGCGTAAGGAGGGTGCGTTAGGAGGGTGTGTTAGGAGGGTGCGTAAGGAGGGTGCGTTAGGAGGATGTGGTTAGGAGGGTGCGTAAGGAGGGTGCGTAAGGAGGGTGCGTAAGGAGGGTGCGTTAGGGGCGTGTGTAGGAGGGGTGTTAGGAGGGTGTGTTAGGAGGGTGCGTAAGGAGGGTGTGTTAGGGGCGTGTGTAGGAGGGGTGTTAGGAGGGTGTGTTAGGAGGGTGCGTTAGGAGGGTGCGTTAGGGGCATGTGTAGGAGGGGTGTTAGGAGGGTGTGTTAGGAGGGTGCGTAAGGAGGGCGCATTAGGAGTGTGCGTTAGGAGGGTGCGTTAGGAGGGTGCGTAAGGAGGGTGCGTTAGGAGGGTGTGTAAGGAGGGTGCGTTAGGAGGGTGCGTAAAGAGGGTGCGTTAGGAGGGTGTGTTTATTGTAATACTTAATATACACACACCCTTCTGTAAAGTATTTTTTCTGATTGATTTATGATCAAATACTGTGTTTGTTTGTTTTTTTTTTCCATAATTGATAATAGAAGTTTTAAGCATGTATATTGTCAGTCTAAAGCAAAATTACAAAATTGTTATTCAGAGTTCAAACTGGGAAAGATATTTGGTTTGTCGTTGCTTTATCAAAATATGTTTTATTAGAAAATGAACAATTTCATGTTGTAGACTTTCCACTTGGAGAATGAGCGAGCACACATCCCCAGTTCAAGGCCTGGATCTTACTCTAGTCATAAATGTTCTAATATGGATATTATGGGAAAGGTATGTACTGTTGTAAAGTCAAACTCACCATGTACTTGTAATATGACTAAGTCTATAGAAAAAAATATGTGAAATCTTACATTTTGTTTTTGTGTTTTTTTTTTTTTTTTTTTTTGTCGAGCTTTTTAAAAATAATTTTAAGCAAAATCTTTTAATTACAGAATGCTGCTAAGAAGAGACAGCAGAAAGATATGATGAAACGAAAGAATTATGAGATCCATACCCTAAAGACAGAATTAGTTGACAAAGAGAAATCTCTGTGTGATACAGAGTACAGACTAGCCACACTTGAAAATAGCATGGTAAGTTATCTAAAGTCAATTCTCAGAAACCTAAAAGAAAACAAAAAACACAAAAAAAAGGGTTAAAGGTTTGGATATTTAGTTGAAAAATCTGAAGAACAGTAAATCCAAAGCGATGACTTAAGCTATGTAGGGGAGGTAACACAGCTATGTAGGGGAGGTAACACCATCATATACCTGCTTAACCAGCCCAGCCTTGAAATTAATGACTGTGCTTGAAACTTAATTAAATTTTCATTGTTGGTCGAATCCAAATTTTGGAGAAACAGCTGAAAATGCTGATGAAATAATTACTTTGTATCTAGGGTAATAAGTCTTATTTTTTTTTTGTATTTTCAGGGACTTGAAAGACAAGCAGAGATTGTAGAAAGTTAACCAAAATTAGAAATGATAAATATGTATATTAGTGACACATGACTATATAAGGATATACAAACATTCACAAATTACATAAATAGCCTCCAGTAGTGCTTACTGCTCATTTGCAACTGCGTAGAGTGTGCTTCTCGGTGATGGAACCACTTTCTAAAGTTTTAGAGGATGTGAGTGACGAGTCTTGTATCTTGAATCAGCTCAGGAGGATAACAAATATATTTTCTTTAGAAGAAGAGGAAAAGGAAGAGGTGTCTTGTCCTCAATAGACATACTTTCTGTAATGTTGGATTATATGCTTACCAGTGAAAACCTCAACTGGATGTCATTAAGGAGTTTTATACACTTCGAAGACAGAGGACAAAGCGTCTCATATCCCAAATAAATATTTCATAATTGTGTGAATAATGCTAAAACATATGGTGTTGTTGAGGCATTCTCTCCTCTAAGAGTAAAACAAGTTAAAAGTGAATGTTTTACAGTGTGATATGTGTTGTAATCATACTGTTAATGATGCTTTCGGGATGTTCCTCATGAAAATATGTACAATGGATTAAAGATATGGAATTTTTGTTTGTAATCTCATTTAACAATGATGAATGATGAAGTTTTCCTGGTTCATGTAAGATAGAAATATGATTATGATAATTTTATGACTTAGCTTTTGTGAAGTCAAAAACATAACACATTATGAAATCTAGGGCGAATAATTGAAAAGTAAGTATAGTTTACCATAAAATGTTTAAAAGTTTTATTTCCTTAAATGTTTTTCATATATATTTGTGTATGTATAAAGACAGGGTTACAATATAGCTTCGTAATATTGGCCAGGAACACTTTAAAGTTAAAGACAGAATTATGAAAATATTGTTGTATTTGTAAAAAATTTATTTGAAATTTAATTTAAAAAAAGGTACTAAAGAAAAAACATTTACCACAGTGACGGTAGTGTATTTGGTGTGATAGTAAGTATGTAAGTTTTATTGTGTGTACTATGCTACATTCTTCTCAATATCATGTGACATTAACAAGGCAAAAATGTGACATTAAGAGAAAAGTGACATTAACAAGGCAAAAAATGATAACATTAAGTGGGACAAATTTTCCACATTAAAAGTCACTTTGTTTTCTTCGGTATAACTGTTGTTTACATTTGTACATTGTGGCAATATATCACAATAATTTGAGTTCATATCCAATAACTTGACATTTAATAAACTTTTTATGTCATTGATATGACATAGACAGGAAGTTGTGTTAGACTCGTCAGTTTTGATGAATTTTTTCATCACAAAATTGAGAGAGAAAAAATGACATTAAGGGGGGACTATAGTCAGATAATATTTGCTTTTTTATTTGCTTGTGCTGTAGTTGGATAGAAGATTGTTGTTTGTATGAACATAAATGATAATGCAATCTGTCAAATATCAAACTACTGCCTTCATAAAACGAAATGTTGGATCAATCCAATGTGATTATATATTGTTAATGAAAGCTTGTTGTAAAAACATAATCAAATTTGTACATATTTAAGTAGGCTCAATGATTACTAATAAGATTGTATAGCTATTTAATACTAATTCTTTAAATTAACTTATACCAGATTTAATATTTTTGCAAAATAATGGCTAGTCCTTATAAATTTATAGATGGTTTATAAGTGTTATGTAGTTTTGTGTGATGAAAAGAATTTTATTTCAAATCCAGCAAATCTAAGTGGTACCGATAGTAGGAATTATCCATAGTGAAAAATACTTTGATTTCCACTAAAAGACTTCTGTATCTAAGTAAAGCAGAGAAACTGAGAGTACACTACAGCAATTTAAACGTTGGCGAAATGATAACTGTCACATGAACAACAAACACTTAAGAAGTAGTTTTAGGAAGGGAGGTAACCCCTAATATCATCAGTGCAAAATATTAAATTCTTAATTAATAAAATCATGATTTTCTGTCTTGTTCCATTTTAGCAATATTTGGAAATACATTTGTTTTCTGTTTCAAATTGGATTGGCTGACAATGAGTATGTTACAAGGAATTTTTCGATTTTCTGGTTGTACAGTTGTTTCTGTTAATGCAAGACATAGATTATTTCCATTTAAATGAGATTCATTTGCTATTTTAAACACTTGATCTCTTACATTCCAGGTCCTAAAATTGCTCTGAATTATTTGACTCGTGTTCAGATTTGTGTCAATATTCGATCAACAAACATCAGAATAATGTTATCTTAAATTTTGTTTTACATGTAACAATGTATTTACTACGCTGTAGTCATCAGAACTGCTACCATAGTCGACCATAGCTTATCATTCGTACTCCGTCATTGATATCATTGCTTATTGCATGGATTATAAAAATGTTAATAGTTTCAGTTTTTTTTATATGATTTTGTTGTTGTTCATGACAATATATCATTGTTGAAAGAGTCTTTTGAATTGAATTGTTTGTTAGAATGCTTAAATCTTTGTTAGCGAAATGAATGGTAGTTTTTTTATATGTTGTATTCCGTCCGTTACTGAATTCCCTCCTCTGCAAGCTCATTCCATCCTTTTACAAAAATGCTATTTTGAGGTATCATGGTTTCAGTCTTTTTTAAAGCTTTCAAGTTTACTTATATACTAGTATTAAGATATACATTGTCAGATTTTTTTTTACTTTATTATTTTTTCATTGGCTTGTTGCATTTGAAAATACACATCAGTTCATTTTTATCACTGAAATTAGATTCCATCAATAATGTGTATAAAAACAAGCAATATTCCATATCATTTAGATATAGACTAACTTTAGTGGTAGTTATGTTTTAGAAACATGCAGTTTAAATTTTAGTAAATTTTTTTGCTAATTGACTGCAAAATGTAAAATATGGTATTCCTACATGTTATAGTGTAGTGCTAAATTGATTCTTGTACTGCACAAATATGGAAATTCTTACTAATATCTGTCTAATATTATCTGATGGAGGTAATTATTTTATAGAAAAACCTTTAATACAAAGTAACTAGGATAGAATCATAAAATGTTATATACAAGAACATTTTTCTAATGTTTGGCTTTTTTTCGGGGCTGGAAGTGTTTTGTTGTGTGGCAGAGTTTTATTGAAATCTCTGTCCTGTCAGTTTATCAGTAAAATAGAAATTTTTCTGCAGAATTTCCATTCCTATCAATTGTAAAGGCAAGCTCTCACCAGGGCACCTGTAAAATCCTATTGGGAAAGTAGTGAAGTAAAAATTAGAAAGTTGATACATTAATAGTAAAATAGATTTGTTTACCATGTATTTGGCCAAGTACTTTTTCATCAAAATTTCCTTTTATGAAATATATGATTTTCATTTTTTTTTTCATGATTTTAGATTCTATAAAATAAGACTTTGTAAATATGGTTAGGTTATGGCCAGAGGTGGACTGGTGCGACCAAACTCATATTTTTATCCCTGACTGTGATGTAGGTTACACAAGATTATACATTGTGTAACACTGTTATTGTACTGTGATGTGTGTCCCAGGCCCCTGGGACAAATTCATGATAGGACAAACATAATAAAATCTTTTCTAGATACACTGTTCACATTATTTTTTATGATGTACGTGTTCCTGAATTTAAACTGTTTGCTTAATTGGTTTCTAAAAAAGAAGAACATATATGGGCTGTTTTTATCATCATAAGTGAACTGCAGAAGGATTAATTTCCTGAAGTTGAAATTCAAAATGGAGGATGACAGATCATACTTGATGAACGCGCTGTCCTTCACTACTAACTGATCTGTATCCTACGAGGAGATAATTTTTTATATTGGTGACAAGGATCAGTAAAAACACCAAAGATATTGCGGAAAATCACTAAATGTATTCTCATCTCCCCTCGGCGGTCAAGCTTAATAGTGCTACGTAATTCTGTTAATACCTTCTATGTTCCTACATGGCAGGAAGTGCAACCAGAGATACTTTTTCTATGTTTCAACTAGAGTCCAAACCAAGACATCTGACTTACATTACTAAACTTTTAATTTTATCTAACTGATGTATGAGACCACGGCTACACAGAGACCAGCACATTCTTGAAATGTGAAAAGTGGACCAAGAAAATCCCATTGGATAACGGATTTATCAGCGATGGAAAGCTCAAGGTCTAAATCAGTGACAACAAACACTTCCATAAAATATGTTTTATTCTTAGAAAGAATAACTCAATCAATGATATAAACTCACACGAAAATTGCATAATAATTTAATGTACATAACATTCGTGTTCATTGACAGTCATGCTTACACCTTAACACTTTGATTGGTTGTAAATATTTGATGTTTCAACTGTTTTTTATACAACCAAAGAGGCAAGGCAACATTGTACCAAAGTGTTTCCTCTTGTTTACTGAACACTGACTAATGTTTCATAGAAACAGAAGAATGTAGTTATGCTGGCATATTTACTGACCTTTTCATTTGGGTCAGTCAGAAATAAAATCTGTTAAAAATTTGGGCAGATGTATAAATAAATGTTGAGTTTTGGAAAATACATCAATGCTCCCTACCTCTTGTACATCACATAGAAATACTGGTAACATACAATCATACGAACTTCATATTCTTTAACGTACAATAATCATCACTGACATTTTTTGTCTAGGTCCAGGCTATTGTGAACAATTCTAATGTTAAAGAAACATTTCTGTAAACAAATTTTTTTCAAACCTGGTTTTTGAGGTTAAATATTTTTTGGTCAAGGTACTTAAACATAAGAATTGTGAATTGCAGACTGAATCACTTGTTTTGGTCTGTATTGAGAGATTTGGGAATTATTTTGACTTTTTAAATTGGCTGAAATGTCCAAAGTACCAGGGTCATTATGAGGGTGGGACACTAGTTTTCTTTTCCTTTGCAACTCCTGAAAAACTCAAGTGAAAGGAACACCATACAGAACAACCACTTGTTGTGTAATCCCTGTTTATCATATAGAGCTGGCCATTATAACACATCTTGTCACAAACTAAACTCCACAACTATTTTACTTTGAACTATGAAGTCATAGTGCATCAAAAAAAGGCATCATGAGAGGCCGAAATTGATTGTTAGCAGAAAAACATAATTTTCTTGATTCACTGGATTGTCGCAGGTGCTGACATTCATCACTAACTCTACAGCTGACTGATGCGACATAACTAACTCAAGAGCATTTATCTATATATTATCAAACTAACACATTTTCTCTCTAAATCAACTTTTTACAATACATTCACTCTTTCAAACCAAAAAACAATTTCATGTAAAATATTAAACTTTCAAAATCAAATTTCAGAAAAATCTTTTTTTTTTTGCTACAAATGGTAATTGATTTTGTGATTTGACCAAAGACGTAGTTCCACTAGGTTGTATAAAATTAATGTACAATTAATATACCAATTTTGTGGACATTGGAATTTCCTGTTCGTTGAGTTTAATGAACACTTAAACATTCAGTAAAAATTGTACCCTTGACAACTCAAATTTCGTAGTTTATATCAAGTACCAGTCTAGGGTAATCAAAAGCCATTTCAATTAAATTTCTATTAATTTGTAACTAAATGTGTTTTATTCGCAGTGATTTCTTTCTGTTATATTTTTTTATATAAAAAACTATTTTATTTAACACCATTGCAATATTTTTCTTGTAATAAGCCCAGGGGCTGAAAACACTAATTCTGACTCAATGGCTGAAGGTGGGCTTATTGCAGGAAAATGAAGTAACATTTGAAACTTATTTAACTAAACAGCAATTCATATGTGGGTGGCCTTATTGTTAGACATGGGCTTTTGACAGAAAATATGGTATGTGAATTTTGGAATGAAAATAGAATTCCAGAACATTGCTACATCATATTAAAATATTTATCATTGAGTGACAAATACCACACATATATATATATATATATCAATACCAAGTATTCAGAAATGAAGCTGTACTGCTTAAATTCCTCAGAGGAAAAAAGTTTCCAAACCATCTGAAGACCCTAAAAACTCCATAAAATAACTTTTTATCATGTGTAAAGTGATTTTAATATTACAGAAAATACTTCTGATTTCTAGAAGTTCGTGTGGTCTTACTTTGGTCCTAAAATGTCAAGGATCAAATACAGATTTATTTCTGTTCACCGAAGTCACATAATTACAAGTTCTCGAAGGTTAAGATGTACTGTCAAACTTGTCTTAAAAGTCACCTTTATACTAAGGCCACCTGTCGATAAAGGGCACTTTTTTTTGGGTTCCCTATGTAATGCAAGTCATAGTAATTGAACCTCTATATCAAGGTAACCTGTGTATATAGGCCACTTTTCTCTGCTCTTTTGAATGGCCTCTGTAGACAGTTTTGACTGTACCTGCATGGGTGCATCATGCCAGTCAAATAGGAGTTTGGCAGGTTAGACCCAAACCTTGGTTATATCTCAATGAAGTCAAAAGGTATAGTAATTGTTTGATTATCAGTGGAATTATAAAATCTGCTAATGAGTAGCAAAATTGGTAATCAAGATAATCTGAAAATTACAAGAAATGTTTATAACAATAAAAACAAATAACATCTCTTTTGAATGTCTTGTAGTTAAACATATCATCAACAGGGCCAGGCAGATTTTGGCACACTGAAACTTAATTATGAAACTAGAAAGTAAAACATTTAAGAGACCTGGTCACAAAATCCTAGTTTTGAGAGCAGATATGCTGTTGTGACTTGTCATCACAACTCTGATACTGACTCTTACTTCAATAACATTCACACTAAATCCCTGAACTTAGTCCGAGTTATCTCCCCTGAATTTTGTTACCAGCGGTGACTGAATGTGATGCTATATTCAGTACATATTACAGACATCAATGTTGATGGCAAATCTGTCTTCATGTTTCTTCTACGTTTGAAAGATGTTCTGAAAGAAATTAATGATAATTAAGAATTTTTTTTACCAAAGCCATGAAAACACCCCAAGTGGTATAAATAGAATTAAAAAGGAAAAATGATGAATTCATTAAGAAATAAAATGTTTAGAGAAAAATAAACATAGGAAAGAATTTAAAAAAAACCCAGTAGATTGAACATAGGAAGCAGCAAAATCTATAGCAAAAAAGTGATATGCACATCTGAAGAAATTATCTTATTTCCACAGAAATATGATTTTGTTTAATAAAATATCAATAAATCTTCAGGTTTTATATTTTTTTTTCAAATTTATATGAAAGTGTATAACAATGACTCACTTTGTAATGGTAGTCGAATAGCATCATTATCTGCTAAGGTAACCTGGTGCAGCTTATTTCTAAATTTATACCGTATATAGAGAGTTTTCTTCTCACCGGGGCAGGGATCATAGAAACCTGGTATATCACACTGAAAACAAAACATATTCCAATATTTATCATGACATTGAATGTGAGTATAAGTTGGATGGAATAAAACATGTACATTACCTCCCTTCATTCTTTATAATACACAATGTAGCATGATAACAGTGTGCATGCATTTTTATGTAATACAAGAACAAGAGGTCCATAGAGCCTGTATTATTCATCTGGCTTCATCCAAGCTACAGAAAAGGAATGCTAAATTTCCAAGCACACAACACACACTATATCTATTTCTCAATTGGGTCTGCCCCTCTGTCCTTTGGGGGTTGATCAAACCATTCATGCTTCAGACAAGAAGGGGACAGAATCCTGCCATTCCTAAAGAAGAAGAATTCTAAAGAATTTGCCCTATTTCCCTTGACAGGTCATGCTCCATAAATCCCAAAAGCTTAGATCTACCATTTATATAAAAAACAATTTCCTATTTTGAAGGATTTTTCACACCAATTTCATTTCTACATGCGATTTGTAGAAAAAGTTTACTGACAGAAGACTGACACTGTGGTATAGAATAACCTCACTGGTCCTTTGGACCAGGTGAGCTATAACTTGCATCTTCAAAATACTTATAAAGAAAACAGGAAGAGAATTCATTCAGATATGTCACAAACCTCTTGAATTGCTCAAGACCTCAGACTATTTAAACTAGACCAATGTTTGCCGAGTTTACTGGTTTTCAATCAAGTGAAGAATAATGTAAATATGACTAAAACTGATGAAGGGTAGTGGGTGAGTACCTTACTGTGTGTTTTTAGTTGTTACCTTTGTTTTGGTGTTGGACAGTAAAAGCTGATAGTCCCTCACTAATGCTTGTACTGGGTGATACCTAACTGTGTGTTTTCAGACCTTACCTTTGTTTTGGTGTCAGACAGTAAAAGTTGAGAGTCCCTCACTAATGCTTGTACTAGGGTGAGTACCTTACTGTGTGTTTTTAGACCTTACCTTTGTTTTGGTGTCAGACAGTAAAAGTTGAGAGTCCCTCACTAATGCTTGTACTGGGGTGAGGACGTCTATACACTGGCCCTCCAATAGTTCTCTGTACAGAGGAAAAAATCATCATAAAATGAATATGAACATGGTTTTCATCTGCTCCGAATTTAAGGACAAGATATCTTTTTCCTTACCGTGTAAATTACTGGAAGGAAAATCTCAAATCATTGCTCTCTTTATTACGGGAGAGAATATTTCACTCACATCCTTATCCTCTAAATCAATGAAGGCAATATCTTTTTTCACATCTTTGTCCTCTAAATTAATGGAGGGAAAATCTCACTCACATCGTTGTTTAAATTAATGGATAGAATATCTCACTCACATCCTTGTCCTCAAAATTAATGGACCAGATATTGTCAATTCATAAGATATCTTTCCCTACACTTTGTCTTCTCCATTTTTAGGCAAGATATCTTACCCATCATCATCAGATATAAGCTTCCCATAGAGTGCCTTTAAAATCACTAGACCACGTTTTCTTTCCTCTGATTCAATGCTACGTTCAACGGCCTCTTTCATCAACTCAACCTATTAGGAAACAAATTAATATAAGTAAATCTGATGGAAACCAAAAAAATCTTCTGTAGCAAAACAGAAAGTTTACAACTGACAGATGACAATGTGCTGTCTTAAATAACACCTTCAAGGTACACTTATAATCTAAAGCCTTTTACTAAGAAAATAAAAGAATGAAATAGGAATGTCTTTTGTGTCAGGAGGGGAAGTTTACAGTCAGCAAATGGACAGATGCAAGATGAACTTAAAAATAAAAAATAAATGTAAAAATAAACTCACAAAGTTGGTTTCATTATTTTACCTCTGTTTCACTTTTTATTACAAAAAAATTAAACAGACTTAAGTACTTTGAACAAATTATTCAGTATTTCTTTTAACAAAAAGAGAGCATCACAAATTAATTAACATCAGGATGGACAAATGAATATTTCTATTAACAATGCATTCTTACAATTTGCCTAGTGAGGACATGAACAAGCAACTACTTTATTTAGACAAGTCATTACCAACATAATGAAGTGTTAAGTTTACAAATATACCGTTTTATGTTAATTACAATGAATAAGGATATTAATTTTTACAATAATTTTCAAACGAAAGCAGTTATTGATGGATGTATCTATCTAATATGTGATATTTCACAACTAAATCAAAGAAAAAAATATAAAAGTAAATGAAAACTGCATTAACAAATCATGTATCCCGTATTACAACACAATCTTAGTATTGTATTACTGGTACTTTTCATGTTTCAAGATATTCACAATTTTCTAACAAAATGGCCGAATTATATAACAGTAAATAAAAGTTCCACAATCTGGATGTAAGAGAACATTTAATACACACTGATTATTTCACAGATTAAAAGTTTGCGGTCATATTAACGGATCAAGAAATAGCAAAAATATAATTTCCCAAGAAGACAACTGGCTGTATACTTTACATAACAAGGGTTTATCAAAGCAGAGAATATGGTACCTTACATCTATGAAACTAGATTATAATTATTGTAATTTCAACATTAAAAGATATTGACTGGCACATTATACATCATGTGGTAGATGTGGTTTAATAATTTATGTATTTTTCAATACTAAATTGAAATGTTTATTGTGTCTTTTAATAGGACAAGACAGGACATTTTACCTAATATATAACATTGTAGATGAATATTCTTTATTTATTTTACAACAATTGCGAAGCAAGTTTTTCCAACTTATATTAATCACTCTTGTTGGCTCGGATGGAAGCACGCAAGGGGTCTTATTGTGGGAGGAAACCGAAATACCCGGTGAAAACCCACGTGGTCGCGCAGGTGACCCCATACCTTTTCACATCCATTTCGGGAATCGAACCCTGCATGGCTAGGTGAAATGCGAGTGTGTTACCACTGCGCCATCCGACCACCCTTGATTGTATGACATGTTAATGAACTATAGATATATACCACTAGTTAGTACCGATCATCATCATTCTACAAATTGTATGACATGTTAATGAACTATAGATATATACCACTAGTTAGTACCGATCATCATCATTCTACAAATTGTATGACATGTTAATGAACTATAGATATATACCACTAGTTAGTACCGATCATCATCATTCTACAAATTGTATGACATGTTAATGAACTATAGATATATACCACTAGTTAGTACCGATCATCATCATTCTACAAATTGTATGACATGTTAATGAACTATAGATATATACCACTAGTTAGTACCGATCATCATCATTCTACAAATTGTATGACATGTTAATGAACTATAGATATATACCACTAGTTAGTACCGATCATCATCATTCTACAAATTGTATGACATGTTAATGAACTATAGATATATACCACTAGTTAGTACCGATCATCATCATTCTACAAATTGTATGACATGTTAATGAACTATAGATATATACCACTAGTTAGTACCGATCATCATCATTCTACAAATTGTATGACATGTTAATGAACTATATATACCACTAGTTAGTACCGATCATCATCATTCTACAAATTGTATGACATGTTAATGAACTACAGATATATACCACTAGTTAGTACCGATCATCATCATTCTACAAATTGTATGACATGTTAATGAACTACAGATATATACCACTAGTTAGTACCGATCATCATCATTCTACAAATTGTATGACATGTTAATGAACTACAGATATATACCACTAGTTAGTACCGATCATCATCATTCTACAAATTGTATGACATGTTAATGAACTACAGATATATACCACTAGTTAGTACCGATCATCATCATTCTACAAATTGTATGACATGTTAATGAACTATAGATATATACCACTAGTTAGTACCGATCATCATCATTCTACAAATTGTATGACATGTTAATGAACTACAGATATATACCACTAGTTAGTACCGATCATCATCATTCTACAAATTGTATGACATGTTAATGAACTACAGATATATACCACTAGTTATATATATCATTCTACAAATTGTATGACATGTTAATGAACTACAGATATATACCACTAGTTAGTACCGATCATCATCATTCTACAAATTGTATGACATGTTAATGAACTGTATATACCACTAGTTATGAATCATCATTCTACAAATTGTATATATACCACTAGTTAGTACCGATCATCATCATTCTACAAATTGTATGACATGTTAATGAACTATAGATATATACCACTAGTTAGTACCGATCATCATTCATTGTATGACATGTTATGAACTCTACAAATTGTATGACATGTTAATGAACTATAGATATATACCACTAGTTAGTACCGATCATCATCATTCTACAAATTGTATGACATGTTAATGAACTATAGATATATACCACTAGTTAGTACCGATCATCATCATTCTACAAATTGTATGACATGTTAATGAACTATAGATATATACCACTAGTTAGTACCGATCATCATCATTCTACAAATTGTATGACATGTTAATGAACTATAGATATATACCACTAGTTAGTACCGATCATCATCATTCTACAAATTGTATGACATGTTAATGAACTATAGATATATACCACTAGTTAGTACCGATCATCATCATTCTACAAATTGTATGACATGTTAATGAACTATAGATATATACCACTAGTTAGTACCGATCATCATCATTCTACAAATTGTATGACATGTTAATGAACTATAGATATATACCACTAGTTAGTACCGATCATCATCATTCTACAAATTGTATGACATGTTAATGAACTATAGATATATACCACTAGTTAGTACCGATCATCATCATTCTACAAATTGTATGACATGTTAATGAACTATAGATATATACCACTAGTTAGTACCGATCATCATCATTCTACAAATTGTATGACATGTTAATGAACTATAGATATATACCACTAGTTAGTACCGATCATCATCATTCTACAAATTGTATGACATGTTAATGAACTATAGATATATACCACTAGTTAGTACCGATCATCATCATTCTACAAATTGTATGACATGTTAATGAACTATAGATATATACCACTAGTTAGTACCGATCATCATCATTCTACAAATTGTATGACATGTTAATGAACTATAGATATATACCACTAGTTAGTACCGATCATCATCATTCTACAAATTGTATGACATGTTAATGAACTATAGATATATACCACTAGTTAGTACCGATCAGTATATATATATCATTCTACAAATTGTATGACATGTTAATGAACTATAGATATATACCACTAGTTAGTACCGATCATCATCATTCTACAAATTGTATGACATGTTAATGAACTATAGATATATACCACTAGTTAGTACCGATCATCATCATTCTACAAATTGTATGACATGTTAATGAACTATAGATATATACCACTAGTTAGTACCGATCATCATCATTCTACAAATTGTATGACATGTTAATGAACTATAGATATATACCACTAGTTAGTACCGATCATCATCATTCTACAAATTGTATGACATGTTAATGAACTATAGATATATACCACTAGTTAGTACCGATCATCATCATTCTACAAATTGTATGACATGTTAATGAACTATAGATATATACCACTAGTTAGTACCGATCATCATCATTCTACAAATTGTTTTTAATGAACTATAGATATATACCACTAGTTAGTACCGATCATCATCATTCTACAAATCGTTTTTACGAACGACTCACTGTTGCTGCCGCTTCTTTTCTCTTAGCTGCCATTTTCTCCGCTGCCTCTTCCTTCTTTTTTTCCTGTGACCTGAAAATTACAACGAATGTTTGTCAGGAATTTAAAGTCTTCAAAAAAGTTAAGTGAAGAAAGTTTAGGTTTAAATATGTACACATGGAACTATTTGATAAAGTTAGTGTTACTGTCTGAGTATGTTATATTTCTATAAGTACACGAACAATCTTACTGTGACTGGAGGTGTTAGTAGAATAAAAACATGTGTGAACATCTAATAACTGTTGTTTTCATTTCTATATCCTTATTGACAATCATTTAAGAAATTTTGTGTATTTTTTAAAAATTTAATAATGAAAATATGTACTGTGCTATTAATGCCTTATTTTAAAGATTTTAAAAATCTTCTAAAAAATTGTAAATTTAAAAAACTGTAAAATCATATATTTTTGTGGGGCTCAAATTTTGTGGTTTCAAAAAAATTTCTACATTTGTGTAAAAAACCCACAAAAATTTATAATTTAACAGAATACCAAAGAAAATTATAGTATCAACACTGACTCTTCTTCCTGACGTTTTAAGTACGGATCCACAATTAGTTTCTTCACCACAAAGTAGGCAGCTAATGGAAGGAAGGTACCATATACTACAGCCTCAGGGACAATGTTCTCCGAAAGATGTACAGGGAAGTAAAATTCTTGTTGGCCTCGGATCAACCTGCAGCACAAATTTCAAAACTGTGAATGATAATTTATACTCTTGTTGGCCTCGGATCAACCTGCAGCACAAATTTTCAAAACCGTGAATGATAATTTATGCTCTTGTTGGCCTCGGATCAACCTGCAGCACAAATTTTCAAAACTGTGAATGATAATTTATACTCTTGTTGGCCTCGGATCAACCTGCAGCACAAATTTTCAAAACTGTGAATGATAATTTATGCTCTTGTTGGCCTCGGATCAACCTGCAGCACAAATTTTCAAAACTGTGAATGATAATTTATGCTCTTGTTGGCCTCGGATCAACCTGCAGCACAAATTTTCAAAACTGTGAATGATAATTTATCCTAAAATACTTAGCTTCATAACAGCACAGATAGCTACTATACAGTATTTGAATTACAAGATTATTTGTCTGATAATAAGGACACAAATATGACTTTATAGTAAGCATAAAAATCACTGTTTCAATAATTAACATCTTTTACTGCAAAGTAAACATTACTAATGAGAATTTGAGTCTCTACATTAAAAACTCGGATTTAATATTGTTTAAGCTTTGTGGTAGAAAAACACTGAGAAATAAGGATATAACTGATATCTTACTTGATCTTTAGAGAAACACCAACAGTTGTTCCTATAGACATAGTCGCACCAAGAGTACTGAACTGTGACACTTTCTTCTCACAGCCATATTCCACTACTGCACCAATAGGGCTAATTCTAAAATAAAAATGGAGATGAAAATTGGTTCAAAAGCAACAAGTCTAACACATTACCCCTGACTAGCTAGCTTATACTGACCGATGATCAGATGAATCAGGTGACTTAAAGGTAGGACATGGGCTTATCATAGAACACTAAAATAGTACTTTGGATCAGAGTTAATGTTGCTCCTCAGTCCATTGTTTAAAGTGTACCCATAAAAAGATACATTGTTGCAATGTAAACATATAATTTTCTTCTCATTGTTTACAACGACTTTGACTTATCTGTATCGGCCCGCATGTAGGTTTATTTACAAAATGTTTTGTAATTTGTTGTGATGTGTCATTAGTAATGATTGTTAACATTACCATGCAGTACTAAATGTTAATGGAATATCAGCTTTAACATTAAATTTAAGGTTAAATTTCAACAAAATTTTAACTTTCTCTGCTTGCGGTACATAAACATCTAACATCAGCTGTCCTGGTTTGACTTATCGTACAGTTTTCTTGGAGATTACTATGTATTCAGGGATCAGTAAAACTGTGTAGAAATCAAAAAGAAATGCCTGTACTTCCCCGATATAAAAATACATATAACAGACGCTCATTTTGTATCATGTTTATGAGCCGCTTTTGTCATGGTCTACATAAAAAACACAGAAGAGTTCCAAAATTTGGAAGCAGTATTAATACAATTCTTTGAATTAAAACTGCATTCAATAATACCAAACAGTGACAGGTCGGGGTAGTTTTTAAATTCCCTGTTATTTTTGTGAAGTTGTCTTTACGAGGAACAACTTCTCCCACTTTTAAATTATCTTTAAAAAATTTATAAAATATGTTGCTCTCTTTTTTGTGGTCCCTGTTAAAAGGAACTGTAACTGTGATATAAAGTGTTTACAGTTCGTCAACAATCAAACATCAGAGTAGGATAAAAGATCATTATCTAACGAGATAGTAAAAGAAAATCTGTCTTGTTTATATGACCAGTTTTACTTGATCTTTTACTAAGTAGTGCATAATTAACACCAAATTAAGCATTGTAAGTAATGCTACAGAACAACAGCAGAAATATAGGTGCATTTCTTATAGGATATGGAATTATTGATGGAAAAAGTGATTGAAAATTTACATCTATGTAAACTTCATTATGTTAATAACACTCACTTAGCTGAAAGACGGACTTTAGCATCCTTGTCGGGGAACTTTTTGACAAAGACACTTTGAAGAAAACTGCTGGGAATGCCAAGCTGGAAAGAAAAATCCACATTAGATGCTCACATTAATACACTAACAGCTAATATCATTCTTCATTACCTATTCCGAACCTGTTAAACATTCTCAGAGTAGAGATAATTTTATAAAGCATTTTTTGTGCTTTGGACATGAAACACATTAAAAGGTAACTTTCACATGTCACATTTCAAACATCTGGTACAGGTGTGTCCAGTTATCGTGGAATAATTCCATGCTGCCTGAACAAGTTTAATCAGATGATATGAAAGTGACCATAGTTATCCTTAAGAAGCCAATATTTATTAATCTCACCAAGCTTTACCATGCTACATTTTTTTGTCTTTGTAATTCACTTTGACTCAAGGGTTTTTAGCATCATCCGTATTTTTCAAACACCCTTGAAATATGCAATGACAAGCATGTTGAGAGGTCATGATGTAGCTAACTTGCCTGTGCAGTAAATATTACAGCATATGTCTCCTTATCATACACCACAATTGTCCTCATGGCTGATGGTCTTCCGACATTCCATACAATTCGACCTTGGAGATGGGTGTCCAGCTGGCATGCTACCACTGGAAGTGAACATAATCAGGATTATACTTAATGTGTGGCTTTAAGTCAACTGATCAAATAATACCAACTTTCTAAATAAAGTGCTTAACCTTCCCCACCAAACACAAAATCTTTCTGACTAACAGATTTCCTTATCAAAGTTAACATAGCAGAGTGTTTCTTTGAGCCGAGATTTTGTTTCCTCTAGCTAAATAAATATATGTATTTGAAACTCCATGGTGCTTAGCAAATGTACAAATGTATTCATAGTTGACATCTAACATAAACTACACCCACGGTCAGCCAGTCACTAACTGGTAACCTGAATTACAATGGCAACCACTTTCGCAAAATCACAACATTTGGTCACCATAACTGAAACTAAATGTGTGGATTTAATGAAACAATGACTGAGAACTTACTTGTCTGAAAACCTGTGAAAGCTATTGCTCTTCTGTTTCCACTGGACAGGTAGGATATATTGGCACTTGTAGTACAATAGCTGGAAATTTAGTATCTTGTCTTAGTCACAAACATCTCTATACAATAGCTAAATCTCTCAGGTGAATTCAACAACTTGGTCACCTGTTTGCTGAAGCCATACAGTTACCTGTATGTAAAGGCATACAGTTACCTGTATGTAAAGCCATACAGTTTACCTGTATGTGGAGTCACACAAGCTACATGCATGTGTACTCATACATGCTACCTATATGTAAAGCCATACAGTTACCTGTATGTAAAGCCATACAGTTTACCTGTATGTGGAGTCACACAAGCTACATTCATGTGTACTCATACATGCTACCTATATGTAAAGCCATACAGTTACCTGTATGTAAAGCCATACAGTTTACCTGTATGTGGAGTCACACAAGCTACATGTATGTGTACTCATACATGCTACCTATATTTAAAGCCATACAGTTTACCTGTATGTGGAGTCACACAAGCTACATGCATGTGTACTCATACATGCTACCTATATGTAAAGCCATACAGTTACCTGTGCGTAAAGCCATACAGTTTACCTGTATGTGGAGTCACACAAGCTACATGTATGTGTACTCATACATGCTACCTATATGTAAAGCCATACAGTTTACCTGTATGTGGAGTCACACAAGCTACATGCATGTGTACTCATACATGCTACCTATATGTAAAGCCATACAGTTACCTGTATGTAAAGCCATACAGTTTACCTGTATGTGGAGTCACACAAGCTACATGTATGTGTACTCATACATGCTACCTATATGTAAAGCCATACAGTTTACCTGTATGTGGAGTCACACAAGCTACATGCATGTGTACTCATACATGCTACCTATATGTAAAGCCATACAGTTACCTGTATGTAAAGCCATACAGTTTACCTGTATGTGGAGTCACACAGGCTACATGTATGTGTACTCATACATGCTACCTATATGTAAAGCCATACAGTTTACCTGTATGTGGAGTCACACAAGCTACATGCATGTGTACTCATACATGCTACCTATATGTAAAGCCATACAGTTACCTGTGCGTAAAGCCATACAGTTTACCTGTATGTGGAGTCACACAGGCTACATGTATGTGTACTCATACATGCTACCTATATGTAAAGCCATACAGTTTACCTGTATGTGGAGTCACACAAGCTACATGCATGTGTACTCATACATGCTACCTATATGTAAAGCCATACAGTTACCTGTATGTAAAGCCATACAGTTTACCTGTATGTGGAGTCACACAAGCTACATGTATGTGTACTCATACATGCTACCTATATTTAAAGCCATACAGTTTACCTGTATGTGGAGTCACACAAGCTACATGCATGTGTACTCATACATGCTACCTATATGTAAAGCCATACAGTTACCTGTGCGTAAAGCCATACAGTTTACCTGTATGTGGAGTCACACAAGCTACATGTATGTGTACTCATACATGCTACCTATATGTAAAGCCATACAGTTTACCTGTATGTGGAGTCACACAAGCTACATGCATGTGTACTCATACATGCTACCTATATGTAAAGCCATACAGTTACCTGTATGTAAAGCCATACAGTTTACCTGTATGTGGAGTCACACAAGCTACATGTATGTGTACTCATACATGCTACCTATATGTAAAGCCATACAGTTTACCTGTATGTGGAGTCACACAAGCTACATGCATGTGTACTCATACATGCTACCTATATGTAAAGCCATACAGTTACCTGTATGTAAAGCCATACAGTTTACCTGTATGTGGAGTCACACAAGCTACATGTATGTGTACTCATACATGCTACCTATATGTAAAGCCATAAAGCCATACAGTTTACCTGTATGTGGAGTCACACAAGCTACATGCATGTGTACTCATACATGCTACCTATATGTAAAGCCATACAGTTACCTGTGCGTAGCCATACAGTACCTGTATGTGTAACACATATGTAAAGCCATACTACATGTATGTGTACATACATGTACCTATATGTAAAGCCATACAGTTTACCTGTATGTGGAGTCACACAAGCTACATGCATGTGTACTCATACATGCTACCTATATGTAAAGCCATACAGTTACCTGTATGTAAAGCCATACAGTTTACCTGTATGTGGAGTCACACAAGCTACATGGATGTGTACATGCTACCTATATGTAAAGCCATACAGTTTACCTGTATGTGGAGTCACACATACATGCTACCTATATGTATGTAAAGCCATACAGTTTACCTGTATGTGGAGTCACACAGGCTACATGTACCTATATGTAAAGCCATACAGTTACCTGTATGTAAAGCCATACAGTTTACCTGTATGTGGAGTCACACAAGCTACATGTATGTGTACTCATACATGCTACCTATATGTAAAGCCATACAGTTTACCTGTATGTGGAGTCACACAAGCTACATGCATGTGTACTCATACATGCTACCTATATGTAAAGCCATACAGTTACCTGTATGTAAAGCCATACAGTTTACCTGTATGTGGAGTCACACAAGCTACATGTATGTGTACTCATACATGCTACCTATATGTAAAGCCATACAGTTTACCTGTATGTGGAGTCACACAAGCTACATGCATGTGTACTCATACATGCTACCTATATGTAAAGCCATACAGTTACCTGTATGTAAAGCCATACAGTTTACCTGTATGTGGAGTACATTCATGTGTACACACAGCCTGTATAAAGCATACAGTTTACCTGTATGTGTCACACAAGCTACATGTATGTGTACATGCTACCTATATGTAAAGCCATACAGTTTACCTGTATGTGGAGTCACACAAGCTACATGCATGTGTACTCATACATGCTACCTATATGTAAAGCCATACAGTTACCTGTATGTAAAGCCATACAGTTTACCTGTATGTGGAGTCACACAGGCTACATGTATGTGTACTCATACATGCTACCTATATGTAAAGCCATACAGTTTACCTGTATGTGGAGTCACACAAGCTACATGCATGTGTACTCATACATGCTACCTATATGTAAAGCCATACAGTTACCTGTATGTAAAGCCATACAGTTTACCTGTATGTGGAGTCACACACTACATGTATGTGTACTATACATGCTACCTATATGTAAAGCCATACAGTTTACCTGTATGTGGAGTCACACAAGCTACATACATACATGCTACCTATATGTAAAGCCATACAGTTACCTGTATGTAAAGCCATACAGTTTACCTGTATGTGGAGTCACACAGGCTACATGTATGTGTACTCATACATGCTACCTATATGTAAAGCCATACAGTTTACCTGTATGTGGAGTCACACAAGCTACATGCATGTGTACTCATACATGCTACCTATATGTAAAGCCATACAGTTTACCTGTATGTGGAGCCACACAAGCTACATGCATGTGTACTCATACATGCTACCTATATGTAAAGTACAGTTTACCTGTATGTGGAGCCACACAAGCTACATGCATATTATATGTAAAGCCATACAGTTTACCTGTATGTGGAGCCACACAAGCTACATGCATGTGTACTCATACATGCTACCTATATGTAAAGTCATACAGTTTACCTGTATGTGGAGCCACACAAGCTACATGTATTTAAAGTAATTTCAATTTATGAACAGATGATCATCTGTCCAAGCAAAATCAGTTGACCATGCAGATATAGGGCTCACTATAGTATTTAAATGAAGACTGTATAATTTGAATTTTGAATGTTTAAGTGAATCAGTGCATACTTGATACAATACTGAAATCATGTAATTTAGTATCTGTGAAAGAAATTTGTGTATATTAGGTGTAAATCCAATATGTTAATCAGAACATTACCTACTTAGATAATCAGTTTCTTATTTATTTGTAAACAGAAACACAACAAAACAGTGACTATACCAGTAGAAATCGAAGAACAAAATTTGATTTTCTTTTTCTTCTTAACTTATTTTGTGTCATAAATTCCATGTGTCATTTTTTCAAATAAATCTATTTCCTTGCAGATGATATTTTTGTATTTCTCTTTTTAATGAGATACCCACCATCGACGATTGATTTTCCTAAATCCACGTAGAGTCGTCCCAATGTTGTCACCACATGACATCTCTAACTGTCAACAGAACATACATAGATAAGTCAGCAGAGTGACACTTCCATTATCTATAGTTACAGTGATACAAAATGTATATCCATCATTTAAATGGTCATTTTGTTGTGTTTTTGTTTTCAAAACAAGTAGTTCTGATGTAACAGTTTTTGTCTTTTTGTAATTAAAATTTCAAACAGTTTGCCAAAGTCCCACATTATTCTAGAATATTTTAAAGCACATAAAGTTTCATAAGAATCAGACGAGACATCAAAATACCAAGAATCTTTAAAAATGTACAATAATAGTGATAGTGTTTCTTTGTCCTAAAGAGTTGAGTTATACATTGTATACAGACTGCCTTGAATATGTTCACAATTCCCTCCAAACCACAATACTTAATAACATATACCATGTAATGATACAGTAGCATATTATACCTCCGCCCATCCATTGTCAGAGGTCAGTCTTCTCCAGACGGCTGTGAACGTGCCCTGTCCGTTCCCATTACGAGTGGCTAATGTACCAGCAATAACAGCAGTGTCCTTCTTGGTGAGTGGAACCTGCACCGACTGGTTTAAACTCATATGACTGATTTCTAGACTAGGAATACTGGATCTGAAAATAATTCCGACAGCTTTTTGAAAATGCTAAATTATTTGTGTAACTGATGTCATTATTTATTAACAATATCTCAGCTCGGATTTGAACCAAAGACCTCTAGCTTACTAATTATTCACTTAAGGGATCAAGCTTAAGACCTCCCTACTCCAGTAGTATATTGTGGCTAGTATTTTACTGATCCTTCTCAAAACCAATCACCTCTTAAATCAGAACAAATGGTGATGTTTAGAATGACGTCCTCTTTATTACTTTATCATTTTCCATCAACATGGAACTTTCTTATTCTCTTTTTCTTGTCTGCTGAAATGTTTCATATAAGCTTAACATTCATCCTTGCAGGTATAGTGTTGTCATACTGGAAGTGAAAGCAGAAACAGAATATTTCTATCATGTTGAAACAATAAATACCTATAACTATTAAATTCCTCGTCCATGTCAGAGTCTTTGTCGAAAACATCTGTTGCATTAATTCCCATCGTCACCACTCCCTATAAAAACAAATACAAACGTTTATGTTTACTTTTACATACTTACACAATAAAATATCAATAATTAATATATATGTACTTAATGTTCACATTTCCGCATTTCAACAACATGGGCTTTCCCCAGTTACTCTGGTTTCCTTCAACAGTAAAAGCAAAGACTCTTGGAGTATCTAAAAAATGTGTAATAGATATAGGTTGGTATACCTTGTTTCACAACGGTTGTAAAACACCAGGTAAATGAGGTTTATAAAACATCTCAACAGACAAGTAAATATACAGATGGTCACATGGTCAGTGTTATCTCTACAGAACACTGCATCGTTATATGAGGCTCTCCTGATAAAACAGTATATTTACAGTATATACAGAACATATTCCTTACTACTTCACCCAAAGACTGTATATTGATATACAAACAAATTTATTTACACCATACATAACAATGAATCTAATAATGAGTAAACATATTGCATACGTTTTCTAAAGACAATCTAGTTAAATCCTGCAAAACAGTTTAGAATTTAAATGTATCCTACCCTGGGGTTTGTTCTCTGTTGTAATTTCCTTTCTTCCTGTTCCTGTTGGTAGCGATTCAGCTCAGCAATGATTTCAGCAGGAGACCTTGTCCGAGTCATCAGCTGACAAGAAATCAACATATCACAGAATACAATCACTTTTTCCTGTATTTCCTCTCCCTTCAATCAGTAGGAGATATTTGTTCAGAATATTAAATTTCTACCTTTCGTTTTATTTACATTCACTGAACAAAATGAAACAAAACTAAACACTGATGAACCTGTAGGAATGACAACATAATGCTTGAGTTTGAACTACCAGAGTTGACAATGGCCAGAAGGAGTTTTTTAAAATGTCAAGGAAGGAAACAACAGATTATTTAATGACCATAGACCATTTGGAATATTGACATTTATTAAAACTGATTTTGTGATTGATTGATGAACTCACAGATTTCATTTTGTCCTTTGTCACATTGTGTATTGTGATGAAGATGCAATATAAGCCCCCATCCCCCCAAAATCAAGTACTAACAGAAGTGAAAATATGGCTACAGAGAGCAATACTTTATTCAAAATTCAAATTTGATATTATCAAACTGTAAATTATTGTTTGCTCAGTACAGATCGCTATACAGAGTTGGGTCTTTGTCATCTGGTGCATACACAATGTGACGGTAAAGGATATAAAAGAAATTAAACTGATTCAAAGCTCCTACAGTGACATGTATGTTTATAAATCACTATAACTGACAGTAACTGTTGATTACGACAGTCACTTATAACTTGATGTCTGCAGCTTTACTGTCAATGTGAAGAGTGACTACATTGAGAAAATGTTACCAAAATCCTTTACTATTTACAACCGGGAACATGATGCATGTAAATTGTTGGAATTGTAGAAAATCAAAACAAGAGGTCCATGAGCCTTAACAGCCATCTGACAGTCCTCATTTCAGTTTTTTCACATTCAAACAGAATTTCAGCTTAATTGTGTAAGTTGAACTTGAGAAGGTTTGAACAGTCTTTTTCAAGATAGCAGCCATTGTGGCAATATTGAATTTTAGAATGACAATATTTGATTAGGACCATTCAAGATGGCAGCCAATGGTGGCCATATTGGATTTTAAAATGACAAGATTTGTTTATGACCATCTCAGGATCATTTCAGGCAAGTTTTAGCTGAATCATACTGGTGGAATTCAGGTTACAAAATGGCTACCATGGCCACCATATTGAACTATAAACGAGACTGCAAAATACACATTGTTGGCTTCCTTTCCTAAACATACCCACCAATATTCAGTTTAACAGAACAGTGGAACTTGAGAAGAAGTTTAAAATGTAATTTTCAAGATGGCAGCCATAATGAATCTTGACCAACTCAGAAAAAAAAACCAACACATCTCAGGATCATTTCTGGCAAGTATCAGCTGTATCTCATGATTAGAACTTGAGTGGAAGTTTAAAATAGATGTTGTCACTGAAAACCATGATTGTAAAATTATGACATCGTTACAAAATAGGCTGCCATGGCAGCCATATTGAATTTTAATGAGGCATAAAAATAACAACCCTGCATCATTTCCCCCCAATGTAAATGGACCAGAGGATACATCCAACTTATTAATCATATTACATTAGTTGTTCTTATTGTACAAACCTCAAGTCCTTCCACCTGGAGGCCTTTAAAACCAAAGCGGTCATATATCTGTCTCTTGTTAGGGTCTGATAGAACTGGAAGGTAAATATATACATACATTTACATTTAAAACACTAAGGCAAAGCTAAACCTATAATGATTCAATACACTCAAGAAACAAAATATCCCTGGAAATTTCAAATGCTCAAAAATGAAAGCAAAGAAACCTCCAGAAAAGTAACAACACTTGTAAATGGCATTTTTTAGTTGTTTATCCAATGAAATAAATAAATTCATAAATTTCAGTTGCCAATCCTCCTAAATAGGAAAGGTTGACAAGTACTTCAATCTAGAAAATAAGGAACCGAGTATTTTTTAGCTACTTGTTTTCAAGGATAATATTACATTCCATAGTGGCAAAAGGCACAACTACAACAACATGTACATGTTGTTAAAGTCTTGATGGTATATTTTATGTGGACTTCATGTAAATCCGTTTGTTCTTGTTTAGCAATAGTTCCATTGAATCTGAATTTGAATAAAGATATTGTTGACATATATTGCCATATTTCCTTTCTTGTATTAAAGTAGTTTAAGAATTTTTACCATCATGAGCTTTCTTAAGTTTGCTAAATAGGTTTTCAGCATTTTTCTTTTTGACTGGGTCCACATGTCTGTCTGGATGGTAAATCTTGGTCAAGCGTCGATAAGCAGCATCAATATCAGTGTTTGAGCACTACAACAAAATAAAATTTTCTCTCTCAGGCAATTGATCAGTAAAGTATCAATATTATGCATCATATCATTTAAAACATTGGAGCAGTTGTAAATGCACAGAAGAATTGGTAGCGATCCAATAGTAGTAGTTGAAAGTACATGTTGCCTTACTAGCCTCAGTTAGTGGGAATTTCCCTTGAGTCAATTGTATGCAGTATTGTCTGGCTATGGACCGCAGGGTAGCTAGCTACTTTCACTTTCCTTTTTTCATGTATACAGATCAAATGTATTAAAGTTAGAAAGATATACTGTTTCAACAATCAACATAAGCTATGATGGTACAATTTTTGCTACAATGACGCTTTGGAAACAAATGCTGTTTTCAGAAGTTTGAAGACAAATCAATGTGCCAATTTGTGTAGCTATTAACCCAAATGTCATTCTTCTCGCATCGCCAAGTGCTTCTCATGTTCTTAAGGAAAGTGATGTGATGTTAATGCCTGCTTGCATACATAAATTCAGTCATATACCGGTACTGCCAGCAAATTTAGCGATCAACAGATCAAGGCTACTATATGCACATATTGTTCAGTTGTTCATTGTAATCCATTACAGTGACTAGGTGTTCATATAACCATACAGAGCTAATATATTATCTAAGTTTGTCATTATAAACAGATGACTAGTAGAGAAAACACAATACTTGACAGGTGGACACACTGATATCTGTAACATTGTAAATGCTGATGCAACGAGATATTTCAAATTTGAAAAATTATCAAAACAGTGCGTTTATTGAAATGACTTCAATAAATATTATAAAATAACTTTATATTAATAAAGTTTTGTTTTGGACAACTTCGAGTGACATAATACCTGTCTATCGACGTTAAGCATGGCATAATAATCATCTCCAATGTCACCCTCGCCTTCCATGGAGGCGGCCATATTCAATCCATATAGATTTTGCTAATGGTGTGATAAACATTTGACGGATAAAATTGAACAGAAAAAAGTCTTTATTTACGATAATAGCCTGTGTGATCTTTAGCGAGAGCATTTTTTAAAAGTTCACGAATCCATTACAATATTTACATTAGTATTGTTACGTGTTCGGGTTCATAAAAGTCTGTTAGGAGTTTACATGCGAATTGAATGAGCTTAACCCGGAATATTTTTATTTATTGTCTATGGTGTATCATCTATTAATATATGGTCGCATATTCTGAAAATAGATTTCAACTGGAGAATTTGTTACTCTAAACACATTGCTGAAATTTGCAAGCGTTTTCATATTTTCGAAATGACAGTGGCAATCTCTTCTCTCATCCGGCAAAAACTATCAACAATTTAGTAATTCCATGAAATTGATTAAGTCAAACGAACGCTTAACCTGTATCTCGGTGACGCTTTAGTAATAGAAGATTGGAGGCTCTAGATCAGAGAGGCCCGAACGCGGTCAGCTTCAAAAATTACATCTCAAACTTACTATTTTCACTCAATGCTTTATCCACACAATGGTATTCTATTTTTAAGTATTATTATCTTTAACATGTTTATATATGTAAACGGTAATAAACAAATATACAAACTAAAATTATTTCTGCTCTCTCTCTTACGCGCAAAATGTGGTTTAAGCGGAGGGGGGCGGGGGGGGGAGCGGGTATATCGGAACCAAACCGAGGCCAGGGTGGCCATCTTGGATTTTGAATCGCCCCCAAAAGTTAAAACACTTGCCAGGACCATGTATAGAACATTCGTATCAAGTTTAGACATGATCAACCCAGTGGTTAATACGACTGTTGGTTCATGCGAAGATTTTTAAAGATTTACCTAATTTTACCCCGTTTTCCCCCCTCCTGAGGCCCCTATTGGAGCAACGCCCTTTTTCTTCGCAAACTGGAAGCGGCTTTTCATGGGGATGCTTTGTGCCAAGTTTGGTCAAAATCCATCCACTGGTTCTTGAGAAGAAGTCATTTAAAGAAGGTTTTTACATATGGCCCCATTTACACCCCTTATGGACCCCAAAGGGGACATTATCACTTTTTTCAACATAATTTCATATGTCCTTCACTAAGGGATGCTGTCTACCAAATTTGGTTGAAATTGGTCAAAGTTGAATTTTTGACCCTTTTGAACGCCCCCTAGTGGGACCGTTTTGACACGATTTTTTTTCATTCGCAAACTTTGTAGACCTTGCCATAAGGACCCTAAATATCAAATATGAACTTAATCTGACTGTTGGTTCATGAGAAGAAGATTTTTAAAGGTTTACCTAATTTTACTTTTTTTTTTTCCCCTTCCTGGGGCCACGCCCTTTTTCTTCGCAAACTTGAAGCGGCTTCCCATGGGGATGCTTTGTGCCAAGTTTGGTCAAAATCCATTCTGTGGTTCTTGAGAAGAAGTCGAATATGTGAAAAGTTAACGACGCACAACGCACGATGACAGACAAATCATGATGACAATAGGTAACCATGAGCCTTCGGCTCAGGTGACCTAAAAACCAAATACATGAACTTATTCACACCTGATAATCAACATTAAATCATAATGTTTGATATTTTTTAATTAGCATTGGCAAAATAACTAAATTTTCAGAAAGCACTTAGTTTTAGCATGTATTTATTAAGTGGGAGAACATTTTAAACAAGACAAGTGTATCTAATACCATAACAAATGTTTCTTAAATAATTTTGATTGTTGATTTTAGGATTTGACATCATAGATATTTAAAAGTTTTCCCTCAATTTTCAAATTGATACTGCTTTAGCAGCAAGCACTAGGTTTTTTCATCCACCATTTTGTAAATGTGTAGTTGTAACTCTCTTGATATGCATAATTGACCCTTAATCCAGGTTCTACCTTATTCATACGTAATATCATTCTCTATGACAACAATTTTTTCAGAGTTTATCCATCTTAAGCTTAAAACACATCACTCACAGAAATTAGCAGTAAAGTATTCTCAATATTTATATACAGTGTATTTTAAAAATATGTCTAAGCTCTTGCATTTTGAACGACGAGGAATTGTGTCACTTCTGCAGTATGTTGTGCGATGATTCTATTACATATAATATTTGTCACTGCTATGGAAATATTGATATTTGAGATGAATTAAGGTGTCACTTATTTAATAAGTTGGGCATAAATTTCATGACGTGGTTGAATAATTTGTCAGACTTTGACTTAGCAAATACTTTCTTGGCGAGTACTTCTAGCTGTAAAATCTTGAAAGAAGATTTAGAATATTTCAGACTTGTAAATTTAAGATTTCTGTATCAAATATTTAAAACTTCTCAATTACACTATTATGATTTGCTTTGTACATTTATACAACTCTTCTTTAATGTTGATTGTGTTATAATTGTATTTATTCTTTTTATGTAATCTTGGAGGACATAAAAGGAATAATAATAACTTAATAATAATGATATAGAAATGAAATCATTCTATCTAAGAATTTTACATGTTTGGAAAAATGTCATGAAAACATGAAGCCATCTAAAAATTTAGAATTTGTGTATAATGTTGCATTTTTCATTGCTGCTAAAAGTACATAGCTTCAAGCTGATAAACTAGCCATTACAGTTTTCTTTTCACAACTTTGAAGTGACATTGTGTATTAAAAATTAATTAATGAAACAAAGACATAAACAAATTTTAAAGTTTTGTGCAAATTTTAAACACGTAATATTTCAAATTTTGGCAACAACTTAAGTGCATCAATAGAAAATATAGGAAAATGTTTATACAATAACTGTTAGCTAAAGAAGCACAATGGGTAGTAGTTTCATGTATGAGTTTGCTGAAGGTCAGAGGGGAAAATGCACAGATTTAATTTGATTTCTTCTAGATTTGTATATCCTTTTTAAGAAAAAAAAATCCTTTTTGAATTTTCAATTTGACTGGAAAATCTCTAAAGTAAAAGATGTTTGTAAGATAAATGTATCTAAATCATTTATGTAATATTTTGATGGTGACTTGTCAAACCTGTCTGTTATAAAATAAGACACCAGGGTCATTAATCATCTACCTCAGTTAATAGTTCAATTACAGGGTCACGTTGATTTTATTACAAAGAGGATAATTTTGAAAATGATTTCCATTCTCCCATTGTAATATTGTGGGTTGGAGACCCTGAACACCATGATTGGCAATAATGTCATGATATTCAATGATGAGATCAATTTTCTTGTTTGTAAATGTAAAAAGTCATTGACCTAGCTGGAATTTATAGATAATACAGAGATGCTATAACATGAATAGAAATACAGAGAAAGGCAGAAGAAGATAAAGATAATATTCCTATATAAATTGTAGTAAATTTCTACCCAAGGGGAAATGTGAAACCCTAAGGACAAAAAATTCACATTTTAGTAAATCATCTTTAATCCTTCCATCCCTGAAATTTGAATCATTTTGATAAATTTCAGTCCCCTACTTAGAGCTCTGTGGGTGGGGAGCATATAATTCCTAATTTTATGTAAAATTTTATTAAATTTGGTTCAGGACTAAACAAAAAATCCCCAGCATATCCAAAGTCCAGTTAACATTACAAAGAAACAAAATTCTGTGAAATGTACAATTGTCTTGTAGGTATGGAAATATGATGTGTTTTAGTGTTACTTTAATTACAAGCTTTTCTTTGACTATGAATCAGTACTATGACAGGGTAGTGCTAAAACTTAACAGGAAGTGGACTAATAAGTGGTCTGTTCACACAGGTGGTCTCTCAATAGAGGTGATCTCTGTACACAGGTGGTCCTTGGTCTAGGTAAAAGGGTCAAAATAAAAAAAATTAAAAATCCAAGCAAACCAACATCAAGATCATCTTGAGACTTCAACTTCACAAATTCAGTTTATATCATAATCATGGGATAATATCATCAAATTCTATATTGTATACTCGATAAAGTTTTGGTGATCAAAATCAAATAATGAAAGGCTATTTTTTATAGCTTTTAGAACAATTTTAATGCAGTTGTTATCCCAATGTCCTGTCCTGATGATGGGATTCACACTTCTGATCACTTTTTGACATTTTTCATGACATCTACTGATCAGATTCCAGCATTCCATACTTATAGCAGACAATACTTGAATGAAAGTCTACATGTCCATCAAGCAGGGTTGTACTTCAACCAGCTTCAGCTATTTATTATTGATGCTGAGGCTCCAATTCTGTGTGCATCTGAGATCGCAGTTGGGAAAGTTGACATCATTGCATGTCTTCAAATAGAGTAGTCTAAACCAAATTGGTGAAAGGCACATTAATTTTCAGCAGAACAATACAATCTAGGTTTGTTTTTCAGTTTGAAGTTTGCTTTTGTGTTATGAAGTAAATGTTTGATTCATTATCATGTTGAACAGATATACTTTACTGTTTTTGAAAGTACAGTGGTTCAGGGTAGTTTTATATTGTGTAAAGTTATGTAAAAATTCTTTTTAGCCTTTTCCAGTTTTTTATAAGTAGTGTACACATGTTAACTGTTCAGATGAAATAAATGTATTCAGGCCATTGCACCATGAAAAATTGAAGGATAAAATTGTTCTGTGCTGACAGGCGTGTCTCAAACAGGGGCTTTTAGCTGTTGATATTGTTTGTATTGCCTCTAAATCTTGGAAAAAATATAACAAGTTGAACTTTAAAAATGTTGAATTACACTAAGTTGCAAATGGTTTTGTCTACTTTTGTTTTTAAATCAATTTATTACTACTGTCTGGTTTTATTACCAGCATTTCTTGAAATAAGTTTTGATTTATTTTTACAAATATGCTTAACAATGATTTATTGATTGACAGGGTTTAATGTCTGTGTTAATACTATTTAAAAACTAACCTTCTGCTTCTAATTTTTTTCTTTGAACAACAAAATACTTCACTATCAAACAAATATTCATATTGTATTTTACTAGTATGCATTTAGTTACATTTGGTTACTTTCCCCATTATTTCTGTAAGGGGAGATAAATCTATTTCTTTTTCAATTCAAATATACTTGTTTGCCTTTAACCTTATTAATTTAAATCTGAATAGAATAATTCCTTAATATCAATATAACATCATCCCACACTAAAAGCAAGAAATTTATATGCAATAATGAGTTACTAGACATCTAGCTGTAAATATATCAGCAGCAGCTGTACAATGTAGTATATATGTAGGCTACTATATGTGATGTCCACCTACAAAGATTCTTTGAATGGATGATTGGATTAGAAATTGCCATCAGTATTTAAAAAAGATGATAAAAGAATCTATTCGCTTCTATTCCAAATCAAATAAATGAGATAATGGCAGAAGGTTAGAATTATTGTGTAATGACACAAACCAACTTCAGTTTTCTGTTTAAAAGAACAAATTAGTCTGAAGGATTTATACACTTCTGTCTCTGGTGTGAATAACTTCATAACATTTCTTGTGGAATAATGACATATTAGCAATAACAAAACAAAAGATTGACGAGAAGGGAGATAAATCTGCTTTTAATCATCTATGTAAGGCAGCATACAGCCTTAATTAATTAATTGATGCATAAAATGTTTTCTTAACTGTAATAATGCAAAAACACAGAGTAGAAAACTAACGATTACACTGCCACTATCAGAAACTAATGGTTTGAAATTTTTGCAAACAAATTTCTGACTACAATTTTGTTTGATGATTTGGTCACTATGTCTCCAATCTTTATAAAAATAATGCTGTAGTGTCTTTGTGTACCACTGGGCAGGGAATGGTCTATAACAATACAAATCATATTAAAGATTTTGTATAATTTTCTTTTGAGTGGTCTGAGTGTGGATGAACTTGTACAATTTGCAATTTGTAAGTTGGTACAGTCTGTATGTAGTTCGTTTGAGTTGAATTAATGTGGAAAAATTGTACAAGTTCATTTATGCCACAGTAATAAATTTTGTCCTTGATTTTTCTGTTGAAGAAAATTGACATTTTTAGTGTTGATTTACAAATAAGTATTAGTAGTGAATTCTACCTAAATGTAATGTCTTCACATGATTTTGAAATGTACCACATGTATTTTTGTGAGTTTGTAGTAATGTTGGAGTGTAGAAAGACATATGTGCTAATGTACAGTGGTGTCTCCATTTGATCATTAAATTTATCTGGTACTATACACCTCAGTTGAAGACCCAAGGTTCCTGGGGTGGTTCTAATTATCATTGAACATCCTGTGTCATTAGGCAAGAAGTTTACAATTTCCTCCAAGTTGCTCTAGATGAAATGTGATGGACCTTTCTTAAAATGTTTTGTAAGCTGGTCACCAGCTATAATAATTTAATGTTACTTTTTGCTTTACATATCCCAAAGATACAGAGTACACAATTCGCCTAATATTGAAAGCAACACTCTTGATGTTGAAGATGTTTCATTAATTTTGTTTCATTTCCTTATGATATGTGGTTGTTTCTGAGGAAGCAATCAATGGCAGCTTACTACATTTCCTGTATATATAATTATCCATCTATGTACAAGTGTATCATAGCCAACCTTCATGTAATTGTAATGTTAGAGAAGTGTTTTTACAGCTAGTTGGACTAATGCAACCATGGAATTGTGTTGTTATATACCTATACAGCTAGCTGGATTAGAACAATCATGGCATTGTTACATTATCTACCAATGCAGCTAGCTGGATTAGAACAATCATGGCATTGTTACATTATCTACCAATGCAGCTAGCTGGATAAGAACAATCATGGCATTGTTACATTATCTACCAATGCAGCTAGCTAGACTAGAACAATCATGGAATTATTACCGCGGTATATTATCTACCTATGCAGCTAGCTGAATTAGAACAATCATGGAATCGTCACATTATCTACCTATACAGCTAGCTGGACTGGAACAATCACGGAATCATCATCTAATCTACTTATACAGCTAGCTGGATTAGAACAATCATGGAATTGTTATATTATCTACCTATACAGTTAGCTGGATTAGAACAATCACGGAGTTGTGTTGTTTTATAACTACGCAGTTAGCTGGATTAGAACAATCATGGAATTGTTATATTATTTACCTTTGCAGATAGCTGGATAAGAACAATCATGGAGTTGTGTTGTTATATACCTATACAGCTAGCTGGATTAGAACAATAATGGAATTGTTACATTATCTACCTACGCAGTTAGCTGGATTAGAACAATCATGGAATTGTTACATTATCTACCTACGCAGTTAGCTGGATTAGAACAATCATGGAACTTATACAGCCATGAATGTATTTTTTAAATAATTTTTCAAACAGTAACGTACAACATAGAAGCAAATGTAGCAGGGAAGCAAAGTAGGTAGAGATTGAAAGAATCAATGACAATAGAAACAATTAAAAAAACAACAATAATTTGAATTTAACAAATTTAATAAACAAAATATACAAATGCCTTATGGCTGCTATGATTTTTATGGGATCTACATACATTCTTTTCGAATAATGAACAGGTAAAATTTACAGATAATTTTATTTGTTTTATGAAAGGAATTATGAAAGGATTCCTATTGGAATATAACATCAAGAATATAAATGTCTTCAGTGGTACTATTAAAACCTGCACAAAACTGATGTTGAAAATGTTAGATATAATCCATAGAGTCACATATGTGTATACAAAATCCTCCTTGGTACCATGTCCTCTTGTATTTCAATAATTGTCAGTTAATAAGTCCTCCCAAATATCATGAGGTCACTGCTGCTTGTGTCCACATCACAGGATCAAGTTCATTGACATCACTAGCTACTCCATGTTTCTACAGGAAAAGAAACAAGATTTAATTCACATTTTAATCTACTTTAATACTTAACGATCTGCAAAAAGGTGATATCTTCACAACTTATTCGTGTAAACAATCTAAAAGTAATATAAGGGTATATCTCATTTTGTTTTTATCTTTTATTTTTTCATTATAATTTCAATAATGATACGTTTCATGCTTGTCTGTTGATAGGTGTTGTGTCTATCGTTGGTATGTTGGTCGGTAGGTGTCATGTCTGTTGTGTGTATGTCAGTCAGTAGGTGTCGTGTCTGTCATTGGTAAGTTGGTCGGTAGGTGTCGTGTAAGTTGACGGTAAGTCAGTCGGTAGGCATCGTGTGCGTCGTTGGTCAGTTGGTCGGTAAGCGTCATGTCAGTCGTCGGTCAGTAGGCGTGGTGTCTGTTGTCAGTCAGTCGGTTGGTAGGCGTCGTATCTGTCATGGATCAGTCGGTCAGTTGACGTCGTGTCCGTAGTTGGCCATTCGGTCGGTAAACGTAGTGTCTCGTCATGGATCAGTCGGTCGGTAAGCGTCGTGTCCGTCGTGGGTCAGTTGGTCAGTAGGCGTCATGTCCGTAGTCGGTCAGTCGATCGGTAGGCGTTGTGTCCGTCGTGGGTCAGTCGGTTGGTAGGTGTTGTGTCTGTCATGGGTCAGTCGCTCGGTAGTCGTCGAGTCTGTCGTCGGTAAGTCGGTCGGTAGGCGTCGAGTCTGTCGTCGGTCAGTCGGTCGGTAGGCGCTGAGTCTGTCGTCGGTCAGTCGGTAGGTAGGCGTCGTGTCCGTAGTTTATAAGTCGGTCAGTAGGCGTTGTGTCCGTAGTCAGTCAGTTGGTCGGTAGGTGTCGTGTCCGTAGTCGGCCAGTCAGTTGGTAAGCGTAGTGTCCATCATGGATCAGTTGGTCAGTAGGCGTCGTGTCCGTAGTCAGTCAGTCGGTCGGTAGGCGTCGTGTCCATAGTCAGTCAGTTGGTCGGTAGGCGTCGTGTCTGTCGCCGGTAATTTGGTCGGTAGAAGTCGTGTCCGTTGTGAGTCAGTCGGTCGGTAGGCGTCATGTCCGTGGTCGGTCGGTGGGCATCGAGTCTGTCGTCGGTCAGTCGGTCGGTGTCGGGTCTGTCATCCGTCAGTCGGTCGGTAAGCGTCTCGTCTGTCATTGGTCAGTCAGTCGGTAGCGTCGCATCTGTTGTCAGTCAGTCGGTCAGTAGGTGTCAGGTCTGTCGTCGGTCAGTCGGTCGGTAGGCGTCGCTTCTGTAGTCTGTGAGTTGGTCGGTAGGCATCGAGTCTGTCGTCTGTCAGTCGGTCAGTAGGCGTTGCGTCTGTTGTCGGTCAGTCGGTTGGTAGGCGTCTTGTCCGTTGTGGATCAGTCTGTCAGTAGGCGTCATGTCCCTCGGTCCATTTGTAGGCGTCGTGTCTGACGTCGGTCAGTCAGTCGGTAGGCGTCATGTCCTTCGATTAGTCGGTTAGTAGGTGTCGTGTCTGTCGTCGGTCTGTTGGTCGGTAGGCGTCGCGTCTGTCGTCGGTCAGTCGGTTGGTAGGCGTCGCGTCTGTCGTCGGTCAGTCGGTTAGTAGGCGTTGAGTCTGTTGTCGGTCAGTAGGCGTTGAGTCAGTTGTCGGTCGGTATGCATCGCGTCTGTCGTCGGTCAGTCGGTCGGTAGGCGTCGTGTCTGTCGTCGTCAGTCGTTAGGCGTCGAGTCAATAGTCGGTCAGTCGGTCAGTAGGCGTCACGTCTGTCGTTGGTCAGTCGGTTGGTGTCGGGTCTGTCCATCAGTCGGTCGGTAGGCGTCGCGTCCATAGTCTGTCAGTCGGTCAGTAGGCGTTAAGTCCGTAGTCGGTCAGTCGGTCGGTATGGCATCGAGTCAGTCATTGGTCATTCGGACCGTAGGCATCTGTCGGTGTCATGTCAGTCCTCTGTATGTAGGTCTGTAGGTGTCGTGTCAGTTTTCGGAACATAGGTCGGTTGGTGTCGTTTTTAAAGTATTATGATCTTCAGTATAACGTTGATGATAGTTTTGTCGTAGGATATTACTTGTTTTACCTTAATAAACAATGACTCTCCTAGTCTTTCAAATAAATGATGGTTAGACTAAATGAGAGAACAGAAATGTTAGTCAAGTGGAAATGGATAGTGGGTGCATGCTGCATACTTACGATAGTCTGTCTTGTGTCTGGCACTTGAAAAATTAACGCGTTTTGAATACACATAACATACACACATTTCCATTCTCTTATTCCATAGATTTCAAAATACAATGAAAATCGAATAAAATCAAAGCAATTGACAATATATACTTACAATGATACTGGGTTTTTTTGGCAATCTTCTCTTTTTCTCTTCATTTTGATGAAAGAAGAATGGGCAGGGGTGGGGCTGGGGGAAAGTGATAGTCAAAATAAAGAATGAAATATGTACATCTTCAGGCATTTTTCTCTAAATACAATAAATAAAATGGGTAATTTTATATTGATTTAATGGATCAGAAGTCCATGATAATGCATTGATGAAAATTCTAAAACAAATTGTAGTTATATGGAATGATCTCCTTTTTTAAGTTTCCATACAGATTACAATATATTAAAAAATGTTAAATGTAAAATCTATTTAAGTAAATACAAACAGATGTACATGTTTCTTGGGGCAGTGGGGACATGCAGGCAAACTTACTCAGACTTTCTTCCTGTTTTTTTCAATCAGTTTCCTAGTTCTATAATCTGTAATTCAAAAGAAAATGAAATAAGGTCATTTACTGTTACAGAGTAATGTAACGGGTAGTAACAGGCAACAACAGAAAGTAAGAGTGAAAGTAGAGTATCAATTAGTAACAGTTGATAAATAAATGTCACTGAAAATGCAGTAACAAGTGGGAAATATATGAACTCAGCTGAAAGTGGAGTTACAAGTAGCAGCAGGTATAAAAGAGGAAAGTAACTGAAAGTGGAGTAACAAGTAGTTACATGCAATACAGGAAAGTTATGAAGTTAAGGAACAAGTAGTAAAGACAAAGGAAATGACCTGAAAGTGGAGCAATTAGTTAGAGGTAATAAAAGGAAAATAACTGAAAGCTAAGGAACAAATAGTAACATTCATTAAAGGGAAACACTGAAAGTAGAGTAACAAGTAGTAACAGGCAACAAAGTAATGTGACTGACAATTAAGTAAGTAATACCATGTGATCAATGAAAGTAACAGAAAGTAAGGTAACAAGTAGTAACAGGCAGTAAAGAAAAGTTACTAAAAGTTACAAGTAGCAACAGGCAAAAAGGGAATTAACATAAAGCTTAAAGTGGAGTAACAAGTATTAACCGCCAATAAAGGAAAGTAGTGCAAAAACTTCTGACAACAATAAATGAAAGCAATGTAACTGGAAATAGTAACAACCAGTAACAGGCAAGAAAGGAAAGTAACAATTAATATAGTAACAAAGAGTAACAATCAATAATAGGAGGAACTGAAAGACAAGTAACAAGTAGTGCCAGCCAAGAAAGAGAAGTAACTGAAAGAGGAGTATCAAGTAGTTACAGCAAAGTAACAAAATTAAGAAACAAAGTAGTACAGACAATAAAGGAAATAACCTAAAGTGTAGAGTAAAGTTTTTACAGCAATAAAGATATGTAAAGTAGCTGAAACGAATCACAAGTAGTAACAGGCAATAAATGAAAGAAACACTGAACGTTGAGTAACAAATAGAAACAGTCAATAAATGGGAGTAAAATGGAGCAACAAGTAGTAACATGATATACAGGAAAATAATAAAGTTAACAAACAAGTGGTACAGGCAATAAAGAAAAGTAACACAAACAACTCAAGTTACAATTACTGACAGTGATAAGGAAAGTTACTGAATGTATGGTAACACGTCTTTTCATATTAGAGAAGTTAAGTAACTGGAAAGAGTGGCAAATACTTATATGCAATAAAGGAAAGCAACTAAAAGTAAAGTAACAAGTAGTAACAAACAATGATAGGAAGAATTGAAAATCAAGTAATTAGTAGTAACTGGAAATGGATTAACAAGTAGTAACAAGCTATACAGAGAAATAACAAAGTAAAGTAACAAGTAGTAACAAGCAATGATAGGAAAGCAACTAAAAGTAAAGTAACAAGTAGTAACAAGCAATGATAGGAAGAACTGAAAATCAAGTAATTAGTAGTAACAAAATACAGAGAAATAACAAAGTAAAGTAACAAGTAGTAACAAGCAATAATAGGAAGAACTGAAAATCAAGTAATTAGTAGTAACTGTATTAACAAAATAGTATTAACAAAGTAAGTAACAAGTAATAATAGGAAGAACAGTAATTAGTAGTAACTGGAAATGTATTAACAAGTATTAAAAGCAATAACAAAGTTAAGTAACAAGTGGTAACAAGCAATAATAGGAAGAACTGAAAATCAAATAACTAGTTGTAACTGAAAATAGATTAACAAGTAGTGACATGCAATAATATGAAAAATTGATAATCAAGTAACTACTAGTAACTGAAAATGTATTAACAAGTAGTAACATGCAATACAGGGAAATAACAAAGTTAAGGAACAAGTAGTACATGCAATTAGGAAAGTAACTGAGTGTGGATCAACTAGTAGTAACAGGCAAAAAGGGTAAATAGTTCTTACAGAATTAAGAGAAAAACGAAACTGGAAAGAAAAACAATTATTAAAAGGCAATAAAAGGAGCGCAAGCGAAGGGGAAAATTAGTAGTAACAAGCAATATAGGAAAGTATCAGAAAGCTAAGTAACAGGAAGTAACGGGCAATAAAGGGAAGTGAATGAAAGTCGACGAGTAGCAACAAGCAATAATGGATTATTCCTAAAAAATTAGAGTAACAAGTTCTTACAGTAATAAAGAGAAACAAAGTAACTGGAAAGAGTAACAAGCAGTAACAGGCGATAAAAGGAAGGTAACTAAAAGTAAAGTAAGTAAAAATGAGCAATAATAGGAACAACTGAAAGTTCAGTATCAAGTAGTGACAGGCAATATAGAGAAGAACCTGAAAGGGGAGTATCAAGTAGTAAAATGTGATACAGGAAAGTAACAAAGTTCACAAGTAGTACAGATAGTAAAGGAAATAAGCTGAAAGTAGAGTAAAAAAAAGTTTTTACAGCAATAAAGAAATGCAAAGTAACTGGAAAGAATAACAAGTAGTAACAGCCACTAAATGAAAGAAACACTAAAAGTTGAGTAACAAGTAGTAGTAATCAATAAAGGGGAGTAACTGAAAGTGGAGCGACAAGTAGTAACATGATATACAGGAAAATTAACAAAGTTAACCAACAAGTAGTGACAGACAATCGGGAAAGTATCTGAAAAAAAGTAACAAGTAGGAACAAGTACTAGCAGTAACTAAAAATGTAAGTGGAAACAGAGAAACAAGTAGTAAATGGCAATGAAAGGAAAGCAACCGAAGGGGAGAAATTAGTAATAAGAAGAAATCATCATCATTAAAAATGGAAGAGTCATAGAATATCAATGACTGAAAGTAGATTACAAGGGAAGTAACTCTAATCCTTCAATGTTGTTTTACTAGGCACTTGCCTTATACAAATGTAATTTGTAGTATTTGTATTTGTAATTTTGTTAGTACAGTAAGTTTTTAGCAAAATAAAATAATCTCAATAAATCAATACAGTCTTCTTCATAAAATAATGTTTAAGATAAAGAAAAATATATGCAACTTACTTCCTTCAAGTCCAGTATACTAAGCTTTGTATTCCCTGTTCACTCTATCGATGTGGTTACTAAGGTCCTGTATCAAAATAAAAAAAAATAACTATATATCACAAGAAATTCATAATTAAAAGAAATAGAACACATTTCAACATGCAATATGGTGAAACTTTAAACAACACTTAAAAATTTGGTCAGATGTATTTGTTCTGTATATAAAAAAACAAGGAGAAGTAGCTCTGTTGTAACAAACTTCAATATTTTAACTGATGACGTCTGCAGCACTTACAAATACGGACACTTAATAACAAATATATTTGTAGTCCTATCAAGCAAGGAATTTATTTCATAACAGTATTTCTTAAGTTCCTTTTTAGAAACATGACAAACTTCAATATTTATATTTATTGGGTAAGACAAGCAGTTATTTCTGAACCTTTTCTCAATAACGGATCCTAATTTGATGAATTTCAATGAAAAAGATAACATAAAAAATACAGAACTTGGGCTACTTCATTATATACTTTTTAAAAATCATAAGCAGGGGAGTTAACACATTTTCATGCTTCTTAAAATATAAAAATTAACACTTACTTCACTTCTCAGGGTGTTGATTTGCTTTAAGTGAGAAACATACTACTGAGTCCGTGACGTCTCTTCTGTCCCTAACCAGTTTCCCCAGGCCCGTTGAGCGTGCCCCAGGGTACTGCCGGCCAGAGACCCTGGATTCGTCGTGGGTTGTCGTCAGTAGTCTGCTCATCGCCCTCTATCATCAGCATCAAATCACTCTGTCCACATGGTCCCTTTGTTCTGTATTAAAACAATGGAAATATTTTACAAGGGGTGACAACTCAATATCCTTACCAAAACTATACATATACATAAGTATATATTACATATATTAAGATATAAAGGTTGGATTCAGTATTGTGAAACATATTGAAATAAGATTTTTCGGTTTTCTGCATCTGTATTTTTCATATCTATATTTGATTTTTGCATTCTGTCGAAACTAACACCACACAAACTACACTCACCTCAGGTAACAGAATACCTACTCGGTATATAGATATATAATATACGTTTGTGTATATAACAAAGGAATGGACACGGTTTAAATTCTGGACACAATATAGTTCTTTATATTAAGCAATATATTTGGCTAAATATGCGATACCAATATAATCTATATATATGGTGAAAATAAAGAGACAGTTACAGAGTACATGTTTGTAACTAAAAGAACACAAAGACTTCAAATTGTAATCCGCACTTGATGTATCACATATGTGTGTGTGAGAGTGTGCTTGGAGAAATTATGAGTAGATGTCACCGATTTTCACTAATCGTCCCAGTTACATGTTATATGTATGGTATACACAATATGTCGACTGAAACATTTTAAAACTAGTTTCAACCTCGTCGTGCTTCTTTGTGCTTCTTTCAATTTGGTATGTCTGTAAAAAATCTGTCTACACATCTTTCCCAGTCCGTCAGTGAGTCTTGTTTGTACATAACAAAATACCTATGATTTATCAATCTACATTGTAGATTAATAATTTGAATAAGTCATTATAAAGCATACTGCACTGTTGTCACATTGGTATAATAACAGATCCCCACCCCAACGCTAACCCCTGCCCCATCCCTCTCCTCACTCCTCCTATGACACTTAGCTAATCATTATAAATTTAATTATCATGTCTAATAAGCCACTAGTCACTGTTTGGTTAGATATATTTTATGACGCATTATTATACATTAAAAAGATACATGAACATGAATGTATATTCTATAATGTCTTTAGATATCTTTAACATTACGACTTCTGTGTGTTCATGATATATAGATATGATAGGATATGGAAAGGATATATATATCTAATATATTTAAATGTTGGAATTCTGTGTGATTGTAGTTTGATTGAATTATTCTTAACAAAAACCGTTTTCATTTTCTAGTTTTCCAAAAAGTTTTCAGACGACCTTTCCAGTAGATGCCATTCAGTGACGATTTACACGTATCGAGAAATAGAAGTTTGTCGACTAATACATTTAAATCAGTGATATAAGACACCGATTTGAGCAAGAGACTTGTAACAAATATCCTCGAAATGTTGTATACATTACCAAGTACATGTGGTGTTTTATAGTTACTGTAACTGGTATAAAAATGCCGACAGTTGTTTCAATCGCCACACAATCTGTCAATTTAAAGAGCGTGCCAGCAGGAAGCTTCAGATGAAATGTATCTCCAACCGATATTCTCTTTCTCCTCCTTCACTCCCTTGTTCCCGTCATTCTTCCTCCCTTTTCCCGTTGTTTGGTTCGATTGTACCGGTAACGATTTATACTTAGCTCAAAAATTGTACAACGTCTCTGTCGCCGATACAATTTGTTTACATCACGTCGTACGAATCATGCTTTACTCAGAACACCTGCCAGAATTCAGCACGTGCACAGTAACACACCTGTCAAACCTGTCCAATATCCATCACGTGCTTCTCAGCAGAAACGTACGCGTGTTACATACGTCTCTGCTCTCAACAAAACGCAAAATATGTAATAATAACTCGTGAATAACATAGCTGAGCATAAAACCATGGAAAAATGGATTTCTAATGCGGTATCACTTTCCGTCCCTCCATCCATCCGTCTGTCCCATTTCTAGAACAGGTCTTGCTTTCAGTGCAACAACGGAGGTGGTGGCATCAATCGTGCCCCCGACATTCCATATCCAAATCTATCGGATCTACAGTGGTGATAAGGACCGTGAATGTCCGGTCATTTTTGGCGAGAGGCTCTGAATATCAACGTTCATAAAGGAGATGTATGACTCTAAAAACGGAAATTTCTTTAGAGAACGTAGATAGAGGGAACTGGGGTCATATTCACTTGAAAATATTTTCAAATACATTGCAATTACCATATTAGGAACTACAGAGAAAAGAATAGGAGTATGTTGTAAGTTTATATGCATGTGACGATGAAAAGATGATGATATCGAACTGCTGATACCCAGTATGAACGAAAAAAAAATATAACACAATAACACTTATGGCTGCGCGAAAGCAGAAAAGAAGATTTGAAAATTGTATTGTGAAGACGTGTATATGCAAAATAAACCGAAACGTGAACTGAGTGAAATAACATCAGCCATGAAAAGCACTGGGAATTATAACCAGAAGGATTGGAAGGGGACAAATATAAGTTGAAGAGAGGCGTTATTGGGTGTCTGGAGGATTATTATGGAATTGTTGACCCAACCCATCCTTCTTACTACCCATTTACTATTTAACATTTGATGTTAGATCAATTACTGATTAAATGACTTCAAAATCCGGATATAAACTATTTTGAAAATTTGTATTTTGTTTATTCTTAATTATAGGTACATGCATTTTATATAGAAAGATAACTTGATAGCAGTGAGACTTATATATTTTCCCGCTATTTTTCCCGCCAAGAAATACAGCATCTAAAAAAATGGCAAAGAGGTACCGAATGGGAAATTACCCATGATTCCTAGACAGTCGGTTTACGGTGAAGTGATAGTCCATGATACGTATTATAAGGAATTTTCCAAGTTTGGCCTCATTTTGTTCAGATTTACACCAGGATCACGAAAATATACCATATGTAATTGTGGGGAACTAGAAAATTCCCCACAAACTGAACGAACCCCATAACGTTGGTCCTAAGACTGCTGAGAGTTCCCCACAACGTAGCGTATGCTACCCCCCCCCCCCCCCCCCCCCCACCACCCCCCCTCTCTCTCTCTCTCTCTCTCTCTCTCTCTCTATATATATATATATATATATGTGTGTGTGTGTGTTTTTTTTTATATATATTAATTACATTTTTGTTACACAAACCATAGCAACAAAACTAAACTAACATCCCAGTTACTTTTGGTTGTTTGGTAACCACCTTCTTCCAAAAATGTTTGATATGTATTGGTCTGTAAAAAATATGTCCAGCGCTTGAGTGAATTTACTTAAGGATGTACTGGTACTTCTGAGAATTGCCAGCAAATAAAATGCGAACAGAATAATTAAGGAGGTTTTCGAATAATTATTTGCCACGTGAAGCGTTCAGCGAAAAAAGGGACTTCTGTACTGACACAGATTTTTCCTAGTCACTAGTCAACATCGTAACTACATGACAGACCTGAATGATGTGCTTGTAATTCAGGAAAGTCATTGAAATCTTGAATTTTGATCCATTCATCAAAATTCAAGATTTCAATGACTTTCCTGATTTACAAGCACATCATTCAGGTCTGTCCTGTAGTTACGATCTAATGTCCGTGGTAGATCAGAATTTAGCTTGTGTATATATAATACTGCATGTAATTATAATATCAAATGTCGCTAAAATAGTCTCATATATACCAAATGAAAATCGTGTAAAGGGCACGATTTTGCATAACAACATACTCGATGACGAGGCAGGTAACTTACATAGAATGAACGATAAATTAAATGAATCATTTAATGATAATACGACAATTTAACAAATAATGAAATTAATGACATTGTAAATTTAATTAGTGAATTGTTCAAGGGCTCCGCTAAACAAGTTTTTGGTAGCAATAATACAGAAAACGGAGCTAGAGATGAGATATTAAAGCCTTGGTTTAAATAGGGAATGTCACTTACTTAGGGTAGAATTTAATCAAACCGAGGGCAGATTCCACAAAGTGAATAATTGTATGAATAAAACTAACCTCAACAGAGAAATACTGCTAGAATGGATTAAAAAAAACTGGAATATATTTAATAAATGTGACGGTTCTGTGAAGAAAGATAATGCTGATATATGCATGAAAGAATTATACCAATACTCTAAGGACCTGAAAAAGTCTACTCAAATGTTGACGAACTTTGAACTGGAAAAACCCTATTTATATATATGTATATTTGATGATTTCTTGAATGGTGAATTTACAACATATGAAATTAAGTTTTCTTTACTTAGCTTGAAAAACATTAAAGCATCTGGTATAGATCAAATCCTAAATGAATATCTTAAAAGTATCATGGATATATATATATTTACAAATTTATCAAAATAATTTAATCTTATTCCGAGTACCGCGTTATACCAGATGCATGGAAGATGGCATTGTAAAACCAGTATATAAAAAAGGCGATCCCAAGGCTCCGGATAATTATAGATCACTTTGTTGTCGTGCCTTAGTAAAGTGTTCACCTCGTTTATTTATGATAAAATTTCTGATGAGTTTGACCTGAATAGCTGGGTTTATAAAAGGTCATTCTACAACAGACAATATTTTCGTATTGTACTCCCTAATCTCAATATATTTTTCACAAGGAAAGAAATATTGTACTTTCATCGATTTTATTAAGGCATTCGATTCTGTGTGGAGAGACGATATGTGGTTAAAAAACCTTCTAAAATGCAAAATTGATGGATTTTCCCCATTATTTTTAAGTTATACGACAATGCCAAATCATGTGTTAAAAATAGATGTGAACAGTCGGATTTGTTCGATTGTAAGATCATTTATCGCCATTTAGGTTTTCATTTTTTATAAAAATGATTTAGAAACGTATCTTTGTGAGAAAAATGTAACTTGTCTTGAAACAAAAGATAAACTTTGTGTTGACGAGATTGAAATGTACCTAAAACTTTACGTTATCTTA